TCACCCCAAAAATCGGGATTTTAGAGCCCAAAAATCAGGATTTTTCACCCCAAAAAGCGGGATTTTAGGGCCCAAAATTCAGGATTTTAGAGCCCAAAACTCAGAATTTTAGGGCCCAAAATTCAGGATTTTAGAGCCCAAAAATCGGGATTTTAGAGCCCAAAACTCAGGATTTTAGAGCCCAAAACTCAGGATTTTTCACCCCAAAACTCAGGATTTTAGAGCCCAAAAATCGGGATTTTAGGGCCCAAAACTCAGGATTTTAGAGCCCAAAAATCAGGATTTTTCACCCCAAAAATCGGGATTTTAGGGCCCAAAATTCAGGATTTCAGGGCCCAAAAATCAGGATTTTTCCCTCCAAAAATCGGGATTTTAGGGCCCAAAAATCAGGATTTTTCACCCCAAAAATCAGGATTTTTCACCCCAAAAATCGGGATTTTTCACCCCAAAAATCAGGATTTTTCACCCCAAAAATCAGGATTTTTCACCCCAAAACTCAGGATTTTAGAGCCCAAAAATCAGGATTTTAGAGCCCAAAAATCAGGATTTTTCACCCCAAAAATCGGGATTTTAGGGCCCAAAAATCGGGATTTTAGGGCCCAAAAATCGGGATTTTAGAGCCCAAAAATCGGGATTTTTCACCCCAAAAATCGGGATTTTAGGGCCCAAAACTCAGGATTTTAGAGCCCAAAAATCAGGATTTTAGAGCCCAAAAATCAGGATTTTAGAGCCCAAAACTCAGGATTTTAGAGCCCAAAAATCAGGATTTTAGAGCCCAAAAATCAGGATTTTTCACCCCAAAAATCGGGATTTTAGGGCCCAAAATTCAGGATTTTAGAGCCCAAAAATCAGGATTTTTCACCCCAAAAATCGGGATTTTAGGGCCCAAAACTCAGGATTTTAGAGCCCAAAAATCAGGATTTTAGAGCCCAAAACTCAGGATTTTAGAGCCCAAAAATCAGGATTTTTCACCCCAGAAATCGGGATTTTAGGGCCCAAAATTCAGGATTTTTCCCCCCAAAAATCGGGATTTTTCCCCCCAAAATTCAGGATTTTAGGGCCCAAAATTCAGGATTTTAGAGCCCAAAAATCAGGATTTTTCACCCCAAAATCGGGATTTTAGAGCCCAAAATTCAGGATTTTAGAGCCCAAAAATCAGGATTTTTCACCCCAAAAATCGGGATTTTAGGGCCCAAAACTCAGGATTTTAGAGCCCAAAACTCAGGATTTTAGAGCCCAAAAATCAGGATTTTAGAGCCCAAAAATCAGGATTTTTCACCCCAAAAATTGGGATTTTAGGGCCCAAAAATCAGGATTTTTCACCCCAAAACTCAGGATTTTAGAGCCCAAAACTCAGGATTTTTCACCCCAAAAATCAGGATTTTAGGGCCCAAAATTCAGGATTTTAGAGCCCAAAAATCGGGATTTTAGAGCCCAAAAATCAGGATTTTTCACCCCAAAAATCGGGATTTTTCCCCCCAAAAATCGGGATTTTTCACCCCAAAATTCGGGATTTTAGGGCCCAAAATTCAGGATTTTAGAGCCCAAAAATCAGGATTTTTCACCCCAAAAATCGGGATTTTTCATCCCAAAATCCGGGATTTTAGGGCCCAAAACTCAGGATTTTCACCCCAAAAATCGGGATTTTAGGGCCCAAAATTCAGGATTTTAGAGCCCAAAAATCAGGATTTTAGGGCCCAAAACTCAGGATTTTAGAGCCCCAAACTCAGGATTTTAGAGCCCAAAACTCAGGATTTTTCTCCCCAAAAATCGGGATTTTAGGGCCCAAAACTCAGGATTTTAGAGCCCAAAAATCAGGATTTTTCACCCCAAAAATCGGGATTTTAGAGCCCAAAAATCAGGATTTTAGAGCCCAAAAATCAGGATTTTTCACCCCAAAAATCAGGATTTTAGGGCCCAAAAATCAGGATTTTTCACCCCAAAAATCGGGATTTTAGGGGCCAAAATTCAGGATTTTAGAGCCCCAAAAATCAGGATTTTTCACCCCAAAAATCGGGATTTTAGGGCCCAAAAATCAGGATTTTTCACCCCAAAAATCGGGATTTTAGGGCCCAAAACTCAGGATTTTAGGGCCCAAAATTTAGGATTTTAGAGCCCAAAAATCAGGATTTTAGAGCCCAAAAATCAGGATTTTTCACCCCAAAAATCAGGATTTTTCCCCCCAAAAATCGGGATTTTAGGGCCCAAAATTCGGGATTTTAGAGCCCAAAAATCAGGATTTTTCACCCCAAAATTCAGGATTTTAGAGCCCAAAACTCAGGATTTTAGAGCCCAAAAATCAGGATTTTCACCCCAAAAATCGGGATTTTAGGGCCCAAAACTCAGGATTTTAGAGCCCAAAAATCAGGATTTTTCACCCCAAAAATCGGGATTTTAGGGGCCAAAATTCAGGATTTTAGAGCCCAAAACTCAGGATTTTAGAGCCCAAAAATCAGGATTTTTCACCCCAAAAATCGGGATTTTAGGGCCCAAAACTCAGGATTTTTCACCCCAAAAATCGGGATTTTAGAGCCCAAAACTCAGGATTTTAGAGCCCAAAAATCAGGATTTTTCACCCCAAAAATCGGGATTTTAGGGCCCAAAATCCGGGATTTTAGAGCCCAAAAATCAGGATTTTAGAGCCCAAAAATCAGGATTTTAGAGCCCAAAAATCAGGATTTTTCACCCCAAAACTCAGGATTTTACAGCCCAAAACTCAGGATTTTAGAGCCCAAAATTCAGGATTTTAGGGCCCAAAAATCAGGATTTTTCACCCCAAAAATCGGGATTTTAGGGCCCAAAACTCAGGATTTTAGAGCCCAAAACTCAGGATTTTAGAGCCCAAAACTCAGGATTTTAGAGCCCAAAAATCAGGATTTTTCACCCCAAAAATTGGGATTTTAGGGCCCAAAACTCAGGATTTTAGAGCCCAAAACTCAGGATTTTAGAGCCCAAAACTCAGGATTTTAGAGCCCAAAAATCAGGATTTGACACCCCAAAAATCGGGATTTTAGAGCCCAAAACTCAGGATTTTTCACCCCAAAAATCGGGATTTTAGGGCCCAAAACTCAGGATTTTAGAACCCAAAAATCAGGATTTTTCACCCCAAAAATCGGGATTTTAGAGCCCAAAAATCAGGATTTTTCCCCCCAAAAATCGGGATTTTAGGGCCCAAAATTCGGGATTTTAGAGCCCAAAAATCAGGATTTTTCACCCCAAAATTCGGGATTTTCGGGCCCAAAATTGGGGATTTTAGAGCCAGTCCTTGTCCTACTTCGGGAAATCCCAAAGCTCCGGCGGCGTTTCCCGGCCGGGTTTATTTTTACGCCGCGGCCCCGTTCCGGCACCGGGAGGGATTTTTGGGATTTTGGGATTTGATTTGGGATGTTATTTTTAGCCCCGCCGGAATTTTGGGGTGAGGAAGCCGAAAATCAGCACCTGGAGGAGAAGGGGGTGGTCGTGGGGTCAAGGTCAGACCCCAAAGGCGGATTTGGGGGGTCCCCAAAAAGCTTTGGGAAGAATTCCTGACCCAAAACAGCAACAGCATCACCAAAACAACCAAAATTACCCCAAAACTGCCAAAATCACCCCAAAACATCCAACACCATCCCCAAAACAGCCAAAATTACCCCAAAACTGCCAAAATCACCCCAAAACAGCAACAGCATCCCCAAAACAGCCAAAATCACCCCAAAACAACCAACAGCACCTCGAAAACAGCAACACCATCCCCAAAACAACCAAAATCACCCCAAAACAACCAACACCATCCCCAAAACAGCCAAAAATACCCCAAAACCAGCAAAACAACCACCAAAACAACCAAAATTACCCCAAAACAACCAAAATTACCCCAAAAGCAGAAAAACTACCCCCAAAACAACCAACACCACCCCAAAACAACCAACACCACCCCAAAACAACCAAAATCACCCCAAAACAACCAAAAATACCCCAAAACTGCCAAAATCACCCCAAAATATCCAACACCATCCCCAAAACAGCCAAAATCACCCCAAAACAACCAACAGCACCCAGAAAACAGCAACATCATCCCCAAAACAACCAAAATTACCCCAAAAGCAGCAAAACAACCCCCAAAACAACCAAAATCACCCCAAAACAACCAACACCACCCCAAAACAACCAACAGCACCCCGAAAACAGCAAAACCATCCCCAAACAACCAACAGCATCCCCAAAACAGCCAAAATCACCCCAAAACAACTAACAGCACCCCGAAAACAGCAAAACAACCCCCAAAACAACCAAAAATACCCCAAAACCAGCAAAACCATCCCCAAAACAGCCGAAATCACCCCAAAACAACCAAAATCACGCCAAAACAACCAACAGCACCCCGAAAACAGCAACACCATCCCCAAAACAACCAACACCACCCCAAAACAACCAACACCATCCCCAAAACAACCACCAGCACCCCCAAAACAACAAAAAATACCCCAAAACCAGCAAAACCATCCCCAAAACAGCCAAAATCACCCCAAAACAACCAAAATCACCCCAAAACAACCATCACCACCCCAAAACAACCAACACCATCACCAAAACAACCACCAGCATCCGCAAAACAACCAACAGCATCCCCAAAACAACCAACAGCATCCCCAAAACAACCAACAGCATCACCAAAACAACCAACAGCATCACCAAAACAGCCAAAATTACTCCAAAAACAGCAAAACAACCCCCAAACAACCAACACCATCCTAAAACAACCAACAGCATCCCCAAAACAGCCAAAATCACCCCAAAACAACCAAAATTACCCCAAAAACAGCAAAACAACCCCCAGAACAACCAAAATCACCCCAAAACAACCAAAATTACCCCAAAACAGCAACAGCATCACCAAAACAACCAAAATCACCCCAAAACAACCAACACCCTCTCCAAACCAACCAACCCTCCACCGGGGAGCACCGACCGACCCAACGGCACCGACCCAACCGCACCGACCCGCCGCCGGCGGCACTCACCGGGCTCGTGGTGCGCTTCCAGGCCCACGCCGGGCTCGTGCCGCGCCGGCGAGGAGAAGCAGCCGGGCTCCTCCTCGCCCTCGACGCCGAAGAACGCGTCCGGCGCCGCGTCGGCGTCGTCGGTTTTGGCGTCGCGGTAGAAGCCGGAGGGATCCTCGGCGCGCCGGGGACGCGCCGGGGCGGGGAAGGTGTCGGGGAAGGTGTCGGGGAAGGTGTCGGGGTCGGGCTCTGGTGGCATCGGGAGGGTCACGGTGGCGTTGTCGGCGTCGTCGGTGTCGTCGATGCGTTCGGCCATTCCGCGCCGGGACGGCGGCGCCGCGCCGAGCAGCACGCGGCGCTGCGGGGACTGCCGGCACCACCTGCGGGCACCAAAAACACAAATACGGGGTTTGGCACGGAAATAAGGAAATGGGGAGAGCAAAAAGTGGGAATTACAATAATTCTATAGAAATAAAGATACCAAAATTGCCTTTTACTGCCCAAAAAAGTGTGAATTAAAACAATTCCACAGGAATAAAAGTCCCAAAATCGCCTTTTCCTGACCCAAAATGAGGGGATTACAACAATTCTACAGAAATAAAGATCCCAAAATTGCCTTTTCCTGACCCAAAAAAGTGGGAATTAAAACAATTCCACAGGAATAAAAGTCCCAAAATCGCCTTTTCCTGACCCAAGAAATGGGGATTAATTCTGGAGAAATAAAGATCCCAAAATCACCTTTTCCTGACCAAAGAAGTGGGGATTAATTCTGGAGAAATTAAGATACCAAAATTGGCTTTTACTGACCCAAAAAAGTGTGAATTACAACAATTCCACAGGAATAAAAGTCCCAAAATTGCCTTTTCCTGACCCAAGAAGTGGGGATTAATTCTGGAGAAATAAAGAACCCAAAAAGTGAGGATTACAAAAATTCTACAGAAATAAAGATACCAAAATTGGCTTTTACTGCCCCAAAAAAGTGTGAATTAAAACAATTCTACAGAAATAAAGATACCAAAATTGTCTTTTTTGTGCCCCAAAAAAGTGGGAATTAAAACAATTCCACAGGAATAAAAGTCCCAAAATCGCATTTTCCTGACTCAAAATGAGGGGATTACAACAATTCTACAGAAATAAAGATACCAAAATCGCCTTTTCGTGCCCCAAGAAATGGGGATTAATTCTGGAGAAATAAAGAACCCAAAAAGTGGGAATTACAACAATTCTACAGAAATAAAGATCCCAAAATTGCCTTTTACTGCCTTAAAAAAGTGTAAATTAAAACAATTCCACAGAAACAAAGATACCAAAATTGCTTTTTTGTGCCCCAAAAGTTTAGAATTAAAACAATTCTGGAGAAATTAAAATCTCAAAAACTGGGAATTAAAACAATTCCACAGAAATAAAGATACCAAAATTGCCTTTCACTGCCCCAATAAATGAGAATTAAAACAATTCCTGAGAAATAAAGATCCCAAAATTGCCTTTTCATGCCCCAAGAAATGGGGATTAATTCTGGAGAAATAAAGATCCCAAAATCGCGTTTTTGTGCCCCAAGAAGTGGGGATTAATTCTGGAGAAATAAAGATCCCAAAATTGCCTTTCACTGCCTTAAAAAAGTGGGAATTAAAACAATTCCACAGGAATAAAAGTCCCAAAATTACCTTTTCCTGCCCCCAAAAAGTGGGAATTAAAACAATTACAGAGAAATAAAGATCCCAAAATCGCCTTTTCGTGCCCCAAAAGGTGAGAATCAAAACAATTCCAGGGAAATAAAGATCCCAAAATCGCCTTTTCCTGCCCCCAAAAAAGTGGGAATTAAAACAATTCCACAGGAATAAAAGTCCCAAAATTGCCTTTTCCTGACCCAAAAAAGTGGGAATTAAAACAATTCCACAGGAATAAGGGCGGACCCCGGGGCAGGGCGGGGCCGGGAAGGGAAAAACGGGATGAAAAGGGAGGGAAGAGGCGCTAAAAACCGGGAATTCAGGGAAAAATGGGATGAAAAGCAGGGAAGAGGCGCTAAAAACCGGGAATTCAGGGAAAAATGGGCTGAAAAGGGAGGGAAGAGGCGCTAAAAACCGGGAATTCAGGAATTCGCAGCTCCGAGGGAGACGAGCAGCAGCTAAAATTACCCGAGGAGAGGGAAGGGAAGAGCCAAAAATACCTGCGAGGTTCGGAATGCAAATGAGCCCCGAATTATTCCAGAGGGATTTGTCCCGGGGGAATCTGAAATCCGGAGAAAATCCCAAATCCGGGGCAAAATCCCAAATCCCAAACATGGAGAAAATCCCAAACCCGGAGAAAATCCCAAATCTGGAGCAAAATCCCAAATCCCAAATACAGAGAAAATCCCAAACCCGGAGAAAATCCCAATTCCGGAGAAAATCCCAAATCCCAAACACAGTGAAAATCCCAATTCCGGAGCAAAATCCCAAATGCCAAACGCAGAGAAAATCCCAAACCCGGAGAAAATCCCAAATCTGGAGCAAAATCCTAAATCCCAAATCTGGAGCAAATCCCAAACTGAGAGCAAATCCCAAATCCCAAACCTGGAGCAAATCCCAAATCCCAAATCCAGAGCAAATCCCAAATCCCAAATCCAGAGCAAATCCCAAATCCCAAATCCAGAGCAAATCCCAAATCCCAAATCCAGAGCAAATCCCAAACCCCAAATCTGGAGCAAATCCCAAATCCCAAATCTGGAGCAAATCCCAAATCCCAAATCTGGAGCAAATCCCAAATTCCAAATCTGGAGCAAATCCCAAACCCCAAACCTGGAGCAAATCCCAAACCTGGAGCAAATCCCAAATCCCAGACCTGGAGAAAATCCCAAACCCAGAGCAAATCCCGGTTTTTCATTCCTGGTGCTCCAACCATCTGCAGATTTTTGGGATATTCCAGGAGCAGCACCCCAAAACTCCAACTCCTCGGGACGCCGTGACCCCAAAATCCCTCAAACGCCCCAAAGCCGCCGAGATTTTGGGGAGAAAATCCCAAATTTGTGATTCCAAATGGGAACGGGGCGAGGGCCGGAGCCACCTGCTCTTCCCAGGATCCGCCTGAAATCCGCTCAGATTCCCAAATTCCCAAATTTCCCCCATTTCTGGGACCATCCCGGCTGGGAAAACGGCCCCGAATTCGGAGTTTTCCTCAAAATCCAGGGAATTGGGGTGAGAACGTTTCTGGAATTACCCCAAAATTCTGATCCCAAATCCCTCGGGATCCCAAATCCCCGTGGTCGTTTTTTGGGATCGGCAGCACCCCCCAGGCCCAAATCCAGCTTTTCCAAATTTCCCTAAAACCCGAGGATCTTCCCCAAAAACCCCGCTGGGAATGGAAAAAAAAAGGGATTTTCCCAGCTCGCTAATGGAAAAAAAACGGGATTTTCCTATTTTTCCCGGCTCCTTAATAGAAAAAAAAAAACGGGATTTTCCCATTTTTCCCAGCTCCCTAATGGAAAAAAAAGGGGATTTCCCTCTTTTCCCGGCTCCCTAATGGAAAAAAACCCGGGATTTTCCCATTTTTCCCGGCTCCCTAATAGAAAAAAAACCGGGATTTTCCCATTTTTCCCGGCTCCCTAATGGAAAAAAAAAACGGGATTTTCCCTCTTTTCCCAGCTCCCTAATGGAAAAAAAAACGGGATTTTCCCTCTTCCCAAAAAGGCGGAGCGGGATTTGGGGCGATTTAAATGCAAAACGGGCAATTCCCGCCTCTTCCCCAGGGAAAAAAAAAAAACTGGGAAAAAAGGAGCCAAAGCTCCCGGGAATTCCCGCACTGGGAGAGGCTCCAAAAATTTGGGAATTTGGGATTCGTGGGGGTTTTATTTTTTTATTCCCTGCGGGGAACGGGTCCACCACGCTGCAAAGTTGCCGTTTTTTCCCAATTTTCCAGCGATTTTCCACATTTTTTCCACTTTCTACCAGAGAATTCCCGGCCTGGAATGCTCCCACACCCAAAACTCGAGTGTTTTTCCTCGTTTTTCCCGGGAAAAAAAAAGAAATTCCAACCTGGATTTTCCCCCCCCCTCGACTCGTGGATTTATGGATTTTTTTTCCCCCAAAATTCCCTTTTTTTTTTCCCCCAGGATAAACGCATGGGAACGGTTCCAAATTCCTGGTGGGTTTTTTTTTGGTGTTTTTTTCCTTTTTTTTCCCTCCCAAAGCAGGAGGAAAACGCAGGAATCGGAATTTTCTCCTCCTCCTCCAGGTCAGGGCCGAGGATCCCACACATTCCGGGTGCATCCGTGTGTTTTTCCCAGAGGAAATTCTCCTCCTCCTCCTCCTCCTCCTCCTCCTCCTCCAGGTCACGGCCGCATTCCCAAGATCCTGGAGGTCTCTTTGGAATTTTTTCCTTTTTTTTTTTTAATTTTCCAGAAGTTTTTTCACCTTTTCCTCACGTTTTTTCCTCGATTTTTCCCCTCTTATTCCACAACGAGAGAGTAGAAGCCCCAAGTGCAATCCCAAATAATTTTGGGAAGTGCCTGTCAGCCCTTAACGAGCTCGTTTAGCCCAAAATCGGCTTTTTTTCCCCCAAAAAAATCCCCTGGGAGCTCCTCCTGGGCTGCACCGAGAGGATTTTTGGGATCCAGGGTTTGGGATCCTCGGGGAATTCCCAAAAAGGTCGGAATGAACCCAAAGCTGCCTCTGGATGATCCCAAAGATGATCCCAAAGCTGTTCCAGAGGTCCTGGACGATCCCAAAGCTCCTCCAGGAAGTCCTGGATGATCCCAAAGCTGCTCCAGGATGATCCCAAAGCTGCTCCAAGAGCTCAAGATGATCCCAGAGGTGATCCAAGGGGTCCTGGATGATCCCAAAGCTGCTCCAAAGATCCTGGGGATGATCCCAAAGCTGTTTCAGGAAGTCCTGGATGATCCCAAAGTTGATCCGAGGGGTCCCAAATAATCCCAAACATGATCCAAGCGTCTTGTGGATGATCCCAAAGCTGCTCCAGAAGGTCCTGGATGATCCCAAAGCTCCTCCAGGACAATCCCAAAGCTGCTCCAAGGGGTCCTGGATGATCCCAAAGCTGCTCCAGAAGGTCCTGGATGATCCCAAAGCTCCTCCAGGACAATCCCAAAGCTGCTCCAAGGGGTCCTGGATGATCCCAAAGCTGCTCCAGAAGGTCCTGGATGATCCCAAAGCTCCTCCAGGACAATCCCAAAGCTGCTCCAGGGGGTCCTGGATGATCCCAAAGCTCTTCCAGGAATTCAGGATGATCCCAAAGCTCCTCCAGGACAATCCCAAAGGTGCTCCAAGTGGTTCCAGGACGATCCCACGGCTGCTCCAAAGGCCTCCAAGAAGTTCCCCGTGCGGACCCTGCCCTGCCCAGCCCCAGCTCGGGGCTTCTCCTGGACACAGAGCCCACCCTGCACACCTGGATCCACCTGGACCCCACCACAGACCCCCCCTCTTACCTGTTCCGGAGCCCCAGAACCCCTCCCAGGCTCCATGACCCTCCCTCAATTCAGCCTCCCCTCACCTGGGTCCCCTCAGTGTCCCCTCACTGTCCCCTCAGTGTCCCCTCAGTGTCCCCTCATGGTTCCCCACTCACGATCCCCTCACTGCCACCTCACGTTCACCTCTTGATCTTCTCACCGTCCCCTCAAAGTTCCCCCTTCATGTTCCCCTCATGATCCCCTCAGTTCCCCTCATGATCCCCTCATGGTTCCCCCATCACTGTCCCCTCATGATCCCCTCAGTTCCCCCATCACTGTCCCCTCACTGTCCCCTCATGGTTCCCCCATCACTGTCCCCTCACGTTCCCCTCAGTTCCCCTCATGATCCCCTCATGGTTCCCCCATCACTGTCCCCTCATGATCCCCTCATGGTTCCCCCATCACTGTCCCCTCACGATCCCCTCAGTTCCCCCATCACTGTCCCCTCACGATCCCCTCAGTTCCCCTCATGATCCCCTCATGGTTCCCCCATCACTGTCCCCTCACGATCCCCTCATGGTTCCCCCATCACTGTCCCCTCACAATTCCCTCAGTGTCTCCTCACGATCTTCTCACTGTCCCCTCACCTTCCCGCCATGGTTTCCCTCACAATCCCCTCAGTGTCCCCTTACGATCCCCTCAACTGTCCCCTCACCAACCCCTCAGGATCCCCTCACTGTCTCCTCACTGTCCCCTCATGGCTCCCCCATCACGTTCCCCTCACGTTCCCCTCACACTCCCCTCAGGATCCCCTCACTGTCCCCTCACATTCTCCTCACGGTCCCCTCATGGCTCCCCCACCATGTTCCCCTCAGTGTCCCCTCAGTGTCCCCTCATGTTCCCCTCACGGTCCCCTCATGGCTTCCCCACCACGTTCCCCTCACGTTCCCCTCAGGATCCCCTCAGGATCCCTTCACTGTCCCCTCACGTTCCCCTCAGTGTCCCCTCACTGTCCCCTCACGTTCCCCTCACGGCTCCCCCATCACGTTCCCCTCACATTCCCCTCAGGATCCCCACACGGTCCCCTCATGGCTCCCCCATCACGTTCCCCTCAGGATCCCCTCACGTTCCCCTCACTGTCCCCTGATATTCCCCTCACTGTCCCCTCACGATCTTCTCACTGTCCCCTCACCTTCCCGCCATGGTTCCCCCCTCACTGTCCCCTCACAATTCCCTCAGTGTCCCCTCACGTTCCCCTCACGGCTCCCCCACCATGTTCCCCTCACGGTTCCCTCAGGATCCCCTCAGTGTCCCCTCATGTTCCCCTCACTGTCCCCTCATGTTCCCCTCACGGTCCCCTCATGGCTCCCCCATCACATTCCCCTCACATTCCCCTCAGGATCCCCTCAGTGTCCCCTCACGTTCCCCTCACTGTCCCCTCACTGTCCCCTCACATTCTCCTCACTGTCCCCTCATGGCTCCCCCACCACGTTCCCCTCAGTATCCCCTCACGTTCCCCTCAGGATCCCCTCATGGCTCCCCCATCACGTTCCCCTCACGATCCCCTCAGGATCCCCTCACATTCTCCTCACTGTCCCCTCACGGTTCCCCCCTCACAGCTCCTTCACCTTTCCCTCACTGTCCCCTCATGATCTTCTCACTGTCCCCTCACCTTCCCGCCATGGTTCCCCCCTCACTGTCCCCTCACGATTCCCTCAGTGTCCCCTCATGGCTCCCCCATCACGTTCCCCTCACTGTCCCCTCACGGTCCCCTCACGGCTCCCCCACCACGTTCCCCTCACGTTCCCCTCAGGATCCCCTCAGGATCCCCTCACGCTCCCCTCACGTTCCCCTCATGGCTCCCCCATCACATTCCCCTCACATTCCCCTCAGGATCCCCTCAGGATCCCCTCACGATCCCCTCACTGTCCCCTCACATTCTCCTCACGGTCCCTTCATGGCTCCCCCATCACGTTCCCCTCACTGTCCCCTCACGGTTCCCCCCTCACAGCTCCCTCACAATCCCCTCAGTGTCCCCTCAGTGTCCCCTCACATTCTCCTCACGGTCCCCTCATGGCTCCCCCACCACGTTCCCCTCACGTTCCCCTCAGGATCCCCTCAGGATCCCCTCACATTCTCCTCACGTTCCCCTCATGGCTCCCCCACCACGTTCCCCTCAGGATCCCCTCACGTTCCCCTCACATTCTCCTCACGGTCCCCTCATGGCTCCCCCACCATGTTCCCCTCACTGTCCCCTCACATTTCCCTCACTGTCCCCCGTTCCCGGTCCCCTCTGCCGCCAGCACCCCCCGCACCCCCCGAGCCGCGCTGTCCCCTCAGTGTCCCCCTGTCTGTCCCCTCAGTGTCCCCTCAGTGTCCCCCTGTCCGTCCCCGCCGTCCCCTCACCGTCCCCCGTCCCCGCTCCGCCGTTCAGCACCGGGACGGTGCCGGTACGCGGGGGTCCGGGGGGTGTCAGCGCCTCCCCCGCGCTCTCCCCGAGCCCCGGCCCCGCTCCGGCCCCGCCCGCCCCGCCGGTCCCTCCCCCGTCACTCACCGGACCGAACCCCCGGGGCCGCGCCCGCGGGGCCGCTCCCGCTCAGCGCCGCCGCCGCCCCGCGCCCGCCCCGCGCCGCCGCCGCCGCGCCGGGGCCATGACGCCCTGAGGAGCCGCCCCGGGACTCCGCCCGCCGCCGCCGCCGCTCCCGGTTCCGCTCCCGGTCCCGCTCCCGGTCCCGGTCCCGCCGCCTGCGCCGCTCCGGCCGCTCCCCCGCCCCCCTCCCGCCGGCGGGGCCTGACTACGTCACGCCTCGCGCGACCGGGCCGCCGCCGACATCTTGAGGGGGGGGCGGCGGCGGCGGCGGCGAACGGGGCCCCGGCGGGGATGAGGGGCCCGGTGAGGAAGCGGGGCCCGGCGGGGAAGCGGGAGGAGCCGCCGCCGCCGCCATGTTGGGGCCGCCCCCCGTCCCCGCGCCCGCCCCGCCGGAGCCGCCGCCGCCGCCCTCCGCCCGCCCGCCCCGCGCGCGGCGCGCGGCGATGACGTCGGCGGGGAGCCCGCGCCGCCATCTTGAGAGTGGCGGGACCTTCCGGGAGGGGAGGGGGGGAGCGGCGCGGCCGTTGCGTCATCAGAGCGCGACGGCGGCGGCGCGCCGCCATCTTGGGCGTGTGAGGGGAAGGTCGGGGCGACCAAAGTGTCCCCAAAGTGTCACCAAAGTGTCCTCAAAGTGTCCCCAAAGTGTCCCCAGAGTGTCCCCAAAGTGTCCCCAGAGTGTCCCCAAAGTGTCCCCAAAGTGTCACCAAAGTGTCCTGAAAGTGTCCCCAGAGTGTCCCCAAAGTGTCCTCAAAGTGTCCCCAAAGTGTCTCCAAAGTGTCCCCAAAGTGTCCCCAGAGTGTCCCCAAAGTGTCCCCAAAGTGTCCCCAGAGTGTCCCGAGAGTGTCCCCAGAGTGTCCCCAAAGTGTCCCCAAAGTGTCCCCAGAGTGTCCCGAGAGTGTCCCCAGAGTGTCCCCAAAGTGTCCCCAAAGTGTCCTCAAAGTGTCCCCAAAGTGTCCCCAGAGTGTCCCCAAAGTGTCCTCAAAGTGTCCCCAGAGTGTCCCCAGAGTGTCCCCAAAGTGTCCCCAAAGTGTCCCCAAAGTGTCCCCAGAGTGTCCCCAGAGTGTCCCCAGAGTGTTCTCAGAGTGTCCCCAAATGTCCCCAAAGTGTCCCCAAAGTGTCCCCAAAGTGACCTCGGGCTCTGTCACTGTCCCCAAAGTGTCCTGAAAGTGTCCCCAGAGTGTCCTCAAAGTGTCCCCAAAGTGTCCCCAGAGTGTCCCCAGACTGTCCCCAGAGTGTCCCCAGAGTGTCCTAAAAGTGTCCCCAAAGTGTCCCCAGAGTGTCCCCAAAGTGTCCCCAGAGTGTCCCCAAAGTGTCCTCAGAGTGTCCCCAAAGGGTCATGAAAGTGTCCCCAAAGTGTCACCAAAGTGTCCCCAAAGTGTCCCCAAAGTGTCCCCAGAGTGTCCCCAAAGGGTCATGAAAGTGTCCCCAAAGTGTCACCAAAGTGTCCCCAAAGTGTCACCAAAGTGTCCCCAAAGTGTCCCCAAAGTGTCCCCAAAGTGTCCTGAAAGTGTCACCAAAGTGTCCCCAAAGTGTCCCCAGAGTGTCCCCAAAGTGTCCCCAGAGTGTCCCCAAAGTGTCCCCAAAGTGTTCCCAAACTGCCCTCAAAGTGTCCTCAAAGTGTCCCCAAAGTGTCCTCAAAGTGTCCTCAAAGTGTCCCCAAAGTGTCCTGAAAGTGTCACCAAAGTGTCCCCAAAGTGTCCCCAAAGTGTCCCCAAAGTGTCACCAAATGTCCCCAAAATGTCCCCAGAGTGTCACCAAAGTGTCCTCAAAGTGTCCCCAGAGTGTCCTCAGAGTGTCCCCAGAGTGTCCCCAAAGTGTCCCCAAAGTGTCCCCAAAGTGTCCCCAGAGTGTCCCCAGAGTGCCCCCAGAGTGTCCCCAAAGTGTCACCAAATGTCCCCAAAGTGTCCCCAAAGTGTCCCCAGAGTGTCCTGAAAGTGTCCCCAGAGTGTCCCCAGAGTGTCCTCAAAGTGTCTCCAGAGTGTCCCCAAAGTGTCCCCAGAGTGTCCCCAAAGTGTCCCCAGAGTGTCACCAAAGTGTCCCCAAAGTGTCCCCAGAGTGTCCCCAAAGTGTCCCCAAAGTGTCCCCAAAGTGTCACCAAAGTGTCCCCAAAGTGTCCCCAAAGTGTCCCCAAAGTGTCCCCAAAGTGTCCTCAAAGTGTCCCCAAGGTGTCCCCAAAGTGTCCTCAAAGTGTCACCAAAGTGTCCCCAAAGTGTCCCCAAAGTGTCCCCAAAGTGTCCCCAGAGTGTCCTGAAAGTGTCCCCAGAGTGTCCCCAGAGTGTCCCCAAAGTGTCCTCAAAGTGTCCCCAGAGTGTCCTAAGAGTGTCCTCAAAGTGTCCTAAGAGTGTCCTCAAAGTGTCCCCAGAGTGTCCTAAGAGTGTCCTCAAAGTGTCCTAAGAGTGTCCTCAAAGTGTCCTCAAAGTGTCCCCAAAGTGTCCCCAAAGTGACCCTGGGCTCTGTCACTGTCCCAAAGTGTCCCCAGAGTGTCCCCAAAGTGACCTCGGGCTCTGTCACTGTCCCCAAAGTGTCCCCAAGGGGCTGAGGGACCCCAAGGTGCCACCAGCAAAGGGACTTTGGGGCCACTGGGGACACTGGGGACACATTGGGGACATCAAGGGCCACCCCAGGAGGAGCCAAGGCCACCACGGGGCCACCAAAAGCCACCATGGGGCCACCAAAAGCCACCACGGGGCCACCAAAGGTCACCACGGGGCCACCAAAAGCCACCAGGGGGCCACCAAGGGCCACCACGGGGCCACCAAAAGCCACCAGGGGGCCACCAAAAGCCACCAGGGTCACCAAAAGCCACCACAGGGCCACCAAAGGTCACCACAGGGCCACCAAGGGCCACCACGGGGCCACCAAAAGCCACCAGGGTCGCCAAAAGCCACCACGAGGCCACCAAAGGTCACCACAGGGGCCACCAAAAGCCACCACGGGGCCACCAAAGGTCACCAGGGCCACCAAAAGCCACCACGGGGCCACCAAAGGGCCCATGGCGCTCCTGGCCACGCCCCCTCCTCAAAGCCACGCCCACAAAGGGCGGGACCTTGGGACCCGCCCATTTAGGCTCCGCCCATTCCCCGTGGCCACGCCCCTTCCCTTGAGACCACGCCCCTTCCCCTGAGGCCACGCCCACCAGGCGCGATGGGATTCGCCCGGAGGTTCGGTGAGAGCGGGACCCCCAAAATCCCCCCAAAAACCCCCAAAATCCGCCCCTGGACCCCCAGAATCCCCCCAAAAACCCCCAAAATCCGCCCCGGGAACCCCAAAATCCCCCGAAAAACCCCCAAAATCCGCTCCGGGAACCCCAAAATCCCCCCAAAAACCCCCAAAATCCGCCCCGGGAACCCCAAAATCCCCCCAAAAAAACCCAAAATCCGCCCCGGGAACCCCCGAAAACCCCAAAATACCCCAAAAATCCCCTAAAAAACCCTAAAATACCCCAAAATCCGACCCGGGAACCCCAAAATCCCCCAAAAACCCCCCAAAATCCGACCCGGGAACCCCAAAAAACCCCCAAAATACCCCAAAATCCCCTAAAAAACCCTAAAATACCCCAAAATCCAACCCGGGACCCCCAAAATCCCCCCCAAAAAAGCCCAAAATACCCCAAAAACCGCCTCGGGAACCCACAAAAGCCCAAAAATGCCCCAAAAATCCCCTAAAAAACCCCTAAAATCTCCCCAAAACCCACCCCGGGACCCCCAGAACACCCCAAAATACCCCAAAAATTATCCAAAAATGCCCAAAGTACCCCAAAATCGGCACAAAACCATCCCGGGACACCCCAAAAGCCCCAAAATACCCCAAAATATCCTTAAATACCCCAAAAACTGCCCCGGATTCCCCAGATCAGCCCCAAATACCCCAAAAATTAAAAAAAAAAATCCCAAAAACCTCCAAAATACCCAAAAACTGTCCCGGGATGCCCCGAAACCCTCAAAAAACCCCAAAAATCTCCTTAAACCGCCCAAAAATCCTCCCAAAAACCACCCCGGGACACCCCAAAATCCACACGGGATTGGGACCCCCCCAAAAAAATCCCAAATATCCCAAAAAACCCCAAAAATCGCCCCGAAAAAAACCCAAAAATCTTCCAAAATCAGCGAAAAACCCCAAAATTTCCCAACAAAACCAAAAATCCGCTAAAAAACCCCAAAATGTCCCACGGGACCCCCCAAAATCCACTCGGGACGGGACCCCCACCCCAAAAAAATCCCCCAAAAAAACCCCAAAAAACCCCAAAATGTCCCACGGGATCCCCCAAAATCCACTCGGGACGGGACCCCCACTCCAAAAAAATCTCCCAAAAAAACCCAAAAAACCCCCAAAAAACCCCAAAATGTCCCACGGGATCCCCAAAATCCACTCGGGACGGGACCCCCACCCCAAAAAAATCCCAAAAATCCCCAAAAAAAAACCCCAAATTCCCCCAAAAAAAACCCCAAAAACCCCAAAAATCCCCAAAAAACCAAAAATCTCCCCCCAAAAATCCCCAAAAAACCCAAAATCTCCCCAAAAAAACCCCCAAATCTCCTCCCCCACCCCCCCTCCACCCCTCCCCCACCCCAAAATTTTGGGGGGCCCCTCCCCCCCTCCCCCCCCTCCCCCCCCCGCGTGTCTTTCCCACGGCTGAAAGGGGAAGTGGGGGAGGGGCGCTCCCAGTTAGCGGAACTGGGAGGGACTGGGAGGGACTGGGAGGGACTGGGAGGGGGGAGGGGATTTAGGGGGGGTCCCCAAAAAATTTTGGGGGGTCCCCAAAAATTTTGGGGGGGTCCTGACCCCCTTTTTCCCCCCCCCGGGGTTTTTTTGGGGGGGGGCGTGGCCACAAGTAGCGGGTCCCGCGCTCCCAGTTTGGGGCACTGGGAGGAACTGGGAGGGACTGGGAGGGACTGGGAGGGACTGGGAGGGGGGAGGGGATTTGGGGGGGTCCCCAAAAATTTTGGGGGGTCCCCAAAAATTTTGGGGGGGTCCTGACCCCCCCCCGAGGTTTTTTTTTGGGGGGGCGGGGACACATTTAGCGGGTCTCGCGCTCCCAGTTTGGGGCACTGGGAGGGACTGGGAGGAACTGGGAGGGACTGGGAGGGGGGAGGGGATTTGGGGGGGGGTCCCCAAAAAAATTTGGGGGGTCCCCAAAAATTTTGGGGGGGTCGTGACCCCCCCCGGGTTTTTTTTGGGGGGGGCGGGGCCACACCCAGCGCGTCCCGCGCTCCCAGTTTGGGGCACTGGGAGGAACTGGGAGGAACTGGGAGGGGATTTGGGGGGGTCATGACGTCACCCCCCAAAATTTGGGGACCCCCCTCAGGCCGGAAATGGGGGGATGGTGACGTCACAACCCCTAAATTTGGGGAGGGGGAGGAGGGGGCGACATCAACAAACCGCGTTGGGGGGGGGGAGGGGCGCTCCCAGTTTGGCCCAGTTTGAACTGGGAATGGGGGAGGGGTCATTGGGGGGGGTCCCCAAAATCCGCGGGGGGGGGGAGGGTGGGGGAGGGGCGGGTCAGGGCTGCCCCTCCCCCTCACCCCAAATTTCCCCCCCCAATTTCCGCCCCCCCCCCCCCCCCAGGGTGGTTTTGGTTCGTCCTGAGCGCGCTCGGCCCCGCCCCCCCCGCGGCCGGTGAGATTTGGGGGGGATTTGGGGGATTTGGGGGGATTTTGGGGGGATTTGGGGGATTTTGGGGGGATTTGGGGGATTTTGGGGGATTTGGGGGATTTTGGGGGATTTTGGGGGATTTTGGGGGGATTTGGGGGATTTTGGGGGATTTTGGGGGATTTTGGGGGTTTTGGGGCTTTTTGGGGGATTTTGGGGGATTTGGGGCTTTTTGGGGGCTCTTTGGGGGATTTTGGGGGTTTTGGGGTTTTTGGGGGATTTTGGGGTTTTGGGATTTTTGGGGTTTTTGGGGTTTTTGGGGGGATTTGGGGTTTTTTTGGGGGAAATTGGAATTTTTTTGGGGGGATTTGGGGTATTTTGGGGAAGTTTTGGGGGAAATTGGAGGTTTTGAGGGGATTACGGATTTTGGGGGATTTTGGGGGGATTTGGGGGGTTTTGGGGTTTGGGGTGATTTGGGATTTTTTGGGGGGGTTTTGGGTCTTTTTGGGTTTTTCGGGGGGATTTGGGGTTTTTTTTGGGAGGAAATTTGGGGTTTTTTTGGGGGGGTTTCGGGGGAAATTGGAGGTTTTTCGGGGGGATTGGGGGTTTTTGGGGTTTTTTGGGGTTTTTGGGGTTTTTTGGGGGTTTTTGGGGGATTTTGGGGTTTTTGGGGGATTTTGGGGATTTGGGGGATTTTGGGGGGATTTTGGGGGGATTTGGGGGATTTTGGGGCTTTGGGGGGATTTGGGGGTTTTGGGGTTTTTTGGGGGGATTTGGGTTTTTTTAGGGGGAAATTTGGGGGGTTGTGGGGGTTTTGGGGTTTTTGGGGGTTTTTTGGGGTTTTTTGGGGGAAATATGGGGGTTTGGGGTTTTTTGGGGGGAGGTTTTGGGGGGACATTGGAGGTTTTTGGGGGGGATTTGGGGGTTTTGGGGGGTTTTTGGGGGGATTTGGGGTTTTTTGGGGTTTTTTTGGGGGAAATTTGGGGATTTGGGGTTTTTTGGGGGAGGTTTTGGGGGGGACGTTGGAGGTTTTTGGGGGGGGATTTGGGGGTTTTGGGGATTTTGGGTTTTTTTGGGGTTTTTGGGGGGGTTTGGGGTTTTGGGAGTATTTGGGTTTTTTGGGGTGGAAATTTGGGGTATTTTTGGGGAGGTTTTGGGGGGAAATGGGAGTTTTTTGGGGGGAAATTTGGAGGATTTTTGGGTTGGATTTAAGGATTTTGGGGGTTTTGGGGGGGGTTTGGGATTTTGGGGAGGATTTGGGGTTTTTGGGGGGATTTTGTGGGTTTTTGGGGAGGTTTTGGGGAGAAATTGGAGGTTTTTCGGGGGGGATTTGGGGATTTTGGGGTATTTTGGGCTGATTTGTTTTTTGGGGTGATTTTGGTGTATTTTGGGTCTGATTTGTGTTTTTGGGTTATTTTTGGTGTATTTTGGTCTGATTTGTATTTTTGGGGTATTTTTGGGGTGATTTTGGTGTATTTTGTTCTGATTTGTGTTTTTGGGGGATTTTTGGGATATTTTTGGTCTGATTTGTGTTTTTGGGGTGATTTTGGTGTATTTTGTTCTGATTTGTGTTTTGGGGGATTTTGGGATATTTTGGTCTGATTTGTGTTTTTGGGGTGATTTTGGTGTATTTGTGTCTGATTTGTGTTTTTGGGGTATTTTTGGGTTATTTTTGGTGTATTTTGTTCTGATTTGTGTTTTTGGGGCCCCCCAGACCCCCCGCCCTGCCCCCACCCCCTCGGGGGGTCCCTCTGCCGCTGCCCCCCCGGGTTCGAGGGACCCCCCTGGGCCCGGGAGCGGCCCTGGGAGCGGCACTGCGAGGGTAACTGGTTATACTGGTTTGGACTGGGAGGGGCTGGGGGGGGAACTGGGAGCACTGGTTTATACTGGGAGGGACTGGGAGGGACTGGGAGGGGACTGGGAGGGACTGGGAGGGTAACTGGTTTATACTGGTTTGTACTGGGAGGGACTGGGAGGGAAACTGGGAGCACTGGTTTATACTGGGAGGGACTGGGAGGGGAACTGGTTTATACTGGTTTATACTGGTTTATACTGGGAGGGACTGGGAGCACTGGTTTATACTGGGAGGGACTGGGAGTTACTGGGACAAACTGGGATTGAACTGGGACGAACTGGGACAAACTGGGATGAACTGGGATTGAACTGGGACAAACTGGGACGAACTGGGATTGAAATGGGATAAACTGGGACATACTGGGACAAACTGGGAGCACTGGGATGAACTGGGATTGAACTGGGACATGCTGGGATGAACTGGGACAAACTGGGACGAACTGGGACTGAACTGGGACATACTGGGAGGGAACTGGGACGAACTCGGATTGAACTGGGACGAACTGGGACAAACTGGGATTGAACTGGGAACACTGGGACTAACTAGGAGGGAACTGGGATTGAACTGGGATTGAACTGGGATTGAACTGGGATGAACTGGGATTGAACTGGGATTGAACTGGGATTGAACTGGGATGAACTGGGATTGAACTGGGATGAACTGGGATTGAACTGGGACGAACTGGGATTGAACTGGGACAAACTGGGACAAACTGGGATTGAACTGGGACTAACTGGGACGAACTGGGACGAACTGGGATTGAACTGGGACAAACTGGGACAAACTGGGATTGAACTGGGATGAACTGGGATTGAACTGGGACAAACTGGGACATACTGGGACAAACTGGGATTGAACTGGGATTGAACTGGGATTGAACTGGGACTGAACTGGGACAAACTGGGATTGAACTGGGACAAACTGGGACGAACTGGGAGGGAACTGGGATTGAACTGGGATTGAACTGGGACAAACTGGGACAAACTGGGATTGAACTGGGACGAACTGGGATTGAACTGGGACAAACTGGGATTGAACTGGGACAAACTGGGATGAACTGGGACTAACTGGGACAAACTGGGATGAACTGGGACAAACTGGGACAAACTGGGACATACTGGGGGGTGGGGGAGGGGTCAGTGCCCAATTTCTCCCCTCCCCCCCCCCCCATCGCTGATTTTGGGGTGGAACCGCCGCGTTTTGGGGAAAATCCCCAAATTTTGGGGTTCGGGGGGGTCCCCAAGTGACCCCTCCCCCCCCTCGCCCCTCCCCCACCCCCGCAGACATCAACGAGTGTGTGGGGGAGGGGCCCCCGCCCTGCCCCCCCTCCCCCAATCGCTGATTTTGGGGTGGAACCGCCGCGTTTTTGGGGGAAAATCCCCAAATTTTGGGTCCCCAAGTGACCCCTCCCCCCCCGCCCCTCCCCCACCCCGCAGACATCAACGAGTGTGTGGGGGAGGGGCCCCCGCCCTGCCCCCCCTCCCAGAGCTGCCACAACACCGAGGGGGGGTTCGGCTGCGCCTGCAACCGCGGCTACCGGCAGCGGGACCCCAAAAACGGGGCTGGGACCCCCAAAAGTGGGGATGGGACCCCCAAAAGTGGGGACGGGACCCCCGAAAGTGGCATCGGGACCCCCGAAAATGGAATCGGCGACCCCGAAAATGGGGGTGGGACCCCCGAAAATGGAGGATGGAGCACCAAAAATGGCATCAGGAGCACCGAAAATGGGGGTGGGACCCCCGAAAGTGGACCTGGGACCCCCAAAAATGGAATCAGGACCCCCGAAAATGGGGCTGGGACCCCCGAAAATGGAATCGGCGACCCCAAAAATGGGGGTGGGACCCCCCAAAATGGAATCGGCGGCCCCGAAAATGGGGGTGGGACCCCCGAAAGTGGGGATGGGACCCCCAAAAATGGAATCAGGAGCCCCAAAAATGGGGACGGGACCCCCAAAATCGGCATCGGGACCCCCGAAAATGGGGATGGGACCCCCAAAAATGGCACCAGGAGCACCAAAAACGGGCCCGGGACCCCCAGAAATGGGGTAGGGAGCACCGAAAACGGCATCAGGACCCCCGAAAATGGAATCAGGACCCCCGAAAATGGGGACGGGACCCCCAAAAATGGGGGTGGGAACCCCAAAAATGGGGGTGGAACCCCGAAAATCGGCATCAGCGCCCCCAAAAATGGGCCCGGGACCCCCGAAAGTGGGGACGGGACCCCCGAAAATGGAATCGGCGCCCCTGAAAATGGAACCGGGACCCCCGAAAATGGGGATGGGACCCCCGAAATCGGCATCAGCGCCCCCAAAAACGGCACCGGGAGCACCAAAAATGGAATTGGCACCCCTGGAAATGGGGACGGGACCCCCAAAAATGGAATCAGGACACCCGAAAATGGCACCGGGAGCACCAAAAATGGGCCCGGGACCCCCGAAAGTGGGGACGGGACCCCCGAAAATGGAATCAGCGACCCCAAAAATGGGCCCGGGACCCCCGAAAATGGGGATGTGACCCCCGAAAATGGCATCGGGACCCCCGAAAATGGAACTGGGACCCCCGAAATTGGGGATGGGACCCCCGAAAATGGAGGATGGAGCACCAAAAATGGGGATGGGACCCCCGAAAATGGGGATGGGACCCCCGAAAATGGGGATGGGACCCCCGAAAACGGAGGATGGAGCACGAGCCCGTCCCCGATTGAATGTGAAGGTCAGAGACCCCCCCCAAAATCCCCCAAAAAAACCCAAAATCCCCCCCAAAAAAACCCCAAAATTCCCCCCAAAACCTCCTGAACCTCATCCCAAAATCCCCCCCCAAAATAACCCCAAAATCCCCCCAAATCCCTCCCAAAATAAACCCAAAATTCCCCCAAATCCCCCCCAAAATCCCTCCAAAAAACCCCAAAATTCCCCCCAAATCCCTCCCAAAATCCCTTCAGACCCCCCCCAAAAAACCCCAAAATGCCCCCCAAAATCCCCCCCAAAAATCAAAATTCCCCCAAATCCCTCCCCAAAAAAACCCCCAAAATCCCCCAAAATTCCCCCCAGATCCCTCCTAAAATCCCCCCAAAAAACCCCAAAATCCCCAAAAAATGCCCCAAAAAATTTTGGGGGATCTCTCCCCAATTTTGGGGTTTTCTCCCCAATTCTGGGGGATCTTTCCCCAATTTTGGGGTTTCTCCCCAATTTTGGGGGATCTCTCCCCAATTTTGGGGGATCTCTCCCCATGTTTAAAAATTTTCTCCCCATTTTTGGGAGTTTTCTCCCCATTTTTTGGGGTTTCTCCCCAATTTTGGGGTTTTCTCCCCATTCTTTTTTTTTTTCTCCCCATTTTTTGGGGTCTCTCCCCAAATTTGGGGTTTCTCCCCAATTTTTTGGGGGTTTCTTACCAATTTTGGGGTTTCTCCCCAATTTTTTGGGGGTTTCTTACCAATTTTGGGGTTTTCTCCCCATTTTTTGGGGTTCCTCCCCAATTTTGGGGTTTTCTCCCCATTCTTTTTATTTTTCTCCCCATTTTTTGGGGTCTCTCCCCAAATTTGGGGTTTCTCCCCAATTTTTTGGGGGTTTCTTACCGATTTTGGGGTTTTCTCCCCATTTTTTGGGGTTTCTCCCCAATTTTTTGGGGGTTTTCTCCCCATTTTTTGGGGTTTTTCCCCAATTTTTTGGGGTCTCTCCCCAATTTTGGGGGCTTTATCCCCATTATTTTGGGTTTTCTCCCCAATTTTGGCTTTTCTCCCCAATTTTGGCTTTTCTCCCCAATTTTGGTGTTTTCTCCCCAATTTTTTTTATTTTTCTCCCCAATTTTTTTTATTTTTCTCCCCAATTTTTTTTATTTTTCTCCCCAATTTCGGCTTCTGACCCCATTTTTGGGTTTTTCTCCCCAATTTTGGGTTCTCTCCCCAATTTTGGTGTTTTCTCCCCAATTTTTTTTAATTTTTCTCCCCAATTTTGGTGTTTTCTCCCCAATTTCGGCTTCTGACCCCATTTTTGGGGTTTTTCTCCCCAATTTTTTTTTATTTTTCTCCCCAATTTCGGCTTCTGACCCCATTTTTGGGGTTTTTCTCCCCAATTTCGGCTTCTGACCCATTTTTGGGGTTTTTCTCCCCAATTTCGCCCCCCAGACGTGGACGAGTGCGCCGAGGGGGGGGAGGGGCTGTGCCCGGGGGGCTCCGTCTGCCTCAACACCCCCGGGAGCTTCGAGTGCCACTGTCCCCCCCCCGCCAGGGGACCCCCGGGCCCGGGGGGGTGTCCAGGTGAGACCCCTCCCCAAATTACCCCAAAATCCCCCAAAAATCCCAAAAATCGCCCCAAAAATCCCCAAAAAAATCCCCCCAAAAATGACAAAAATCTGCCCCAAAAATCCCAAAATTCAGCCCCAAACCCACCCCAGGGACCCCCAAATCCTGCCCAGAGAGGGTCCGGGTGAGACCCCTCCCAAAATTACCCCAAAATCCCAAATATCACCCCAAAGATCCCCAAAATCACCCCAAAAATCCCCAAAATCACCCCAAAATTCACCCAAAATTCACTCACAAAATTGCCTCAAAATCCCAAAATTCAGCCCCAAAATTCAGCCCCAAACCCACCCCCGGGACCCCCAAATTCTGCCCGGGAATGGTTCAGGTGAGACCCCTCCCCAAATTACCCCAAAATTCCCCAAAAATCCCCAAAAAAATCCCCCCAAAAATCCCCCCAAAAATGACAAAAATCCCCCCCAAAAATGCCAAAATTCAGCCCCAAAATCTCAAAATTCAGCCCCAAACCCACCCCAGGACCCCCAAATCCTGCCCAGAGAGGGTCCGGGTGAGACCCCTCCCCAAATTACCCCAAAATCCCCCAAAAATCCCCAAAAAAATCCCCCCAAAAATCCCCCCAAAAATCCCCCCAAAAATGACAAAAATCCCCCCCAAAATGCCAAAATTCAGCCCCAAAATCTCAAAATTCAGCCCCAAACCCTCCCCCGGGACCCCCAAATCTCGCCCGGGAATGGTTCAGGTGCGACCCCTCCCCAAATTACCCCGAAATTACCCCAAAAATCCCAAAAAAAATCCCCCCAAAAATCCCCCCAAAAATGACAAAAATCTGCCCCAAAAATCCCAAAATTCAGCCCCAAACCCATCCCCGGGACCCCCAAATCCTGCCCGGGAATGGTTCAGGTGAGACCCCTCCCCAAATTACCCCAAAATCCCAAAATTCTTCCCCAAAATCCCCCGAAAATCCTCAAAATCGTCCCAAATTCACTCCCAAAATGCCAAAAATCTGCCCCAAAATTGTCCCAAAATCCCAAAATTCAGCCCCAAAACTTCAGCCCCAAACCCACCCCCGGGACCCCCAAATCCCGCCCGGGAATGGTTCAGGTGAGACCCCTCCCCAAATTACCCCAAAAACCTCCAAAATTTGCCCAAAAACCCCCTTTAAAATCCCAAAAACACCCCCAAAAATTTCCAAAACCCCCCAAAAAACCCCAAAAACCCCCAAAATTCTCCCGAGGGGGACCCCAAAATTCCCAAATCCCCCAAATCTCCCCCAAAACCCCCAAAATTTCCCCCCAGGACCCCAAAATTCCCCCCGAAATTCCCCCAAATTTGGGAATTTTGGGGAGGGGGCGATGTGGCCACGCCCCTTTTGTGACACACCCAAATTGGCCACGCCCATTTTGGCCACGCCCCTTTTGACCACGCCCCCGCCCCTCCCCCAGCGGTGCCGCTGCCCCCCGAAATCTGCCCCGAGGAGGAGCAGGTGAGGGACCCCAAAATTTGGGGAGGGGACCCCAAAATTTGGGGGAAAAACAAAAATTTGGGGAGGGGAGACCAAAATTTGGGGAGGGGGAATCGAAATTTGGGCCGGGGACCCCAAAATTGGGGAGGGGACCCCGAAAATGGGGAGGGGACCCCAAAACTGGGGGGGGGGAACCAAAATTTGGGACGGGGACCCCAAAATTTGGGGAAGGAACCCCAAAATTTGGAGAGGGGGGAACTCAAATTTGGGGAGGGAACCCCAAAATAAGGGGGGGGAACCAAAATTTGGGGAGGGGGGAAAACAAAATTGGGGAGGGGGACCCCAAATTGGGGAGGAAAACCAAAATTTGGGGAGGGGAGACCAAAATTGGGAGGGGACCCAAAATTGGGGAGGGGGACCCCAAAATTGGGGAGGGGAAACCAAAATTTGGGGAGGGGGAGCCCAAAATTTGGGATGGGGACCCCAAAATTGGGGAGGGGACCCCAAAATTTGGGGAGGGGGACCCCAAAATTTGGGGAGGGGACCCCAAAATTGGGGAGGGGGAACCCAAAATTTGGGATGGGGACCCCAAAATTGGGGAGGGGGCGCCAAAATTGGGGAGTGGAGACCAAAATTTGGGGAGGGGGACCCCAAAATTGGGGAGGGGGAACCCAAAATTGGGGAGGGGGACCCTAAAATTGGGGAGGAAAACCAAAATTTGGGGAGGGGGAATCGAAATTTGGGACGGGGACCCCAAAATTTGGGAGGGGGAACCAAAATTTGGGAGGGGGAACCAAAATTTGGGGAGGGGGAACCCAAAATTTGGGGAAGGGAGACCAAAATTTTGGGGGGGAACCCCAAAATTTAGGGAGGGGACCCCAAAATTTGGGGAGGGGGAACCCAAAATTTGGGGAGGGGGAACCCAAAATTTGGGGAGGGGAGACCAAAATTGGGGAGGGGACCCCAAAATTTAGGGAAGGAATTCCAAAATTGGGGGGGGGGAACCCAAAATTTGGGGAGGGGAGACCAAAATTTGGGAGGGGAGACCAAAATTTGGGGGAAAAACAAAAATTTGGGGAGGGGGCCCCAAAATTGGGGAGGGGGAACCAAAATTTGGGGAGGGGGACCCCAAAATTGGGGAGGGGAGACCAAAATTTGGGGAGGGGGACCCCAAAATTTGGGGAGGGGAAACCCAAAATTTGGGATGGGGACCCCAAAATTGGGGAGGAAACCAAAATTTGGGGGAGGGGGACCCCAAAATTGGGGAGGGGAACCCCAAAATTTTGCGGAGGGGAAACCAAAATTTGGGGAGGGGAGACCAAAATTTGGGGGGAAAACAAAAATTTGGGGAGGGGGAAACTCAAAATTGGGGAGGGGGGAACCAAAATTTGGGGAGGGGACCCCAAAATTGGGGGAGGGGACCCCAAATTTGGGGGTGGGAATGGGGGAGGGGCCTAAATTTGGGGGAGGGGTCATGAGGGGACCCCAAATTTGGGGGGGATTCATTTTGGGGGGGGGGTCCCCAAATTTTGGGTGGGGGTCCCCAAATTATGGGGGGGTTTCCTCAAAGATTTTTGGGGTGCCCGAATTTTTGGGGGGGGGGGTCTCCGGGATTTTGGGGGTTCCCCGGGATTTTGGGGGGGGTCCCCAAATTTTGGGGGGTCCCCCTGACCCCTCCCCCCCCCCCCAGGGCTGTGATTTGGGGGAGACCCTGACCCGAATTTCGGAGGAGCTGAGGGGGGGGAGAGACCCCCGGAATGTCCTCCAGGTTTGGGGGATTTGGGGGATTTTGGGGAAATTTGGGGGATTTTGGGGGGATTTGGGGGTGTTTTGGGGGATTTTGGGGGGATTTGGGGGGTCCTGGGGGAGTTTGGGGGGTTCTGGGGGGATTTTTGGGGGGATTTGGGGGGTCCTGGGGGGATTTTGGGGGGATTTGGGGGATTTTGGGGATTTTGGGGGGATTTGGGGGGTCCTGGGGGATTTTGGGGGGATTTGGGGGATTTTGGGGGATTTTGGGGGATTTTGGGGGGTCCTGGGGAGGATTTTGGGGGATTTTGGGGGGATTTGGGGGGATTTGGGGGGTCCTGGGGGGATTTTGGGGGATCTGGGGGGACAATTTGGGGACATTTTGGGGACACTTTTGGGATATTTTTGGGGACATTTTGGGATATTTTTGGGACGTTTTTGGGGACATTTTTGGGGACATTTTGGGGACACTTTTGGGACATTTTGGGACAATTTTGGGGTTACTTTGGGGGCATTTTGGGGACATTTTTGGGATATTTTTGGGGCAGTTTTTGGGATATTTTTTGAGACATTTTTGGGGATAGTTTTGGGATATTTTTGGGACATTTTTGGGGACATGTTGGGGACATTTTGGGGATATTTTTGGGGACATTTTTGGGGACATTTTTGGGGCAGTTTTGGGACATTATTGGGGCAGTTTTTGGGACATTTTTGGGGTTATTTTGGGGCCATTTTTGGGTTATTTTGGGGCCATTTTAGGGCCATTTTTGGGGTAATTTTTGGATATTTTGGGTGAATTTTGGGGTAATTTTGTCTAATTTTGGGTCTCTGATTTTGGGGTCCCCCCAGGCTCTGCTGGCGGCCCTGGGGGGGTCCTGGGGGGGGTCTCGGGGGGGATTTTGGGGCAGTTTTGGGGCCATTTTTGGGGATATTTTAGGGCCATTTTAGGGCCATTTTTGGGGTGTTTTTTGGGGACATTTTTGGGGCCATTTTGGGGACATTTTTGGGGACATTTTGGTGACATTTTTGGGAAAATTTTTGGGCGATTTTTGGGGACATTTTGGGGATATTTTGGGGACATTTTTGGGACATTTTTAGGGCAGTATTTGGGACATTTTTGGGGCAGTTTTTGGGACATTTTTGGGATATTTTTGGGGATATTTTTGGGACATTTATGGGGTAAATTTGGGACATTTTTGGGTTTTTTGGGGACATTTTTGGGGTTATTTTGGGGCCATTTTTGGGGTGTTTTCGGGGTAATTTGGGGACATTTTTGGGGACACTTTTGGGATATTTCTGGGGCAGTTTTTGGGACATTTTTGGGACATTTTTTGGGATATTTTTGGGGACATTATTGGGACATTTTTGGGACATTTTTGGGACATTTTTGGGACATTTTGGGGTTATTTTGGGGCCATTTTTGTGGCGGTTTTTGGGAAATTTTTGGGTTATTTTGGGGCCATTTTTGGGTGAATTTTGGGGTAATTTTGTCTGTTTTGGGGTCCCCCCAGGCTCTGCTGGCGGCCCTGGGGGGGTCCCTGGGGGGGTCCCGGGGGGGGTCCATGGCCGCCGCCCCTCCCCCCGCGCGGTTCCGCCGCCTCTCGGCGCTGCTGCAGGTGGGGGAGGGGCTGGGCCGGGCGGCGGCGGCGCGGCTGAAACCCGGAACTGTCACCGATGTCACCTGTGTCACCTTGGGGACACCTGGGGGTGGCACCAACGTCACCTGTGGGACACCGACACCCGGGGGTGGCACCAATGGCACCGCGCCATGTGCAGGTAAGGCCTGAGTGTCACACCTGTGTCACCTGTGTGTCACCTGTGTCACTTCCTGTGTCACTTGTCATACCTGTGTCACACCTGTGTCACCTTCTGTGTCACATGTGTCACCTGGATGTCACCTGTGTCACACCTGTGTCACCTGTGTGTCACCTCAGTGTCACCTTTGTGGCACCTGTGTCACCTGTGTGGCACCTGTGTCTCACCTGGATGTCACCTGTATTACCTGTGGCACCTGTGACACCTCAGTGTCACCTGTGTCACCTGAGTCACACCTGAGTGTCACCTGAGTGTCACCTGAGTGTCACCTGTGTCACCTGAATGTCACCTGTGTGGCACCTTTGTGGCACCTGTGTCACCTTCTGTGTCATCTGGATGTCACCTGTGTCACACCTGTGTCACCTGACTGTCACCTGTGTGTCACCTGTGTCACCTGAGTGTCACCTGTGTGTCACCTGTGTCACACCTGTGTCACCTTCTGTGTCACCTGAGTGTCACCTGTGTCACACCTGTGTCACCTGAGTGGCACCTGTGTCACCTTCTGTGTCATCTGGATGTCACCTGTATTACCTGTGTCACCTGAGTGGCACCTGTGTCACCTGTATCATCTTCTGTGTCACCTGTGTGGCACCTGTGTGGCACCTGTGTCACACCTGTGTGGCACCTGTGTGGCACCCGAGTGTCACCTGTGTCACCTCAGTGTCACCTTCTGTGTCATTTGGATGTCACCTGTGTCACTTGTCACACCTGTGTCACCTGAATGTCACCTGTGTCACACCTGTGTCACCTTCTGTGTCACGTGTGCCACCTGGATGTCACCTGTGTCACCTGTGTCACACCTGTGTCACCTGAATGTCACCTGTGTCACACCTGAGAGTCACCTGTGTCATCTGAATGTCACCTGTCACACCTGTGTGTCACCTGAGTGTCACCCGTGTGTCACCTGTGTCACACCTGTGTCATCACCTCAGAGTCACCTGTGTCACCTGAGTGGCACCTGTGTCATCTCTGTCACTTTCTGTGTCACCTGGATGTCACCTGTGTCACCTGAGTGGCACCTGAGTGGCACCTGTGTCACCTGTGTCACCTTCTGTGTCACCTGTGTCATCTGGATGTCACCTGAGTGTCACCTGTGTCACCTTCTGTGTCATCTGGATGTCACCTGTGTCACCTCTGTGTCACCTGTGTCACCTGAATGTCACCTGTGTCACCTCGGGGACATCGGGGACATCAGGGAGTGGCACCAATGGCACCGCGCCATGTGCAGGTAAGGCCTGAGTGTCACCTGAGTGTCACCTGAGTGTCACCTGAGTGTCACCTGTGTAACCTGAGTGTCACCTCTGTCACCTCTGTCACCTCAGTGTCACCTGAATATCACCTGGATGTCGCCTGTGTTACGTGTGTCACCTGTGTCACACCTGTGTCACCTCAGTGTCACCTGAGTGTCACCTGAATGTCGCCTGTGTCACCTGTATCACCTGAATGTCACCTCAGTATCACCATCTGTGTCACCTGTCACACCTGTGTGTCACTTCAATGTCACCTCTGTATCACCTGTGTCACATCTGTGTCACACCTGTGACACAAAGGTGACACTGAGGTGATACAGGTGACACTGAGGTGACACTGAGGTGACACACAGGTGACACTCAGGTGACACTGAGGTGACACAGGTGACACAGGTGACACAGGTGACACAGGTGACACTGAGGTGACTCTGAGGTGACACTGAGGTGACACTCAGGTGACACAGGTGACACTGAGGTGACAGAGGTGACACAGGTGAGACACAGGTGACACTGAGGTGACACAGGTGACACTAAGGTGACACTCAGGTGACACAGGTGTGACAAGTGACACAGGTGACACTCAGGTGACACTGAGGTGACACAGAAGGTGACACAGAAGGTGACACAGGTGACACAGGTGACACAGGTGACACTGAGGTGACACTGAGGTGACACAGAAGGTGACACAGAAGGTGACACAGGTGACACTGATGACACAGGTGACACAGGTGACACTGTCCCTGTCCCCAGCTCTGTCCGTGGCCGTGTCCCGGGGTCCCCCCCCCGGCCCCGTCACCCTGAGGGTCCCCGAGGTGACACTGGAGGTGCCACCAGAGGTGGCCCTGGACAAGGAGAGCGGTACGGGGGAGGGGACACTGAGGGGACAGCGGGGACATCATTGGGGACATTGGGGACATTGGGGGGACATTGGGGGCGTTGGGGACATTGGGGACATTGGGGGGATTGGGGACATTGGGGACATTGGGGACATTGGGGGGACATTGGGGGCGTTGGGGACATTGGGGGGACATTGGGGACATTGGGGGACATTGGGGGACATTGGGGGACATTGGGGGGACATTGGGGACATTGGGGACATTGGGGACATTGGGGGGACATTGGGGACATTGGGGGGACATTGGGGACATTAATGGGGACATTGGGGGGATTGGGGGGACATTGGGGGGACATTGGGGACATTGGGGACATTGGGGACATTGGGGACATTGGGGGGACATTGGGGACATTGGGGGGACATTGGGGACATTGGGGGCATTGGGGACATTGGGGGACATTGGGGACATTGGGGGGACATTGGGGACATTGGGGACATTGGGGATATTGGGGACATTGGGGACATTGGGGACATTGGGGGGACATTGGGGACATTGGGGACATTGGGGGGACATTGGGGGGACATTGGGGACATTGGGGACATTGGGGGACATTGGGGACATTGGGGGGACATTGGGGACATTGGGGACATTGGGGACATTGGGGATATTGGGGACATTGGGGACATTGGGGGCATTGGGGGGACATTGGGGACATTGGGGACATTGGGGACATTGGGGACATTGGGGACATTGGGGGGACATTGGGGACATTGGGGGGACATTGGGGACATTGGGGGACATTGGGGGACATTGGGGGGACATTGGGGACATTGGGGGACATTGGGGGGACATTGGGGACATTGGGGGGACATTGGGGACATTGGGGACATTGGGGGGACATTGGGGACATTGGGGGGACATTGGGGATATTGGGGACATTGGGGGGACATTGGGGGGATTGGGGACATTGGGGACATTGGGGGGACATTGGGGACATTGGGGACATTGGGGGGACATTGGGGACATTGGGGACATTGGGGGGACATTGGGGACATTGGGGACATTGGGGGCATTGGGGACATTGGGGACATTGGGGACATTGGGGGGACATTGGGGACATTGGGGGGACATTGGGGACATTGGGGACATTGGGGACATTGGGGACATTGGGGGGACATTGGGGGACATTGGGGACATTGGGGACATTGGGGGACATTGGGGGGACATTGGGGACATTGGGGGGATTGGGGGGACATTGGGGGGACATTGGGGACATTGGGGACATTGGGGGCATTGGGGGGACATTGGGGACATTGGGGGGACATTGGGGGCATTGGGGACATTGGGGGGGACATTGGGGGGGACATTGGGGGGGACATTGGGGACATTGGGGACATTGGGGACATTGGGGGGACATTGGGGGGATTGGGGACATTGGGGACATTGGGGGGGATGGGCTCATTTTGGGGTAATTTCTGGAGATTTTTGGGTCATTTTGAGGGGGATTTTTGGGTATTTTTGAGGGGGATTTTGGGGTCATTTTGGGGTCATTTTGGGATAATTTCTGGGGATTTTGGGATCATTTCAGGGGGGATTTTGGGGTAATTTTGAGGGGATTTTGGGGTAATTTTGGGGCATTTTTGAGGGGATTTTTGGGGTAATTTTGAGGGGATTTTGGGATAATTTTGAGGGGGGATTTTGGGGTCATTTGGGGGGGGATTTTGGGGTCATTTGAAGCGGATTTTGGGGTCATTTCAGGGGGATTTTGGGGTCATTTTGGGGTCATTTTGGGATAATTTCTGGGGATTTTGGGATCATTTCAGGGGGGATTTTGGGGTAATTTTGAGGGGATTTTTTGGGGTCATTTTGAGGGAATTTTGGGGTAATTTTTGGGGTATTTTTGGGGTAATTTTGGGGTAATTTTGGGGTAATTCCGGTGGGTTTCGTGCAGGTCTGTCCCTGGTGGCCCTGCTGACCCTGGGGGGTCTTTGAGGGGATTTTGGGGTAATTTTGGGGTAATTTTGAGGGGGGATTTTGGGGTCATTTTGGGGTAATTTTGAGGAGGATTTTGGGGTAATTTCAATCGATTTTGGGTAATTCCGGTGGGTTTTCCCCAGGTCTGTCCCTCGTGGCGCTGCTGACCCTCGGGGGGCTTTGAGGGGGATTTTGGGGTAATTTTGGGGTAATTTGGGGTAATTTTGGGGTAATTTTGGGGTAATTTCCGGGGATTTTTGGGGTAATTTTAGGGGTAATTTTGGGGTAATTTTGGGGTAATTTTGGGGTAATTTTGGGGTTTTTCCCCAGGTCTGTCGCTCGTGGCCCTGCTGACCCTCGGGGGTCTCCCCGCGGCTCTCTCGGGGGCCCCCCCCGTGCTCTGGGGGGGGTGGGGGTCTCTGCCCCGCCCCCACCGGGGCCGCCCCTCCCCCTCCTACCGCGTCCTGTCCCCCGTGGCCACCGCCTTTGTCACCAAAGATGTCACCGAGGGTGGCACCGAGGGTGGCACCGAGGGTGGCACCGAGGGTGGCACCCGCCCCGCGGTCACGCTCCGGTTCCAGCACCCCCCCCCGGTCAGTGCGGCACCCCAAAAATGGGCAGGGGACCCCAAAAATGGGGGGGGAAATAGCGAAAAATGGGGAAAATACAGAAAAATGGGGGGAAATAGAGAAAAAATGGAGGGAAACACAAAAAACGGGGGGGGAACCCAAAAATGGGGGGAGGATCCCAAAAATGAGGGGGGGGCCAAAAATGGGCAGGGGAATAGAGAAAAATGGGGGAAATAGAGAAAAAATGGGGTGGGGGATCCCAAAAAACGGGGGGAAATCCCAAAAAATGGGGGGAAATCCTAAAAAATGGGGGTGGCAATCCTGAAAAATGGGGGGAAATCCCAAAAAAATGGGGGGGAAATGCAGAAAAAATGGGGGAAATCCCAAAAACCGGGGAGGGAAATAGAGAAAAATGGGGGAAATACAGAAAAAATGGAGGGAAAATAGAGAAAAAATGGGGGGAAATAGAGAAAAAATGGGGGGAAATACAGAAAAAATGGGGAAAATCCCAAAAAATGGGGGTGGGGACCCCAAAAAATGGGGGTAAATCCCAAAAAAAGGGGGAAAATCCCCAAAAATGGGGGGAAATCCCCAAAAATGGGGGGGAATGAAAAAATAATAGGGGAAAATGCCAAAATATGGGGGAAAATCCAAAAAAATGTGGTGGGGATCCCAAAAAATGGGGGGAAAATTCAAGAAAAATGGGGGTGGCGATCCTGAAAAATGGGGGGAAATCCCAAAAAATGGGGTGGGGATCCCAAAAAATGGGGAAAATCCCCAAAAATGGGGTGGGGATCCCAAAAAATGGGGTGAAATCCCAAAAAATGGGGTGAGGATCCCAAAAAATGGGGGAAAATCCCAAAAAATGGGGCGGGGATCCCAAAAAATGGGGTGAAATCCCAAAAAATGGGGTGAAATCCCAAAAATGGGGGGGTGGGGATCCCAAAATTGGGGTGGGGGAGCCCAAATTGGGCTCCCAAAGGGGCCCTAAAAGGGGGAGGGGTTTTGGGGGGGTTTTGGGGACCCCCCTGACCCCCCTGTGCCCCCCCCCAGGACCCCAAATTTGGGGGGCGGATCCTCTGCGCCTTCTGGAACCCCCGGAGGGGCCGTTGGGACTCGGGGGGGTGTCGGGAGGTGCTCCCCAAAAACGGGACCCCCCCCCCGGGGCAGCCCCACGGCACCGTCTGCGCCTGCGAGCACCTGACGAGTTTCGCTGTTCTGCTGGCCTTCAACGAGATCCAGGTACCCCAAAATCACCCCAAAAATATCCCAAAATCACCCCGAAAATATCCCAAAAATATCCTGAAATAACCCCAAAAATATCCCATAAATATCCCAAAAATATCCCAAAAATATCCCAAATTCACCTGACGAGTTTCGCCGTTCTGCTGGCCTTCAACGAGATCCAGGTACCTCAAAATCACCTGAAATCACCCCAAAAATATCCCAAAAATGTCCCAAAAATGTCCCAAAGATATCCCAAAAATATCCCTGAAATATCCCATAAATATCCCATAAATATCCCAAAAATATCTCTGAAATCACCCAAAAAATACCTGAAAATATCCTTAAAAGAACCCCAAAAATATCCCAAAATCACCCCAAAAAATATCGCAAAAATATCCCATAAATATCCCAAAAATATCCCATAAATATCCCATAAATATCACAAAAATATCACAAAAATATCCCAAAATCACCTGACGAGTTTTGCTGTTCTGCTGGCCTTCAATGAGATCCAGGTACCCCAAAATCCCCCGAAATCACCCCAAAAATATCCCAAAATCACCCCAAAAATATCCCAAAATCACCCCAAAACCATCCCTGAAATCACCCAAAAAATACCTGAAAATATCATTAAAATAATCCCAAAAATATCCCAAAATCACCCCAAAATCACCTGACGAGTTTCGCCGTTCTGCTGGCCTTCAACGAGATCCAGGTACCCCAAAAATGTCCCAAAATCAACCCAAAAATATCCCGAAATCATCCCAAAAATATCCTGAAATCACCCAAAAAATATCCCAAAATCTCCCCAGAAACACCCCAAAATTATCTCCAAAAATCAACCCAAAATTACTACAAAACCCCCAAAAATCACCCCAAAAACCACCCCAAAATCCCAAAACAAAAATTCCTAAAAATCACCCTAAAAAACACCCCAAAATCCACCCCAAAATAAGCCAAGAAAATAAAAAAAAATCCCCAAAATCACCCCAAAAAATCCCAAAAAATCCCCCTAAAAAACATTTTAAAATTACAAAACAATCCCCAAAAAATCAGCCCAAAACTCACCCCAAAACCACCCAAAACCCCAAAAAATCCCCTGGTGGCCCTGGTGGCCTTGGCCACCTCGGTGGTGGCCCTGGTGGCCCTGAGGGTGTCCCTGTCCCCTGAGGACCATTGGCTGCTGGACCTGGTGACACGGGTGACATTGGCCATCTCCGTGGTGGCCCTGGTGGTGTCCCCATGATGTCCCTGATGTCCCCATGTCCCCCCCAGGACCATTGGCTGCTGGACCTGGTGACCCGGGTGGCTTTGGCCACCTCGCTGGTGGCCCTGGTGGCCCTGAGGGTGTCACTGTGACCCTGGTGATGTCACTGGTGTCACCCTGGTGGCCCTGAGGGTGTCACTGGTGGCCCTGGTGGTGTCCCCATGATGTCCCCATGTCCCCCCCAGGACCACTGGCTGCTGGACCTGGTGACACGGGTGGCTTTGGCCACCTCGCTGGTGGCCCTGGTGGTGTCACTGGTGGCCCTGGTGGCCCTGGTGATGTCACTGGTGACCCTGGTGGTGTCACTGTGGTGGCCCTGGTGGCCCTGAGGGTGTCACTGATGTCCCCATGATGTCCCCAGGACCATTGGCTGCTGGACCTGGTGACACGGGTGGCCTTGGCCACCTCGCTGGTGGCCCTGGTGGCCCTGAGGGTGTCACTGATGTCCCCTCAGGACCACTGGCTGCTGGACCTGGTGACACGGGTGGCCTTGGCCACCTCGCTGGTGGCCCTGGTGGCCGCGGCCGTGACCTTCGCGCTGTGCCGGGCGCTGCCGGAGCCGCGTCGGACGCTGCAGCTGCACCTGAGCCTCAGCCTGATCGGGGGGCACCTGACGTTCCTCGTGGGCATCGACGGGACCCACAACCGGGTACGGGGCACCCATGGGTGCTGAGGGGATTTTGGGTGTCCTCAGAGGGATTTGGGGTCATTTGGAGGGATTTGGGGTCATTTAGAGGGAGCTCAGGGGGGTTTGGAGGTGGCACCTGACCTTCCTGGTGGGCATCGACGGGACCCAAAACAGGGTACGGGGGGCACCCATGGGTGCTGAGGGGATTTTGGGGTCATTTTGAGGGATTTTGGGTCATTTTGGGGGATTTTGGGGGAGTTTATGGAGATTTGGGAAGTTCAGAGGAGGTTTGGAGGTGGCACTTGACCTTCCTGGTGGGCATCGATGGGACACAGAACCGGGTACGGGGCACCCATGGGTGCTGAGGGGATTTGGGGTCATTTCGGGGGATTTGGGGTCATTTCAGAGGGATTTTGGAGAATTTTGGGGTCATTTGGGGGATTTTGGGGGGATTTTGGGGCCATTTTGAGAGATTTTGGGTCATTTTGGGGGGGATTTGGAGGGATTTTGGGTCATTTCGGGGGATTTTGGGGGAGTTTAGGAGGATTTTTGGGGATTTGAGGGATTTTGGGGGGATTTTGGGGCCATTTTGAGGGATTTTGGGTCATTTTGGGGGGGATTTGGGGGGATTTTGGGTCATTTTGGGGGGGAGTTTAGGGGGAATTTGGGGGACCTGTGTCACACCCGTGTCACACCCGTGTCACACCCATGTCACACCCGTGTCTGTGCGTGTCCCAGGTGGGCTGTGCCGTGACCGCAGCCGTGTTACACGCGTGTTACGTGTGCGCGTTCCTGTGGATGGCCCTCCAGGGCTTGCACACGTGTCACACGCGTGTCTCTGTGTCTCACACCTGTCCCAGGTGGGCTGTGCCGTGACCGCAGCCGTGTTACACGCGTGTTACGTGTGCGCGTTCCTGTGGATGGCCCTCCAGGGCTTGCACACGTATGTTCTGCTGCTCCGCGTGTTCCCCCCCCCGTGGCTCCGCCCGCGGCTCCTTTTGGCTCTCGGCTACGGCCCCGCCCTGCTGCTGGTGGCCGTGGCGGCCGCCGCCTTCCCGGGGGGCTACGGAACCGATCAATAGTGAGTAATCAATAACCGATACCGATCAATAACCCCTACCCATCAGTAACCCATTGGGATCAATAACCATTGATAGTGATCAATAACCGGTGATCGATAGTGCACATCCCCCTGCTGACTGACACCTTCCTGGGGGGCAATGGAACTGATCAATAGTGACTAATCAATAACCGATACCGATCAATAACCCCCACTGATCAGTTACCCATTGGGATCAATAACCATTGATAGTGATCAATAAGTGGTGATCAATAGTGCACATCACCCCACTGGTCGCCTCCTTCCCAGGGTGCTATGGCACCAATCAATAGTGATCGATAACCGATACTGATCAATAACCCCTACCAATCAATAACCCTACTGATCAGTAACTCATTCGGAGCAATAGGGAGCAGTAGTGATCAATAACTGGTGATCAGTAACCAGTGATCAATAGTGCACATCCCCCTGCTGACTGACACCTTCCCGGGGGGCTACAGCAGCGATCAATAGTGAGTAATCAATAATCAATACCGATCAATAACCCCCACTGATCAGTTACCCATTGGGATCAATAACCATTGATAGTGATCAATAACCGGTGATCAGTAACCAGTTCCCTCCCAGTATAAACCAGTATAACCCAGTCCACTCCCAGTACAAACCAGTACAAACCAGTATAAACCAGTTCCCTCCCAGTATAACCCAGTCCGTCCCAGTCCCCCCCAGTTCCCTCCCAGTACAAACCAGTACAAACCAGTATAAACCAGTTCCCTCCCAGTATAACCCAGTCCGTCCCAGTCCCCCCCAGTTCCCTCCCAGTACAAACCAGTACAAACCAGTATAACCAGTCCCTCCCCGTATAACCAGTCCCTCCCAGTACAAACCAGTACAAACCAGTCCCTCCCAGTCCAAACCAGTACAAACCAGTCCCTCCCAGTATAAACCAGTATAACCCAGTCCCTCCCAGTCCCTCCCAGTATAAACCAGTTCAATCCCAGTATAACCCAGTCCCCATTCCCAGTCCGTCCCAGTACAAACCAGTATAACCCAATCCCTCCCAGTCCGTCCCAGTCCCTCCCAGTACAAACCAGTATAACCAGTCCGTCCCAGTACAAACCAGTACAAACCAGTATAACCCAGTCCCTCCCAGTCCCTCCCAGTATAAACCAGTATAAACCAGTTCAATCCCAGTCCGTCCCAGTCCCCCCCAGTCCGTCCCAGTTCAATCCCAGTATAACCAGTGTGTCCCAGCTGCTGGCTGTCCCTGGCTCGCGGTTTCCGGTGGAGCTTCCAGGGCCCCGTGATCGTCATCAGCGCCGTGAGTGGCACCGGTGGCACCTGAGTGGCACCTGAGTGTCACCGATGTCACCTCAGTGTCACCTGAGTCATCTGAGTGTCACCTCAGTGTCACCTGTGTCACACCTGAATGTCACCTGTGTCACACCTGTGTCACCTGTGTCACCTGTGTCACACCTGTGTCACCTGTGTCACCTGTGTCACCTGTGTCACCTGTGTCACACCTGAATGTCACCTGAGTGTCACCTGTGCCACACCTGTGTCACCTGTGTCACACCTGTGTCACCTGTGTCACCTGAGTGTCACCTGTGTCACCTCTGTGTCACCTGTGTCACCCGAGTGTCACCTGTGTCACCGATGTCACCTCAATGTCACCGATGTCACCTCAGTGTCACCTGTGTCACCTTCTCTGTCACCTGAGTGTCACCTGTGTCACCTCAGTGTCACCGATGTCACCTGTGTCCCCTCAGTGTCCCCATCCCCCCAATGTCCCCAATGTCCCCATCCCCCCAATGTCCCCAATGTCTCCCCAGTGTCCCCAATGTCCCCAATGTCCCCAATGTCCCCAATGTCCCCAATGTCCCCCCAATGTCCCCAATGTCCCCAATGTCCCCAATGTCCCCAACGTCCCCAATGTCCCCAATGTCCCCAATGTCCCCAATGTCCCCCCAATGTCCCCAATGTCCCCAATGTCCCCCCAATGTCCCCAATGTCCCCAATGTCCCCCCAATCCCCCCCAATGTCCCCAATGTCCCCCAATGTCCCCAATGTCCCCCCAATGTCCCCAATGTCCCCAATGTCCCCCCAATGTCCCCAATGTCCCCCCAATGTCCCCAATGTCCCCAATGTCCCCAATGTCCCCCCAATGTCCCCAATGTCCCCAATGTCCCCAATGTCCCCCCAATGTCCCCCCAATGTCCCCAATGTCCCCAATGTCCCCAATGTCCCCAATGTCCCCAATGTCCCCAATGTCCCCCCAATGTCCCCAATGTCCCCAATGTCCCCAATGTCCCCAATGTCCCCAATGTCCCCAATGTCCCCAATCCCCCCGATGTCCCCGATGTCCCCAATGTCCCCAATGTCCCCAATGTCCCCAATGTCCCCAATGTCCCCATTAATGTCCCCAATGTCCCCAAGGCCAACGCCGCCATTCTCGTTGTCACCGTTTGGAAGTTGGTGGAGAAATTTCAGGAGATCAACGCGGACATGGGACACCTGCGACGGATCCGGTGGGGACATTGGGGACATTGGGGACATTGGGGGGACATTGGGGACATTGGGGACATTGGGGGGACATTGGGGACATTGGGGACATTGGGGACATTGGGGGGACATTGGGGACATTGGGGGGACATTGGGGACATTGGGGACATTGGGGACATTGGGGGGACATCGGGGACATTGGGGACATTGGGGGGATTGGGGACATTGGGGACATTGGGGACATTGGGGGGATTGGGGACATTGGGGGGACATTGGGGACATTGGGGACATTGGGGGGACATTGGGGACATTGGGGGGACATTGGGGACATTGGGGGGACATTGGGGACATTGGGGACATTGGGGACATTGGGGGGACATTGGGGACATTGGGGACATTGGGGACATTGGGGACATTGGGGACATTGGGGGGACATTGGGGACATTGGGGACATTGGGGGACATTGGGGACACTGGGGGGATTGGGGACATTGGGGGGACATTGGGGGACATTGGGGACATTGGGGACATTAATGGGGACATTGGGGACATTGGGGACATTGGGGGACATTGGGGACATTGGGGGGACATTGGGGACATGGGGGACATTGGGGACATTGGGGACATTGGGGGACATTGGGGACATTGGGGACATTGGGGACATTGGGGACATTGGGGGGACATTGGGGACATTGGGGACATTGGGGACATTGGGGGGATTGGGGACATTGGGGACATTGGGGGGACATTGGGGACATTGGGGACATTGGGGACATTGGGGACATTGGGGACATTGGGGACATTGGGGGGACATTGGGGACATTGGGGACATTGGGGACATTGGGGACATTGGGGGGACATTGGGGACATTGGGGACATTGGGGACATTGGGGACATTGGGGACATTGGGGGGATTGGGGGGATTGGGGACATTGGGGACATTGATGGGGACATTGGGGGGACATTGGGGACATTGGGGGGATTGGGGACATTGGGGGCATTGGGGACATTGGGGACATTGGGGACATTGGGGACATTGGGGACATTGGGGGGACATTGGGGACATTGGGGGGATTGGGGACATTGGGGACATTGGGGACATTAATGGGGACATTGGGGACATTGGGGACATTGGGGACATTGGGGACATTTGGGGACATTGGGGACATTAATGGGGACATTGGGGACATTGGGGACATTGGGGGGACATTGGGGGGACATTGGGGGGGATTGGGGACATTGGGGGGATTGGGGGGACATTGGGGACATTGGGGACATTGGGGGACATTAATGGGGACATTGGGGACATTGGGGACATTGGGGGGACATTGGGGGACATTGGGGACATTGGGGACATTGGGGGGACATTGGGGGGATTGGGGACATTGGGGACATTAATGGGGACATTGGGGACATTGGGGGGACATTGGGGACATTGGGGACATTGGGGGGACATTGGGGGGGATTGGGGACATTGGGGACATTAATGGGGACATTGGGGACATTGGGGACATTGAGGACATTGGGGACATTGGGGACAATGGGGACATTGGGGACATTGGGGGGACATTGGGGACATTAATGGGGACATTGGGGACATTGGGGACATTGGGGACATTGGGGACATTGGGGGGACATTGGGGACATTGGGGACATTGGGGACATTGGGGGACATTGGGGGGACATTGGGGGGACATTGGGGACATTGGGGACATTGGGGACATTGGGGACATTGGGGGGACATTGGGGACATTGGGGACATTGGGGACATTGGGGACATTGGGGGGACATTGGGGACATTGGGGACATTGGGGACATTGGGGACATTGGGGGACATTGGGGACATTGGGGACATTGGGGACATTGGGGAGACACTGGGGACATTGGGGACAATGGGGGGATTGGGGACATTGGGGACATTGGGGACATTGGGGACATTGGGGACATTGGGGGGACATTGGGGACATTGGGGACATTGGGGACATTGGGGACATTGGGGACATTGGGGACATTGGGGGGACATTGGGGACATTGGGGGGACATTGGGGACATTGGGGACATTGGGGGATTGGGGACATTGGGGACACTGAGGGGACATTGGGGGGATTGGGGACATTGGGGGGACATTGGGGACATTGGGGACATTGGGGACATTGGGGACATTGGGGACATTGGGGGGACATTGGGGACATTGGGGACATTGGGGACATTGGGGACATTGGGGACATTGGGGGGACATTGGGGACATTGGGGGGACATTGGGGACATTGGGGACATTGGGGACATTGGGGGCATTGGGGACATTGGGGACATTGGGGGGACATTGGGGACATTGGGGGGTGACACAGGTGTGACACAGGTGACACTCAGGTGACACAGGTGTGACACAGGTGACACTCAGGTGACACTCAGGTGACACTCAGGTGACACTTTGGTGTCCCCAGGGTGCTGCTGATGACGTCACTGGGCCAGCTGGCCCTGCTGGGCTCTGGTTGGTCCATCGGGTTGGGGGCGGGGCTTGGCTGGGCCGGGGGGGCGGGGCCTCCCCTCCCCCCTGGCTCCGCCCCCCCGCCCCTCCCCCTCCTCTTCTGCATCGTCAACGCCGCTCAGGGGCTGCTGATCTTCCTGTGCCACTGCCTGGGACACCCCAAGGTACCCAAAATACCCGAAATTCACCCCAAAAAATGGAATTGTCACCCCAAAAAACCCCAAAATCCAAAAAATCCCCACAAAAATACCCAAAATCCCCACAAAAATACCCAAATTGGGACCCAAAATGGGACCTAAATCCCCCCCAGCGCTGCTGATCTTCCTCTGCCACTGCCTGGGACACCCCAAGGTACCCAAAATACCCGAAATTCACCCCAAAAAATGGAATTGTCACCCCAAAAAACCCCAAAATCACAAAAATCCCCACAAAAATATCCAAAATCCCCACAAAAATACCCAAAATCCCCACAAAAATCCCCAAAATGGGAACCCAAATCCCCCCCAGGGCTGCTGATCTTCCTGTGCCACTGCCTGGGACACCCCAAGGTACCAAAATACCCGAAATTCACCCCAAAAAATGGATTCAGCACCATAAAAAACCCCAAAATCACAAAAATCCCCACAAAAATACCCAAAATCCCCACAAAAATACCCAAAATGGGACCCCAAATCCCCCCCAGCGCTGCTGATCTTCCTCTGCCACTGCCTGGGGCACCCCAAGGTACCCGAAATACCCGAAATTCACCCCAAAAAATGGATACAGCATCATAAAAAACCCCAAAATTACAAAAATCCCCACAAAAATACCCAAAATCCCAAAAAAACCCCACCCCAAAAACCTCCCCGGGACCCCCAAATCCCCCCCAGGGCTGCTGATCTTCCTGTGCCACTGCCTGGGACACCCCAAGGTACCAAAATACCCGAAATTCACCCCAAAAAATGGATAGAGCACCCCAAAAAACCCCAAAATCACAAAAATCCCCACAAATATATCCAAAATCCCCACAAAAATACCCAAAATCCCCACAAAAATACCCAAAATGGGACCCCAAATCCACCCCAAAATCCCCCCTTGGAGCCCCAAATTCCTGGGACACCCCAAGGTACCCAAAAACCTCGAAATTCACCCCAAAAACCCCAAAATTCACCCCAAAACCCCCAAAATTCACCCCAAAAATGGAATTGTCGCCCCAAAAAACCCAAAATCACAAAAATCCACCCAAAAATCCCCAAAATGGGCCCAAAATCTGCCCCAAAATCTTCCCCGGGACCCCCAAATCCCTGGGACACCCCAAGGTACCCAAAAACCCCAAAATTCACCCCAAAAACCCCAAAATTCACCCCAAAAACCCCAAAATTCACCCCAAAAATGGAATTGTCACCCCAAAAAAACCCAAAATCACAAAAATCCCCAAAAAAAATACCCAAAATGGGACCCAAAATCCACCCCAAAATCCCCCCTTGGACCCACAAATTCCTGGGACACCCCAAGGTACCCAAAATACCCGAAATTCACCCCAAAAAATGGAATTGTCACCCCGAAAAACCCCAAAATCACAAAAATCCCCACAAAAATACCCAAAATCCCAAAAAAACCCCACCCCAAAAACCTCCCCGGGACCCCCAAATCCCCCCCAGCGCTGCTGATCTTCCTCTGCCACTGCCTGGGACACCCCAAGGTACCCAAAAAACCCGAAATTCACCCCAAAAAATGGATACAGCATCATAAAAAACCCCAAAATCCAAAAAATCCCCACAAAAATATCCAAAATCCCCACAAAAATACCCAAATTGGGACCCAAAATGGGACCCCAATTCCCCCCCAGCGCTGCTGATCTTCCTGTGCCACTGCCTGGGACACCCCAAGGTACCAAAATACCCGAAATTAACCCCAAAAAATGGATACAGCATCATAAAAAACCCCAAAATTACAAAAATCCCCACAAAAATACCCAAAATCCCCACAAAAATACCCAAAATCCCCACAAAAATACCCAAAATGGGACCCAAAATCCACCCCAAAATCCCCCCTTGGACCCCCAAATCCCTGGGACACCCCAAGGTACCCAAAATCCCCGAAATTCACCCCAAAAAATGGAATTGTCACCCTAAAACCCCCAAAATTACAAAAATCCCCACAAAAATACCCAAAATCCCAAAAAAACCCACCCCAAAACCCTCCCCGGGACCCCCAAATCCCCCCCAGCGCTGCTGATCTTCCTCTGCCACTGCCTGGGACACCCCAAGGTACCCAAAAAACCCGAAATTCACCCCAAAAAATGGATACAGCACCCCAAAAAACCCCAAAATCCCAAAAATCCCCACAAAAATACCCAAAATCCCCACAAAAATACCCAAAATCCCCACAAAAATACCCAAAATCCCCACAAAAATACCCAAAATCCCCACAAAAATCACCAAAATGGGACCCAAAATCCGCCCCAAAATCCTCCCCGGGACCCCCAAATCCCTGGGACACCCCAAGGTACCCAAAATACCCGAAATTCACCCCAAAAAATGGATACAGCATCATAAAAAACCCCAAAATCACAAAAATCCCCACAAAAATATCCAAAATCCCCACAAAAATACCCAAAATCCCCACAAAAATACCCAAAATGGGACCCCAAATCCCCCCCAGCGCTGCTGATCTTCCTGTGCCACTGCCTGGGACACCCCAAGGTACCCAAAAAACCCGAAATTCACCCCAAAAAATGGAATTGTCACCCCCAAAAACCCCAAAATCACAAAAATCCCCACAAAAATACCCAAAATCCCCACAAAAATCCCCAAAATGGGACCCAAAATTCCCCCCCAGGGCTGCTGATCTTCCTGTGCCACTGCCTGGGACACCCCAAGGTACCAAAATACCCGAAATTCACCCCAAAAAATGGATACAGCATCATAAAAAACCCCAAAATCACAAAAATCCCCACAAAAATACCCAAAATCCCCACAAAAATACCCAAAATCCCCACAAAAATACCCAAAATGGGACCCCAAATCCCCCCCAGCGCTGCTGATCTTCCTCTGCCACTGCCTGGGACACCCCAAGGTACCAAAATACCCGAAATTCACCCCAAAAAATGGATAGAGCACCCCAAAAAACCCAAAAATCACAAAAATCCCCACAAAAATACCCAAAATCCCCACAAAAATACCCAAAATCCCCACAAAAATCCCCAAAATGGGACCCAAAATCCACCCCAAAATCCTCCCCGGGACCCCCAAATCCCTGGGACACCCCAAGGTACCCAAAATCCCCGAAATTCACCCCAAAACCCCAAAATTCACCCCAAAAACCCCAAAATACACCCCAAAAATGGAATTGTCGTCTTAAAAAACCCCAAAATCACAAAAATTCACCCCAAAAAACCCCAAAATATCCAAAATTCAAAAACGCCTAAAAAAGGGACCCAAAATACACCAAAACCACCCGAAAAAAAAAACCAAAATCCCCCCAAAAAAAACCCAAAATCCCAAAAAATTCCAAAATTGGGACCCAAAACCCCCAAAATTCCCCCCAAAAAATCCCAAATCCCAAAAAACTCCAAAATTGGGACCCAAAATCCCCAAAATTCCCCCCAAAAAACTCCCAAATTCCCCCAAAAAACTCCAAAATTGGGACCCAAAACCCCCAAAATTCCCCCCAAAAAATCCCAAATCCCAAAAAATTCCAAAATTGGGACCCAAAACCCCAAAATTCCCCCCAAAAATCCCAAATGCCAAAAAATTCCAAAATTGGGACCCAAAATCCCCAAAATCCCCCCAAAAAATCCCAAATCCCAAAAAACTCCAAAATTGGGACCCAAAACCCCCAAAATTCCCCCCAAAAACATCCCAAATGCCAAAAAAATCCAAAATTGGGACCCAAAACCCCCAAAATTCCCCCCAAAAAATCCCAAATCCCAAAAAATTCCAAAATTGGGACCCAAAATCCCCAAAATTCCCCCAAAAAATCCCAAATCCCAAAAAACTCCAAAATTGGGACCCAAAATCCCAAAATTCCCCCGAAAAAATCCCAAATCCCAAAAAATTCAAAATTGGGACCCAAAATTCCCCCCAAAAAAATCCCAAATCCCAAAAAACTCCAAAATTGGGACCCAAAACCCCCAAAATTCCCCCCAAAAAATCCCAAATCCCAAAAAACTCCAAAATTGGGACCCAAAATCCCCAAAATTCCCCCCAAAAAATCCGAAATCCCAAAAAATTCCAAAATTGGGACCCAAAACCCCCAAAATTCCCCCAAAAAATCCCAAATTTCCCCCAAAAAATCCACCCGGGATGTCAAAAACCCCAAAATTGACCCAAAAATTCCCCCAAAACTGGAACTGGGCCAAACTGGGCCATTCCCAGTTCAAACTGGGCCGTTCCCAGTTCAAACTGGGCCATTCCCAGTTCATACTGGGCCGTTCCCAGTTCAAACTGGGCCATTCCCAGTTCATACTGGGCCAATCCCAGTTCAAACTGGGCCATTCCCAGTTCAAACTGGGAGAGTCCCAGTTCAAACTGGGCCATTCCCAGTTCAAACTGGGCCATTCCCAGTTCAAACTGGGCCAATCCCAGTTCAAACTGGGCCATTCCCAGTTCAAACTGGGAGGGTTCTGTTCCAAACTGGGCCAATCCCAGTTTAAACTGGGCCGTTCCCAGTTCAAACTGGGCCAATCCCAGTTCAAACTGGGCCGTTCCCAGTTCAAACTGGGCCGTTCCCAGTTCATACTGGGCCATTCCCAGTTCAAACTGGGCCATTCCCAGTTCAAACTGGGCCATTCCCAGTTCAAACTGGGCCGTTCCCAGTTCAAACTGGGCCGTTCCCAGTTCAAACTGGGCCATTCCCAGTTCAAACTGGGCCAATCCCAGTTCAAACTGGGCCATTCCCAGTTCAAACTGGGCCGTTCCCAGTTCAAACTGGGCCATTCCCAGTTCAAACTGGGCCATTCCCAGTTCAAACCGTCCATTCCCAGTTCAAACTGGGCCATTCCCAGTTCAAACTGGGCCATTCCCAGTTCAAACTGGGCCGTTCCCAGTTCAAACTGGGCCGTTCCCAGTTCAAACTGGGCCGTTCCCAGTTCAAACTGGGCCGTTCCCAGTTCATACTGGGCCAATCCCAGTTCAAACTGGGCCATTCCCAGTTCAAACTGGGCCATTCCCAGTTCAAACTGGGCCGTTCCCAGTTCAAACTGGGAGGGTTCTGTTCCAAACTGGGCCGTTCCCAGTTCAAACTGGGCCATTCCCAGTTCAAACTGGGAGGGTTCTGTTCCAAACTGGGCCGTTCCCAGTTCAAACTGGGAGGGTTCTGTTCCAAACTGGGCCGTTCCCAGTTCAAACTGGGCCATTCCCAGTTCAAACTGGGCCATTCCCAGTTCATACTGGGCCATTCCCAGTTCAAACTGGGAGGGTTCTGTTCTAAACTGGGCCATTCCCAGTTCAAACTGGGCCATTCCCAGTTCAAACTGGGCCGTTCCCAGTTCAAACTGGGCCGATCCCAGTTCAAACTGGGCCGTTCCCAGTTCATACTGGGCCGTTCCCAGTCCAAACTGGGCCGTTCCCAGTTCAAACTGGGAGGGTTCTGTTCCAAACTGGGCCGTTCCCAGTTCAAACTGGGCCATTCCCAGTTCAAACTGGGCCATTCCCAGTTCAAACTGGGCCGTTCCCAGTTCAAACTGGGCCATTCCCAGTTCATACTGGGCCATTCCCAGTTCAAACTGGGCCATTCCCAGTTCAAACTGGGCCGTTCCCAGTTCAAACTGGGCCATTCCCAGTTCATACTGGGCCATTCCCAGTTCAAACTGGGCCATTCCCAGTTCAAACTGGGCCGTTCCCAGTTCAAACTGGGCCGTTCCCAGTTGCTCCCAGTTGCTCCCAGTTGCTCCCAGTCGCTCCCAGTTGCTCCCAGTTCATCCCAGTTCATCCCAGTCACTCCCAGTTCATCCCAGTCGCTCCCAGTTCATCCCAGTTCATCCCAGTCGCTCCCAGTTGCTCCCAGTTCATCCCAGTTGCTCCCAGTTGCTCCCAGTCGCTCCCAGTTCATCCCAGTTGCTCCCAGTTCATCCCAGTTGCTCCCAGTTCATCCCAGTTCATCCCAGTTGCTCCCAGTTGCTCCCAGTTGCTCCCAGTTCATCCCAGTTTGTTGCAGGTGCGGAACTGGTACCGGTCTCTGCTCTGCCCCCGACCCTACGCGGAGTTCACCAGTAACACCAGTAACACCAGTAACCAAACCAGTAACACCAGTACGGCCCGCGGGAGGGGCTCCCAGTTACACCAGTAACACCAGTAAGGGCAGGTGAGCGATCCCAGTAACACCAGTAACCAAACCAGTAACACCAGTAACACCAGTAACACCAGTAACCAAACCAGTTACACCAGTACGGCCCGTGGGAGGGGCTCCCAGTTACACCAGTAACACCAGTAACCAAACCAGTAACACCAGTAACACCAGTAACCAAACCAGTAACACCAGTACGGGCCGCAGGAGGGGCTCCCAGTTACACCAGTAACACCAGTAACACCAGTAAGGGCAGGTGAGCGATCCCAGTAATACCAGTAACCACACCAGTAACACCAGTAACCAAACCAGTAACACCAGTACGGCCCGCGGGAGGGGCTCCCAGTTACACCAGTAACACCAGTAACACCAGTAAGGGCAGGTGAGCAATCCCAGTAACACCAGTAACACCAGTAACCACACCAGTAACACCAGTAACACCAGTACGGCCCGCGGGAGGGGCTCCCAGTTACACCAGTAACACCAGTAAGGGCAGGTGAGCGATCCCAGTAACACCAGTAACACCAGTAACACCAGTAACACCAGTAACACCAGTAACCAAACCAGTAATACCAGTAACACCAGTAACCAAACCAGTAACACCAGTAACCACACCAGTAACACCAGTAACCCCTCCCAGTTACCCCAGTAACCCCTCCCAGTATAACCAGTAACCCCTCCCAGTATAACCAGTAACCCCTCCCAGTATAACCAGTAACCCCTCCCGGTATAACCAGTAACCCCTCCCAGTATCCCCAGTAACCCCTCCCAGTTATCCCAGTAACCCCTCCCAGTATAACCAGTGACCCCTCCCAGTATCCCCAGTAACCCCTCCCAGTTATCCCAGTAACCCCTCCCAGTATCCCCAGTAACCCCTCCCAGTATAACCAGTAACCCCTCCCAGTATCCCCAGTAACCCCTCCCAGTATCCCCAGTAACCCCTCCCAGTATAACCAGTAACCCCTCCCAGTATAACCAGTAACCCCTCCCAGTTATCCCAGTAACCCCTCCCAGTATAACCAGTAACCCCTCCCAGTATAACCAGTGACCCCTCCCAGTATAACCAGTAACCCCTCCCAGTATAACCAGTGACCCCTCCCAGTATAACCAGTGACCCCTCCCAGTATAACCAGTAACCCCTCCCAGTATAACCAGTAACCCCTCCCAGTATCCCCAGTAACCCCTCCCAGTATCCCCAGTAACCCCTCCCAGTATAACCAGTGACCCCTCCCAGTATCCCCAGTAACCCCTCCCAGTATCCCCAGTAACCCCTCCCAGTATAACCAGTGACCCCTCCCAGTATCCCCAGTAACCCCTCCCAGTATAACCAGTAACCCCTCCCAGTATCCCCAGTAACCCCTCCCAGTATAACCAGTAACCCCTCCCAGTATAACCAGTGACCCCTCCCAGTATCCCCAGTAACCCCTCCCAGTATAACCAGTAACCCCTCCCAGTATAACCAGTAACCCCTCCCAGTATAACCAGTAACCCCTCCCAGTTATCCCAGTAACCCCTCCCAGTATCCCCAGTAACCCCTCCCAGTATCCCCAGTAACCCCTCCCAGTATAACCAGTAACCCCTCCCAGTATAACCAGTAACCCCTCCCAGTATAACCAGTAACCCCTCCCAGTATCCCCAGTAACCCCTCCCAGTATAACCAGTAACCCCTCCCAGTATAACCAGTAACCCCTCCCAGTATCCCAGTAACCCCTCCCAGTATAACCAGTAACCCCTCCCAGTATCCCCAGTAACCCCTCCCAGTTATCCCAGTAACCCCTCCCAGTTATCCCAGTAACCCCTCCCAGTATAACCAGTAACCCCTCCCAGTATAACCAGTAACCCCTCCCAGTATCCCCAGTAACCCCTCCCAGTATAACCAGTAACCCCTCCCAGTATAACCAGTGACCCCTCCCAGTATAACCAGTAACCCCTCCCAGTATAACCAGTAACCCCTCCCAGTATCCCCAGTAACCCCTCCCAGTATAACCAGTATCCCTCCCAGTATAACCAGTAACCCCTCCCAGTATCCCCAGTAACCCCTCCCAGTATAACCAGTAACCCCTCCCAGTATAACCAGTAACCCCTCCCAGTATAACCAGTATCCCTCCCAGTATAACCAGTGACCCCTCCCAGTATAACCAGTAACCCCTCCCAGTATAACTAGTAACCCCTCCCAGTTATCCCAGTAACCCCTCCCAGTATAACCAGTAACCCCTCCCAGTTATCCCAGTAACCCCTCCCAGTATAACCAGTAACCCTTCCCAGTATAACCAGTAACCCCTCCCAGTATAACCAGTGACCCCTCCCAGTATAACCAGTAACCCCTCCCAGTATAACCAGTAACCCCTCCCAGTTATCCCAGTAACCCCTCCCAGTATAACCAGTAACCCCTCCCAGTATCCCCAGTAACCCCTCCCAGTATAACCAGTAACCCCTCCCAGTTATCCCAGTAACCCCTCCCAGTATAACCAGTAACCCTTCCCAGTATAACCAGTAACCCCTCCCAGTATAACCAGTGACCCCTCCCAGTATAACCAGTAACCCCTCCCAGTATAACCAGTAACCCCTCCCAGTTATCCCAGTAACCCCTCCCAGTATAACCAGTGACCCCTCCCAGTATCCCCAGTAACCCCTCCCAGTTATCCCAGTAACCCCTCCCAGTATAACCAGTAACCCCTCCCAGTATAACCAGTAACCCCTCCCAGTATAACCAGTAACCCCTCCCAGTATAACCAGTAACTCTTCCCCTCCCCCACAGGTGCCGAAAATTCCGGGAAAATCGGAAATTCCGGGAAAAGCGACGGAATTTTGGGAAAATCGTCACAATTTTGGGCAAATATTCGGAATTTTGGGGGAAATCTTTGGAATTTTGGGGCAAATCTTTGGAATTTTTGGAAATCTTTGGAATTTTGGGAAATCTTTGGAATTTTGGAGGAAATCTTTGGAATTTTGGGGGAAATCTTCAAAATTTTCGGAAAACCGATGGAATTTCAGGGAAATCTTTGGAATTTTGGGAAATCTTTGGAATTTTGGGGCAATTCTTCAATATTTTGGGAAAACCGATGGAATTTTGGGAAAATATATTGAATTTTTGGGCAAATATTTGGAATTTTTGGAAATCTTTGGAATTTCGGGGCAAATATTTGAAATTTGGGGGCAATTATTTGGAATTTTGGGGGAAATCTTCAGAATTTTCAGAAAACCGATGGAATTTCAGGGAAATCTTCGGAATTTTGGGGGAATCTTTGGAATTTTGGGATTTTTGCTGCCCTCCCCCACCCCGGGGAGATCAATAAAGGAAAGCGAGATCGGGTTTGGGGCGAATTCCCGGATTTTGGGGAAAATTCCCGAATTTTGGGGTGAATTCCTGGATTTTAGGGAAAATTCTGGAATTTTGGGGTAAATTCACGGATTTTGAGGAAAATTCTGGAATTTTGGGGTGAATTCCTTGGATTTTGGGGTGATTTTGGGGATTTTTGAGGTGAATTCCGGGGATTTTGGGGCAAATTCCTGAATTTTGGGGTGAATTCCTGGATTTTGGGGAAAATTTTGGAATTTCGGGGTGAATTCCTGGGATTTAGGGGTGATTTTGGGGATTTTTGAGGTGAATTCCGGGGATTTGGGGGCAAATTCCCGAATTTTGGGGCGAATTTCCGGATTTTGGGGAAAATTCTGGAATTTTGGGGTGAATTCCTTGGATTTTGGGGATTTTTGAGGTGAATTCCAGGGATTTTGGGGCAAATTCCCGAATTTTTGGGCAAATTCCCGAATTTTGAGGTTGAATTCCGGCAATTTTGGGGATTTTTAAATTTTTTTCTGATTTTTAAAATTTTTATTTCCAAAAATAAACTTTGAGCCGCGCCCCTCCCCCACCCCTCAGGGGGGACCACCCCCCAAAAAACCTCCCGGGACCCCCAAAATCCCCCCAAAACCCCCCCAGGGACCCCCAAAACCCTCCCAAAAATTACTCCAAATGGTCCAAATGAGCCCAAATTTTGAGGAGGGGTCCCCAAATTTTGGGAGGGGGGGGTCGCAGCCACTCTAAATTTGGGGAGGGGTCTCAGGTCAGCTTTTTCTCGAGGGGGGGTCACAGAGGGGGGGTCTCAACCCTTGTGGACCCCCCAAAAACCCCCCCAAAAACCCCCCAAAATTACTCCAAATGGTCCCAATGAGCCCCAAATTGTGGGGAGGGGGCCACAAATGAACCCCAAATTTTGGGGAGGGGGGGTCACAGCCACTCGAAATTTGGGGAGGGGTCTCAGGTGAGCCTTTTCTCGGGGGGGGGTCACAGAGGGGGGGTCTCAACCCATGTGAACCCCCCAAAAACCCCCCCAAAAACCCCCCAAAAATGACTCCCATGGTCCCATTGAGCCCCAAATTTTGAGGAGGGGTCCCCAAATTTTGGGGAGGGGGGGGTCACAGCCACTCGAAATTTGGGGAGGGGTCTCAGGTGAGTCTTTTCTCGAGGGGGGGTCACAGAGGGGGGGTCTCAGCCCTTCTGGACCCCCCCAAAAACGACTCCCACGACGTCTCCGGCGCCGCTGCCGAGCCCCGAATTGGGGTGGGGGTTTCGGTTGGGGGGGGGGGGGGTGCGGAATTTGGGGAGGGGGCTCAGATCAGCCGCTCCTCGGGGGGCAGCCGCAGGGGGGGGGGTCCCGGGGGGGCTCCCCGAGCGCCCCCCCCCAGCTCCTCGCGGCTGGGCCGGTAGGAACCTTCGGTGCGGCGCTTCTCCCGCAGCCGCAGCACCGCCAGGAGCAGCAGAGCCCCCAGACCCAAAGCCCCCAGACCCCCCAAAACCAGAGACAGAGCCAGCACCCCCTGAGCCTAAGGGAGGAGGGAACATTTAGAGCACAAAATCCAAGGAAAAAACATAAAAACAAAAAAAATCTCATTAAAAAACCCAAAATCCCCATTAAAAACCCATAAAAACCAAAAAAAATCCCATTAAAAACCCGTAAAAAACAAAAAAATCCCATTAAAAACCCATAGAAAACAAAAAAATTCCATTAAAAAAACCAAAATCCCCATAAAAATCCCGTAAATAACCCAAAATCCCCATTAAAAACCCCAAAAGTCCCGCTAAAAAATCCATAAAAACAAAGAATCCCCATAGAAACCCGTAAAAAACCCAAATCCCCATTAAAAACCTGTAAAAACCAAAAAGTCCCATTAAAAAACCCCCAAATCCCCATAAAAACCCCCCAAATGCCCAAGGACCCCCCCAGCAGCAGCAGAGCCCCCAGACCCAAAGCCCCCAGACCCCCCAAAACCAGAGACAGAGCCAGGACCCCCTGAGCCTGAGGGAGGAGGGAACGTTTAGAGCGTCAAATCCAAGGAAAAATTCCAAAATCCCCATAAAAATCCCGTAAAAATAAAAAAAATCCCATTAAAAACACGTAAAAAAAAACTCCCATTAAAAACACGTAAAACCCAAAAAAATCCCCATAAAAAAACCCAAAATCCCCATAGAAACCCGTAAAAACCCCAAATCCCCATTAAAAACTCCAAATTCCAGGACCCCCCAAATCCCCCCAAATCTCCCCCAAATCTCCCCAGGACCCCCCAAAATCTGCCCAGGACCCGCCAAATACCCCCCAAAATCCCCCCAGGACCCCCCAAAATCCCCTCAAATCCCCCCAAAATCCCCCCCAGATCCCCCCAGGACCCCCCAAACCTCCCCAGGACCCCCCAAAATCCTCCCAAATCCCCCCAAATCCCCAAAATCCCCCCAGGACCCCCCAAAACCTCCCCAGGACCCCCAAATCCTCCCCAAAGACCCCCCAAAATCCCCCCAGGACCCCCCAAAATCCCCCCAAATCCCCCCCAAGCTCACCCCAAATCCCCCCCAGGACCCCCCAAAATCCCCCCCAAATCCCCTCAGGACCCCCCAAAACCTCCCCAAGGACCCCCAAAATCCCCCCAGGACCCCCCAAATCTCCCCAAAATCCCCTCAGGACCCCCCAAACCCCCCCAGGACCCCCCAAATCCCCCCAAATCCCCCCACGACCCCCAAACCCCCCCAGGACCCCCCAAAATCCCCCCAAATCTCCCCAGGACCCCCAAAATCTCCCCAAATCCCCCCCAAAATCCTCCCAGGACCCCCCCAAAACCCACCCAGGACCCCCCAAAATCCCCTCAAATCCCCCCCAAGCTCACCCCAAACCTCCCCACGACCCCCCAAACCCCCCCAGGAGCCCCCAAATCCCCCCAGGACCCCCCAAACCCACCCAGGACCCCCCAAAATCTCCTCAAACCCCCCCAGGAGCCCCCAAATCCCCCCAGGACCCCCCAAACCCCCCCAAATCCCCCCCAAATCCCCCCCCCCCCACTGACCGAGAGCCCCCCCCCGGGCTGGGGGGCGGTGCCGTTCCCGGGGCCGTTACTGGTCAGACTGGGAGAGGCTGAGGGGGGGCGGGGGGGTCAGGGGGGATCCTGGACCCCCCAAATCCCCCCGGGACCCCCCAGGACCCCCCAAAATCCCCTCAAACCCCCCCAGGACCCCCCAAACCACCACCAGCACCCCCCAAATCCCCCCTGGACCCCCCAAAATCCCCCCCAGAGCCTCCAAAATCCCCCCCAACCCCTCCCAGGACCCCCAGATCCCCCCAAAACCCCCTCAGGACCCCCCAAAATTCCCCCAGAATTCCCAAAATCCTCCCCAGACCCCCCCAGGACCCCCCCAAACCCCACCAGACCCCTTCAAAATCCCCCCACGACCCCCCAAACCCCCCCAGACCCCCCCAGGACCCGCCAGATCCCCCAAAACCCCCCCAGGATATCCCCAAACTCCCCCAGCACCCCCCAAACCCCCCCAGGACCCCCCAAAATCCCCCCCCAGGACCCCCCAAAATTCCCCCAGACCCCCCAAAATCCCCCCCAGGCCCCTGCAAATCCCCCCAGGATCCCCCAAATCCCCCCAGGACCCCCCAAAATCCCCCCCAGACCCCCCCAGGACCCCCCAAACCCCCCCCCAGGACCCCGCAAATCCCCTCCAGACCCCCCAACATCCCCCCCAGAGCCTCCAAAATCCTCCCCAAATCCCCCCAGGTTCCCCCCAAATCCCCTCCAGGCCCCCCAACATCCCCCCCAAACCCCCCCCAGGACCCCCCAGACCCCCTCCAGACCCCCCAAAATCCCCCCCAGAGCCCCCAAAATCCCCCTCAGACCCCCCCAGGACCCCCCAAATTCCCCCCAACCCCCCCCAGGACCCCCCAAAATTCCCCCAAGATCCCCCCAAGTTCCAACCCAGGACCCCCCAAATCCCCCAAACCCCCCAAAATCCCCTCCAGACCCCCCCAAAATCCCCCCAGGACCCCCAAACCCCCCGACTCACTCTGGGCCAGGGCGAGGCAGGGCAGGGCCAGGGCCAGGCCCAGGGGGGGGGCGGCCATGGGGGGACCCCGAACCTGCGGGGGGACCCCAAAAGTGAAATGGGACCCCAAAAACTGAAACTGGGACCCCCAAACTGAAACTGGGACCCCGAAACCTGCGGGGGGACCCCAAAACTGAAATGGGATCCCCAAAAGTGAAATGGGACCCCAAAACTGAAATGGGACCCCAAAACTGAAACTGGGACCCCAAAATTGAAACTGGGACCCCCAAAACTGAAATGGGACCCCCAAAAACTGAAACTGGGACCCCAAACCTGCGGGGGGACCCCAAAAATGAAACTGGGACCCCAAAACTGAAACTGGGACCCCAAAAACTGAAATGGGACCCCAAAACCTGCGGGGGGACCCCAAAAACTGAAACGGGACCCCAAAACTGAAATGGGACCCCAAAAATGAAATGGGACCCCAAAAACTGAAACTGGGACCCCCAAACCTGTGGGGGGACCCCAAAAAACACAGCTGGGACCCCCCAAATTCACTCGGGACCCCCCAGAACTCACCTGGGACCCCCCAAATTCACCCGGGATCCCCCAAAACTCACCTGGAACCCCCAGAACTCACCTGGGGCCCCCCAGAACTCACCTGGGACCCCCCAAATCCACTCAGGACCCCCCCAGAACTCACCTGGGGCTCCCCAAAACTCACCTGGGGCCCCCCAGAACTCACCTGGGACCCCCCAGAACTCACCTGGGGCCCCCCAAAACTCACCTGGGGCCCCCCAGAACTCACCTGGGACCCCCAAAACTCACCTGGGACACCCCAAATCCACTCGGGAGTGCCCCAAACTCACCTGGGGCCCCCCAAAACTCACCTGGGACCCCCCAAATCCACTCGGGACACCCCAAAACTCACCTGGGCCCCCCAAAACTCACCTGGGTCCCCCCAAACCTCACCTGGGACACCCCAAAACTCACCTGGGACCCCCCAGACCTCACCTGAGACCCCCCAAAACTCACCTGGGCCCCCCCAAATCCACTCGGGACCCCCCAAATCTCACCTGGGCCCGCCCAGAACTCACCTGGGACCCCCCAAAACTCACCTGGGACACCCCAAAACTCACCTGGGACCCCCCAAAACTCACCTGGGACTCCCCAAATTCACTCGGGAGTGCCCCAAACTCACCTGGGGCCCCCCAAAACTCACCTGGGACACCCCAAAACTCACCTGGGGCCCCCCAAAACTCACCTGGGACTCCCCAAATTCACTCGGGAGTGCCCCAAACTCACCTGGGGCCCCCCAAAACTCACCTGGGACCCCCCAAATTCACTCGGGACCCCCCCAGAACTCACCTGGGACCCCCCAAATTCACCTGGGGCCCCCCAAAACTGACTTGGGGCCCCCCAAAACTCACCTGGGACCCCCCAAATTCACCTGGGACCCCCCAAAACCCACCTGGGACCCCCCAGAACTCACCTGGGACCCCCCAAACTCACTCAGGACCCCCCAGAACTCACCTGGGACCCCCCAAAACTCACCTGGGCCCCCCAAAACTCACCTGGGCCCCCCCAGAACTCACCTGGGACCCCCCAAAACTCACCTGGGACCCCCAGAACTCACCAGAGACACCCCAAAACTCACCTGGGCCCCCCCAGAACTCACCTGGGACACCCCAAATTCACCTGGGACCCCCCTAAATCCATCCGGGACCCCCCAGAACTCACCCGGGACCCCCCAGAACTCACCTGGGGCCCCCAAAACTCACCTGGGACCCCCCAAAACTCACCTGAGACCCCCCAAAACTCACCTGGGACCCCCCAAAACTCACCTGGGACACCCCAGAACTGACCTGGGGCCCCCCAGAACTCACCTGGGACCCCCCAAAACTCACCTGGGACCCCCCAAATTCACTCAGGACCCCCCAGAACTCACCTGGGACCCCCCAAAACTCACCTGGGACCCCCCAAATTCACTCAGGACCCCCCAAAACTCACCTGGGACCCCCCAGAACTCACCTGGGACCCCCCAAATCCACTCTGGACCCCCCAAAACTGACCTGGGCCCCCCCAAAACTGACCTGGGCCCCCCCAAAACTCACCTGGGACCCCCCAAAACTCACCTGGGACCCCCCAAAACTCACCCAGGACCCCCCAAATTCACTCGGGAGTGCCCCAAACTCACCTGGGGCCCCCCAAACCTCACCTGGGACCCCCCAAAACTCACCTGGGATCCCCCAAAACTCACCTGGGGCCCCCCAGAACTGACCTGGGAGCCCCAAAACTCACCTGGGACCCCCCAGAACTCACCCGGGACCCCCCAGAACTCACCTGGGGCCCCCCAAATCTCACCTGGGACGCCCCAGACCTCACCTGGGACCCCCCAGAACTCACCTGGGACCCCCCAAAACTCACCTGGGACCCCCCAAACTCACCTGGGGCCCCTCAAAACTCACCTGGGACCCCCAAAACTCACCTGGGACCCCCCAGAACTCACCTGGGACCCCCCAAATTCACTCAGGACCCCCCAGAACTCACCTGGGCCCCCCCAGAACTCACCTGGAGCACCCCAAAATTCACCTGGGACCCCCAAATTCACTCGGGAGTGCCCCAAAACTGACCTGGGACCCCCAAAACTCACCTGGGACCCCCCAGAACTCACCTGGGACCCCCCAAAACTGACCAGGGACCCCCCAGAACTCACCTGGGACCCCCCAGAACTCACCTGGGACCCCCCAAATTCACCTGGGACCCCCCAGAACTCACCTGGGACCCCCCAAATCCACTCGGGACCCCCCAAACTCACCTGGGACCCCCCAAAACTCACCTGGGACCCCCCAAAACTCACCTGAGACCCCCCAAATCCACTCGGGACCCCCCAGATCTCACCTGGGACCCCCCAAAACTCACCTGGGACCCCCCAAATACACTCGGGAGTGCCCCAAACTCACCTGGGACCCCCCAGAACTCACCTGGGGCCCCCCAAAACTCACCCGGGACCCCCCAAATCTCACCCGGGACCCCCCAAATCTCACCTGGGACCCCCCAAATCTCACCTGGGACCCCCCAAACTCACCTGGGACCCCCCCAAAACTCACCTGGGACCCCCCAGAACTCACCTGGGACCCCCCAAATTCACCTGGGACCCCCCAGAACTCACCTGGGACCCCCCAGAACTCACCTGGGGGACCCCAAAACTCACCTGGGGCCCCCCAGAACTCACCTGGGACCCCCCAAATTCACCTGGGACCCCCCAGAACTCACCTGGGACCCCCCAAAACTCACCTGGGACCCCCCAGAACTCACCTGGGGGACCCCAAAACTCACCTGGGGCCCCCCAGAACTCACCTGGGACCCCCCAAATTCACCTGGGACCCCCCAAAACTCACCTGGGGCCCTCCAGAACTCACCTGGGACCCCCCAAAACTCACCTGGGACCCCCCGGCCGCAGCCGGGCCCCGCCCACCCCCCCCGCGAACCCCCAAACCCCCCCTGGCCCCGCCCCCCGACCCCTCCCCAGGACCCCCCGACCCCCCCAAACCCCCCCCGGGACCCCCAAAACCCCCCCCGGGCCCCTCCCCCACCCCCCCCTCACCTGTCCCGCGCCCTTCGCCACTTCCGGGTCCTCCCGAGGCCCCGCCCCCGGCACGTGACGCGCAACGGCCACGCCCACCGCACCTGAGCCGGGCCACGCCCACACCTGCAAGGAGCCACGCCCCTTTTGAGTAAACCACGCCCATTTTCGGTCCGAGGCCACGCCCACGATGACGTTATGGGAATCGCGCGCTTCCGTAAATTGTGGTGACGTCATTTTGAAGCCACGCCCCCTCTGTGAAATGGATTACGTCATTGTTTCGCTCCGCCCCGCGCATGCGCGCGGAGCCCAAAGCGGCTCCGACCCCCAAATTTGGGGAAACGACCCCAAAAATGACCCCAAAAATGACCCCAAAAATGAACCCGAAAATGACCCCAAAAATGACCCCAAAAATGGGAAATGCCAAAAATGGGAAATGCCAAAAATGGGAAAACCTAAAAAATGACCCCAAAAATGACCCCAAAAATGGGAAATCCCAAAAATGACCCCAAAAATGACCCCAAAAATGACCCCAAAAATGGGAAATGCCAAAAATGGGAAATGCCAAAAATGGGAAACCCCAAAAATGGGAAATCCCAAAAATGACCCCGAAAATGACCCCGAAAATGACCCCAAAAATGGGAAATGCCAAAAATGGGAAATGCCAAAAATGGGAAAACGTAAAAAATGACCCCAAAAATGACCCCAAAAATAAACCCAAAAATGACCCCAAAAATGGGAAACCCCAAAAAATGGGAAATCCCAAAAAATTGAGAACCCCAAAATACGGAAACCCCAAAAAATGGGAAATCCCAAAAAATTGAGAACCCCAAAAATGGGAAACCCCAAAAATGAACCCAAAAAGGGACCCCAAAAATGGGAAATCCCAAAATGAACCAAAAAAGGGACCCCAGAAATGGGAAATCCTAAAGGGGACCCCAAAAATGAGCCCAAAAATGGGACCCCGAAATCGGGAAACCCCAAAAATGAACCCAAAAAGGGACCCCGAAAATGGGAAATTCTAAAAGGGACCCCAAAAATGACCCCGAAAATCGGGAAACCCCAAAAATGAACCAAAAATGGGACCCCGAAAATGAGAAATCCTAATCCGGGGTCATTTTTGGGGTCCCATTTTTGGGGTTTCCCGATTTTGGGGTCCCTTTTTCGGTTCATTTTTGGGGTTTCGCGATTTTCGGGGTCATTTTTGGGGTCCCTTTTTGGGATTTCCCATTTTCGGGGTCCCTTTTTGGGATAATTTTTGGAGTTTCCCATTTTTGGGGTCCCTTTTCGGGTTCATTTTTGGGGTTTCTCATTTTTGGGGTTTCTCATTTTTGGGGTCCCATTTTTAGGATTTCCCATTTTTTGGGTTCATTTTTAGTATTTCTCATTTTCGGGGTCCCTTTTTGGTTTCATTTTTGGGTTTTTCCCATTTTTGGGGTCCCATTTTTGGGGTCCCATTTAGGATTTCTCATTTCTGGGGTCCCTTTTCGGGTTCATTTTTGGGGTTTCTCATTTTTGGGGTCCCATTTTTGGGGTCCCCTTTAGGATTTCCCATTTTTGGGGTCCCATTTTTAGGATTTCCCATTTTCGGGGTCCCATTTTTAGGATTTCCCATTTTTTGGGCTCATTTTTGGGTTTTTCCCATTTTCTGGGTCCCTTTTTTGGGTTCATTTTTAGGATTTCTCATTTTCGGGGTCCCATTTTGGGTTCATTTTTGGGATTTTCCCATTTCCGGTGTCATTTTTTGGTCCATTTTTAGGATTTCCCATTTTCGGGGTCCCATTTTTGGTTCATTTTTGGGGTCCCCTCCCCCCTCCCCCCCCGGTGCCGCAGTGGGGGGGTGGCCGTGGGGTGGGGGAGGGGCGCGGCCGCCGCAGCCAATCAGCGCTCGCCGCCCCTCCCCCCCCCGCAGTGTCGCGATCTCTGTCGCGACATCGCCGCCGCCCCCCGCAGCTCCGGGTGGGTCGGGGGGGGGGCCCCAAAATTTTGGGGGGGTGGGGGGGGGTCCAAGAGGCCCGAGGGGGGGGGAGGGGCGGGGGGCGGAGCCGATTTTTTTTATTTGGGGAGGGGGGGGAGGGGGGAGCCGATTTTGGGGGGTTTTGGGGGGTCTCAGGTGAGCGGGGGCGATTTTTGGGGGGGTCCCGGGGGGATTTTGGGGGTCCCGGGGGTATTTGGGGGTTTGGGGGGGTCCCGGAGGTTTTTGGGGTCCATTTTTGGGGGGATCGGGAGGATTTTGGGGGGCTCGGGGGGATTTTGGGGGGGTCCCGGGAGGATTTTGGGGTTTGGGGGGGGTCCCGGAGGTTTTTGGGGTCCATTTTTGGGGGGTCCGGGAGGATTTTGGGGGTTTCGGGGGGATTTTGGGGGGATTTTGGGGGAATGTTGAGGGGTTCGAGGGGTTTTGGGGGGCTCGGGGGGATTTTGGGGGATTTTGGGGGGGATTTTGGGGTTTGGGGGGTCCAGGGGTTTTTGGGGTCCCTTTTTGGGGGTTTCGGGGGGATTTTGGGAGGATTTTGGGGAGGATTTTGGGGGGTTCGAGGGGATTTTGGGGGGAATTTGGGGGTCCCACCTCTCCGGGAGTTAATTTGGGGGGGGTCCCCCATTTTTGGGAAGATTTGGGGGATTTTGGGGGGTCCGGGGCCGTTTTTGGGGGGTGGGGGCGGCTCTGACCCCCCGTTTTTGCCCCCCCAGGTGTTCTCGGAGCCCCCCCCAGCCCCGGGTGGGGTTTTTGGGGGGTTTTTGGGGGGTTTTTGGGGGTTTTTGGGGGGTTTTTGGGGGTCCCCCCCAGCCATGGCCCCCCCCCGGCAGGACAAGCGCGGCTCCATCGTCCCCTTCGTGCTGCTGGTGGAGGTGAGGGGACCCCAAAAATCGAGGGGGGGGGACCCCAAAAATCCCCCGGGGGCACCCCAAAAATGCCCCGGAGAGAGACCCCAAAAATCGAGGGGAGGAACCCCAAAAATCGAGGGGGGAACCCCAAAATCCACCCGGGGGGGGCTCAAAATCAGTCCCGGGGGAGACCCCAAAATCCACTGGGGGGGACCCCAAAAATCCACCCGGAGGGGACCCCAAAATCCATCCAGGGAGGGCCCCAAAAATCGAGGGGGGAACCCCAAAAATCCCTCGAGGGGGAGACCCCAAAAATCCCCCGGGGGCACCCCAAAAATCGCCGAGGGGGGGACCCCAAAAATCCACCCGGGGTGACCCCAAAATCAGCCCTGGGGGGAACCCCAAAATCCATCCGGGCGACCCCAAAAATCGAGGGGGGGAACCCCAAAATCAGCCCTGGAGGACCCCAAAATCTACAGGGGGGGGACCCCAAAATCCACCCGGGGAGGGCCCAAAAATCGAGGGGGGACCCCAAAAATCCCTCGAGGGAAGACCCCAAAATCTATCCCGGGAGGACCCCAAAAATCGAGGGGGGGACCCCAAAATCCACCCGGGGGGGGCCTCAAAATCAGTCCCGGGGGAACCCCAAAATCCACCCGGAGAGGACCCCAAAAATCCCCCGGGGGAGGCCCCAAAAATCGAGGGGGGAACCCCAAAAATCGCGGGGTGGGAGCCCCAAAAATCCCCCGGGGGCACCCCAAAAATCGCCGAGGGGGGACCCCAAAAATCCCGAGGGGGAGACCCCAAAAATCCCCCGGAGAGAGACCCCAAAAATCGAGGGGGGAACCCCAAAATCAGCCCAGGGAGGGCCCCAAAAATCGAGGGGGTGACCCCAAAATCAGCCCTGGGGGGACCCCAAAATCAGCGCGGGAGGACCCCAAAATCAGCCCTGGAGGGACCCCAAAATCCACCCGGAGAGAGACCCCAAAATCTATCCCGGGAGGACCCCAAAATCTACAGGGGGGAACCCCAAAATCCACCCGGGGAGGGCCCCAAAATCGAGGGGGGGACCTCAAAAACAGCCCCCAAAAATTGAGGGGGGGTCCGGGCGGTCACTCTGAATTTTGGGGTGACCCCGACCCCCCCCAGGTGGGGATTTTGGGGGGCTCTGACCCTGTTTGGGGGTTCTGAGCCGGATTTGGGGGGGATTTTGGGGGAGGATTTTTGGGAAGGATTTTTGAGGAGGATTTTGGGGGGATTTGGGGGGATTTTGGGGGGAATTTTGGGGAGGACTTTGGGGTGATTTGGGGAGGATTTTGGGGGGATTTTTTGGGGAAATTGGTGGATTTTGGGGGTTCTGAGCCGGATTTTGGGGGAATTTTGGGGGGTTTTTTGGGTTTTGGGGGGGTTTTTGGGGTCCTGTGGGGTCTGGGGGGGTCACTCTGAATTTTGGGGTGACCCCGCCCCCCCAGCTGGGGATTTTGGGGGGATTTTTTTTGGGAAATTGGTGGATTTTGGGGGGATTTTGGGGGTTTTGAGCTGGATTTTGTGTGAATTTTGGAGGTTTTTTGGGGGGGTTTTGGGGTTTTTTGGGGGGATTTTGGGGGTCTATCTGATCCGGGGGGTCACTCTGAATTTCGGGGTGCCCCCGCCCCCCCAGCTGGGGATTTTGGGGGGATTTTTGGGGAATTTTGGGGGGATTTTGGGGGTTTTGAGCCGGATTTTGTGTGAATTTTGGAGGTTTTTTTGGGGGTTTTGGGGTTTTTTGGGGGGATTTCGGGGTCCTGTCAGATCCGGGGGGTCACTCTGAATTTCGGGGTGCCCCCGCCCCCCCAGCTGGGCATTTTGGGGGGCTCTGACCCTGTTTTGGGGGTTCTGAGCCGGATTTTGGGGGTTCTGAGCCGGATTTTGGGGGAATTTTGGGTTTTTTGGGGGTTTTTGGGGGGTTTTGGGGTCCTGTCAGATCTGGGGGTTCACTCTGAATTTTGGGGTGCCCCCGCCCCCCCAGCTGGGGATTTTGGGGGGATTTTTGGGGATTTCGGGGGATTTTGGGGGGATTTTGAGGAATTTTGAGGGGATTTTGGGGGTTTTGGGGTTCACAGCCCCCCAGCTCTTTGGGGGGGGGGTCCGGGCGGTCACTCTGAATTTCGGGGTGCCCCCGCCCCCCCAGCTGGGGATTTTGGGGGGCACGGCCGCCTTGGCCTACCAGCTGGAGTTCACCGACGCCTTCCCGGTGCACTTTGGGGGGTTCTTCTGCCGGGACCCCGATTTTGGGCGGCCCGACCCGGGACCCCCCGCGCTGAGCCGCGCCCCCCCCGCGCTGGTCTATGCGCTGGTCACGGCCGTGCCCGCCGCCACCGTGAGTGGGGGTCCGGGGGGATTTTGGGGGGTCCTGGGGCATTTTGGGGGGTCCTGGGGGGAGTAAATTGGGGTTTGGGGGGTCCTGAGGGGGTTAAAATGGGGTTTGGGGGGGGCAAAATGGGATTTGGGTGGTCCTGGGGGGGATTTGGGGGGTCCTGGGGGGGATTTGGGGGGTCCTGGGGGGAGTAAATTGGGGTTTGGGGGGGCCTGGGGGGGGATATGGGGTCCAAAAGGGGTTTGGGGGGGCCTGGGGGGATTAAAATGAGGTTTGGGGGGGTCAAAATGGGCTTTGGGGGGGCCTGGGGGGATCAGAAAGGGGATTTGGGGGGGTTAATAGGGGGTTTGGGGGGGTTAAAAGGGGGTTTTGGGGGTTTTGGGGGAGTTAAAATGGGGTTTGGGGGGTCCTGGGGGAGTCCTGGGGGGGATTTGGGGGGTTCTGGGGGGGATTTGGGGGGTTCTGGGGGGGTTAAAATGGGGCTTTGGGGGGGTCCTGGGGGGTTTTCGGGGGATCCTGAGGGGGGGAAAATGGGGTTTGGGGGGTTAAAATGGGGGTTGGGGGGTCCTGGGGGGCTTTTGGGGGGTCGTGGGGGGGAGGAAATGGGGTTTTTGGGGGGTCCTGGGGGGGTTAAAATGGGGTTTGGGGGGGTTAAAAGGGGGTTTTGGGGGGTCCTGGGGGGGTTTGGGGGGTTACAAAGAGGTTTTGGTGGAGTTTTGGGGGGATTTTTGGGGTTTTTTGGAGGGATTTTTGGGGGTTTTTTTGGTTTTTTTTGGGGTGTTTTTCGTGTTTTCGGGGTCCCTGACAGCCCCTCCCCCCAGATGGCGCTGGGGGAGCTCCTGGGCCGTTTGGGGGGGTCCCGGAGGGGTCGCGCCCCCCCCCAGCGCGGGGCCGTGGGGCGGCTGCTGCGGTTCCTCGGTGAGGAGGGGCTGGGGGGATTTGGGGGGATTTTGGGGGGATTTTGGGGGATTTGGGGGGATTTGGGGGGATTTGGGGGGATTTTGGGGGGATTTGGGGAGTTTGGGGGGATTTGGGGGATTTGGGGGGATTTGAGGGGGGTTTGGGGGATTTGGGGGGATTTGGGGGGTCCTGGGGGGATTTGGGGGGATTTTGGGGGGATTTGGGGGGATTTTGGGGGGATTTGGGGGGATTTAGGGAGGATTGGGGGGGATTTGGGGGGATTTGGGGAATTTGGGGGGATTTGGGGGGATTTTGGGGGATTTGGGGGGGTTTTGGGGGGATTTGGGGGGATTTGGGGGGGATTTGGGGGGATTTGGGGGGATTTGGGGGGATTTGGGGGGATTTTGGGGGGATTTGGGGGGATTTGGGGAGTTTAGGGGGGGCTGGAGGGGATTTGGGGGATTTGGGGGGATTTGGGGGATTTTGGGGGGATTTGGGGGGATTTGGGGAGTTTAGGGGGGTCTGGAGGGGATTTGGGGGATTTGGGGGGATTTGGGGGGATTTTGGGGGGATTTGGGGGGATTTGGAAGGATTTGGGGGAGGATTTGGGGGGATTTGGGGGATTTTGGGGGGGATTTGGGGGGATTTTGGGGGATTTGGGGGGATTTTGGGGGGATTTGGGGAGATTTTGGGGGATTTGGGGGGATTTGGGGGATTTGGGGGGATTTGGGGGGATTTGGGGGGATTTGGGGGGGATTTGGGGGGTTTGGGGGAGATTTTGGGGGGATTTTTGGGGGATTTTGGGGGATTTTGGGGGGATTTGGGGGGGATTTGGGGGGATTTGGGGGGATTTGGGGGGGATTTGGGGGGTTTTGGGGGGAATTTTTGGGGGGATTTGGGGAGTTTGGGGGGATTTGGGGGGATTTGGGGGGATTTGAGGGGGGTTTGGGGGGATTTGGGGGGATTTGGGGGGTCCTGGGGGGGATTTGGGGGGATTTTGGGGGATTTGGGGGGATTTTGGGGGGATTTGGGGGGATTTAGGGAGGATTGGGGGGGATTTGGGGGGATTTGGGGAATTTGGGGGGATTTGGGGGGATTTTGGGGGATTTGGGGGGATTTTGGGGGGATTTGGGGGATTTGGGGGGATTTGGGGGGATTTGGGGGATTTGGGGGGGATTTGGGGGGATTTTGGGGGATTTGGGGGGATTTGGGGAGTTTAGGGGGGTCTGGAGGGGATTTGGGGGATTTGGGGGGATTTGGGGGATTTTGGGGGGATTTGGGGGGATTTGGGGAGTTTAGGGGGGTCTGGAGGGGATTTGGGGGATTTGGGGGGATTTGGGGGGATTTTGGGGGATTTGGGGGGATTTGGAAGGATTTGGGGGAGGATTTGGGGGGGATTTGGGGGGATTTTGGGGGGATTTGGGGGGATTTTGGGGGGATTTGGGGGGATTTTGGGGGGATTTGGGGAGATTTTGGGGGATTTGGGGGGATTTGGGGGATTTGGGGGATTTGGGGGGATTTGGGGGGATTTGGGGGGATTTGGGGGTTTGGGGGGGATTTTGGGGGGATTTTGGGGATTTTGGGGGATTTTGGGGGGATTTGGGGGGGATTTGGGGGGATTTGGGGGATTTGGGGGGGGATATGGGGGGGGATTTGGGGGATTTGGGGGGATTTTGGGGGGATTTGGGGAATTTGGGGGGGATTTGGTGGACACAAGGGGATTTGGGGGGATTTGAGGGGGTTTGGGGGGATTTGGGGGGATTTGGGGGTCCTGGGGGGGATTTGGGGGGATTTTGGGGGGATTTGGGGGGATTTTGGGGGGATTTGGGGGGATTTAGGGAGGATTGGGGGGGATTTGGGGGGATTTGGGGGATGTGGGGGGATTTGGGGGATTTTGGGGGATTTGGGGGATTTTGGGGGGATTTGGGGGGATTTGGGGGGGATTTGGGGGATTTGGGGGGATTTGGGGGGATTTGGGGGATTTGGGGGATTTGGGGGGATTTGGGGGGATTTGGGGGGATTTTGGAAGAATTTGGGGGGATTTGGGGGGATTTGGGGGGATTTGGGGGGATTTGGGGGATTTGGGGGGATTTGGGGGTTTGGGGGGATTTGGGGGGTTTAGGGGGGTCTGGGGGGGATTTTGGGGGCTTTTGGGGGGGTCTGGGGGGGATTTGGGGGAAACTTGGGGGGATTTTGGGGAGTTTTGGGGAGTTTAGGGGGTCTGGAGAGGATTTGGGGGGATTTGGGCGGGATTTGGGGGGCATTTACCCCCGAAAATCCCATTTCACCCCCAAAAATCCCATTTTCCCCCCAAATTTCCCCCTAAAAAAATCCCATTTCGCCCCCAAATTCCCCATTTTTCACCCCAAACACCCTCAAAAATCCCATTTTTCACCCCAAAATTCCCCCCGAAAATCCCATTTTCACCCCCCAAAATCCCCTTTTTTACCAAAAATCCCATTTTTTACCCCAAATCCCTCCAAAAATCCCATTTTTTACCAAAATCCCCCTTTTTCGCCCCAAATTTCCCACCCAGGCGTGTTCTCCTTCGGCCTGCTGACCCCAAAACCCCCTTTTTACCACCCAAAAACCCCCAAATTTCCCCCAAATCCCCCCCAAAAGTCCCATTTTTCACCCCAATTTATCCCAAAAATCCCATTTTTTACCCCATTTTTGACCAAAATCCCCCTTTTTCGCCCCAAATTTCCCCCCAGGCGTGTTCTCCTTCGGCCTTTTGGCCCCAAAACCCCCTTTTAACCCCCCAAAAACCCCCAAATTTCCCCCAAATCCCCCCCAAAAATCCCATTTTTCACCCCAATTTATCCCCAAAATCCCATTTTTTACCCCATTTTTGACCAAAATCCCCCTTTTTCGCCCCAAATTTCCCCCCAGGCGTGTTCTCCTTCGGCCTTTTGGCCACCGCCATCTTCGCCAACGCGGTTCAGGTGGTCTTGGGGACCCCCTCCCCACATTTCCTCGCGGTCTGCCGCCCCAACTACAGCGCGCTGGGCTGCGCCGAGACCCCTCCCCAAATTCAGATTCAGACCCCGCCCCAAATGGAGACCCCGCCCCAAATGGAGACCCCGCCCCAAATTGAGACCCCGCCCCAAATTCAAATTGAGACCCCTCCCCAAATTCAGACCGCGCCCCAAATTCAGACCCCGCCCCAAATTCCGGCTCCCGGTCCCGCCGCGCCCCCTCCCCAAATTCAGACCCCGCCCCGATCCGCGCCCCCTCCCCAAATTCAGACCCCCGGTCTCCCCGCGCCCCCTCCCCAATTTGCGGCTCTTTCCCGATCGGGACCCCCTCCCCAATTCTCGTCCCATTCCCGGTCCGCGCCCCCTCCCCAAAACTCATCTCCTGACCGACCCGCGCCCCCTCCCCAATTTGGGGTCCCCGGACCCGTCGCGTCCTCGTCCAGGTCCGCGCCCCCTCCCCAATTTGAAACCCGCGGTCGTGCCGCGCCCCCTCCCCAATTTGGAGTCCCCGGTCCTGCTGCGCCCCTTCCCCAGTCCGCGCCCCCTGCCCAACCCGCGCCCCCTCCCCAATTCTCGTCCCATTCCCGACCCGCGCCCCCTCCCCAATTTGAAACCCGCGGTCGTGCTGCGCCCCCTCCCCAATTTTCGTCCTATTCCCGGTCCGCGCCCCCTCCCCAAGCTGTGCCCCCTCCCCAATTTGGAGTACCCGGTCCCGCCGCGCCCCCTGCCCAGCCCGCGCCCCTTCCCCAATTTGAAGCCCGCGGTCGTGCCGCGCCCCCTCCCCAATTTGGAGTTCCCGATCCTGCTGCGCCCCTTCCCCAGTCCGCGCCCCCTCCCCAGTTTGAAACCCGCGGTCGTGCTGCGCCCCCTCCCCAGTTCGGATCCCCCGGTCCCGCTGCGCCCCCTCCCCAATTCTCGTCCCATTCCCGGTCCGCGCCCCCTCCCCAAGCCGCGCCCCCTCCCCAATTTGGAGTTCCCGGTCGCGCCGCGCCCCTTCCCCAGTCCGCGCCCCCTCCCCAATTCTCACCACGTTCCCGGTCCGCGCCCCCTCCCCAATTTGGAGTCCCCGGTGCCGCGCCCCCTCCCCAATTTGAAACCCGCGGTCGTGCTGCGCCCCCTCCCCAATTTTCGTCCTATTCTCGGTCCGCGTCCCCTCCCCAAGCCGCGCCCCCTCCCCAAATTGGAGTCCCCGGTCCCGCTGCGCCCCTTCCCCAGTCCGCGCCCCCTCCCCAGTCCGCGCCCCCTCCCCAATTCGACACTCGCGGTCCCGCCGCGCCCCCTGCCCAGCCCCGTTTCGCGCCCCCTCCCCGTTTCACGCCCCCTCCCCAATTCGTGCCCGCGGGGGTCTCCGCCTGTTCCGGCCCCGCTCCCGCCGTGGCCGCCGCGCGCCGCGACGTTCCGTGCAAGGAGGCGGCGCTGGGCGCGTACGCGGGCGCGTTCGCCGGGGTGAGATTTGGGGGGAAATTCCGGGATTTTGGGGGTTTTGGGGGTTTATTTCGGGTTATTTGGGATTTTGGGTATTTTTTAGGGTTTTTTTTGGGTTTTTTTGGGGGTTATTTGGGGTTATTTTGGGTATTTTTGGGGTTTATTTGGGGTTTGGGAGCCACCGCGGGCGCGTTCGCCGGGGTGAGATTTGGGGCGAATTCCCCCGATTTTGGGGCTTTTGGGGGTTTATTTCGGGTTATTTGGGGTTTATTTCGTTTTTTGGGGTTTTTTTCCGGGTTATTTGGGGGTTTTTAGCGGTTTTGGGGGGGTTTATTTGGGGTTATTTGGGCGCTGGGCGCGTACGCGGGGGCGTTCGCCGGGGTGAGATTTGGGGGGAAATTCGGGCATTTTGGGGCTTTTTGGGGTTTTTTGGAGTTTTTGGGGGTTTATTTCATTTTTTTCGGGGGTTTTTTGGGAGTTATTTGGGGTTATTTGGGGTATTTTTAGGGTTATTTGGGGTTTTGGAGCCACCGCGGGCGCGTTCGCCGGGGTGAGATTTGGGGTCCCGTCTGGCCAAACCCGCGGCGGTTTTGGGGTTATTTTGGGTTTTTCGGGGGATTTTGGGGTTATTTTGGGGTTTTTTTTTTGGGGGGGGGTTGAAGTGGTTTTTTTTGGGTTTTCGGGGTGGTTTTTGGGTTTGGGGTTTTCGGGGTGGTTTTGGGGTGACTTTTGTGGGGTATTTTGGGGTATTTTGGTTTTTTTGGGGGGTTGGGGGGGGTTCTTTTGGGGTATTTTGGGGGATTTTTGGGTTTGGAATTTTTTGGGTGATTTTGGGGGGTTATTTTGGGTTTTTTGAGGGGATTTTGACGTGTTTTTTGGGGTTTTTGGGTTTGGGGTTTTTGGGGTGTTTTTGAGGTGGTTTTGGAGTTATTTTGGGGTATTTTTTTGGGTTTTGGGTTTTCGGGGTGGTTTTGGTGTTATTTTGGGGTTATTTTGGGTTTTTTGGGGTTTTTTTTGGGGTATTTTGGGGTTTTCGGGTTTTTTGGGGTTTGGGTTTTTCGGGGTGGTTTTAGGGTGATTTTGGGGTTTTTTTGGGGGTTTTTTTGGGGTTCTTGGGGGTTTTTGGGTTTGGGGTTTTTGGGGTGGTTTTGGGGGGTTATTTTGGGATATTTTTGGGTCATTTTTTTTGGATTTTGGGGTGACTCTCTGTGTCCCCCCAGCTGTACGTGACCCTGGCCTGGCGGGGGGGGGGGTCCCATCTGGCCAAGCCCGCAGCGGTTTTGGGGTTATTTTGGGTTTTTTGGGTTATTTTGGGTTTTTTGGGGGGGGGGTTTTGAGGTGTTTTGGGGTTTTTTTGGGTTTGGGGGTTTTGGGGTTATTTTGGGGGGTTTTGGGGGTTATTTTGGGGTATTTTGGGGTTTTTTTGGGGGTTCTTGGGGGTTTTTGGGTTTGGGGTTTTTGGGGTGGTTTTGGGGTTTTTTTGGGGTTTTTTTTTTTGGTTTTCGGGGTTTTTTGGGTTTGGGGTTTTCGGGGTGGTTTTTGGGGTTATTTTGGGGGTTTTTTGGGGTTTTTTTTTGGGGTTCTTGGGTTTGGGGTTTTCGGGGTGGTTTTTGGGGTTGTTTTGGGGTTCTTTTGGCATATTTTGGGGTATTTTTTGGGGGTTTTTGGGTTTGGGGTTTTTGGGGTGGTTTTGGGGGGTTTCGGGGGTTATTTTGGGGTTGTTTTGGGTCATTTTTTTGGGATTTTGGGGTGACTCTCTGTGTCCCCCCAGCTGTACGTGACCCTGGCCTGGCGGGGGGGGGGTCCCGTCTGGCCAAACCCGCGGCGGTTTTGGGGTTATTTTGGGTTTTTTGGGGGGATTTTGAGGTGGTTTTTTGGGTTTTCGGGGTTCTTTGGGTTTGGGGGTTTCGGGGTGGTTTTTGGGGTTATTTTGGGGTTTTTTGGGGGTTTTTTTTTGGGTTTTCGGGGGTTTTTTTTGGTTTTCGGGGTTTTTTGGGTTTGGGGTTTTCGGGGTGGTTTTGGGGTGAGTTTGGGGTTTTTTTGGGTTTTTTTTTTGGGGTTCTTGGGGGTTTTTGGGTTTGGGGTTTTGGGGGTGGTTTTGGGGTTTTTTTGGGGTTTTTTTTTTTTGGGTTTTCGGGGTTTTTTGGGTTTGGGGTTTTCGGGGTGGTTTTTGGGGTTATTTTGGGGGTTTTTTGGGGGGTTTTTTTGGGGTTTTTTTGGGGGTTCTTGGGGGTTTTGGGTTTGGGGTTTTCGGGGTGGTTTTGGGGTTTTTTTGGGGGTTTTTTTTTTGGGTTTTCGGGGTTTTTTGGGTTTGGGGTTTTCGGGGTGGTTTTAGGGTGATTTTGGGGTTTTTTTGGGGGGTTTTTTTGGGGTTCTTGGGGGTTTTTGGGTTTGGGGTTTTCGGGGTTATTTTGGGGTATTTTTGGGGTATTTTCGGGTCGTTTTTTTGGGATTTTGGGGTGACTCTGTGTGTCCCCCCAGCTGTACGTGACCCTGGCCTGGCGGGGGGGGGGGTCCCGCCTGGCCAAGCCCGCGGCGGTTTTGGGGTTCGCGGCCCCCCCGTTCCTGCTGGGGGCGCTGCGCGTGGCCGAGCACCGCAACAGTTGGGGGGGGGTCCTGGGGGGCTTCCTGGGCGGCACCGCCATCGCCGCCTTCCTGGTGAGACCCCCGAGAATCCCCCCAAAAAAATCCCCCCCAAAAAAATCCCCCCCAAAAAAATCCCACCAAAAAATCCCAAAAAATCTCCCCGAAAATCCCACAAAAATACCAAAAAGCATCCCCAAAAAATCCCCAAAAATCCCCCCAAAAAAATCCCACCAAAAAATACTGCCCAAAAAAATCCCCCCCCCCAAAAATCCCAAAATATCCCAAAAAATCCCACAAAAATTCCCCCAAATCCACCCCAAATCCCCCCAAATTCCCCCCATATTCTCTCCAAAATCCCCCAAAATTCCCTCAGAAAGAACCAAATCCCCCAAAATCCCCCCAAATCTCCCCCAAATTCCCCCCAAATCCCCCCAAATCTCCCCCAAAATCCCCCCAAATCCCCCCAAATCCCCCAAAATTACCCCAAAATTACCCCAAAATACCCAAAAATCCCCCAAAATCCCCCCAAATCCCCCAAATCCCCCCAAAATCCCCCAAAACCCCCCAAATCCCCCCAAAATCCCCCAAAACCACCCCAAATCCCCCAACATCCTCCAAAATACTCCCAAATCTCCCCCAAAATCCTCCCCAAAATCCCCCAAAATTCCCTCAAAATACCCAAAAATCCCCAAAATCCCCCCAAATCCCCCAAAATCCCCCCAAATCCCCCCAAAATCCCCCAAAATCCCCCAAATCCCAACTCGCCCCTCCCCCCAGGTGACGTGTGTGGTTGGAAACTTCCAGAGCCCGGGGGGGGATTTTGGGGGGGATTTGGGGGGGGCGGGGACCCCCCGAGCCCCCCCCGAGGTGCCCCCCCAAAATCCCCAACCCCCCCTGGAGGAGCTCAGCGTGGCCCAGGTGAGACCCCCCAAAAATCACCCCAAAATCACCCCAAAAATGGGGAGGGAACCCCCAAAATCACCCCAAAATCAGCCCAAAATCACTCGAAAAATCACCCCAAAATCACCCCAAAATTCACCGAAAAAATCACCCCAAAAACGGGGTGGGAAACCCCAAAAATGGACCCCAAAACCGGGGGTGGGAGCCCAAAAATCACCCCAAAAATCACCCCGATAATCAGCCCAAAAAATCACCCAAAAAATCACCCCAAAAACAGGGGGGACCCCAAGAATCAGCCCCAAATTCAGCCCAAAAATGAACCCCCAAAATCACCCTAAAAAATCATCCCAAAACCGGGGGGGGAACCCCAAAAATCACCCTGAAAATCACCCCAAAAACGAGAAGGGGACCCCAAAAATCACCCCAAAAATAGAGGGGAGGGACCCCAAAAATCAGCCCCAACATCACCCCAAAATCAGCCCAAAAATCACCCTGAAAATGGGGAAGGGACCCCAAAAATCGGGAGGGACCCCAAAATTTGGGGTGAGGGGTGAGAAATTAGGAGGGGCCCCCAAAATTTGGGGATAGGAAATGAGGGGGGGGGACCCCAAAATTTGGGGTTGGGGGGGTGGGAAATGAGGGGGGGACCCCAAACTTTGTGGTGACGTCATCGTTCCCCCCCTCAGGTGCGTCGGGCGGAATTCCCAGCGGTGACCTGAGACACCCCAAAATTTGGGAACCCCAAAAATTTGGAACCCCAAAAATCGGGATCCCGAAATTTGGGGGAAATGTAAAAATTTGGGATCAAGAATTTTGGGATCCCCAAAATTTGGAGAATTCTGAAATTTGGGATCCCAAAAATTGGGGAATTGTAAAATTTGGGATCCCAAAATTTGGGGGATTCAGAAATTTGGGAACCCCAAAAATTGGGAACCCAAAATTTGGGGAATTCTGAAATTTAGGAACCCCAAAAATTGGGATCCCAAAATTTGGGGAATTCTAAAATTTGGGATCCCAAAAATTGGGGGGAGGCTGAAATTTGGGATCCCAAAAATTTGGGGGATCCCGAAATTTCGGGGGGAGGGGGTGGGAATTTTGGGGGGTGGGGGAGGGGCAATAAAGCGACTTTGTGTGACCCCCCCGTGTGACCTGAGGGAATTTTGGGGGTTCCGTGGGGGATTTTGGGGTTCCCGGGGGGGATTTTGGGGTTCCCGGGAGGATTTTGGGGTTCCCGAGGGGAATTTTGGGGTTCCCGGGGGGATTTTGGGGTTCCCGGGGGGAATTTTGGGGTCCCCGGGGGGAATTTTGGGGTTCCCGGGGGGGATTTTGGGGTTCCCGGGGGGGATTTTGGGGTTCCTGAGGGGATTTTGGGGTTCCTGGGGGGATTTTGGGGTTCCCGGGGGGATTTTGGGGTTCCCGGGAGAATTTTGGGGTTCCCGGGGGGATTTTGGCGTTCCTGGGGGGAATTTTGGGGTTCCCGGGGGGATTTTGGGGTTCCCGGGGGGATTTTGGGGTTCCCGGGGGGGAATTTTGGGGTCCCCGGGTGGGATTTTGGGGTTCCCGGGGGGATTTTGGGGTTCCTGGGGGGGATTTTGGGGTTCCCGGGGGGAATTTTGGGGTTCCCGGGGGGATTTTGGGGTTCCTGGGGGGGATTTTGGGGTTCCTGGGGGAATTTTGGGGTTCCCGTGGGAATTTTGGGGTTCCCGGGGGGGATTTTGGGGTTCCTGAGGGGATTTTGGGGTTCCCCGGGGGAATTTTGGGGTTCCTGAGGGAATTTTGGGGTTCCTGAGGGGAATTTGGGGTTCCTGAGGGAATTTTGGGGTTCCCGGGGGGATTTTGGGGTTCCCGGATATGCAAAGGGGGCGTGGCTTATAATTATGAATTTAAATTGTGGGCGTGGTCTGCGCAGACCCCGCCTCTTATGCTAAATAGCTGCAAAGGGGGGCGTGGCTTATGAGTGATAATTTAAATTATGGGCGTGGCCACAGCAAGCTCCGCCCCCTCGGCTGCGACGGGCGGTCAGTGAAGGGGGCGTGGCTTAGTGATTTGTGGGCGTGGCTTGTCCTGGCCCCGCCCCCTCGGCTGCGGCGGGGCGGGCGCGGCTCCGACGGCCGAGGGTGAGTGGGGGGGGGCGGGGGGGGATTTTTGGGGGGATTTTGGGGGATTTTTGGGGGGATTTTGGGGGATTCGGGGGAGATTTGGGGGATTCGGGGAGGGATTTGGGGGAATTGGGGTTTTTTGGGGTTTTTTTGGGGGGGTTTTGGTGGGTTTGAGGGGGGATTTGGGGGGTTTTGGGGGGGTTTTGTGGGGATTTTGGGGGGATTTTGGGGGGATTTGGGGGCGGGCAGGGCTGGGGGTCCCCTATGGATGGGGGGGGTCCCTATGGATAGTGGGGTCCCCTATGGATGTGGGGGGACCCCTATGGATGGGGGGGGACCCCCTATGGCCATAGGGGATGGGGGAGGGGGGCGGAGGGGCCCTATAGGAGGGGATGAATGGGGGAGGGTCCGAAATTGGGGGGGATTTGGGGGGGTCCCTATGGATGATTTGGGGGCGGGGCCTAAACGGGGGGGAGCAGCAGGGGTGGGAATTATAGGGGTGGTCCCCTATAGAGGAGACCCCTATAGACCCCTATAGACCCCTATAGACCCCCATGGACCCCTATGGACCCCTATGGACCCCTATGGACCCCTATGGACCCCTATAGACCCCTATAGACCCCTATGGACCCCTATAGACCCCTATGGACCCCTATAGACCCCCATAGACCCCTATGGACCCCTATAGACCCCTATGGACCCCTATGGACCCATATAGACCCCCATGGACCCCTATGGACCCCTATGGACCCCTATAGACCCCTATGGACCCCTATAGACCCCTATGGACCCCTATGGACCCCTATAGACCCCTATGGACCCCTATGGACCCCTATGGACCCCTATGGACCCCTATAGACCCCTATGGACCCCTATGGACCCCTATGGACCCCTATGGACCCCCATAGACCCTATAGACCCCTATGGACCCCTATAGACCCCTATGGACCCCTATGGACCCCCATAGACCCCTATGGACCCCTATAGACCCCTATGGACCCCTATGGACCCCCCAAATTCTGGGGACCCCCAGACCCCAAATCTCCCCAACCCCAAACCCCCCAAATCCCCCCAAATCCCCCCAAATCCCCCCAAAATTCCCCCAAATCCCCCCAAACCCAAATCCCCCCAGGACCCCAGACCCCCAAATCCCCCCAGACCCCCTGAGTCCCCCAGACCCCCCCCAGACCCCCAAATCCCCCCCAGACCCCAAATCCCCCAAATCCCCCCTAATCCCCCCGAGCCCCCCAAATCCCCCCAGACCCCCCAAACCCCCCAAATCCCCCCAGACCCCCCCAAACCCCCCCCAGCCCCCCAGACCCCCCAGACCCCCCAAACCCCCCAGACCCCCCAGACCCCCCAAATCCTCCCAGACCCCCAAATGCCCCCAAACCCCAAACCCCAAACCCCCCCAAATCCCCCCCAGGCCCCCCAGACCCCAGACCCCCCAAATTCCCCCAAATCCCCCCAATTTGGGGTCCCCTCAGGCCCCCGCGGCCCCGGGTATTCTCGGGCTCTAACACGGCTCTGCCGCCCCCAAATCCCCCCAAATCCCCCCAAAATCCCAAACCCCCAGACCCCCCCAGACCCCAAACCCCCCAAATCCCCCCAAATCCCCCCAAATCCCAAACCCCAAATCCCCCCAGACCCCAAATCCCCCCAAATCCCCGCAAATCCCCCCAAACCCCCCCAGACCCCCCAATTTTGGGGTCCCCTCCGGCCCCCGCGGCCCCGGGTATTCTCGGGCTCTAACACGGATCCCCCAGAACCCCCCAAATCCCCCCAAACCCCAAATCCCCCAAACCCCCCAGACCCCAAATCCCCCCAAATCCCCCCAGGACCCCAGACCCCCCAGACCCCCAAATCCCCCCAAATCCCCCCAAATCCCCCCAAATCCCCCCAAATCCCCCCAGACCCCAAATCCCCCCAAATTCCCCCAAATCCCCCCAAATCCCCCCAAATCGCCCCCAGACCCCCCGATTTTGGGGTCCCCTCGGCCCCCGCGGCCCCGGGTATTCTCGTCTCTAACACGGCTGCCCCGCCCGCGCTGTTATTGCTGAGAATACGCGGAGCCGAGAGCGGCCACGCCCGCGACCCCCGCCCGGGACCCCCACCCAGGGACCCCCGCCCGGGACCCTCTCCCAGGGACCCCCACCCGTGACCCCTGTCCAGGGACTTCCTGGGACCCCCACCCGGGACCCCCACCCATGGATCCACCCACCCAGGACCCTCCCCAGGGACCCTCGCCGGAGACCCCCACCCAGGACCCAAACATGGATCCACCCTGGGACCCCCGCCCGGGACCCCCACCCGGGACCCCCACTCGGGATCCCCCCAAGGACCCCCCTGGGGATCCCCACCCATGGATCCACCCTGGGACCCCCACCCGCGACCCCCACCCGAGACCCCCCATGGACCCACCTGGGACCCCCACCCGGGACCCCCACTCGGGATCCCCCCAAGGACCCCCCTGGGGATCCCCACCCATGGACCCACCTGGGACCCCCACCTGAGACCCCCACTCGAGATACCCCCAAGGACCCCCAAATGCCCCGCCCGCGACCCCCGCCCGGGACCCCCGCCCAAGACCCCCGCCCGAGACCCCCAAGGACCCCCCTGGGGATCCCCACCCATGGATCCTACCGGGACCCCCACCCGAGACCCCCACTCGGGACCCCCACTCGGGACCCCCAACCGGGACCCCCTCTCGGGACCCTCCAAGGACCCCCAGGGACCCCACGGGACCCCTCCCACGGACTCCTCAGGAACCCACCCAAGACCCCACCCAGGACCTACCGGGGGACCCCCATTCGGGACCCCCGCCTGGGGACCCCCACAACCCCCATCCAGGGACCCCCACCCGAGATCCCCCCAAGGATCCACCCAGGACCCCCCAGGGACCCCCTGCGACCCCCAACCTTCACCCTGGGACCCCCACTCGGGACCCCCCCAGGGACCCACCCGAGACCCCTGCCCGGGACCCCCACCCGGGACCCCCACTCGGGACCCCCACTCATGGATCCACCCGGGACCCCCACCTGGGGACCCCCATGGACCCACCTGGGACCCACCTGAGATCCCACCCAGGATCCATCCAGGACCCCCACCCAGGGACCCCCACTCGGGACCCCCACCTGGGACCCCCACCCGGGGACCCCCAGGGACTCCACACGACCCCCACCCGAGACCCCCACCCAAGATCCCCCCAGGGATCCACCCGGGACCCCCACCCGGGACCCACCCATGGATCCACCCGGGACCCCCACCCGGGACCCCCACTCGAGACCACCCACCCAGGACCCTCTCCCAGGGATCCCCATCTGAGACCCCCACTCGGGACCCCCACCCGGGACCCACCCATGGATCCAGACAGGACCCCCGGGACCCCCACCTGAGACCCCCACCCGGGACCCCCATCCAGGACCCCCACCCAGGGACCCCCCAGGACCCCCCCAGGGACCTTTGGGTGGCCCTTGGGGACCTTTGGGTGACATTTGGGGACCTTTGGGTGACATTTGGGGACCTTTGGGGACACTGGGGTGGCCCTTGGGGACCTTTGGGGACCTTTGGGTGGCTTTTGGGGACCTTTGGGGACACTGGGGTGGCCCTTAGGGACCTTTGGGTGCCCTCCTGTGACCTTTGAGGACCCTCCTGTGACCTTTGAGGACCTTTGGGGACCCTCCTGTGACCTTTGGGGACCTTTGGGGCCCCTCCTGTGACCTTTGGGGCCCCTCCTGTGACCTTTGGGGACCCTCCTGTGACCTTTGAGGACCCTGCGCTGGCCCCGCCCCTTTTGCACGCGCAGGGGGCGTGCCCACGCATCTCATTAACCGCGAGGCCACGCCCCCCGCGCGCGCGCGGCTGAGGGCGGGAAAGCCGCTGACTGAGGGCGAGCCGCGCTCTGATTGGCTGAGCCGCGGCGGCGGGAACGGCGCTGAGGGGATGTCTGCTCCCATTGGCTGAGCCTCTCGCGCCCACGGCGGTGGGCGGGAAGAGCGCTGAGGGAAGCTGCGCTGTGATTGGCCGAGCCTCCGCGGCGGCAACGAAGCCGCGCGGTGATTGGCTGAGCGCGGCCGTGGCGCGCAGCTGATTGGCTGGGCGGCGGCGGCGGGCCTCGCCGGTCATGGCGGCGGCGCTGGAGCGGGCGCTGGGCCCGGCGGCGGCGGCGGGGAGCGGCTCCGGGGCGGCGCTGCCGCCGCTGCCGGTGCTGCTGACGGGCCCGGCGGGCTCGGGCCGCACCTCGCTGCTGCTGCGGGCGGCGCTGGCGGGCGGCGCGGACGGGCCCCGCGCGCTGTTCCTGGCGCCCAGCGCCGTCCCGCGGCTCCCGGGAGGCCCCGGCGGGACCGGCACCGACCCGCGGGCGCTGCAGGTCAGCGGGGCCGGGAACGGCGGGGACGGGCCCGGGAGGGGCGGGGACGGGCCCGGGAGGGGCGGGGACGGGCCCGGGAGGGGCGGGGCTTGCGGCGGGACCGCGATAATGGGGCGTGGCTTGCTGAGGGACCGCGATAATGGAGGCGTGGCTTGCTGAGGGGGCGTGGCTTTGCTGAGTGGGCGTGGTTTGCTGAGGGGGCGTGGCTTGGTGTGAATATATTACCATATAGGTGAGGTCATCGCCAGAGGGCGTGGCCCGGGAGGGGGCGGGGCTATGCGTGTGGGCGGGGTTTGGGGTGGGGGGAGGGGGTTGAGGGGATTTGGGGGTCCGACCTGACTCTTGTCCCCTCTGTCCCCCCCCCCCGTCCTTTTGTCACCCTTTGTCCCCTCCCCCTTGTCCCCACTGTCCCCATGTCCCCATGTCCCCATGTCCCCGTGTCCCTGTGTCCCTGTGTCCCTGTCCCTGTCCCCATGTCCCCATGTCCCCATGTCCCCATATCCCCATGTCCCCGTGTCCCCATGTCCCCATGTCCCCATATCCCCATGTCCCCGTGTCCCTGTGTCCCTGTCCCCATGTCCCCATGTCCCCATGTCCCCATATCCCCATGTCCCCATGTCCCCATGTCCCCATGTCCCCATGTCCCCGTGTCCCCGTGTCCCTGTGTCCCCATGTCCCCATGTCCCCGTGTCCCCATGTCCCCATGTCCCAATGTCCCCATATCCCCATGTCCCCGTGTCCCCATGTCCCCATATCCCCATGTCCCCATATCCCCATGTCCCCGTGTCCCCATGTCCCCATATCCCCATATCCCCATGTCCCCATGTCCCCATGTCCCCATGTCCCCATGCCCCATGTCCCCATGTCCCCATGTCCCCATGTCCCCATGTCCCCATGTCCCCATGTCCCCATATCCCCATGTCCCCGTGTCCCTGTGTCCCCATGTCCCAATGTCCCCATATCCCCATGTCCCCTTGTCCCCGTGTCCCCATGTCCCCGTGTCCCCGTGTCCCCATGTCCCCATGTCCCCATGTCCCCATATCCCCATGTCCCCGTGTCCCTGTGTCCCCATGTCCCCATGTCCCCATATCCCCATGTCCCCGTGTCCCCGTGTCCCCATGTCCCCGTGTCCCCATGCCCCCATGTCCCCATGTCCCCATGTCCCCATGTCCCCATGTCCCCATGTCCCCCTGTCCCCATGTCCCCATGTCCCCTTGTCCCCATGTCCCCATGTCCCCATGTGCCCATGTGCCCATGTCCCCATGTCCCCATGTCCCCATGTCCCCATGTCCCCATGTCCCCATGTCCCTGTCCCCATGTCCCCATGTCCCCATGTCCCCATGTCCCCATGTCCCCATGTCCCCATATCCCCGTGTCCCCATGTCCCCATGTCCCCGTGTCCCCATGTCCCTGTGTCCCTGTCCCCATATCCCCATATCCCCATGTCCCCGTGTCCCCATGTCCCCATGCCCCCATGTCCCCATGTCCCCGTGTCCCCATGTCCCCATGTCCCCATGTCCCCATGTCCCCATATCCCCATGTCCCCATGTCCCTGTGTCCCCATGTCCCCATATCCCCGTGTCCCCGTGTCCCCATGTCCCTGTGTCCCCATGTCCCCATGTCCCCATGTCCCCGTGTCCCCATGTCTGTCTGTCCCTGTCCCCATATCCCCATGTCCCCATATCCCCATGTCCCCATGTCCCTGTGTCCCCATGTCCCCATGTCCCCATGTCCCCATGTCCCCATGTCCCCATATCCCCATGTCCCCATGTCCCTGTGTCCCTGTCCCCATATCCCCATATCCCCATGTCCCCGTGTCCCCATGTCCCCATGCCCCCATGTCCCCATGTCCCCGTGTCCCCATGTCCCCATGTCCCCATGTCCCCATGTCCCCATATCCCCATGTCCCCATGTCCCTGTGTCCCCATGTCCCCATGTCCCCATGTCCCCATGTCCCATGTCCCCATGTCCCCATGTCCCCGTGTCCCTCAGCGCCTGGAGCTGCGCTACCCCCGCACGCGTCTGTCCCTGTGCCGTGAGCTGCTGTCCCTGTCCCTGTCCCTGTCATTGTCCCCATCACTGTCCCCACCCCCTGTGGTGCTGCTGGACGGGCTGGAGCGGTACCTGTGCCCCCTGTCCCCAAGTGCCACCGCGCGCCTGGCCGCGCTGCTGCTGGAGCTGTCGCTGTCCCCGTCTGTCCCCTCCCGTCCCCAGCTGGTGGCCTCGCTGCGATTGCCACCCCCGGGCGGCGCGGTGACACTGGGGACACTGCTGCGCTTCTTCCCGGCGCGGTGCCACCTCCGCGGGGACACGCGGGGACGGGGACGGGGACACGTGTGGGTGACAATGCGCTGCCCCGGGACGCCGCCGCGGAGGTGGCGGGTGCGCCTCGGGGTGGGGGGACGGTGTGGGGACAGTGGGGACAGGGAGGGGGACAGCGGGGACAGTGGGGACAGGGATGGGGACAGGGATGGGGACAGGGACAGGGACACGGACAGCGAGGGGGACGGGGACAGCGAGGAGGAGTGGGTGTGACATGGCCACCCCTGGGGTGACACGGGGCTGATGTCACCCCCACACTGGTGACAAGGACCCCACGGGTGACACAGCCACCCCAGAGGTGACAAGGACTCAATGTCACCCCCACACTGGTGACACGGGGCTGATGTCACCTCCCCACTGGTGACAAGGACCCCACGGGTGACACGGCCACCCCAGAGGTGACACGGGGCTGATGTCACCCACCCAATATTGGTGACAAGGACACAAGGACTCAATGTCACCCCCCCACTGGTGACAAGGACCCCACGGGTGACACAGTCCCGATGTCACCTCCCTGTCACCGGCCCCGCACGTCCCGGGGATGGGGCGGTGGCAGGGAGGTGACACCGAGCCAGGGAGGTGACACTGAGCCCAGGGAGGTGACACCAAACCCGGTGTCCCCACCCGGGGCCATCTGGGGCCGCTGATAAGCCTTATCAGCCCCTCCCCCACCCCTGCAGGGCCCCAGAGTGTCCCCAAAATGTCCCCAGAGTGTCCCCAGTGTCCCCAGTGTCCTGTCCCAGTGCTCCCAGTGTCCCCAGAGTGTCCCCAGTGTCCCCAGTGTCCCATCCCCGTGCTCCCAGTTACTCCCAGAGTGTCCCCAGTGTCCCCAGTGTCCCTTCCCAGTGCTCCCAGTGTCCCCAGTGTCCCTTCCCAGTGCTCCCAGTGTCCCCAGAGTGTCCCCAGTGTCCCCAGTGTCCCATCCCAGTGCTCCCAGTTACATCCCAGTTACTCCCAGAGTGTCCCCAGTGTCCCCAGTGTCCCGTCCCAGTGCTCCCAGTTACTCCCAGTATGTCCCCAGTGTCCTGTCCCACTGCTCCCAGTCCCTCCCAGTCCCTCCCAGTTCATCCCAGTCCCTCCCAGTTCCCTCCCAGTCCCTCCCAGTGCCCCCCAGTTCCCTCCCAGTCCCCCCCAGTCCCTCCCAGTCCCCCCCAGTCCCTCCCAGTATCCCCAGTTGGGGGCGGGGCCCGGCCCAGCGCTGTTTTTATTGTACAGAATCATTAAAAACCCAAAGCAGCAGAAATTCCGTGTCCCCGGCGGCCCCTCCCCCGCGATGACGTCACCGCGTCCCTCTGTGATGACGTCATAGCTACAAGTCCCGCCCACCGTGACATCATCGTTCCAGTGTGTGACATCATTGTCACAAGTCCTGCCCACCGTGATGTCATCTGTCCATTCTGTGTGATGTCATCATGATGCATCCCCCAAGTGATGACGTCATAATCCCAATGTGTGATGTCACCGCGACGCGTCCCCTTGTGATGACATCATCGCTCCCATGTGTGATGTCATTCTTACAAGTCCCACCCACCATGATGTCATCTGTCCATTTGGTGTGACGTCATCGTGATGCGTCCCCTCCGTGATGACGTCATCGTTCCCGTGTGTGATGTCATTATTACAAGTCCTGCCCACTATGATGTCATCTGTCCGTTCTGTGTGACGTCATCGTGATGCGTCCACCCCCAGCGATGACGTCATAATCCCAATGTGTGATGTCACCGCGACGCATCCCCCAGCAATGACGTCATCGTACCCGCGTGTGACGTCATTATGACAAATCCCGCCCACCGTGATGTCATCTGTCCATTCTGTGTGACGTCATCATGATGCATCCCCCGGCGATGACGTCATAATTCCCGTGTGTGATGTCACCGCGACGCGTGCCCTCGTGATGACGTCATCACACCCGTGTGACATCATTATTACAAGTCCCGCCCACTGTGCTGTCATTATTCCATTCTGTGTGACGTCATCATGATGCGTCCCCTCAGCGATGACGTCATCGTCCCCGTGTGATGTCACTGTGCCGCGTCTCCTCCGCGATGATGTCATTGTACCCGTGTGTGACGTCATAATTACAAGTCCCACCCACCGTGATGTCATCTGTCCCGTCTGTGTGATGTCATTGTGATGCGTCCCCTCGGCGATGATGTCATCATCCCCGTGTGATGTCACTGTGCCGCATCTCCTCCGTGATGACGTCATCGCTCCCATGTGTGACGTCATTATTACAAGTCCCGCCCACCATGATGTCATCGGTCTATTTTGTGTGACTTCATCGCGACGCGTCCCCCCAGCGATGACATCATCATTCCCGTGTGTGACGTCATTATTACAAGTCCTGCCCACCGTGATGTCATCGGTCCATTCCATGTGATGTCATCGTAACGCGTCCCCGTGATGTCATCGTCCCCGTGTGTGATGTCACTGTGCCGCGTCTCCTCCGCGATGACGTCATTGCACCCGTGTGACGTCATTATTACAAGTCCCGCCCACTGTGATGTCATCCGTCTCTTCCATATGACATCATCGTGAAGCATCCCCCCTCTGATGACGTCATCGGTCTCGTGCGTGACATCATGTCGCAATGACGTCATCGCGGCCACGCCCGCCTCAGGAGCAGATGACGTAATGGGGGGCGTGTCCCGCCCCCCACTTGGGATCCACCCCTTTGTGGGCGTGGCCCAGGTTGGCGTAGGGGGCGGGGCCTGGGGGACAGGGGGCGTGGCCTGAGGTGCAGGGGGTGTGGCCTGCGGGGCAATGGGCGTGGTCTGTAGGGCAGGGGGTGTGGCCTGGGGAACAGGGGGCGTGGTCTGAGGTGCAGTGGGCGTGGTCTGAGGGGCAGTGGGCGTGGCCGGCAGAGCAGGGGGCGTGGTCTGTGGGGCAGGGGGCGTGGCCTGCGGAGCGGGGGGCGGGGCGTAGCAGGGCGGGGCCGGGCTCGAAGAGCGTGTACTCGAAGCTGGGCGAGGGGGAGGGGCCTGGCGCGGGGTGGGCGGGGCTTGGCGCGGGAGGCTCCGCCCCCTCCGGGGGGGGCTGGGCGGGGGGGGGCAGCCCCGGCCCCTCCCCCACCTCCTCCGGAGCCTCCTCGGCCTCCAGCGGGGGGGGGGCGCAGGGGGAGCCGGGAGCCTGGAACAGCCACAGCTGGGGAGGGGGGAAAGGGTTAGGGACCCCCGAAATGGACCCCAAAATCGCCCCAAAATGTCCTGTAAATATCCGCTGAATACACCCAAAGTATCCCCCAAATATCCCCAAAATATCCCCAAAGTATCCACAAAATATCCCCAAAGTATCCCTAAAATATCCCCAAAGTATCCAAAAAAATCCCCAAAATATTCCCCAAATACCACTAAATATTCCCGAAAATATCCACAAAATGTCCACAAAGTATCCCCAAATATCCCCCAAATATCCAAAAAATATCCCCCAAATTATCCCCAAAATATCAAAAAAAATCCCCAAAATGTCCCCTAAATATCCACAAAATACCCCCAAAGTATCCCCCAAATATGCAGAAATTATCCCCAAAATATCCAGAAAATATCCCTAAATTATCCACGAAATATCCCCAAATTATCCACAAAATATCCAAAAATTATCCCCAAATTATCCCCAAAATATCCCCAAAATATCCCCAAAGTATCCACAAAATATCCACAAAATGACCCCAAAATGTCTCCTAAACATCCACAAAATATCCCCTAAAATATCCTCAAAATATCCCCCAAATATCCCCACAAAATCCCAAATCCCAACTCCTCACCAAACCCCAAACCCCCAAAACCCCAAAACCCCCAAAACCCCCAAAAACCCCAAACTCCAGAAAATCCCAAACCCCAAAAACTCCAAAATCACAAAATCCCACAAAATCCCAAATCCTCAAAACCCAAAACCCCAAATCCCCCAATCCACAAATCCCCCAAACCACAAAAACCCCAAAACCCCAAAAAAACCCCAAACCCCAAAAACCCCAAACCCCAAAAACCCAAAACCCAAAAATCCCAAAACCCCAAACCCAAAACCCCAAAAAACCCCAAATCCCCCCCAAACCCCCCCAAAAAACCACTAAAACCCAAAAAAAACTCCAAAATCCCAAACCCCAAAACTCCCAAGAAAACCCAAACCCTCCCAAAACCCCAAAAAAACCCCAAAATCCTAAAACCCAAAACCCCAAAAAACCCCAAATCCCCCCCAACCCCCCCCAAAAAAACCCCAAAACCCCAAAAAAACTCCAAAATCCCAAACCCCAAAACTCCCAATAAAACCCAAACCCCCCAAAACCAGAAAAAAAAACCCCTAAAACCCCAAAAACCCCAAAAAACCCAAAATTTGTCTGACCTGGAAGTTTCCCCCGTAGGCGCTGAAGAGCCCCTCGAACTCCCGCTCGGGGCCCGGAACCGGCGGCCACAGCTTGGCCCGGAGAGTCCTGGGGGACCCCAAAATCATCTCACAGGTACCCCAAAATCACACAGGTACCCCAAAATCACACAGGGAACCCCAAAAATCACACACAGCACCCCAAAATCCTATAGAAACCCCAAAAATCCCATAGAGAACCCAAAAATCCCATAGAGACCCCAAATCCCCCCTGCTCCCACCCACAGCTTCGCCCGGAGAGTCCTGGGGGACCCCAAAATCATCACACAGGTACCCCAAAAATCCCATAGAGAACCCCAAAATCACACAGGTACCCCAAAATCACACAGGTACCCCAAAAATCCCATAGAAACCCCAAAAATCCTACACAGCACCCCAAAATCACACAGAGAACCCAAAAATCCCACAGAGACCCCAAAATCCCATAGAGACCCAAACCCCCCCTGCTCCCACCCACAGCTTGGCCCGGAGAGTCCTGGGGGACCCCAAAATCATCACACAGGTACCCCAAAATCACACAGAGCACCCCAAAATCCTATAGAGACCCCAAAAATCCCATAGAGAACCCCAAAATCCCACAGAGACCCCAAATCCCCCCTGCTCCCACCCACAGCTTGGCCCGGAGAGTCCTGGGGGACCCCAAAATCATCACACAGGTACCCCAAAAATCACACACAGCACCCCAAAATCCCATAGAGACCCCAAAATCCCATAGAGACCCCAAAAATCCTATAGAGACCCCAAATCCCCCCTGCTCCCACCCACAGCTTGGCCCGGAGAGTCCTGGGGGACCCCAAAATCACACAGGTACCCCAAAAATCACACAGGTACCCCAAAAATCACACACAGCACCCCAAAAATCACACACAGCACCCCAAAAATCACACAGAGCACCCCAAAATCCCATAGAGACCCCAAAAATCCCATAGAGACCCCAAAAATCCTATAAAGAACACCAAAAATCACACACAGCACCCCAAAATCACACAGGTACCCCAAAAATCACACAGGTACCCCAAAATCCTATAGAGAACCCAAAAATCCTATAGAGAACCCCAAAATCCTATAGAGAACCCCAAAAATCCCATAGAGACCCCAAATCCCCCCTGCTCCCATCCACAGCTTGGCCCGGAGAGTCCTGGGGGACCCCAAAATCATCACACAGGTACCCCAAAATCACACAGGTACCCCAAAATCTCACAGGTACCCCAAAATCTCACAGGTACCCCAAAATCACACAGGTACCCCAAAATCACACACAGCACCCCAAAATCACACAGGTACCCCAAAATCACACACAGCACCCCAAAAATCACACACAGCACCCCAAAATCACACACAGCACCCCAAAATCACACAGGTACCCCAAAAATCTCACAGGTACCCCAAAATCACACAGGTACCCCAAAAATCCCATAGAGACCCCAAAAATCACACAGGTACCCCAAAATCACACACAGCACCCCAAAATCCTATAGAGACCCCAAAAATCCTATAGAGACCCCAAAAATCACACACAGCACCCCAAAATCACACAGGTACCCCAAAAATCACACACAGCACCCCAAAATCCTATAGAGACCCCCAAAATCCTACAGAGAACCCAAAAATCCTATAGAGCACCCCAAAATCCCATAGAGACCCCAAAAATCACACAGGTACCCCAAAATCCCATAGAGACCCCAAAATCCTATAGAGACCCCAAAATCCTATAGAGACCCCAAATCCCCCCTGCTCCCACCCACAGCTTGGCCCAGAGAGTCCTGGGGGACCCCAAAATCATCACACAGGTACCCCAAAAATCACACAGGTACCCCAAAATCCCATAGAGACCCCAAAAATTTCATACAAACCCCAAAAATCCCATAGAGACCCCAAAAAAATCCCATAGAAACCCCAAAAATCCCATAGAGACCCCAAATCCCCCCTGCTCCCACCCACAGCTTGGCCCGGAGAGTCCTGGGGGACCCCAAAATCATCACACAGGTACCCCAAAAATCCCATAGAGAACCCCAAAATCACACAGGTACCCCAAAATCCTATAGAGACCCCAAAATCACACAGGTACCCCAAAATCCTATAGAGAACCCCAAAAATCCTATAGAGACCCCAAAATCCCATAAAGAACCCCAAAATCCCCCAGTACTGGTGGTGCCCCAGTGCTCCCAGTCCCTCCCAGTATAAACCAGTATAAACCAGTATAGCCCAGTTCCCTCCCAGTCCATCCCAGTTCCCTCCCAGTATAAACCAGTTCAATCCCAGTCCCCCCCAGTTCTCTCCCAGTTAATCCCAGTATAAACCAGTTCAATTCCAGTCCATCCCAGTCCCTCCCAGTTCCCTCCCAGTATAAACCAGTATAACCCAGTTCCCTCCCAGTCCCTCCCAGTCCCTCCCAGTTCTCTCCCAGTATAAACCAATTTCTCCCAGTTCCCTCCCAGTTCCCTCCCAGTCCCTCCCAGTATAAACCAGTTCCCTCCCAGTGCTCCCAGTCCCTCCCAGTGCTCCCAGTATAACCCAGTTTGCCCAGTACCGGCGGTGCCCCAGCAGTCCCAGTGCTCCCAGTCCCTCCCAGTGCTCCCAGTGCTCCCAGTATAAACCAGTATAACCCAGTTATCCCAGTACCGGCGGTGTCCCAGCAGTCCCAGTGCTCCCAGTCCCTCCCAGTGCTCCCAGTATAAACCAGTATAACCCAGTTATCCCAGTACCGGCGGTGCCCCAGCAGTCCCAGTGCTCCCAGTCCCTCCCAGTGCTCCCAGTATAAACCAGTATAAACCAGTTTGCCCAGTACCGGCGGTGTCCCAGCAGTCCCAGTGCTCCCAGTCCCTCCCAGTATAAACCAGTATAACCCAGTTATCCCAGTACCGGCGGTGCCCCAGCAGTCCCAGTGCTCCCAGTCCCTCCTAGTATAAACCAGTATAACCCAGTTATCCCAGTACCGGCGGTGTCCCAGCAGTCCCAGTGCTCCCAGTCTCTCCCAGTGCTCCCAGTATAAACCAGTATAACCCAGTTATCCCAGTACCGGCGGTGTCCCAGCAGTCCCAGTGCTCCCAGTCCCTCCCAGTGCTCCCAGTGCTCCCAGTATAAACCAGTATAACCCAGTTTGCCCAGTACCGGCGGTGTCCCAGCAGTCCCAGTCCCTCCCAGTGCTCCCAGTATAAACCAGTATAAACCAGTTATCCCAGTACCGGCGGTGTCCCAGCAGTCCCAGTGCTCCCAGTCCCTCCCAGTGCTCCCAGTGCTCCCAGTATAAACCAGTATAACCCAGTTTGCCCAGTACCGGCGGTGTCCCAGCAGTCCCAGTCCCTCCCAGTGCTCCCAGTATAAACCAGTATAAACCAGTTATCCCAGTACCGGCGGTGTCCCAGCAGTCCCAGTCCCTCCCAGTCCCTCCCAGTGCTCCCAGTATAAACCAGTTATCCCAGTACCGGCGGTGTCCCAGCAGTCCCAGTGCTCCCAGTCCCTCCCAGTGCTCCCAGTATAAACCAGTTATCCCAGTACCGGCGGTGTCCCAGCAGTCCCAGTGCTCCCAGTCCCTCCCAGTATAAACCAGTATAAACCAGTTATCCCAGTACCGGCGGTGTCCCAGCAGTCCCAGTGCTCCCAGTCCCTCCCAGTGCTCCCAGTATAAACCAGTATAAACCAGTTTGCCCAGTACCGGTGGTGCCCCAGCAGTCCCAGTCCCCCCCAGTCCCTCCCAGTATAAACCAGTATAACCCAGTTATCCCAGTACCGGCGGTGTCCCAGCAGTCCCAGTGCTCCCAGTCCCTCCCAGTGCTCCCAGTATAAACCAGTATAACCCAGTTAGCCATACCGGCGGTGTCCCAGCAGTCCCAGTGCTCCCAGTCCCTCCCAGTGCTCCCAGTATAAACCAGTATAAACCAGTTATCCCAGTACCGGCGGTGTCCCAGCAGTCCCAGTGCTCCCAGTCCCAGCACCAGTAGCACCAGTAGCACCGAGAGCCCCGCGGAGAGCGGGTCCAGTTCTGGGGGGGGGAGGGGACATCGGCTCAGGGACCCCCCAGTTCATCCCAGTATAACCCAGTTCCATCCCAGTATAACCCAGTTCCATCCCAGTTCCCTCCCAGTTCATCCCAGTATAACCCAGTTCCCTCCCAGTTCCCTCCCAGTGCCCCCCAGTGCCCCCCAGTTCCCTCCCAGTATAACCCAGTTCTGGGGGGGGACAGGGGGGGACACCGGCTCAGGGACCCCCCAGTTCATCCCAGTATAACCCAGTATAACCCAGTATAACCCAGTTCCATCCCAGTTCCATCCCAGTTCATCCCAGTTCATCCCAGTATAACCCAGTTCCATCCCAGTTCCATCCCAGTTCATCCCAGTATAACCCAGTATAACCCAGTTCCATCCCAGTTCATCCCAGTATAACCCAGTTCCATCCCAGTATAACCCACTTCCATCCCAGTTCCCTCCCAGTGCCCCCCAGTCCATCCCAGTATAACCCGGTTCCATCCCAGTATAACCCAGTTCCCTCCCAGTGCCCCCCAGTTCATCCCAGTTCATCCCAGTGCCCTCCCAGTTCATCCCAGTTCATCCCAGTATAACCCAGTTCTGGGGGGGGAGGGGACACCGGCTCAGGGACCCCCCAGTTCATCCCAGTATAACCCAGTATAACCCAGTTCCATCCCAGTTCCCTCCCAGTTCATCCCAGTATAACCCAGTTCATCCCAGTATAGCCCAGTATAACCCAGTTCCATCCCAGTTCCCTCCCAGTTCATCCCAGTATAACCCAGTTCATCCCAGTATAACCCAGTATAACCCAGTTCCATCCCAGTTCCATCCCAGTATAACCCAGATCCATCCCAGTCCATCCCAGTTCATCCCAGTATAACCCAGTTCATCCCAGTATAACCCAGTTCATCCCAGTATAACCCAGTATAACCCAGTTCATCCCAGTATAACCCAGTATAACCCAGTATAACCCAGTTCCATCCCAGTTCCATCCCAGTGCCCCCAGTTCCCTCCCAGTATAACCCAGTTCTGGGGTGGATGGGGGGACATCGGCTCAGGGACCCCCCCAGTTCATCCCAGTATAACCCAGTATAACCCAGTTCCATCCCAGTATAACCCAGTTCCCTCCCAGTTCATCCCAGTCCATCCCAGTATAACCCAGTATAACCCAGTTCCATCCCAGTTCATCCCAGTTCATCCCAGTCCATCCCAGTATAAACCAGTTCATCCCAGTTCCATCCCAGTATAACCCAGTATAACCCAGTTCCCTCCCAGTATAACCCAGTTCCATCCCAGTTCCATCCCAGTATAACCCAGTATAACCCAGTTCCCTCCCAGTTCCATCCCAGTTCATCCCAGTTCATCCCAGTGCCCCCCAGTTCATCCCAGTATAACCCAGTTCATCCCAGTTCATCCCAGTGCCCCCCAGTTCATCCCAGTTCATCCCAGTTCATCCCAGTCCCTCCCAGTCCCTCCCAGTCCATCCCAGTTCCCTCCCAGTCCCTCCCAGTCCCTCCCAGTCCCTCCCAGTCCATCCCAGTTCCCTCCCAGTCCCTCCCAGTTCCCTCCCAGTTCCCTCCCAGTCCCTCCCAGTCCCTCCCAGTCCATCCCAGTTCCCTCCCAGTCCCTCCCAGTTCCCTCCCAGTTCCCTCCCAGTCCCTCCCAGTCCCTCCCAGTCCCTCCCAGTCCATCCCAGTTCCCTCCCAGTCCCTCCCAGTCCATCCCAGTCCATCCCAGTCCCTCCCAGTTCCCTCCCAGTCCCTCCCAGTTTCCCCAATTCTCTCCCAATCCCCTCCCAGTCCCTCCCAGTCCCTCCCAGTCCCTCCCAGTCCCTCCCAGTCCCTCCCAATCCCCTCCCAGTCCCTCCCAGTCCCTCCCAGTCCCTCCCAGTTCCCTCCCAGTTCCCTCCCAGTCCCTCCCAGTCCCTCCCAGTCCCTCCCAGTCCCTCCCAGTCCCTCCCAATCCCCTCCCAGTCCCTCCCAGTCCCTCCCAGTCCCTCCCAGTTCCCTCCCAGTTCCCTCCCAGTCCCTCCCAGTTCCTCCCAGTCTCTCCCAGTTCCTCCCAGTTCATCCCAGTCCCTCCCAATCCCATTCCCAGTTCCCTCCCAGTCCATCCCAGTCCATCCCAGTCCCTCCCAGTTCCATCCCAGTTCCCTCCCAGTCCCCCCCAGTCCCTCCCAGTCCCTCCCAGTCCCTCCCAGTTCCCCCCCAGTCCCTCCCAGTCCCTCCCAGTTTCCCCAATTCTCTCCCAATCCCCTCCCAGTTCCCTCCCAGTTCCCTCCCAGTCCCTCCTAATCCCCTCCCAGTTCCCTCCCAGTCCATCCCAGTCCCTCCCAGTCCCTCCCAGTCCCTCCCAGTCCGTCCCAGTATAAACCAGTCCCTCACCGGGGGGGGTTCTGGCCGTGCCCGGGGCTGACCAGGGGCTCCAGAACCCTCCGTAGCTGATCCCGTCGGGGCGGGCGCGGGCCCGGACGGAGTAGGGGGTGCTGGCCCGGAGCCCCCCGACCCCCTGCTCCCTGCGCCCCACAGGGACCCCCACCTGGGCCCCAAAAGTTACCCCAAAAACCCCAAAATTACCCCAAAATCCTGCCCGGAACAGAGAAACCCCAAAAATCCCCACAAGGACCCCAAAAGCCCCACAGGGACCCCAAATTGCCCCAAAATGACCCCAAAATCTCCCACTGGGACCCCAAAAAACCCCAAAAGTTACCCCAAAAAACCCCAAAAGTTACCCCAAAATTCCCCACAGGGACCCCAAAATCCCAAAAGTTACCCCAAAATCCTGCCCGGAACAGAGAAACCCCAAAAACCCCAAAAATTACCCAAAAATCCCAAAAGTTACCCCAAAATCCCCACAGGGACCCCAAAATCCCGCTGGCCCGGAGCCCCCCGACCCCCTGTTCCCTGCGCCCCACAGGGACCCCCACCTGGGCCCCAAAAACCCCAAAAGTTACCCCAAAACCCCCAAAGTTACCCCAAAAACACCAAAATCCCCACAGGGACCCCAAAAACGCCAAAAGTTACCCCAAAAATCCCAAAAGTTACCCCAAAATTCACAGGGACCCCAAAAACCCCAAAAACCCCACAGGGACCCCAAAAACCCCAAAAACCCCACAGGGACCCCAAAATCCTGCCCAGAATGTAGAAACCCCAAAAACCCCACATGGACCCCAAAGGGACCCCAAAAACCCCAAAGTTAACCCAAAAAACCCCCAAAGGGACCCCAAAATCCCCACAGGGACCCCAAAAACCCCACAGGGACCCCAAAAACCCCAAAGGGACCCCAAAAACCCCAAAGTTAACCCAAAAAACCACAAAGAGACCCCAAAAACCCCACAGGGACCCCCAAAACCCCAAAAGTTACCCCAAAATCCTGCCCGGAACAGAGAAACCCCAAAAACCCACAAAGTTACCCCCAAATCCCAAAAGTTACCCCAAAATCCCCCACAGGGACCCCAAAAACAACAAAAGTTACCCCAAAAGCCACAGGGACCCCAAAAACCCAAAAGTTACCCCAAAATCCTGCCCGGAACAGAGAAACCCCAAAAACCCCACAGAGACCCCAAAAAACCCACAGGGACCCCAAAATCCCAAAATCCCCACAGGGACCCCAAAAACAACAAAAGTTACCCCAAAATACCAAAAGTTACCCCAAAATCCCCCACAGGGACCCCAAAAACCCCAAAATCCCCACAGGGACCTCAAAAACCCCAAAAACGCCAAAAGTTACCCCAAAATCCCGCTGGCCCGGAGCCCCCCGACCCCCTGTTCCCTGCGCCCCACAGGGACCCCCACCTGGGCACCCCAAAAACACCAAAAATCCCAAAAGTTACCCCAAAATCCTGCCCGGAACAGAGAAACCCCCAAAACCCCAAAAGTTACCCCAAAATCCCGCTGGCCCGGAGCCCCCCGACCCCCTGTTCCCTGCGCCCCACAGGGACCCCCACCTGGGCACCCCAAAAAACCCCAAAAACCCCAAAAGTTACCCCAAAATCCTGCCCGGAACAGAGAAACCCCAAAAACCCCAAAAATTACCCAAAAATCCCAAAAGTTACCCCAAAATCCCGCTGGCCCAGAGCCCCCCGACCCCCTGCTCCCTGCGCCCCACAGGGACCCCCACCTGGGCCCCAAAAACACCAAAAACCCCAAAAGTTACCCCAAAATCCTGCCCGGAACAGAGAAACCCCAAAAACCCCACAGGGACCCCAAAAATCCCAAAAGTTACCCCAAAATCCCGCTGGCCCGGAGCCCCCCGACCCCCTGCTCCCTGCGCCCCACAGGGACCCCCACCTGGGCCCCAAAATCCCAAAAACCCCAAAAGTTACCCCAAAATTCACAGGGACCCCAAAAACCCCACAGGGACTGCAAAGGGACCCCAAAAACCCCAAAAGTTACCCCAAAATCCTGCCCGGAACAGAGAAACCCCAAAAACCCCAAAAATTACCCAAAAATCCCAAAAGTTACCCCAAAATCCCCCTGGCCCGGAGCCCCCCGACCCCCTGTTCCCGCCGCCCCACAGGGACCCCCACCTGGCACCCCAAAAACCCCAAAAGTTACCCCAAAAATCCCAAAATTACCCCAAAATCCTGCCCGGAACAGAGAAACCCCAAAATCCCCACAGGGACCCCAAAAAAACCCACAGGGACCCCAAAATCCTCAAAAGTTACCCCAAAATCCCGCTGGCCCGGAGCCCCCCGACCCCCTGCTCCCTGCGCCCCACAGGGACCCCCACCTGGCACCCCAAAAACCCCAAAAACGCCAAAAGTTACCCCAAAATCCTGCCCGGAACAGAGAAACCCCAAAAACCCCACAGGGACCCCAAAAACCCCAAAATCCCCACAGGGACCCCAAAAACCCCACAGGGACCCCAAAATCCCCCCTGTTCCCTGCGCCCCGCCGGGACCCCCACCTGGGCCCCAAAAACCCCAAAAGTTACCCCAAAAAACCCCACAGGGACCCCAAACCCCCCCAAGGGACCCCAAAACTCCCCCAAACCCCCCCAAGGGACCCCAAACCCCTCTGGGATGACCCCAAATGACCCCAAACCCCCCCCAAGGGACCCCAAATTGACCCAAGGGACCCCCAAACCCCCCCAAAAGGGACCCCAAAGCCCCCCCAAATCTCCCCCTAATGACTCCAAATGACCCCAAAACCTCCTCAAATGACCCCAAACCCCCCCAAGGGACCCCAAAACCCCCCCAAGGGACCCCAAATTACCCCAACCACCCCCCAAATCACCCCCAAATGACCCCAAACCCCCCCAAGGGACCCCAAATGACCCCAACCCCCCCCCAAGGGACCCCAAAAACCCCCCAAACCCCCCCAAATGACCCCAAATGACCCCAAACTCCCCCAAAGGGACCCCAAACCGCCCCCAAACCCCCCCAAGGGACCCCAAACCCCCCCAAATCACCCCCAAATGACCCCCAAATGACCCCAAATAGCCCCCAAATGACCCCAAAACCCCCCCAAGGGACCCCAAGACCCCCACAAGGGACCCCAAACCGCCCCCAAATCCCTCAAATGACCCCAGCCACCCCCCAAATGACCCCAACCCCCCCCCAAATGACCCCAAACCCCCCCAAACCCCCCCAAATGACCCCCCTCCCCCCAGGGCCCGCTGACCGTTTTTGGGGGTCCCCCCGGGGGGCTGAGGCTGAGCTGGAAGATGAGGCTGGAGTGCAGGTAGGGCCCGGGGGGGGGGGCCCAGCGCACGCACAGCTCCCCCCGCGCGCCCCCCGCCCACACCGACACGTTCTGGGGGGGCCCCGGCAGCACTGGGGGGGGCAAAGGGTCAGGGGGGCACCCCAAAAAAATCCCCGAACAGATCGGGGTCCCCAAACCCCGAATTCAGCCCAAAAACCGCCGAAATCGGCCCAAAAATGCCCGAAATCGCCCCAAAAATCCCACTGAAAATCCAAAATTTGCCTCAAAAATCCCGCTGAAAATCCCAAATTCACCCCAAAAATCTCCCCCCGCCCACACCGACACGTTCTGGGGGGGCCCCGGCAGCACTGGGGGGGGAAAAGGGTCAGGGGGGCACCCCAAAAAAATCCCCGAAAAGATTGGGGCCCCCAAACCCCGAATTCAGCCCAAAAACCCCGAAAATCGGCACAAAAATCCCCAAATTCACCCCAAAAATCTCCCCCCCCCCACACCGACACGTTCTGGGGGGGCCCCGGCAGCACTGGGGGGGGAAAAGGGTCAGGGGGGCACCCCAAAAAAATCCCCAAACAGATAGGGGCCCAAAAACCCCGAATTCAGCCCAAAAACCGCCAAAAATCGCCCCAAAAATGCCCGAAATCGGCCCAGAAATCCCGCTGAAAATCCCAAATTTAGCCCAGAAATCCCTCCCAAAACCCCAAATTCCCAAATTCACTCCAAAAACCCCAAATTCATCCCCAAAAACCCCAAATTCACCCCAAAAACCCCAAAATTTACCCAAAAATCCCGCTGAAAACCCCAAATTCAGCTCAGAAATCCCTCCCAAAACCCCAAATTCCCAAATTCACCCCCAAATCCCCAAATTCACCACAAAAATCCCAATGTCACCCCAAAAACCCCAAAATAGCCCCAAAAATCCTGCTGAAAATCCCAAAATCCCCCCAAAAATCCCTCCCCAAACCCAAAATTCCCAAATTCCCTCCAAAATCCCCAAATTCACCCCAAAAATCCCAAAATAGCCCAAAAATCCCACTGAAAATCCCAAATTCACCCCCAAAACCCCAAATTCACCCCAAAAACCCCGAAATCGCCCCAAAATTCCCAAATTCGCCCCAAAAATCCCAAAATAGCCCCAAAAATCCCACTGAAAATCCCAAATTCGCCCCAAAAACCCCATAATCACCCCAAAAATCCCTTAGAAAACCCTGAAATCGCCTCAAAACCCCCAAATTCACCCCAAAAATCCCCCCCCGCCCACACCGACACGTTCTGGGGGGGCCCCGGCAGCACTGGGGGGGAAAAAGGGTCAGGGGGGCACCCCAAAAAAATCCCCAAAGAGATCGGGGCCCCCAAACCCCAAATTCGGCACAAAAACGCCCGAAATCGCCCCAAAAATCCCGAAAATCGGCACAAAAATCCCACTGAAAATCCCAAATTCACCCCAAAAATCCAAAATTCACCCCAAAAACCCCAAAATCGCCCCAAAAATCCCCCTGAAAATCCCAAATCCACCCCAGAAATCCCTCCCAAAACCCCAAATTCCCAAATTCACTCCAAAAATCCCAAAATCCCCCCAAAAATCCCTCCCAAAACCCCAAATTCACCCCCAAAATCCCGAAATTGCCCCAAAAATCCCAAATTCGCCCCAAAAATCCCAAAATAGCCCCAAAAATCCCACTGAAAATCCCAAATTCACCCCAAAAACCCCGAAACCACCATAAAAATCCTGCTGAAAATCCCAAATTCACCCCAAAAATGCCAAATTCACCCCCAAAAATCCCAAATTCACCCCAAAAATGCCTTAGAAAACCCTGAAATTGACCCAAAACCCCCAAATCCCCCCAAAATCCCCCCAAAATCCCCCAAATCCCCCCAAATCCCCAAATCCCCCCAAATCCCCCCAAATCCCCCCCAAATCCCCCCAAAATCCCCCCCAAATCCCCCAAAATCCCCCAAATCCCCCAAAATCCCCCAAAATCCCCCCAAAATCCCCCCAAATCCCCCCAAATCCCCCCAAATCCCCCCCAAATCCCCCCCAAATCCCCCCAAATCCCCCCCAAATCCCCCCAAATCCCCCCGTACCGACTTGATCGATGAAAAGCGTCCGCTGGAACACGGGGGGGGGCTCGGGGGTCTTTTGGGGGGTCCCGGGGGGGGTCCCGAAGGTTTTTGGGGGGGTCCCGGAGATTTTGGGGGGGCTCTTGGTGGTCTCGGTGGTCTCAGAGGTTTTGGGGGGGGTCCCCGAGATTTTGGGGGGGGTCCCGGTGGTTTTTGGGGGGCTCTCGGTGGCCTCAGTGGTCTCGGTGGTCCCGGAAATTTTGGGGGGGGTCCCCGAGATTTTGGGGGGGCTCTCGGTGGTCTCAGACGATTTTGGGGGGATCTTGGAGGTTTTGGGGGGGGTCCCGGAGGTTTTTGGGGGCTCTCAGTGGCCTCGGTGGTCTCGGTGGTCCCGGAAATTTTGGGGGGGGTCTCGGTGGTTTTTGGGTGGGTCTCGGTGGTCTCAGTGATTTTGGGGGGGGTCCTGGTGGTCTCAGAGATTTTTGGGGTGGTCCCGGAGGTTTTTGGGGGGGTCTCGGTGGTCCCCGAGATTTTGGGGGGGGTCTCGGTGGTCCTGGTGGTCCCAGGGGGGGTCCCGGTGGTTTTTGGGGGGGTCTTGGTGGTCTCAGACATTTTGGGGGGGGTCTCGGTGGTCTCGGTGTCCTTGGTGGTCCCGGGGTGGCTCTCGGTGGTTTTTGGGGGTCTCTGGGAGGTTTTTGGGGGTCTCTCGGTGGTCTCGGTGGTCTCAGAGGTTTTTGGGGTGGTCCCGTTGGTTTTCGGGGGTCTCTCGGTGGTTTTCGGGGGTCTCTCGGTGGTTTTTGGGGTGGTCCCGTTGGTTTTTGGGGGTCTCTCGGCGGTTTTTGGGGGTCTCTCGGTGGTCCCGTTGGTTTTCGGGGGTCTCTCGGTGGTTTCTGGGGGTCTCTCGGTGGTTTTCGGGGGTCTCTCGGCGGTTTTTGGGGGTCCCTCGGTGGTCCCCGTTATTTGGGGGGGGGTCCCCGTTATTTGGGGGGGGGTCTCTGGCACCAGGCGCAGCTCGAGGGGCACGAAGGTGACGGTGGCGGCGGCCGGGAGGGAACACCAGAAACGGGACCCCCCCCCCGGGCGGGGGGTGACACTGAGGGGACAGTCCTGCCACGGGTCCTGCCTGGGGTCAGAGGTCAGGGGTCACCATGGGGTCACTCAGGGGTCAGGGGTCACGCAGGGGTCACACAGAACACCAGAAACGGGACCCCCCCCCCCGGGCGGGGGGTGACACGGGGGGGACAGTCCTGCCACGGGTCCTGCCTGGGGTCAGAGGTCAGGGGTCATCGGGGGGTCAGGGGTCACGCACGGGTCACACAGGGGTCACTCAGGGTCACTCAGGGGTCACTCAGGGGTCACACAGAGCACCGGGACCCCCCCCCGGGCGGGGGGTGACACGGAGGGGACAGTCCTGCCACGGGTCCTGCCTGGGGTCAGAGGTCAGGGGTCACCATGGGGTCACCAGGGTCACGCAGGGGTCACTCAGGGGTCACTCAGGGTCACTCAGGGGTCAGGGGTCACTCAGGGGTCACTCAGGGGTCAGGGGTCACGCAGGGGTCACCGGGGGGTCACACAGGGGTCACTCAGGGGTCACACAGGGGTCACTCGGGTCACACAGAGCACTGGGACACCCCCCCCGGGCGGGGGGTGACACTGAGGGGACAGTCCTGCCACGGGTCCTGCCTGGGGTCAGAGGTCAGGGGTCACCGGGGGGTCAGGGGTCACTCAGGGGTCACTCAGGGGTCAGGGGTCACTCAGGGGTCACACAGAGCACCGGGACCCCCCCCCCGGGCAGGGGGTGACCCTGAGGGGACAGTCCTGCCACGGGTCCTGCCTGGGGTCAGAGGTCAGGGGTCACACAGGGGTCAGGGGTCACACAGGGGTCACAGGGACCCCTCCCCCCCCGGGCGGGGGGTGACACGGACGGGACAGTCCTGCCACGGGTCCTGCCTGGGGTCAGAGGTCAGAGGTCACCATGGGGTCACCGGGGGGGTCACTCAGGGATCAGTGAGGGTCACTCAGGGGTCAGTAAAGGTCATTCAGGGTCACTCAGGGGTAACTCAGGGGTCATTCAGGGGTCAGTGAGGGTCACTCAGGGGTCAGTGAGGTCACTCAGGGTCACTCAAGGTCACTCAAGGTCACTCAAGGGTCAGTGAGGGTCACTCAGGGTCACTCAGGTGTCAGTCAGGGGTCACTAAGGGGTCACTCAGGGGTCACTAAGGGGTCAGTCAGGGGTCACTTAGGGGTCAGTTGGGGTCACTCAGGGTCACTGTGGGGTCAGTGAAGGTCACTCAGGGGTCACTCAGGGGTCAGTGATGGTCAGTGAAGGGTCACTCAGGGGTCAGGCGTCACCAGGGGTCACTCAGGGTCACGCAGGGGTCACTCAGGGGTCAGTGAGGGTCACTCGGGTCAGTAAAGGTCATTCAGGGTCACTCAAGGGTCACTCAGGGTCACTCAGGGTCACTCAGGGTCACTCAGGGGTCACTCAGGGTCACTCAGGGGTCACTCAGGGGTCACTCAGGGTCACTCAGGTGTCAGTGAGGGTCCTCAGGGGTCACTCAGGGGTCACCATGGGTCACACAGGGGTCACTCAGGGGTCACTCAGGGGTCAGGGGTCACTCAGGGGTCACTCAGGGTCACAGGGGTCACACAGGGGTCACTCAGGGTCGTTCAGGGGTCACTAAGGGTCACTCAGGGTCACTCAGGGGTCAGTGAGGGTCACTCAGGGTCAGTGAGGGTCACTCAGGGGGTCACTCAGGGGTCACTCAGGGGTCACAGAGGGGTCAGAGGTCACTCACTCCAGCCGGAACTGCAGCCGGAAGCGCTCCCTCTCCCAGAAGCAGAGACAGGGGTCAGTGAGGGGTCACACAGGGGTCACTCAGGGGTCAGTGAGAGGTCACACAGGGGTCAGTGAGGGGTCAGAGGTCAGTGAGGGGTCACTCAGAGGTCAGAGGTCACTCAGGGGTCAAACGTCACTCACTCGAGGCGGAACTGCAGCCGGAAGTGCTCCCTCTCCCAGAAGCAGAGACAGGGGTCAGGGCTCAGTGAGGGGTCACACAGGGGTCAGGGGTCACAGAGGGGTCAGAGGTCACTCACTCCAGGCGGAACTGCAGCCGGAAGTGCTCCCTCTCCCAGAAGCAGAGCAGCTCCTGCAGGGTCCGAGTGAAGCAGTGGGGGGGGGGTCGGGTCTGACCCACGCACGATGGACACTGAGGGCAAAGGTCAGAGGTCACTCAGGGGTCACTCAGGGGTCAGTCAGGGTCACTCAGGGGTCATTCAGGGGTCACTCAGGTCAGAGGGAACACAGGAGAAATTTCCCCCCTCTCCAAAATCCCCCCAAAATTCCCTCCTAAACCCCCAAAATCCCCCCAAAAACCCGAAATCCCCCAAATCCCTCCAAAATTCCCTCTCAAACCCCCAAAATCCCCCCATGAACCCCAAATGCACCAAAACCCTCAAAATCCCCCCAAAATCCCCCCCAAATCCCCCAAAATCCCCCCAAAAAAACCCCAAAATTCTCTCCTAAACCACCCAAAATCCCCCCAAAAAACACCAAATGCACAAAACCCCTCAAAATCCCCCCCAAATCCCCCAAATTCGCCCTAAACCCTCCAAAATCTCCCCAAAATTCCCTCCTAAAAACACCCCAAACCCCCCCAAAACCCAAAATCCCCCCAAAACTGCCTCAAATCCCCCCAAAATCCCACAGCCGGCCCAAAACTCCCTCCTAAAGCCCCCAAAATTCCCAAAAAACTCCCCCAAATCCCCCCAAAACTCCCCAAAATCCCCCAAATTCCTCCCACCCCCCAAAACACCCTCCAAAAACACCCCGGAAGCCCCAAAATCCCCCAAAACTCCCAAAATACCCCAAATTCTCATCCCAAATCCCCCCTAAACCCCCAAAATAACCCAAAATACCCCAAAAAATCGCCCAAATCCCCCCAAAATCCCCCAAATACCCCTAAATCCCCCCAACCAAATTCCCCTGAAATCCCCCAAAACTCCCAAAATCCCCCAAATCCCCCAAATTCTCCCCAAAATCCCCCAAATTCTCCCCAAAATCCCCCAAATTCCCCCCAAATCTCCCCAAAATCCCCCCAAATTTCCCCCAAATCCTCCCCCAAATCGCCCCAAAATTCCCCAAATCCCCCAAATTTCCACCAAAATCCCCCAAATCCCCCCAATTTTCCCCCAAATTTCCCCCAAAATCCCCTCAAATCCCCCCAAAATTCTCCCAAAACTGCCCCAAATCCCCCACATTTGCCCCAAAGTTCCTCCCAAAACTCCCCAAATCCCCAAAAATTCCCCAACATCCCTCAAATTCCCCCCAAAAATCCCCAAATCGCCCCAAAATTCCCCCCAAATTCCCCCCAAAATCCCCTCAAAACTCCCCAAAATCCCCCAAATTCTCCCCAAAATCCCCCAAATTGCTCCCAAATTCCCCCCAAATATCCCCAAAACTCCCAAAATCCCCTCAAATCCCCCAAATTTCCCCCAAATCCCCCAAATTTCCCCCAAATCCCCCAAATTTCCCCCAAAATCCCCCCAAATCCCCCAAAATCCCCCCCAAATTCCCCAAATCCCCCAAATTTCTCACAAATTCCCCCCAAAATCCCCCAAAGTCCCCCCAAAATCCCCCAAATTTCCCCCAAATCCTCCAAATTTCCCCCAAAATCCCCGAAATCCTCCAAATTTCCCCCAAATTTCACCAAAACCCCCCGAAATCCCCCAACATCCCCCAAATTTCCCCCAAAATCCCCCCAAAATCCCCCCAAACCCCCCAAATCCCCCCAAAACACCACAAAATCCCCCAAAACTCCCCAAATTCCCCCAAAATCCCCCCAAATTCCCCTCCCCCCCCCTTACCTTCCTCCTCCAGGTCCGGGGGGGTCTCGGAGCCTTCGGGGACCCCCCAAATTTGGGGGACCCCCCCCGGGAGCCCCCCCAGGAGCCCCCCCAGGAGCAGCAGCGCCGCCATGGGGGGGGTGGGGGATTTTGGGGGGATTTTTGGGGATTTTTGGGGATTTTTTTGGGGATTTTTGGGGATTTTTGGCGCTTTTGGGGGGTTTTTTTTGGGGGGTTGTTTTTTTTTGGGGCGCGCGGTTTTGGGGGGGCCCTCCCCCCTCCCCAGGGCGGGGCCGGGCTGGGAGGGGAGATAAGGGGGGGAGGGGCGAGATAAGGGGGGGAGGGGCGAGATAAGGGGGGGAGGGGCGAGATAAGGGGGGGAGGGGCGAGATAAGGGGGGGGAGGGGATTTGGGAACCCCAAAAACGCCGCGGGAGCCCCAAAAAAACCTCCAGGACTCCCCAAAAAACCTCCAAGAACCCCCAAAAAACCATCTGGGACCCCCCAAAATCGCCCCGGGACCCCCAAAAAACCACCCGGGACCCCCCAAAAATCCCCCGGGAGCCCCAAAAATCCTCCAGGGACTTCCCCGAGACCCCCAAAAAACTCCCGGGACTCCCCAAAAAACCCTCGGGAGCCCCAAAAACCCTCAGGATCCCCAAAAAATCCCCGGGAGCCCCAAAAACTCTGGGGACCCCCCAAAAAACCCCCCGGGAGTCCCAAAAAACCCCCAAACCCCCCTGAGACCCCCTCCAAATAAAACAGGGACCCCCAAAAACCCCCCGGGAGTCCCAAAAAACTCTCAGGGACCCCCCAAAAACGCCCGGGAGCCCCAAAAATCTCTCGGGGGCCCCAAAAAACCCCCCGGGAGCCCCAAAAACTCCTGGGAACCCCCAAAAAATCCCCAAACCCCCCTGAGACCCCCCCCAAATAAAACAGGGACCCCCAAAAAACCCCCGGGAACCCCAAAAAACCCCCCGGGAGCCCCAAAAAAACCCCGGGACCCCCAAAAAAAACCCTGGGATCCCCAAAAAACCCTCAGGACCCCCAAAAAAATCCCCAAAGCCCCCTGAGACCCCCCCAAATAAAACAGGGACCCCCAAAAAAACCCCCGGGAGCCCCAAAATAAACCAGGGACACCCAAAAAACCCCCCGGGAGCCCCAAAAAACCCCCCGGGAGCCCCAAAAATCCTCCAGGGACCTCCCCAGGACCCCCAAAAAACCTCCAGGACCCCCCAAAAAACCCTCAGGAACCCCCAAAAAACCCCCCGGGAGCCCCAAAAAATCCCCCGGGAGCCCCAAAAATCCTCCAGGGACTTCCCCGAGACCCCCAAAACACCCCCCGGGACCCCCAAAAAACCCTCAGGAGCCCCCAAAAAACCCCCGGGAGCCCCAAAAAATCCCCAAACCCCCCTGAGACCCCCCCAAATAAAACAGGGACCCCCAAAAAACCCTCAGGATCCCCAAAAACTCCCCGGGACCCCCAAAAAAAGACCCGGGACCCCCCAAAAATCCCCCGGGAGCCCCAAAAAACCCCCCGGGACCCCCAAAAATACACGAGGGACACCCCCAAAACCTGTTTTTTATTTGTTATACTGGTTCATACTGGTTCATACTGGTTTATACTGGTCCATACTGGTTTACACTGGTCCATAATGGTTTTTATTGATTATAATGGTTTATAATGGTTTATACTGGTCCATACTGGTCCATACTGGTTTATACTGGTTATACTGGTTTATACTGGTTTATACTGGTCCATACTGGTTTATACTGGTTTATACTGGTCCATACTGGTTTTTATTGGTCCATACTGGTCCATACTGGTTTATACTGGTTTATACTGGTTTACACTGGTCCGTACTGGTTTATACTGGTTTATACTGGTCCATACTGGTTTTTATTGGTCCATACTGGTCCATACTGGTTTATACTGGTTTATACTGGTCCATACTGGTTTATACTGGTTTATACTGGTCCATACTGGTTTTTATTGGTCCATACTGGTCCATACTGGTTTATACTGGTTTATACTGGTTTACACTGGTCCGTACTGGTTTATACTGGTTTATACTGGTCCATACTGGTTTTTATTGGTCCATACTGGTCCATACTGGTTTATACTGGTTTATACTGGTTTACACTGGTCCGTACTGGTTTATACTGGTTTATACTGGTCCATACTGGTTTTTATTGGTCCATACTGGTCCATACTGGTTTATACTGGTTTATACTGGTTTACACTGGTCCATACTGGTTTATACTGGTCCATACTGGTCCGTACTGGGGCAGAGCCGCGGGTGGGGGAGGGGCGGCCTCGTCTGGGGGGGGGGAGGGGAGGGGAGGGGCGGTCAGGGAGCCAAAAATGCCCAAAAATCACCGAAATCACCCAAATACCCCAAAATAGCCCCAAATAGCTCCAAAATCATCCCAAATAACCCAAAATGCCCCCAAAATAACTCCAAATTACCCCCAAAATATCCCAAAAATAACCCAAAACATCTCCAAAATACCCCAAAAAATAACCCCAAATGACCCCCAAATAACCCCAAATACCCCCAAAATCCCAAAATCCCCCCAAAATCCCCCAAATCCCCTCTCACCATCGGAGCTCGGGCTGCGGGACCCCAAAACCCGTCAGGAGCCCCCCAAAAAAGGGTCAGGACCCCCAAAAACAGGAACGGGGACCCCCAAAACCCGTCAGGACCCCCAAAAACGCCCCAAGAAAGGGTCAGGACCCCCAAAAATGCCCCAAAAACCGGATCGGGGACCCCAAAACCCGTCAGGATCCCCCAAGAACTCCCCCAAAAAAGGGTCAGGACCCCCCCAAAATTGTCTCAGGCCCGCCAAAATTGTCTCGGGACCCCCCCAAAATTATCCCTCACCTGTCCCAGGTGTGTGCCCAGGTGCCCCCAGGTGCCCCCAGGTGTGCCCAGCTGCCCCCAGGTGTGCCCAGGTGCCCCCCAGGTGTGTCTCACCTGTCGGGGGCTGTGCCCAGGTGCCCCCCAGGTGTCCCCAGGTGTATCCCAGGTGCCCCCAGGTGTGCCCAGCTGTGCCCAGGTGTGCCCAGGTGTGCCCAGGTACCCCCAGGTACCCCCAGGTGTGCCCCAGGTGTGCCCCCAGGTGCCCCCAGGTGTGTCTCACCTGCGGGCACTGTGTCCAGGTGTGCCCAGGTGTGCCCAGGTACCCCCAGAGCCGCTCCCGCAGAGCCGCCGCCTCAGCCCTGAGCCGGGACAGGGACAGAGACACCGACACGGACAGCCGGGACAGGTGGGACACCTGGGACAGGTAAAATGGGACAGGTGGGACAGGTGAGACACCTGCGATAGGTGAGAGGGAACAGGTGAGATGGGACAGGGACAGAGACACCGACAGGGACAGCCGGGACAGGTGAGACACCTGGGACAGGTGAGACAGGTGAGACACAGACAGGTGAGAGACAGGGACAGGTGAGAGGGGACAGGTGAGACACAGACAGGTGGGACAGGTCAGACACCTGGGACAGGGACAGAGACACCGACAGCGACAGCTGGGACAGGTGAGACACCTGGGACAGGTGAGGGACAGACAGGTGGGACAGGTGAGACAGGTGAGAGACAGGTGAGATGGGGACAGGTGAGACACCTGGGACACCTGGGACAGGTGAGACAGGGACAGGTGAGATGGGACAGGGACAGAGACACCGACACCGACAGGTGGGACAGGTGAGTCACCTGGGACAGGTGAGAGGAGACAGGTGGGACAGGGACAGGTCAGACACCTGGGACAGGTGAGAGACAGGTGACAGACAGGTGAGAGGGGACAGGTGAGACACCTGGGACACCTGGGACAGGTGAGAGGGGACAGGTGAGACAGGGACAGGGACAGGTGGGACAGGGACAGGTGAGAGGGGACAGGGACGGGGACACGGAGAGGTGAGACACCTGCGACAGGTAAGAGATGGACAGGTGAGACACCTGGGACAGGTGAGAGGGGACAGGTGAGAGGGGACAGGGACATGGACATGGACAGGTGAGACAGGTGGGACACCTGGGACAGGTGAGACAGGAACAGATGGGACAGGTGAGAGACAGGGACAGGGACAGGGACAGGTGAGTCACCTGGGACAGGTGAGAAACAGGGACAGGTGGGACACCAGGGACAGCGACAGGTGAGAGGGGACCGGTGAGACGGGGACACGGACAGGGACATGGACAGGTGAGACAGGTGAGACACCTGGGACAGGTCAGACAGGGACAGGTGAGATGGGGACAGGTGAGACACAGATATGACAGGTGTGACACAGGTGTGACACAGGGACACACGGGTGTGTCCCAGGTATGTGCCCAGCTGTGCCCAGGTGTGCCCCTCAGGTGTCCCTTTGGGGGTCTCACCTGTGGCCGGGCTCCGGTGGGCGTGGCCGGGGGCGGGGCCTCCCCCGCTGCCCCCGGGGGGGTCCCGGGGGGGGTCCCGGGGGGGGTCCCCAAAGGCTCCTCGGGGGGGTCCCCGCGGGGGGGCGGCGGTGGGGGGGGCTCCCCCCGCCCCTCCCCCCACTGCGGCCACACCTGAGGGGGGGGAGGGGAATGAGGGGGAGGGGTGGGGGCGGGGCCAGCCCCGAACCCCCCCCACAAAAAGTACAAAAAACACCAAAATTTACCCCAAATCCCCCCAAATTCCCCCAAAATCCACCCAAACTCCCCCTCAATCCCCTGAATCCCCCCAAATTCCCCCCAAATCCCCCCAAATTCCCCCCAAATTGCCCCAAATTCCCCCCAAATCCCCCCAAATCCCCCCCAAATCCCCCCAAATCCCCCCAAATCCCCCCCAAATCCCCCCAAATCCCCCCAAATCCCCCAAACCCCTCCCCCACATCCCGTACCGGTTCCCGCTGTTCCCGCGGTTGCGCCGCCCCCCCCCGACGGGACCCTCCGGCCTGGGGGGGCAACGGGGGGGGGGGGAGGGGTCAGGGGGGACCCCCAGACCCTCCCCCACAATGCAGAGCCCCTCCCCCCACCCAGCCCCTCCCCCAATCCAGACCCTCCCCCATTTGTACCCTCCCCCACCCAGCCCCTCCCCCAATCTGGGACCCCCTCCCCCATCCAACCCCTCCCCAATCAAGGCCCTCCCCCCAATCGAACCCCTCCCCCCAAATTGAACCCCTCCCCCACCCAGCCCCTCCCCCAATCTGGGACCCCCTCCCCCACCCAGCCCCTCCCCAAAGCCCCTCCCCGAAGCCCCTCCCCCAATCTAGGACCCCTCCCCCAATTCAGCTTCTCCCCCCAAATGGAACCCCTCCCCCACCCAGCCCCTCCCCAAATTCAGGACCCCCTCCCCCACCCAGCCCCTCCCTGAAGCCCCTCCCCCACCCAGACCCTCCCCCCAAATCCAGGACCCCTCCCCCAATCTGGGACCCCCTCCCCCACCCAGCCCGTCCCCCATTTGTCCCCTCCCCCACTTTGCCCCTCCCCCACCCAGCCCCTCCCCCAATCTGGGACCCCCCTCCCCCCCAGCCCCTCCCCCTCACCTGCTTGGCCCCGCCCCTCCCCCCACGGCTCCGCAGCCCCCTCAGCCTCTGGCGGGCCCAGAGCAGCTTCACCTGAGCCACGCCCACCTGAGAGCGGGACAGGAACACCTGGGCCTGCAGGTGAGACAGGTGAGACACACCTGAGAGGGACACCTGGACAGGTGAGACACACCTGAGCCACGCCCACCTGAGAGTGACACAGGTACACCTGGGCCTGCAGGGGAGACAGGTGAGACACACCTGAGAGGGACACAGGGACACCTGGACAGGTGAGACACACCTGAGCCACGCCCACCTGAGAGCGGGACAGGAACACCTGGGCCTGCGGGTGAGACAGGTGAGACACACCTGAGAGAGAGGGACACCTGGACAGGTGAGACAGGTGAGACACACCTGAGAGGGACACAGGGACACCTGAGAGTGACACAGGTACACCTGGACAGGTGAGACACACCTGAGAGGGACACAGGTACACCTGAGAGTGACACAGGGACACCTGGACAGGTGAGACACACCTGAGAGGGACACAGGGACACCTGGACAGGTGAGACACACCTGAGAGGGACACAGGTACACCTGAGCCACGCCCACCTGAGAGCGGGACAGGAACACCTGGGCCTGCAGGTGAGACAGGTGAGACACACCTGAGAGGGACACCTGGACAGGTGAGACACACCTGAGCCACGCCCACCTGAGAGCGGGACAGGAACACCTGGGCCTGCAGGTGAGACAGGTGAGACACACCTGAGAGAGGGACAGGTACACCTGAGCCACGCCCACCTGAGAGTGGGACAGGTACACCTGGGCCTGAGGGTGAGACAGGTGAGACACACCTGAGCCACGCCCACCTGAGCCACGCCCACCTGAGAGCGGGACAGGCACACCTGGGCCTGCAGGTGAGACAGGTGAGACACACCTGAGAGTGACACAGGCACACCTGAGCCACGCCCACCTGAGAGCGGGACAGGTACACCTGAGCCTGCAGGTGAGACAGGTGAGACACACCTGAGAGGGACACAGGTACACCTGAGAGTGACACAGGTACACCTGGACAGGTGAGACACACCTGAGCCACGCCCACCTGAGAGCGGGACAGGCACACCTGGGCCTGCAGGTGAGACAGGTGAGACACACCTGAGAGTGACACAGGGACACCTGGACAGGTGAGACACACCTGAGAGGGACACAGGTACACCTGGACAGGTGAGACACAGGTAACATAGAGACAGGTGAGATGGGACAGGTGAGACACAGGTGAGATACAGGTGTGTCCCATGTGTACTCAGGTGTGTCTCAGGTGTGTCTCACCTGTCCCAGGTGCGCTCAGGTGTGTCATTACCTGTCCCAGGTGTGTCTCAGGTGTGTCACAGGTGTGTCACAGGTGTGTCATTATCTGTCCCAGGTGTGTCTCAGGTGTGTCTGTACCTGTCCCAGGTGTGTCACAGGTGTGTCATTACCTGTCCCTCACCTGTCTCAAGTGTGTCTCACCTGTCCCAGGTGTGTCACAGGTGTGTCATTACATGTCCCAGGTGTGTCTCAGGTGTGTCTCACCTGTCCCAGGTGTGCTCAGGTGTGTCCCAGGTGTGTCATTACCTGTGCCGCGCCCCTCAGGTTGCGGTAGAGCCGTTCCATCCTCTGCGCCTCCTCCCCATTACCTGTCATTACCTGTCTCAGGTGTGTCATTACCTGTGCCGCCCCGCAGGTTCCGGTAGAGCCGTTCCATCCTCTGCGCCTCCTCCCCATTACCTGTCCCAGGTGTGTCCCAGGTGTGTCTGTACCTGTCCCAGGTGTGCTCAGGTGTGTCCCAGGTGTGTCCCAGGTGTGTCCCAGGTGTGTCATTACCTGTCCAGGTGAGTCTCACCTGTGCGGCCCCGCGCAGGTTCCGGTAGAGCCGTTCCATCCTCTGCGCCTCCTCCCCATTACCTGTCCAGGTGTGTCCCAGGTGTGTCTCACCTATCCCAGGTGTGTCCCAGGTGTGTCTGTACCTGTCCCAGGTGTGTCTCTCACCTGTACTTTACCTGTCCCAGGTGTGTCTCTCACCTGTGCGGCGCCCCTCAGGTTCCGGTAGAGCCGTTCCATCCTCTGCGCCTCCTCCCCCCGCAGCCGCAGCCGCCCCAGAGAGCCCCGGAGAGCCCTGAGCTGGGTCAGAGGTCACGGGGTCACCCGGGGGTCACGGGGGGTCAGAGGTCATGGGGGGTCAGAGGTCAAGGAGAGCCCTGAGCTGGGGGTCAGAGGTCACAGGGGTCACACAGGGGTCACCCGGGGGTCACAGGTCATGGGGGTCACAGGGGGTCATGGGGGGGTCACCCAAGGGTCACAGGGGGACAGAGGTCACGGGGGTCACAGGGGGTCACAGAGGGGTCATGGAGGGTCACCAATGGGTCAGGGGTCACCGTGGGGTCACCCAAGGGTCACGGGGGGTCAGAGGTCACAGGGGGTCATCCGGGGGTCACAGGGGTCAGAGGTCACGAGGGTCAGAGGTCACGGGGTCACAGGGGGCAGAGGTCACGGGGGTCACCCAGGGGTCACGGGGGTCACCCAGGGGTCACGGGGGTCAGAGGTCATGGGGGGCCAGGGGTCAATTTGGGGTCATGGAAGGGTCACCAAGGGGTCAGGGGTCACCGTGGGGTCATGAATGGGTCACACAGGGGTCACACGGGGGTCAGGGGTCACTGAGGGGTGAAGGGTCACCGATGGGCCACAAAGGGGTCACCAAAGGGTCAGCGTGGGGCATAGGTCACCCAGGGGTCAGAGGTCACCAAGGGGCCACAGAGGGGTCACCAGGGGGTCAATGGGGGCAGGGGTCACCAAGGGGTCAGGGGTCACCGTGGGGTCATGGATGGGTCACACAGGGGTCATATGGGGTCACAGGGGGGGTCAGAGGTCATGGGGGGTCAGAGGTCACGGGGGGTCAGCCCCACCTGCTCCTGCCGGGGGTCTCGGGGGGTCCCGGGGTCGTTCTGGGGCCGGGCCCGACCTGGGGGGGCCCAAAAAACACCAAAAAACACCAAAAATAACCCAAAATTACCCAAAACCCACAAAAAGTAACCCAGAGTGGCCCCAAAAAACCTTAAAAAACCCCAAAATAACCCAAAATCAACCCAAAATTACCCCCAAAATAACCCAAAATTACACAAAAAACCCCAAAATAACCCAAAATTACCCCAAAAATAACTCAAAATTACCCAAAATTAACCAAAAAACCCCCCAAAAATAACCCCAAATAATTCCAAATAAAACCAAAATTACCCAAATAACCCCAAAATAATTAATAAAACCCCCCAAAATTACCCAAAATAACCGAAAGTAACCGCAGAGACCCCAAAGTGAACTCAAAGAACCCAAAATCCCCCAAATCCTCCCCAAAATTCCCATAAGTTCCGCCAAAATTCCCCCAAATCCCCCCAAAATTCCCCCAAAATCCCCCCAAATTACCCCAAATCCCCCCAAAATTCCCCCAAAATCCCCAAATTTCCCCCAAATCCCCCCCCCCCCTTACCGGGGTCTCCAGCGGCCATTTGGGGGTCCCGGAGCTGAGGGGGCACAGAGGGGTCGGGGGGACCCCAAAATCACCAAAATCCCCCCAAAATCCCCCAAATCAAACCCAAAATCCCCCAAATCAAACCCAAAATTCCCCCCGGGAACCCCAAAATCACCAAAATCCTCCCCGGGAACCCCAAAATCCCCCAAATTCCCCCAAATTTCACCCCCAAATCCCCCCAATTTCACCCCAAAATCTCACCCCAAATCTCATCCCAATTTTCACCCCAAAATTCCCCAAATTTCACCTCAAATTCCCCCAAATCCCCAAAACCCCCCCAAAATCCCCCCAAATCCCCCCAAATCCCCCAAATTTCACCCCAAAATCCCCCAAATTTCACCCCAAATTTCACCCCCAAATACCCGAAATTTCACCCCAAATTTCACCCCAAATTTCACCCCAAATCCTCCCCCAAATCCCCCAAATTTCACCCCCAAATCCCCCCCAAATCTCACCCCAAATTCCCCCAAGTTTAACCCCAACACCCCCCCAAATCCCCCCCAAATTCCCCCAAAACCCCCAAATTTCACCCCAAAATCCCCCCCAAACCCCCAAATTTCCCCCCAAAACCCCCAAATTTCACCCCAAAATCGCCCCCAAATCCCTCGGCGGCTGCCGGCCCTTGGCCCCGCCCCCTGTCGCTATGGCAACGGGACGCTCGGGCGCTGATTGGCTGAGCCGCCGTACCCAAGATGGCGGCGCCCGCAATCAGTGAGAGGGAATTTTTTCAATCCGTACAAGATGGCGGCCGCCGAGGGTACAGCCGGAAGTTCCGCCTGATGTCATTTCCGGTTCCGCCGTGTGGGGCCGGAGGCGCGCGCGGGAGGCCCGAACCGGTGCGGGGGGGGCGGGGAGGGAATTTTGGGGGAATTTGGGGATTTTTGGGGAATTTTGGGGGAAATTTTGGGGTTTAAAGGAGATTTTGGGGAGGTTTTGGGGGTTTAAATGGGATTTTTGGGGTTTTAAGTGGGAATTTTGGGGTTTAAAAGGAAATTTTGGGGTTTAAAGGGGAATTTTGGGGAGGTTTTAATGGGGAGTTTTGGGGGATTTTGGGGATTTAAAGGGGAATTTTGGGGTTTTAAAGGGGATTTTGGGGTTAAAAGGGGAATTTTTAGGTTTAAAGGGGAATTTTTGGGTTTTAAAGGGGAATTTTGGGGAGGTTTTGGGGGCTTAAATGGGATTTTTGGGGTTTAAAGGGGAATTTTGGGGTTTTAAAGGGGATTTTGGGGTTTTAAAGGGGATTTTGGGGGTTTAAAAGGAAATTTTGGGGAGGTTTTGGGGGTTTAAAGGGGAATTTTGGGGTTTAAAGGGGAATTTTTGGGGTTTTAAGGGGGAATTTTTGGGTTTAAAAGGGATTTTGGGGGGTTTTGAGGGGAATTTTTGGGGTTTAAAGGGGAATTTTTGGGTTTAAAAGGGAATTTTGGGTTTAAAGGGGAATTTTGGGTTTAAAGGGGAATTTTGGGGAGGTTTTAATGGGGGATTTTGGGGATTTTTGGGGGGATTTTTGGGTTTAATGAAGATTTTTGGGGGAGGTTTTGGGGGTTTAAAGGGGAATTTTGGGTTTAAAGGGGAATTTTTGGATTTAAAGGGGAATTTTGGGGGGGGTTGGGGGAAATTAAAGGGAATTTGGGGTGGATTTGTGGGAATTTGGGGTGAATTTTTTGGGAATTTGGGGTGAATTTGGGGAATTTGGTTGAATATTTTGGAATTTGGGGGATTTGAGGGGATTTTGGGGTGAATTTTTTGGGAATTTGGGGTGAATTTTTGGGGAATTTTGGGGATTTGGGGGATTTTGGGGGGATTTGAGGGAATTTGGGGCGAATTTGTGGGAATTTGGTTGAATTATTTGGGAATTTGGGGTGGATTTATGGGAATTTGGGGTGAATTTTTTGGGAATTTGGGGTGAATTTGGGGAATTTGGTTGAATATTTTGGAATTTGGGGGATTTGAGGGATTTTGGGGTGAATTTGGGGGAATTTGGGGTGAATTTTTTGGGAATTTGGGGTGGATTTGTGGGAATTTTGGGTGATTTTTTTGGAATTTGGGGGATTTTGGGGTGAATTTTTGGGAATTTGGGGTGGATTTGTGGGAATTTGGGGTGAATTTTTTTGGATTTTGGGGCGAATTTGTGGGAATTTGGTTGAATTTTTTTGGAATTTGGGGTGGATTTGTGGGAATTTGGGGTGAATTTTTTGGGAATTTGGGGTGAATTTGGGGAATTTGGTTGAATATTTTGGAATTTGCGGGATTTGAGGGGATTTTGGGGTGAATTTGGGGGAATTTGGGGTGAATTTTTTGGGAATTTGGGGTGGATTTGTGGGAATTTTGGGTGATTTTTTTGGAATTTGGGGGATTTTGGGGTGATTTTTTTGGAATTTGGGGGATTTTGGGGTGAATTTTTGGGAATTTGGGGGATTTTGGGTGAATTTTTGGGAATTTGGGGGATTTGGTTGATTTTGGGGTACTTTTTCAGGAATTTGGGGTGATTTTGGGCCGTGCCTCAGTTTCCCCGCCCGGCCATGCTGCCCCCGCCCCCTCTGCTGCTGCTGCTGCCGCTGGTGGTGACCGGGACCCCCGAGGTGACGGTGACACGGCCCCGGGGGGTGGCCCTGAGCCGTGAGTGACCCAAAAACCCCAAAATTCACCCCAAAATCACCCGGAACACAAAAACCGCAAATTTCACCCAAAATCCCCCAAAATCCCACCCAAAATCCCCCAAATCCCCCCCGGGACCCCCGAGGTGACGGTGACACGGCCCCGGGGGGTGGCCCTGAGCCGTGAGTGACCCAAAAACCCCAAAATTCACCCCAAAAATCAGCCCGAACGCAAAAATCACAAATTCCACCCCAAAAAACCCCAAATTTCACCCCAAAATCCCACCAAAATCACCCCAAAATCCCCAAAAATCACCCCAAAAATCACTCTGAACACAAAAACCCCAAATTTCACCCCAAATCCCCCCAAATTTTCCCCAAACCCCCCCAAAATATCCCAAATTTTCCCCAAATTCCCCCAATTCCCCCCTAAATTTCCCCAAATCCCCCAATTTTTCCCCCAAATTCCCCCCAAATCTACCCAAATTCCCCCAAATCTTCCCAAATTTCGCCAAATTTTCCCCAAAATCTCCTCAACCCCCACCAAATCTCCCCCTAATTCCCCTCAAATCCCCCCAAATTTTCGCCAAATCCCCAAATTTTCCGCAAATCTTCCCAAAATCCCCCAAATTTCCCCAATTCCCCCCTAAATTTCCCCAAATCTTCCAAATTTTCCCCAAATTCCCCCAATTCCCCCCTAAATTTCCCCAAATTCTCTAATTTTTCCCCCAATTTCCCCCTAAATCTACTGAAACCCCCCCAAATCTTCCCAAATTTCACCAAATTTTCCCCAAAATCTCCTCAACCCCCACCAAATCTTCCCAAATCTCCCCAAATCTCCCCCTAATTCCCCTCAAATCCCCCCAAATTTTCGCCAAATCCCCAAATTTTCCGCAAATCTTCCCAAATTTTCCCCAAATTCCCCCAATTCCCCCCTAAATTTCCCCAAATCTTCCCAAATTTCCCCCAAATTTCCCCCAAATCTACCCAAATTCCCCCAAATCTTCCCAAATTTCACCAAATTTTCCCCAAAATCTCCCCAACCCCCACCAAATCTCCCCCTAATTTCCCTCAAATCCCCCAAATTTTCGCCAAATCCCCAAATTTTCCGCAAATCTTCCCAAATTTTCCCCAAATTTCCCCAATTCCCCCCTAAATTTCCCCAAATCTTCCCAAATTTCCCCCAAATTCCCCCAATTCCCCCCTAAATTTCCCCAATTCCCCCAATTTTTCCCCCAAATTCCCCCCAAATCTCCCCAAATCTCCCCAATTCCCCTCAAATCCCCCCAAATTTTCCCCAAATCCCTCCAAAATCTCCCCAAATCTCCCCAAATTTTCCCCAAACCCCCCAAAATCCCCCAAATTTCCCAATTTTTCCCCCAAATTCCCCATAAATCTACCCAAATTCCCCCAAATCTTCCCAAATTTCACCAAATTTTCCCCAAAATCTCCCCAAATCCCCCCAAATTTTCCCCAAATCTTCCAAATTTTCCCCAAATTCCCCCAATTCCCCCCTAAATTTCCCCAAATTCCCTAATTTTTCCCCCAATTTCCCCCTAAATCTACTGAAACCCCCCCAAATTCCCCCAAATTCTCCGAAATTTTCCCCAAACCCCCTCAAACCCCCCAAAATCCCCCCAAATTTCCCCCAAATTTCCCCCAACCACCCCTCAAATCCCCCTCAAACTCCCCCAAACCCCCCCAAATTCCACTCAAATCACCCCAAAATCCCCCCAAATTTTCCCCAAACCCCCCAAATTTTCCCCAAACCCCCCAAAATCCCCAAAATTCCCCAAATTTCCCCAAAATCCCCCAATTTTCCCCAAATTTCCCCAGAGTTGCCGTTCTACGACCCCTCGGGGCCGTTCCGCTGCCTGGACGGTTCCGGATCCGTCGCCTTCGCCTGGGTCAACGACGACTACTGCGACTGCCAGGACGGCTCTGACGAGCCAGGTGGGACCCCAAAACCCCCAAAATCACCCCAAAAATGGACTCGGCGCCCCCAAAAACCCCCCGGGGGCGTGGGAGCCCCGAAAACCCCAAAATTGCCCCAAAAATTCCCCCAAAAACGGCACAGAGAGCCCCAAAAACCCCAAAACTGCGACTGCCAGGACGGCTCTGACGAGCCAGGTGGGACCCCAAAAACCCCCAAAATCACCCCAAAAATGGATCCGGGACCCCCAAAAACCCCCCGGGGGCGTGGGAGCCCCAAAAACCCCAAAAAACCCCAAAACTGCCCCAAAAACGGCACAAAGAGCCCCAAAAACCCCAAAACTGCGACTGCCAGGACGGCTCTGATGAGCCAGGTGGGACCCCAAAACCCCCAAAATCACCCCAAAAATGGACTCGGCGCCCCCAAAAACCCCCCGGGGGCTTGGGAGCCCCAAAAACCCCAAAACTGCCCCAAAAACGGCACAAGGAACCCCAAAATTGCCCCAAAAACACCCCAAAGTGCCCCAAAAATGGCACAGAGAGCCCCAAAAACTGCCCCAAAATCCCCAAAATCACCCCAAAAATGAACTCGGCGCCCCCAAAAATCCCCCGGGGGCGTGGGAGCCCCAAAAACCCCAAAACTGCCCCAAAAACTCCAAAATTCCCCAAAAACCCCACAGAGAGCCTCAAAAACTGCCCCAAAAACGGCACAGAGAGCCCCAAAAACTGCCCCAAAAACCCCCAAAATCACCCCAAAAATGGACTCGGCACCCCCAAAAACCCCCCGGGGGCGTGGGAGCCCCAAAAACCCCAAAAAACCCCAAAACTGCCCCAAAAACTGCCCCAAAAACCCCAGAACTGCCCCAAAAACCCCAAAATTGCCCCAAAAACGGCACAGGGAACCCCAAAATTGCCCCAAAATCCCCAAAATCACCCCAAAAATGGACTCAGCGCCCCCAAAAACCCCCCGGAGGTGTGGGAGCCCCAAAAACCCCAAAATTGCCCCAAAAACAGCACAGAGAGCCCCAAAAACTGCCCCAAAAACCCCAAAATCACCCCAAAAATGATCTCGGGACCCCCAAAAATATCCCCAAATCGTGGGAACCCCAAAAACCCCAAAACTGCCCCAAAAACCCCAAAAATTCCCCCAAAAACGGCACAGAGACCCCCAAAAACCGACCTGAGACCCCAAAATCCCCTCAGGACCCCCCAAAATCCCCCAAAATTTCCTCTGGACCCCCCAAAATCCCCTCAGGATCCCCAAAATTCCCCCCAGGACCCCCCCAAAATTTCCTCAGGACCCCCCAAAATCCCCCCAGGGACCCCCAAACCTCCAAACCCCTCCCCCTCTGAGCCCCCTCCTCACTTTTAGGGACCCCAGTGATCCCCAAAATCCCCCAAAATCTCCTCAGGACCCCCCAAAATCCCCCCATGGACCCCTAAAATTCCCCAAAATTTCCTCAGGACCCCCCCAAAATCCCCTCAGGATCCCCAAAATTCCCCCAAAATCTCCTCAGGACTCCCCAAAATTCACCCGGGACCTCCCAAAACCCACCCAGGACCCCCCCAGATCCTCTCAGGACCCCCCAAAATTTCCTCAGGACCCCCCCAAAATCCCCTCAGGACCCCCCAAAATCCCCCCAGGGACCCCCAAAATTTCCTCGGGATCCCCAAACCTCCAAACCCCTCCCCCTCAGAGCCCCCTCCTCACTTTTAGGGACCCCGGGGCCCTTCTGGGACCTTCCCAACCCCCCAAATTTTGGGGAGGGGTCCCCAAAATCCCTCTGGGTGCCCCCCAAAACTGAGGGGGACCCCCAAAATCTCCCCAGGGACCCCCAAACCTCCAAAATCCTTCCCCTCAGAGCCCCCTCCTCACTTTTAGGGACCCCAATGATCCCCAGGACCCCCAAAATCCCCCAAAATCTCCTCAGGACCCCCCAAAATCCCCCCCAGGGACCCCCAAAATCCCCCCATGGACCCCAAACATCCCCCAAAATTTCCTCTGGATCCCCTCAAAATCCCCTCAGGGCCCCCAAAATTCCCCCCAAATCCCCTCAGGACCCCCCAAAATCTCCTCAGGACCCCCCAAAATCTCCTCAGGGACCCCCAAAATCCCATCAGGACCCCCCAAAATCTCCCCAGGGACCCCCAAAATTTCCTCAGGACCCCCAAACGTCCCAAATTCTTCCCCTCAGAGCCCCCTCCTCACTTTTGGGCCCTTCTGGGACCTTCTGGGACCTTCCCAACCCCCGAAATTTTGGGGAGGGGTCCCCAAAACCCCTCTGGGTGCCCCCCAAAACTGAGGGGGACCCCAAAATCCCCCCAGGGACCCCCGCCTGCCCCAACGGGCGCTTCCACTGCACCAACGCCGGACACCGACCCCGGAGCGTCCCCGCGGCGCACGTCAACGACGGGGTCTGCGGTGGGTGGGGGTCCGGGGGGATTTGGGGGGATTTGGGGGGGATTTTGGGGGGTCCTGGGGGGATTTGGGGGGATTTTGGGGGGGATTTGGGGGGATTTGGGGGGTCCTGGGGAGAATTTGGGGGGAATTTGAGGGGTCCTGGGGGGATTTGGGGGGATTTAGGGGGGATTTGGGGGTCACAGAAGGATTTTGGGGGGATTTTCGGGGGATTTGGGGGGTCCTGGGGGGATTTGGGGGGGATCTGGGGGGATTTGGGGGGTTTGGGGGGGATTTGGGGGATTTGGGGGGATTTGGGGGGGATTTGGGGGGTCCTGGGGGGTCCTGGGGGGGTTTGGGGGGTTCTGAAGGGGTTTGGGGGGAGCTTAGGGGGGATTTTGGGGGTCCTGGGGGGATTTGGGGGGGATTGAGGGGATTTGGGGGGAATTTGGGGGGGATATGGGGGGATTTGGGGGGTCCTGGGGGGATTTTAGGGGATCCTGAGGGGATTTGGGGGGAATTTTGGGGGTCCTGGGGATCATTGGGGTCCCTAAAAGTGAGGAGGGGGCTCTGAGGGGGAGGGGTTTGGAGGTTTGGGGGTCCCTGGGGGGAGAATTGAGGGAGTTTTGGGGGTCTTGGGATGATTTTGGGGGGTTCTGGGGGGAATTTGGGGGGTCCTGGGGGGATTTTGGGGGGTCCTGTGGGGGATTTGGGGGGATTTGGGGGGTGCTGGGAGGGTTTGGGGGGTCCTGGGGGGGTTTTGGGGGGATTTGGGGGGTGCTGGGGGGATTTGGGGGGATTTGGGGGGTCCTGGGGGGATTTGGGCGGATTTGGGGGGTCCTGGGGGGATTTGGGCGGATTTGGGGGGTCCTGAGGGGGTTTGGGGGGATTTGGGGGGATTTGGGGGGTCTTGGGGGGAATTGGGGGGATTTGGGGGGGATTTGGGGGGATTTGGGGGTTTTGAGGGGATTTGGGGGGATTTTGGGGGGTCCTGGGGGATTTGGGGGGGATTTGGGGGGGTCCTGGGGGATTTTGGGGGGGTTTTGGGGGATTTTTGGGATATTTTTTGGGTGATTTTTGGGATATTTGGGGATATTTTTGGGATGTTTTTGGGTATTTTTTGGGTATTTTTTGGATATTTTGGGGATTTATTTGATATATTTTTGGGTGATTTTTGGGATCTTTTTTCTTTTTTGGGTGATTTTTTGGGGTATCTTTGGGTATTTTTTGGGATGTTTTTGGGATATTTTTGGGAATATTTCTGGGATATTTTTGGATTTTTTTGGTATATTTTTTGAGGTGATTTTTGGGATATTTTGGGATATTTTTTGGATTTTTTCTATGATTTTTTGGGATATTTTTGGGAATATTTTTGGGAATATTTTTGAGTATTTTTGGGATATTTGGGATATTTTTTTGATTTTTTTCGGTGATTTTTGGGATATTTTGGGGCAGTTTTGAGTTATTTTTGGGGTGATTTTTGAGATATTTTGGGATATTTTTTGGATTATTTTGGTGATTTTTGGGATATTTTTGGGATATTTTAGGTGATTTTGGGATATTTTTGGGTGATTTTTGGGATATTTTGGGGCTGATTTTTGGGCTCTTTTGGGATATTTTTTGGGCTATTTTTGGGTGATTTTTGGGTATATTTTTGGGGTGATTTTGGGCTATTTTTGGGCCATTTTGTGCTATTTTGGGTCCCCCCCCCCCAGATTGCTGCGACGGCACCGACGAGTGGGGGAGCGGCGCCTGCGAGAACACCTGCAGGTCTGACTGGTTTATACTGGGTTATACTGGTTTGGACTGGTTTTTACTGGTTTATACTGGTCTATACTGGTTTTTACTGGTTTTTACTGGTTTTTACTGGGAACGGGGCCGTCAGGAGCGGGAGGAGCGGCTGTACTGGTTTATACTGGTTTAGATGGATTTAGATGGATTTATATTGGTTTATTTGGGGTTATACTGGTCCATACTGGTTTATACTGGTTTATACTGGTCTGAACTGGTTTTTACTGGTTTTTACTGGTTTTTCCCAGGGAACGGGGCCGTCAGGAGCGGGAGGAGCGGCTGTACTGGTTTATACTGGTTTAGATGGATTTATATTGGTTTATACAGGATTTATACTGGTTTATACAGGATTATACTGGTTTATACTGGTCCATACTGGTTTATACTGGTCTGAACTGGTTTATACTGGTTTTTCCCAGGGAACGGGGCCGCCAGGAGCGGGAGGAGCGGCTGTACTGGTTTATACTGGTTTAGATGGATTTAGATGGATTTATACTGGTTTATTTGGGGTTATACTGGTCTATACTGGTCTATACTGGTCTGAACTGGTTTTTACTGGTTTATACTGGTTTTCCCAGGGAACGGGGCCGGCAGGAGCGGGAGGAGCGGCTGTACTGGTTTATACTGGTTTAGATGGATTTATATGGATATTTATGGATTTTTATGGGTGTATTTGGGGTTATACTGGTCCATACTGGTCTATACTGGTTTATACTGGTCTGAACTGGTTTATACTGGTTTTTACTGGTTTTTACTGGTTTTCCTGGCAGGGAACGGGGCCGTCAGGAGCGGGAGGAGCGGCTCCGCTCGGCCGCCCGCGCCAGAGAAGGTTTCGCTCTCCGGCAGCGCCTCGTGCAGGAGGCGGCCGAGGCCAAGAGGGAAAAAGAGGTAAAAAAACCCAATTTTGGGCAATTTGGGATCATTGGGGTGATTTTGGGGTGATTTTAGGGTAATTTGGGTGATTTTGGGGTAATTTTGGGGTATTTTGGGCTGATTTTGGAGATAATTTTGGGATAATTTTTGTGTATTTTGGGGTGATTTTGGAGATAATTTCAGGATAATTTTGGGGATAATTCCAGAATAATTTTGGGATAATTTCAGGATAATTTTGGGATAATTTCAGGATAATTCCAGGATAATTCCAGGATAATTTGAGAGTAATTTTGAGATAATTTCAGGATAATTTGAGGATAATTACAGGACAATTCCAGGATAATTTCAGGATAATTCCAGGATAATTTCAGGGTACTTTGGGGATAATTCAAGTACAATTCCAGGACAATTCCAGGACAATTCCAGGATAATTTGGGGATAATTCCAGGATAATTTAGGGATAATTTAGGAACAATTATACCTAATTTGGGGCTGCATTTCCCCTCAGAGCCGCCTGGGGGCGCTGCAGGCCGTGGACAATTCCAGGACAATTTGGGGACAATTCCAGGACAATTCCAGGATAATTCCAGGATAATTTAGGGATAATTTAGGGATAACTTGGGGATAATTTAGGGATAATTTAGGGATACTTTGGGGATAATTTGGGGATAATTTAGGGATAATTTAGGGACAATTCCAGGATAATTTGGGACTGTATTTCCCCGCAGTCCCGGCTGGGGGCGCTGCAGGCCGTGGACAATTCCAGGATAATTTGGGGATAATTTAGGGATACTTTGGGGCTAATTTAGGGACAGTTCCAGGATAACTTGGGGATAATTTAGGGATAATCCCAGGATAATTTGGGGATAATAATTCCTAATTTGGGACTGCATTTCCCCTCAGAGCCGGCTGGGGGCGCTGCAGGCCGTGGACAATTCCAGGACAATTTGGGGATAATTTAGGGATAATTTGGGGATAATTTAGGGATAACTTGGGGATAATTCCAGGATAATTTAGGGATAATTCCAGGATAATTTAGGGATAATTTAGGAACAATTAATAACCAGGCTGCATTTCCCCGCAGAGCCGCCTGGGGGCGCTGCAGGCCGTGGACAATTCCAGGACAATTCCAGGATAATTTGGGGACAATTCCAGGACAATTTGGGGATAATTTGGGGATAATTAAGGGATAATTTCAGGATAATTTGGGGACAATTCCAGGACAGTTCCAGGATAATTTAGGGATAATTTAGGGATAACTTGGGGATAATTTAGGGACAGTTCCAGGATAACTTGGGGATAATTTTGGGATAATTCCAGGATAATTAAGGGATAATTTTTAACCCGGAGCTGCATTTCCCCGCAGTCCCGCCTGGGGGCGCTGCAGGCCATGGACAATTCCGGGATAATTTGGGGATAATTTAGGGATAACTTGGGGATAATTCCAGGACAATTTGGGGATAATTTAGGGATAACTTGGGGACAATTCCAGGACAATTCCAGGACAATTCCAGGATAATTTAGGGATAATTTAGGGATAATTTAGGAACAATAATTTCTAATTCCGGGCTGCATTTCCCCGCAGTCCCGGCTGGGGGCGCTGCAGGCCGTGGACAATTCCAGGACAATGTGGGGACAATTCCAGGATAATTCCAGGATAATTTAGGGATAATTCCAGGATAATTTGGGGATACTTTAGGGATAATTTATGGATAATAATTCCTAATTCCCGCCTGCATTTCCCCGCAGAGCCGGCTGGGGGCGCTGCAGGCCGCGCGCCGGGAGCTGCAGGCCCGGCTGGGGCCGCTCCGCGCGGCCAAAGAAGCGGCCGAGGGACCCGAGCGGGAGGCGCGGGAGCGGCACCGGCCCCGAGGTGCTTTTGGGGCTAATTTGGGGAATTTTGGGGGTTTTGGGGTTTTTTGGGGGGTCCGGGGTCTGCTTGGGGTTTTTTTGGGGTTTTTTTTGGTGTTTATTTGGTGTTTTTCGGGGGTTTTTTTGGGTATTTTTAGGGTTTTATTGGGGTTTTTTTTGGGTATTTTTAAGGTTTTATTGGGTGTTTTTTGGGGTATTTTTGGGTATTTTTAGGGGTTTTTTGAGTGTTTTGGGGTTTTTTTTGGGTATTTTTAGGGTTTTATTTGGTGTTTTTGGGGTTCTTTGGGGTGTTTTTTGGGGTTTTTTTGGGGTTTTTTTGAGGTTTTTGTGGATTTTTTGGGGGGTTTGAGAGGGTTTTTTTCATGTTTTTTTTGAGGTTTTTTGGGGGATTTTTAGGGGGGATTTGGGGTTTATTTGGGGGGATTTGGGAATTTTTTGGGGGGTCCGGGGTCTGCTTGGGGTTTTTTTGGGGTTTATTTGGTGGTTTTTGGGTGTTTTTCGGGGGTTTTTTGGGTATTTTTAGGGTTTTATTGGGGGTTTCTTTGGGTATTTTTAGGGTTTTATTGGGTTTTTTTTTGGGTATTTTTAGGGGTTTTATTGGGTGTCTTTTGGGGTTTTTGGGTATTTTTAGGGGTTTTATTGGGTGTTTTTGGGTTCTTTTTTAGGGTTTTTGTGGGGTTTTTTGGGGGGATTTTTAGGGGGAAATTGGGGTTTTTGGGAGGGATATAGGGCGGTTTTTCGGGGTTTTTTTGGGGTTTTTTTGGGGGTTCAGGGTCCTATTGGGTTTTTTTTCCAGGAGTTTGGGGCAATTTCTGGGTTTTTTTGGGGTGGATTTGGGATTTTTTGGGGGGGTTTTGGTTTTTTTGGGGGGATTTGGGTTTTTTGGGGGGATTTGGGTTTTTTTGAGGGGGATTTGGGTATTTTTGGGGGGGGTTTGGGGTTTTTTGGGGGTTTTTTTGGGTATTTTTCTGGGCGGTTCCTGGTTTTGTTTGGCGTTTTTTATGGTTTTTTTTGTGGGGATTTGTGGTTTTTTTGGGGGGAATTTGGGGTTTTTTTCGGGGGGAGGGATTTAGGGTTTTTTTTTCAGGGGTTTTTGGGGGTCCCAAGTTGAATTTTGGGGTCCCCAACCCCCCAAATTCCGACAGAACCGACCCAGGACGAGGCCGGAGCGGCCGAAGCCTTCGCGGAACTCGACGGGGACGGGGACGGACGGCGAGTTTGGGGTCCCCCAGGAGAAATTTGGGGTCCCCGGGGGGGTTTTGGGGTCCCCCAGAGGGATTTTGGGGGGTCCTGAGTCTTTTCCCTGCTCCAGAGACCCCAAAATCCCCAAATTTCCCCCAAAATCATCTCCATGGGAAGGGCCTGGAGGATTTTTGGGGAAAATTTTGGGGATTTTTGGGGTCCCCGGGGGGTTTTGGGGTCCCCAGAGGGATTTTGGGGGATGCTGAGTCTTTCCCCCGCTCCAAAAACCCCAAATTCCCCCCAAAATCTCCCTCAAAAACCCCAAATTCCCCCCAAAATTGTCCTTGCGGGAAGGGCCAGGGAGATTTTTGGGGAATTTTTCAGAAATTTTGGGGTCCCTGGAGGGGTTTTGGGGTCCCCCAGAGGGATTTTGGGGGGTCCTGAGTCTTTCCCCCTCTCCAGAGACCCCAAAAACCCCAAATTGCCCCCAAAATCTCCCTCAAAAACTCCAAATTCTTCCCAAATCCTCCCAAAATTGTCCTCATGGGAGGGTCTGGGGGATTTTTGGGGGGATTTTTGGGGTCCCCGGGGGGGTTTTGGGGTCCCCCAGAGGATTTTGGGGGGTCCTGAGTCTTTTCCCCGCTCCAAAAACCCCAAAAACCCCAAATTCCCCCCAAAAATCGTCTCCATGGGAGGGGTCTGGGGGATATTTGGGGAAATTTTTGGGGATTTTGGGGAGATTTTTTGGGGGATTTTGGTGAATTCTGGGGGATGTTTGGGAGGAATTTTTGGGGGATTTTTGGAGGGATTTTTTGGGTTTTTTTGGGGAGATATTTGGGGTTTCTTTGGGGGATTTTTTGGGGGGATTTTGGTGAATTCTGGGGGATTTTTGGGGTTTTTGGAGGATTTTGTTTTGGGGATTTTTTTTTATTTTTTAGGGTGTTTTGGGAAGATTTGTGGGGGGATATTTGGGTTTTTTTTGGGAATTGTTAGGGTTTTTTTGGGGGATTTTTTTTTGGTTTTTGGGGGGGATTTTTGGGGTTTTTTTCGGCGCATTTTTGGGGTTTTTTGTGGGGAATTTTTGGGTTTTTTGTGGGTATTTTTGGTGGGAAATTTAGGGATTTTTTTTTTATTTTTTAGGGTGTTTTGGAAAGATTTTTGGGGGGGTATTTGGGGTTTCTTTGGGGTTTTTGGGGGGATTTTTGGGTTTTTTTGGGGTGCCCCTGACCCCCCTGTGCCCCCCAGGCTGACGCTGGAGGAGCTCCGAGCCCACCCTGAGCTGGACGGGGCCGAGATTGAGGTGAGAGCCCCCAAAAAAACCCCCAAAAAATACAAAAATGATCCCAAAAAACCCCCAAAAAATCATCAAAAATCCCCCCAAAAACCCCTAAAAATATCCCCAAAAATTCCCAAAAAAAACTCAAATAAATCCCTGAAAAATTTCCAAAAATTCCCCAAATCCCCAAAAAAATCCAAAAGTCCCAAAAAAATCCTAAAAAAAATTCCTAAAAAATAACCAAAAAACCCATCAAAAATACCCAAAAAAATACAAAAAAAAACCCCAAAAACCCACAAAAAACTCCATAAAAAATACCCAAAAAAATCTCAAAAAAAAATCTCTAAAAATTCCCAATAAATCTCCAAAAATCCCTAAAAAATTCCCCAAAATTCCCAAAAACATCTCAAAAAAATCCCCAAAGGATCTAAAAAAAATCCCTCAAAAATTCCCAAAAATTCCCAAAAAACCTCCAAAAAATCCTAAAAAAATTACCAAAAATTCCCAAAAAATTGCAAAAAAAAATTCCCAAGAAATCCCAGAATATCCTCAAAAAATCCCCAAAATTTCTAAAAAAATCTCCAAAAAATACCCCAAAAATACCCAAAATATCTCAAAAAAAATCCCTAAAAAAATTTCCAAAATTCCCAAAAACTCTCAAGAAATCCTCAAAAAACTCTCCCAAAAAATCCTCAAAAAATTCCCAAAAAATCCCCAAAAATTCCCCAAAAAAATCTCAAAAATTTCCCAAAAATCTCCAAAAAATACCCTAAAAATCCCTAAAAAATCCCCAAAAAATCTCAAAAAAAATCTCCAAAAAATCCCCAAAAAATTCCAAAAAAATTCCCCAAAAAATCCCCAAAATTCACCCAAAATTCCCCCAAAAATTCCCAAATTTTGGAATTCCAGGCTGCCCTGGGCTCGGGGGGTTGGGCGGATTCCGGAACGTTCCGGGAGCGGCTCTGGGGCCTCGTCCGGGAGCGGCTGCGGCCACAGGTGGGGGAGGGGCCCCCAAATTTGGGGAGGGGTCCCCAAATTCGGGGGGTTCAGGGGCTGAAATTTGGGGGGGAGTCTCCAAAATTTGGGGGGTCTGGGGGAGTCGAAATTTGGGGGGAGGGTCCCAGAATTTTGGGGATTTTTCATTTTTGGTGGGGGTGGAATTTGGGGAGGGGTCCCAAAAAATTGGGGGATTTTTGGAATGAAATTTGAGGGAGGGGTCCCCGAATTTGGGGTTCCTGGGGGATTTTTTGGGGGTCCCACCCCAATTTTGGGGGTTCTGGGTGATTTTTTGGGGGGGTCTCACCCCAATTTTTTGGGGGGTCCCCCCAAATTTTCCCCCCCAGGCCCCCCCCGAGCCCCCCCAACCCCCCCCCGAGCCCCCCCAGAGCCCCCCCGAGGAGGAGGAGGAGGAGGAAGAGCCCGAGGAGGAGGAGGAGGAGGAGGAGGAGGACGAGGAAGGCCCTGAGCAGGTTTGGGGGGTCCCGAACCCCAAATTTTGGGGGGTTCCCCAATTTTGGGCGGTCCCAAACCCCAAATTTGGCAGAAAACGCCCCAAAATGGGGCAGAATGGGGGGGGGGAGGAGGCAAATTTTGGGGTCCCCCCACCAAATTTGGGGGGTTTTCACACCCTAAATGTCCTGAACCCCAAATTTTGGAGGGGTCCCCAATTTTAGGGGGGTCCCGAACCCCAAATTTTGGGGGGTTCCCCAATTTTGGGGGGTCCCGAACCCCAAATTTGGTGGGAAACGCCCCAAAATGGGACAGAATGGGGGGAAAATTTTGGGGTGCCCCCACCCCGTACCCCAAATTTGGGGGGTCTCAGCACCCCAAATTTTGGGGGAGGGTCCCAAACTTGAATTTTGGGGGGGTGGGACCCCAAATTTTGGGGGTGGGACCCCAAATTTTGTCCCCCCTAAAGGCAAAACCCCCCCAAAATGGGGCTGAATGAGGGGGGAGGGGGCAAATTTTGGGGTCCCTCCACCCTGTACCCCAAATTTGGGGGTCTCAGCACCCCAAATTTTTGGGGGGGGTCCCAAACTTAATAATTTTCGGGGGGTGGGACCCCAAATTTTGGGGGTGGGACCCCAAATTTTGGGGGTGGGACCCCAAATTTTGTCCCCTCTAAATGCAAAACCCCCTTAAAATGGGGCTAAATGAGGGGGGAGGGGGTAAATTTTGGGGTCCCCCCTCCCCGTACCCCAAATTTGGGGGGTGGGGACCCCAATTTTGGCCCCGCCCCCCCCGCAGGTGCCCCCGGTGCCCCCCCAGGAGGGGGAGGGGCCCCCCCAGGAGGAGCCGAAGTTCGACGAAGCCACTCAGGCCCTGATCGATGGTGGGGGGGTTTGGGGGGATTTTGGGGGGTCCTGGGGGGATTTTGGGGAGATTTGGGGGTCCTGGGGGGATTTGGGGGGGATTTGGGGGATTTGGGGGGGATTTGGGGGGGTTTGGGAGGGATTTGGGGGGATTTGGGGGGATTTTGGGGGGGATTTGGGGGGGTTTGGGGGGATTTGGGGGTCCTGGGGGGATTTGGGGGAGATTTTGGGGGGATTTGGGGGGAATTTGGGGGGGATTTTGGGGGGATTTGGGGGGAATTTGGGGGGTCCTGGGGGGATTTTGGGGAGATTTTGGGGGGATTTGGGGGGATTTTGGGGGGTCCTGGGGGAATTTGGGGGCGATTCTGGGGGGATTTGGGGGGTCCTGGGGGGATTTTGGGGGGATTTGGGGGGTACTGGGAGGGTTTGGGGGGATTTTAGGGGGCCCTGGGGGGGTTTGGTGAGATTTGGGGGGGTTTTGGGGGGATTTGGGGGGATTTGGGGGGATTTGGGGGGTTTGGGGGGATTTGGGGGGGATTTTGGGGGATTTGGGGGGTCCTGGGGGGATTTTGGGGAGATTTGGGGGGTCCTGGGGGGATTTGGGGGGATTTTGGGGGATTTGGGGGGGGATTTGGGGCGTTTTGGGGGCATTTGGGGGGGCCTGGTGGGATTTGGGGCACCCTGGGGGGATTTGGGGGGATTTTGGGGGGGATTTGGGGGGGTTTGGGGGGTCCTGGGGGAATTTGGGGGGGTCCTGGGGGGTCCTGGAGGGATTTTGTGGGATCGTGGGGGGATTTGGGGGGTCCTGGGGGGATTTTGGGGAGATTTTGGGGGGTCCTGGGGAGATTTGGGGGGTCCTGGGGGAATTTGGGGGGAATTTGGGGGTTCCTGATGGGATTTTGGGGGGTCCCGAGGGGATTTTGGGGTGATTTTGGGGGATTTTGGGGTGATTTTGGGGTGATTTTGGGGTTCTGACCCTGCAGCCGCCCAACGCGCTCGGGACGATTTGCGGCAAGGTTTTGGGGGGCTCGGGGGGTATTTGGGGGGTTTTTGGGGTGCTGAGCCCATTTTTTGGGGTGCTGAGCTCGTTTTTGGGGTGATTTTGGGGGATTTTGGGGTGATTTTGGGGTGATTTTGGGGTTCTGACCCTGCAGCCGCCCAACGCGCTTGGGACGATTCGGGGCTGGTTTGGGGGGGCTCGGGGGGTTTTTTGGGGGGTTTTTGGGGTGCTGAGCCCATTTTTGGGGTGCTGAGCTCATTTTTGGGGTGATTTTGGGGGATTTTGGGGTAATTTTGGGGTGATTTTGGGGTTCTGACCCTGCAGCCGCCCAACGCGCTCGGGACGATTCGGGGCTGGTTTGGGGGGGCTTGGGGGGTTTTTGGGGGGGGCTCAGGGGGTTTTTGGGGTGCTGACCCCATTTTTGGGGTGCTGAGCTCGTTTTTGGGGTGATTTTGGGGGATTTTGGGGTGATTTTGGGGTGATTTTGGGGTTCTGACCCTGCAGCCGCCCAACGCGCTCGGGACGATTTGGCCGCGGCCGAGCGGGAGCTGAAGGAGGCCGAGGATGGGATCAGGTGGGGACCCCCAAAAATGGGGTGGGGACCCCCAAAAATGGGAGTGGGACCCCCAAAAATGAGACCAAGACCCTGAAAAATGGGGCTGGGACCCCCAAAAATGGGGCTGGGACCCCCAAAAATCGAACTGAGATCCCCAAAAATCGAACTGGGACCCCAAAAATGGGACTGGGACCCCCAAAAAATGGGGTGGGGACCCCCAAAAATGGGGCTGGGACCCCATAAATGGGGTGGGGACCCCCAAAAATGGGGTGGGGACCCCCAGAAATGGGACTGGGAACCCCAAAATCGGACCTGGAACCCCCAAAAATGGGGATGGGACCCCCAAAGCTAAGACTGGGACCCCCAAAAATGGGGTGGGGACCCCCAAAACTAAGACTGGGACCCCCAAAAATTGGGGTTGGGACCCCCAAAAATGAGATTGGGATGCCCAAAAATGGGACTGGGACCCCCAAAAATGGGACTGGGACCCCCAAAAATGAGATTGGGACCCCCAAAAATGGGACTGAGACCCCCAAAAATGGGGTGGGGGACCCCAAAATCAGACCTGGGACACCCAAAAATTCACCTGGGAGCCCCAAAATGGGGCTGGGAGCCCCAAAAATGAGACCAAGACCCTGAAAATGGGGCTGGGACCCCCAAAAATGGGACTGGGAACCCCAAAAATGGGGCTGGGACCCCCAAAAATGGGGCTGGGACCCCCAAAAATGGGGATGGGACCCCCAAAAATGAGATTGGGACCCCCAAAAATGGGGTGGGGACCCCCAAAAATGGGGATGGGACCCCCAAAAATGGGGCTGGGACCCCCAAAAATCGAACTGGGACCCCAAAAATGGGGCTGGGATCCCCAAAAATGGGGTGGGGACCCCAAAATCGGACCTGGAACCTCCAAAAATGGGGATGGACCCCCAAAACTAACACTGGGACCCCCAAAAATTGGGGTTGGGACCCCCACAAATGAGATTGGGACCCCCAAAAATGGGACGGAGACACCCAAAAATGGGGCTGGGACCCCCAAAAATGGGGCTGGGAACCCCAAAAATGGGGCTGGGACACCCAAAATGGGGCTGGGAACCCCAAAATCGGACCTGGGAGCCCAAAAATGAGACTGGGACCCCCAAAAGAGGACCTGGGACCCCCAAAAATGGGGATGGAACCCCCAAAAATTCACCTGGGACCCCTCAAAAATGGGACTGGGAACCCCAAAAATAGGGTGGGGACCCCCAAAATGGGGCTGGGACCCCTAAAATCTTCCCCCGAACCCCAAAATCGGACCTGGGACCCCCAAAAATGGGGCTGGGACCCCCAAAAATGGGACTGGGACCCCCAAAATCTTCCCCGAACCCTAAAATCGGACCTGGGACCCCCAAAATCCCCTCGGGCACCCCAAAACCTCCTTCGGGCCTCCCCGTGCCTCAGTTTCCCCCGGTCCCTGCAGGAATTTGGGGGGTTTGAGGCCCTGGGGGGGGTTTGGAGGTCGGGATTTTTTTGGGGGGGTCCGGGGGGGTTTTGGGGACCCCCCTGACCCCCTTTGTGCCCCCCCAGGGCCCTGGAGACGGAATTGGGGATGGATTTCGGGCCCGAGGGGGAATTCTCGTACCTGTACAACCAGTGCTGGGAGCTGAGCACCAGCGAGTGCGTGGGGGGATTTTGGGGGGATTTGGGGGGGAATTGGGGGGTCCTGGGGGGGATTTGGGGGGATTTGGGGGGGATTTGGGGGTCCTGGGGGGATTTTTGGGGATTTTGGGGGAATTTTGGGGGAGTTTGGGGCATCCAGGGGGGAATTTGGGGGGTCCTGGGGGGATTTTGGGGGAGTTTAGGGGGGATTTGGGGGGGTTTGGGGGGGATTTTGGGGGATCCTGGGGGGGTTTTGGGGGATTTTGGGGGGATTTTGGGGGAGTTTGGGGGATTTTGGGGCATCCAGGGGGGAATTTGGGGGAGTTTAGGGGGGAGTTTGGGGGGATTTTGGGGGAGTTTGGGGGGTCCTGGGGGGATTTTGGGGGGGAATTTTTGGGAGTCTCGGGGGTCCTGAGGGGGATTTGGGGGGTCCTGGGGCGATTTTGGGGGGAATTTGGGGGAGTTTGGGGGGTCCTGAGGGAATTTGGGGGGTCCTGGCAGGAATTTGGGGGAATTTTGGGGGTTCTGGAGAGGTTTTGGGGGAATTTTGGGAGATTTTTGGGGCCATTTTTGGGTGGTTTTGGGGATGTTTTGGGGAGGATTTTTGGAGGTTTTTGGGGGCCGTTTTTGGGTGGTTTTGGGGGGAGTTTTGGGGAGGTTTTTGGGGCGGATTTTGGGAGGTTTTTGGCAGTTCTGGGGAGGTTTTTGGGACAGATTTTGGGAGGTTTTGGGGAGATTTTTGGGAGTTTTTGGGAAGGTTTTTGGGAGGGATTTTGGGAGGGTTTTGGGGCCCTTTTTGGCATTTTTTGGAGCAGATTTTGGGAGGTTTTTGACAGTTTTTGGGGGAGGTTTTTGGGCAGATTTTGGGAGTTTTTGGGGCGGATTTTGGGAGTTTTTGGGGCCGATTTTGGGAGTTTTTGGGGCAGATTTTGGGAGTTTTTGGGTTTCTCTCTCCCCAGGTACCTGTACCGCCTCTGCCCCTTCCAGCGCGTCACCCAAAGACCCAAAAACGGCGGCGCCGAGACCAGCCTGGGGTAAAACACCCCAAAAATCCCCCAAAACACCCCAAAATCACCCAAAACACCCCCAAAATCACCCAAAACACCCCAAAATCACCCCAAACACCCCAAAAATTACCCAAAAATCACCCAAAACACCCCAAAAATCCCCCAAAACACCCCACAATCACCCAAAACACCCCAAAACACCCCAAAATCACCCAAAAATCACCCAAAACACCCCAAAATCACCCCAAACACCCCAAAAATTACCCTGGGGAACCCCAAAAATCCCCAAAAAAATTTCCCAGGGAACCCCAAAAATCCCCCTGGGGACCCCAAAAACCACCCTGGGAACCCCAAAAATCCCCCTGGGCACCCCAAAAAAACCCAAAAAATCACTCTGGGAAGCCCAAAACACCCCAAAAACTGCCCGGGGAACCCCAAAAATCCCCCTGGGAACCCCAAAAACCGCCCTGGGGACCCCAAAAATAACCCTGGGGAGCCAAAAAATCTCCCTGGGGACCCCAAAAATCCCCCAAACCCCAAAAAATCTCCATGGAGACACCAAAAACTCCCCCGGGGACCCTTGGGGACAGCCCCAGGTGTCACCTGTGACCCCCCAGGTGTCCTCTGTCCCCCCCCCCAGTGTCACCTGTGACCCCCCAGTGTCACCTGTGACCCCTCAGGTGTCCCCTGTCCCCCCCCCGGTGTCACCTGTGACCCCTCAGGTGTCCCGTGTCCCCTCACCTGTCCCTCACCTGTCCCCTGTTGGTGTCACCTGTCCCCTCACCTGTCCCCTGTTGGTGTCACCTGTCGCTCAGGTGTCACCTGTCCCCCCCCCGGTGTCCCCTGTCCCCTCACCTGTCCCTCACCTGTCCCCTGTCCCCTCACCTGTCCCTCAGGTGTCACCTGTTGGTGTCACCCGTCGCTCAGGTGTGCCCTGTCCCCTCCCCCGCAGGCTCTGGGGCTCCTGGGCGGGGCCCGAAGGTGACAAATTCGGGGCTCAGAAGTACGAGGGGGGCACGGGCTGCTGGCAGGGCCCCGCCCGCGCCACCACGGTGAGTGACACACCTGTGTCACACCTGTGACACACCTGAGTGACGTCATCTGTGTCATCTGTGTGATGTCATCACCTGTGTGACGTCATTGGTGTCACCTGTGTCACCTGAACCCCCAAAACCCGCCCCAAAAACTGCCCGCGCCACCACGGTGAGTGACACACCTGTGTGACACCTGTGTGATGTCATCTGTGTCACCTGAACCCCCAAAACCCACCCCAAAACCCGCCCGCCCCACCACGGTGAGTGTCACACCTGTGTGACACACCTGTGACACACCTGTGACACACCTGTGTGATGTCACCTGTGTCACCTGTGTGATGTCATCTGTGTCACCTGAACCCCCAAAACCCGCCCCAAAACCCGCCCGAGCCACCACGGTGAGTCACACCTGTGTGATGTCACCTGTGTGATGTCACCTGTGTGATGTCATCTGTGTCACCTGTGTCACCTGAACCCCCTCTGTGTCCCCAAAACTCCCCAAATCCCGACAGCACCAACTGCCCCAGGTGTGCTCAGGTGTGCTCAGGTGTGCCCAGGTGTGCCCCAGGTGTCTCTCAGGTGTCCCTCAGGTGTGCCCAGGTGTGTCTCAGGTGTATCTCAGGGGTGCTCAGGTGTCTCTCAGGTATCTCAGGTGTGCCCAGCTGTATCTCAGGTGTGTCTGAGCCGTGTCCCCCCCCCAGCTGTGCCCAGGTGTGTCTCACAGGTGTGTCCCCCCCCCGCAGGTGTCTCTCAGGTATCTGAGGTGTCTCTCAGGTGTGCTCAGGTGTGCCCAGGTGTCCCTCAGGTGTGTCTCAGGTGTCCCTCAGGTGTGTCTCAGGTGTCTCTCAGGTGTGCCCAGGTGTGCCCCAGGTGTATCTCAGGTGTGCCCAGGTGTATCTCAGGTGTGCTCAGGTGTATCTCAGGTGTCCCTCAGGTGTCTCACCTGTGTCCCCCCCGCAGGTGTCCCTCAGGTGTGTCTCAGGTGTCTCTCAGGTGTGCCCAGGTGTATCTCAGGTGTGCTCAGGTGTCTCTCAGGTGTCCCTCAGGTGTCTCACAGGTGTGTCCCCCCCCGCAGGTGTATCTCAGGTGTCTCAGGTGTCTCTCAGGTGTGCCCAGGTGTCCCTCAGGTGTATCTCAGGTGTCCCTCAGGTATCTCAGGTGTATCTCAGGTGTCTCCCAGGTGTGCCCAGGTGTATCTCAGGTGTGCTCAGGTGTCCCTCAGGTGTCCCTCAGGGTCTCACAGGTGTGTCCCCCCCCTCCCGCAGGTGTCCCTGAGGTGCGGCGCAGGGACGGCGCTGCGGGCGGCGCTGGAGCCGAGTCGCTGCGAGTACCTGCTGGAGCTGGAGACGCCCGCGGCGTGCCGGGAGCTGCCGGCGGGGCACGAGGAGCACGACGAGCTCTGACCCAAAACCGCCCGAATTCACCCCAAAAACAGCCCCAAAATATCCACAAAATGTCCCCAAAATATCCCCAAAATATCCTGAAATTATCCCCGAAATAAACCCCAAAATGTCCCAAATTATCCCCAAAAACGCTGCCGGGAGCTGCCGGCGGGGCACGAGGAGCACGACGAGCTCTGACCCAAAACTGCCCGAATTTACCCCAAAAATATACCCAAAATATCCCCAAAAATATCCCCAAAACATCCCCAAAATATCCCAAAAATATCATAAAAATAACCCTGAAAATATCCCCCAAATGTCCCAAATTATCCCCAAAACGCTGCCGGGAGCTGCCGGCGGGGCACGAGGAGCACGACGAGCTCTGACCCAAAACCGCCTGAATTTACCCCAAAAACAGCCCCAAAATTAGCCCAAAATATACCCAAAATATCCCCAAAATATCCCCCAAAAAATCCTGAAATTATCCCCGAAATAAACCCCAAAATGTCCCAAATTATCCCCAAAAACGCTGCCGGGAGCTGCCGGCGGGGCACGAGGAGCACGACGAGCTCTGACCCAAAACTGCCCGAATTCACCCCAAAAATATCCCCAAAATATCCCCAAAATGTCCCAAAAATATCCCCAAAAAATCCCAAAAATAAACCTCAAAATGTCCAAAAAATATCCCAAATTATCCCCAAAAACGCTGCCGGGAGCTGCCGGCGGGGCACGAGGAGCACGACGAGCTCTGACCCAAAACGGCCTGAATTTACCCCAAAAACAGCCCCAAAATATCCCCGAAATGTCCCCAAAATATCCTGAATTTACCCCAAAATAATCCCCAAAATATCCCTGAAAATATCCCCAAAATATCCCAAATTATCCCCAAAATATCCCTGAAAATGGCCAAAATTTATCCCAAAGTTATCCCCAAAATATCCCAAAAAATCCCCAAAATATCCCAGAGTTATCCCAAAAATATCCCTGAAAATATCCCAAATATCCCAAAATATCCCCAAAATTATCTCCAAAGTATCCCAAAAAATCCCCAAAATATCCCAAAATATCCTCAAAATATCCTCAAATAATCCCAAAATTGTCCCCAAAATACCCCAAAAAATCCCCAAAATATCCCAAAATTATCCCCAAAATATCCCTGAAAATGGCCAAAAATTATCCCAAAATAATCCCCAAAATATCCCAAAAATGGCCAAAAACTATCCCAAAATTATCCCCCAAAAATCCCCAAAATATCCGAGTTATCCCAAAAATGGCCCTGAAATTATCCCAAATATCCCAAAAATATCCCCAAAATATCCCTGAAAACGGTCAAAAAGTATCCCAAAATTATCCCAAAAATATCCCTGAAAACGGCCAAAATTTGGGAATTTTCGGGGTTTTTTTTCCTGCCTCAGTTTCCCTCCCTCCCAAATTCCCGAATTTCGTGGCCCAAAATTCCCCCAAAAAAAAACCAAACCCAAACTGGGATTAAAAATAAAAATAAAAATTTATTTGGGAATAAAAATTCCCCAAATTTTGGGGATTTTGGGATCGGAGCTTTTTGTGCCTGAGGCTGAAAATTCCGGGATTCTCACGGGAATTTTCCCAAATTTTCACGAATTTTGGGATCAGAGCTCTTTGTGTTTGGGGTGGGAATTCCGGGATTCCCGTGGGAATTTTTCCCAAATTTTGGGGATTTTGGGGTTGTTTTGGGGTTGGGAATTCCGGAATTTCCCATGGGAATTTTTCCCAAATTTTGGGGATTTTGGGATTGGAGCTTTTTGTGCCTGAGGCTGAAAATTTCGGGATTCTCATGGAAAATTTTCCCAAATTTTGGGGATTTTGGGATTGGAGCTCTTCACGCCTGGGGTTAGGAATTCCGGGATTCCCGAGGGAATTTTCCCCAATTTTGGAGATTTTGGGGTTGCTTTGGGGCTGGGAATTCCAGGATTCCTGTGGGAATTTTTCCCAAATTTTGGGGATTTTGGGATCGGAGCTTTTCGTTCCTGAGGTTGGGAATTCTGGGATTCCCGTGGGAATTTTTCCCAAACTTTGGGGATTTTGGGATCAGAGCTCTTTGTGTTTGGGTTGGGAATTCCAGGATTCCAGCAGGAATTCTTCCCAAATTTCGGGGGATTTTGGGGTCGCTTTGGGGTTGGGAATTCCAGGATTCCCGTGGGAATTTTTCCCGAATTTTGGGGATTTTGGAGTCGGAGCTTTTCGTGCCTGGGGCTGAAAATTCCGGGATTCTCACGGGAATTTTCCCAAATTTTCACGAATTTTGGGATCGGAGCTCTTCGTGTTTGGGTTGGGAATTCCGGGATTCCCGTGGGATTTTTTCCCAAATTTTGGGGATTTTGGGACCGGAGCTTTCCGTGCCTGAGGCTGAAAATTCTGGAATTCCCACAGGAATTTTTCCCAAATTTTGAGGATTTTGGGCAATACCTTGTCCTGCCTGAGGTTGGGAATTCTGGGATTCCCACGGGAATTTTTCCCAAATTTTGGCGATTTTGGGGTCGTTTTGGGGTTGGGAATTCCGGAATTTCCCGTGGGAATTTTTCCCAAATTTTCACGAATTTTGGGATCAGAGCTCTTTGTGTTTGGGTTGGGAATTCCAGGATTCCAGCAGGAATTCTTCCCAAATTTCGGGGGATTTTGGGGTCGCTTTGGGGGTGGGAATTCCAGGATTCCTGTGGGAACTTTTCCCAAATTTTGGGGATTTTGGGATCGGAGCTTTTCGTTCCTGAGGTTGGGAATTCCGGGATTCCCGTGGGATTTTTTCCCAAATTTCACCAATTTCGGGCTCAGAGCTCCTCGTGGGCGTCGCCGTCACGCCGGGGTTGGGAATTTTGGGATTCCCACAGGAATTCTTCCCCATCCCAAATTTCGGGGGGCTGCGGGGGGGTGTCGGTGTCGCTGTCGGGGTGGGAATTCCGGGATTCTGTTGGGAATTTTTCCGGAATTTCGGGGGGCTGCGGGGGGCTCTCGGTGTCGCCGTCGGGGTGGGAATTCCGGGATTCCGTTGGGGATTTTTCCGGAATTTCGGGGGGCTGCGGGGGGCTCTCGGTGTCGCCGTCAGGGTGGGAATTCCGGGATTTTTCCGGAATTTCGGGGGGCTGCGGGGGGGTCTCGGTGTCGCTGACGTATCCGGGATCTCCCGTGTAGTGCGTCGGGAACAGCAGCAGCGGCTCCGCCGAGAACGCGCGGAGATCCCGCCGGGAAAAGTGCCGGGAATACTCGGGGCTGGGGGGAAATGGGGGGAAAAAGGTGAAAATCAGGGAAAAAATGGGGGAAATCGGGGAAAAAATGGGGAAAAAACGGAAAAAAAGGGGAAAAAATGGGGAAAAAAAAGGGAAAAAAATGGGAAAAAAACATGGGAAAAATGGGGGAAATGGGGGAAAAATGGGGGGAGAATGTGAAAATCAGGGAAAAAATGGGGGAAAATGGGGGAAATCAGGGAAAAAATGGGGAAAAAATGGAAAAAATTGGGGAAAAAACGGGGAAAAATGGGGGGAAATCGGAAAAAATGGGGGGAAAACGGGGGAAATTGGGGTATATTTGGGGGAGAAGTGAGGGAAAATTGGGGAGAAATTGGGGAAAAATGGGGAAAGAATGGGGGAGAAATGAGGGAAATTGGGGAAAAAATGGGGGAGAAATGAGGGAAATTGGGGAAAAATGGGGGAAAAGTGGGGGGAAAACGGGGAAAAAATGGGAAAATCGGGGGAAAAATGGGGGGAAATTGGCGAAAAAATGTGGGGAATTGGGGGAAAATTGGGGGGAAAATGGGGGAGAAATGAGGGGAAATTGGGGAGAAAGTTGAAAAATGGAGGAAGATGGAGAAATGGGGGGGAAATGGGGAGAAAGGGTGAAAATTGGGGGAAATGGGGGGAAACGGGGAGGAAACGGAGAAAATGGGGAGTAAATGGAGAAAAATTATGGAAATGGGGAAAAATGTGGGGAAAGGGTGGAAAATGGGAGGAAAAGGGTAAAAATTAGGGAAAATTGGGGGAATGGAGAAAAATAGGAAGGAAATGGGGAAAAATGTGATGAAAATGGGGAAAAATGGGGAAACATTAGAGAAAAGTGAGAAATAAGGGGAAAAGGGGAGAGTTCTCGGAGACGTGGCCAAACCCCATAAATTCCAAAAATCCCATAAATCCCATAAATCCCATAAATCCCACAAATCCCGTCACACCTGGGGTGCCGGTCGAACATGAGGGGCAGGAACTCGTCCACCGGGATCATCTTGCCCAGGGGCTCGGCGGCGAGCAGCTTGCGGGCGCCGCGCAGCGACAGCGCGTAGCCCAGGCTCCAGTAGGAGTAGCCCGGGCGCAGCAGCTGCGGCACGCCCGGCACGCCGCGCTCCGAGCGCTCCGGCTCCAGCCGCTTCCGGCCCAGGTAGCTGCGGACAGCGGGGGGCAGTGGGGGCAGTGGGGTCAGTGGGGTCAGTGGGGTCAGTGGGGTCAGTGGGGACATTGGGGTCAATGAGGTCATTGGGATCAATTATGTCATTGGGGTCAATGGGATGAATGAGTTCAATGGAGTCAATGGGGTCAATGGGTTTATCAAGATCAATGGCGTCATTGGGGTCAATGGGGACATTGGGGTCATCGGTGTCAATGGGGTCAATGAAGTCATTGGGATCAATGACGTCATTGGGGTCATCAGGGTCAATGGGGTCATTGGGGTCAATGGGATGAATGAGGTCAATGAGGTCATTGGGATCAATGACATCATTGGGGTCAATGGGGACATTGGGGTCAGTGGGGTCAATGGGGACATTGGGGTCAATGGGATGAATGAGGTCATTGGGGTCAATGAGGTCATTGGGATCAATGGCGTCATTGGGGTCAATGAGGTCAATAGGGTCAGTGGGGTCAATGGGACCAATGGGGACATTGGGGTCAATGAGGTCATTGGGGTCATTGGGATCATTGGGATCAATTACGTCATTGGGGTCAATGGGGTCAGTGGGGTCAATGAGGTCAATGGGGACATTGGGGTCAATGGGGTCAATGGGGACATTGGAGTCAATGGGGTCATTGGGATCAATGGGGTCATTGGGGTCATCGGCGTCAATAGGATCAATGGGATGAATGAGGTCAATGAGGTCATTGGGGTCAATGGGGACATTGGGGTCAATGGGGACATTGGGGTCAATGAGGTCAATGGGGTCAGTGGGGTCAATGGGACCAATGGGGTCATTGGGATCAATGAGGTCAATGGGGTCAATGGGATCAATGCGATCAATGGGATCAATGCGATCAATGGCATCCAAGAGGCCTCAGGAAATTGGATCAATGGGAGCAGTGGGATGAGGATGAGGAGGATGAGGATGAGGAGGGTGGGACGAAGGCTCACACGAGGCCCCAGGGGATCTGGGATTGGGGTGAGTTCTGGGATGAGGATGAGGATGATGAGGAGGGTGGGACGAAGGCTCACATGAGGTCCCAGTGGACTGGGGTGAGTTTTGGGGTGAGGATGAGGATGAGGATGATGAGGAAGAGGGTGGGACGAAGGCTCACGTGAGGTCCCAGGGGACTGGGGTGAGTTTTGGGATGAAGATTATGAGGATGATGAGGATGAGGATGAGGAAAATGGGATGAAGGCCCACACAAGATCCCAGGGGCCTGGGGTGAGTTTTGGGATGAGGATGAGGATGAGGATGAGGATGAGGATGAGGAGGGTGGGATGAAGGCTCACACGAGGCCCCAGGGGCCTGGGGTGAGTTTTGGGATGAGGATGAGGAGGATGAGGATGAGGAGGGTGGGACGAAGGCTCACACGAGGCCCCAGGGGCCTGGGGTGAATTTTGGGATGAGGATGAGGATGATGAGGAGGATGAGGAAGATGGGATGAAGGCTCACATGAGGTCCCAGGGGACTGGGATGAGTTCTGGGATGAGGATGAGGAGGATGAGGATGATGAGGAGGGTGGGATGAAGGCTCACATGAGGTCCCAGGGGACTGGGGTGAGTTTTGGGATGAGGATGATGAGGATGATGAGGATGAGGAGGGTGGGATGAAGGCTCACACGAGGCCCCAGGAGACTGGGATGAGTTTTGGGATGAGGATGAGGAGGATGAGGATGAGGAGGACGATGAGGATGAAGGCTCACACGAGGTCCCAGAGGACTGGGGTGAGTTTTGGGATGAAGATGATGAGGAGGATGAGGATGAGGAGGGTGGGACGAAGGCTCACATGAGGTCCCAGTCGAGCGCCGCCTCCTCCAGCCGCTCCATCAGCTCCTCCAGGCGGCTGCGGAAGAAAACCTCGAAGCGAAGATCGTCCTCCAACACCAGCGAGCGCTGCAGGCCCCGCGCCGAAATCTGGGAATGCCGGAATGCCGGAATGCCGGAATGCCGGATGGACCCCGGGAATGCCGGATGGACCCCGGGAATGCCGGGAATGCCGGATGGACCCCGGGAATGCCGGGAATGCCGGATGGACCCCGGGAATGCCGGGATTTGGATGGGCCCCGGGAATGCCGGGAATGCCGGATGGGCCCCGGGAATGCCGGGAATCACCCGCCCATCCTCTGGAATTCCGGGATTTGGGATGGGGTCAATGGGATCATTGGGGTCAATGGGATCAATGGGATGAATGGATTTGGATCGTTACAGTCAATGGAACCAATGGGACCAATGGGATCAATAGGATCAATGGGATTTGGATCGTTCCAATCATTGGGATCAATGGGATCAATGGGATGAATGGATTTGGATCATTACAATCAATGGAACCAATGGGACCAATGGGATCAATAGGATCAATGGGATTTGGATCATTCCAATCATTTGGGTCAATGGGATCAATGGGATCATTCCAATCACTGGGATCAATGGGACCATTGGGATTTGGATCATTCCAATCATTGGGATCAATGGGATCAATAGGATCAATGGGATCATTCCAGTCATTGGGGTCAATGGGATTAATGGGATCATTGGGATCAATGGGACCATTGGGATTTGTATCATTCCAATCATTGGGATCAATGAAATCAATGGGGTCAGTGGAATTTGGATTATTCCAATCTTTGGGATCACTGGGATCAATAAGACCGATACGGTCAATGGGATCAATGGGATTTGGATCATTCCAATCATTGGGGTCAATGGGATCAATGGATTTGGATCATTACAATCAATTGAACCAATGGGACCAATGGGATCAATAGGATCAATGGGATTTGGATCATTCCAATCATTGGGATCAATGAAATCAATGGGGTCAATGGAATTTGGATCATTCCAATCATTGGGATCAATGAGACCAATGCGGTCAATGGGATCAATGGGATCAATGGGATTTGGATCATCCCTCCCACCCTTGGGAATTCCCCTGGACCTTCTGGATCCTTCCAGACCCCCAAATTCCCAAATTCTCATCCCAAATTCCCAAATTCCCACTCTGAATTCCCAAATTCCCATCCCAAACTCCCAAAATTCCCGAATTCCCGTCTCTCACCTCCTGCCAGACCCGGAAGTGGCTGAGGAAGCCACAACTCCTTTGGACTTCCCTGAACTTCCTGACCCACATGGACCATCTGGATCCTTCCAAACCCCCCAAATTCCCACCCAAAATTCCCGAATTCCTACCCAAAATTCCCGTAATTCCGTCTCTCACCTCCTGCCAGACCCGGAAGTGGCTGAGGAAGCCACAACTCCTTTGGACTTCCTTGAACTCCCTGGACCCCAAATTCCATCCCAGACCCCCCAAATTCCCAAATTCCTGTCCCAAATTCCCAATTTCCCATCCCAAATTCCCAAATTCCCATCCCAAACTCCCCAAATTCCCGAATTTTCGTCTCTCACCTCCTGCCAGACGCGGAAGTGGCTGAGGAAGCAGCAGCTCCCTCCCACCCTTGGGAATTCCCTGGACCCCAAATTCCATCCCAGACCCCCCAAATTCCATACCAGACCCCCCAAACTCCCAAATTCCCACCCAAAATTCCCGAATTCCCGTCTCTCACCTCCTGCCAGACCCGGAAGTGGCTGAGGAAGCAGCAGCTCCTTTGGAATTCCCTGAACTTCCTGACCCACATGGACCATCTGGATCCTTCCAAACCCCCCAAATTCCATCCCAGACCCCCCAAACTCCCAAATTCCCACCCCAAATTCCCGGAATTCCGTCTCTCACCTCCTGCCAGACCCGGAAGTGGCTGAGGAAGCAGCCCACCTCGCCGTGGGTCAGGGGTCTCCCGTGGAAGGGGTCGCGGTACCCCGGCAGCATCCGCACCCCCAGCGCCTCCACCTGACTGCGGTTCAGGGCCCTGCGGAGCCCGGAACGTTCCGGAAGGGAATTCCGGAGGGGCCCGGGGGTCATTCCCGGAATTCCCGACCCCCCCCGGCGCTCACCGGCCGTCCACGGCCTCCACCAGTTTGGGGGCGACCCCCAGTTCCCGCAGCGAGCGGAGCATCCGCGCCCGGCGGGACGGGCGGCGGCGGAGGTTGATCAGGAATACCTGGAAAGGGAAAATTGGGAAATTGGGAAAATTGGGGAGATTTGGGGGGATTTACCAAAAATCCGGGAGGAAATCGGGAAAAATCCGGGAGATTTGGGGGGAAATTGGGATAAATCTGGGGGGAAATTGGGGAAAATCCGGGGGGAATGGGGAGATTTGGGGAGAAATCGGGATAAATCCGGGGGAAAATCGGGAAAAATCCGGGGGGAATGGGGAGATTTGGGGGGAAATCGGGAAAAATCTGGGGGAAAATCGGGAAAAATCCGGGGGGAAATAGGGAAATTTGGGGGGATTCATCTAAAATCTGGGGGAAAATGGGGAGATTTGGGGAGAAATCGGGAAAAATCCGGGGGGAATCGGGAGATTTTGGGGGAAAATCGGGAAAAATCCAGGGGGAAATTGGGGAAAATCCGGGGGGAAATGGGGAGATTTGGGGGGATTCAGCCAAAATCCGGGCGGAAATTCATCCAAAATCTGGGAGAAAATGGGGAAATTTGGGGGTATTCACCCAAAATCCAGGGGATTCACCAAAAATCTGGGGAGAAATCGGGAAAAATCTGGGGGGAATGGGGAGATTTGGGGGGATTCACCCAAAATCTGGGGGGAAATGGGGAAATTTGGGGGGATTCACCAAAAATCTGGGAGGAAATGGGGAAATTCATCCTGAAATCTGGGGGAAATGGGCAAATTTGGGGGGATACAGCCAAAATCCGGGGGGAATGGGGAGATTTGGGGGTATTCAGCCGAAATTTGGGGGAATTCACCCAAAATCTGGGAGAAAATGGGGAAATTTGGGGGTATTCACCCAAAATCCAGGGGATTCACCAAAAATCTGGGGAGAAATCGGGAAAAATCTGGGGGGAATGGGGAGATTTGGGGGGATTCAGCAAAAATCCGGGGGGAATCACCCAAAATCTGGGGGGAAATGGGGAGATCTGGGGGGATTCAGCCAAAATTTGGGGGGAAATGGGGAAAAATCCGGGTGGAAATGGGGAAATTTGGGGGGATTCACCCAAAATCCGGGTGGAAATTAGGAAATTTGGGGGGATTCACCCAAAATCCGTGGGGAAATGGGGAAATTTGGGGGGATTCAGCCAAAATCCAGGGGGAAATGGGGAGATTCGGGGGGATTCAGCCAAAATCTGGGGGAAAATGGGGAAATTTGGGGGGATTCAGCCAAAATCCGGGGGCAAATGGGGAAATTTGGGGGGATTCACCCAAAATCCGTGGGGAAATGGGGAAATTTGGGGGGATTCACCCAAAATCTGGGGGGAAATGGGGAAATTTGGGGGAAATGGGGAGATTTGGGGGGATTGACCTGAAATCTGGGGGGAAATCGGGAAAAATCTGTGGGGAATGGGGAGATTTGGGGGGATTCACCCAAAATCTGGGAGGAAATGGGGAGATTTGGGGGGATTCACCTGAAATCTGGGGGGAAATGGGGAGATTTGGGGGGATTCACCCAAAATCTGGGGGATTCACCCAAAATTCGGGGGGAAATGAGGAAATTTGGGGAGATTAACCTGAAATCTGGGGGGAAATAGGAAATTTGGGGGGATACTCCCAAAATCTGGGGGATTCACCCAAAATTCGGGGGGAAATGAGGAAATTTGGGGAGATTCACCTGAAATCTGGGGGGAAATGGGGAAATTTGGGGGGATGCACCCAAAATCCCAGGGAAAAGTAGGAAAACGATCCGAAATCCCAAAGAAAAGTTGGGAAAAGGCCCCAGATCCCGAGGGGGAGGCCGGAATTCCGAGGGAGGGGCTCCCACCTCATCGAATCCCAACTTGTCCAAGACCTTGGGAGGGACCCACACGTGGGGGGACGGCTCGGCCGGGGGCAGCTTCACTGTGGGAAGGTAAAATCCCGTGGGAATGGGCCCAAATTCCATGGAAATGGGCCCAAATTCCATGGAAATGAGCCCCAAATCCCGTGGGAATGGGCCCCAAATCCCATTGGAATGGGCCCCAAATCCCATGGGAATGAGCCCCAAATCCTGTGGGAATGGGCCCCAAATCCCATTGGAATGGGCCCCAAATCCCATTGGAATGAGCCCCAAATCCCATTGGAATGGGCCCCAAATCCCATTGGAATGAGCCCCAAATCCCGTGGGAATGAGCCCCAAATCCCATTGGAATGAGCCCCGAATCCTGTGGGAATGGGCCCCAAATCCCATTGGAATGAGCCCCAAATCCCATTGGAATGGGCCCCAAATCCCATTGGAATGAGCCCCAAATCCCATTGGAATGAGCCCCAAATCCCATTGGAATGGGCCCCAAATCCCATTGGAATGAGCCCCAAATCCCATTGGAATGGGCCCCAAATCCCATTGGAATGAGCCCCAAATCCTGTGGGAATGAGCCCCAAATCCCATTGGAATGGGCCCCAAATCCCATTGGAATGAGCCCCAAATCCCATTGGAATGAGCCCCAAATCCCATTGGAATGGGACCCAAATTCCATGGAAATGGGCCCCAGATCCCGTGGGAATGAGCCCCCAATCCTGTGGGAATGAGCCCCAAATCCCATTGGAATGAGCCCAAATCCCATTGGAATGAGCCCCAAATCCCGTGGGAATGAGCCCCAAATTCCATGGAAATGAGCCCCAAATCCCATTGGAATGGGCCCCAAATCCCATTGGAATGAGCCCCAAATCCCGTGGGAATGGGCCCCAAATCCCACAGGAATGAGCCCAAATCAAAGCCCTGGATCCAATGGGATGATCCCAAATCCCGGGATCCTCTGGGATCCTTTGGGATCCTTTGGGATTCTTCCCTTCTCCAACCCCAAGGCCCTGGATCCATTTGGGATCCATTTGGGATCCATTTGGGATCCATTTGGATCCATTTGGATCCTTCCCCCCCCCCCCCCCCCCGATCCCAAATCCCTGGATCCTTTGGGATCCACTGGGATCCTTTGGGATCCGTTGGGACCCTTCCCTTCTCCAACCCCGAGGCCCTGGATCAGTTTGGGATCCATTTGGATCCATTGGGATCCTTCGCCTCCCCCTGGATCCCGCAGCCCCGGATCTGTGGGATGATCCCAAAGCCCTGGATCCCTTGGGATTGTTTGGGATCTTTTGGGATCCTTTGGGACCCTTCCCTTCTCCAACCCCAAGGCCCTGGAACTAATTGAATCCATTTGGGATCCCTTGGGATCCATTTGGTATCCTTTGGGATCTTTTGGGATCATTCTCACCTCATGATCCCAAAGCCCTGGATCCATCTGGGATCCATTTGGATCCATTTGGATCCCTTGGGATCCTTCTCCTCTCCCTGGATCCCAAATCCCTGGATCCCTTGGGATCCCTTAGGATCCTTTGGGATCTTTCCCTTCTCCAACCCCGAGGCCCTGGATCCATTTGGGATCCATTTGGGATCCTTTGGGATCCAACAGCCCCGGATCTCTGGGATAATCCCAAAGCCCTGGATCCATCAGAATCCTTTGGGATCCTTTGGGATCCATTGGGATCCTTCCATTTTCCAATCCCGCATTCCCGGATCTTTGGGACAATCCCGCGGCACCGGATCCGTCGGGATCCGTGGGGATCCGTCGGGATCTCACCCATGATCTCCAGCTGGACGTGCAGGAAGTTCTCGGCCTCGTCCCGCACGGAGCTCCGGGAGCGCAGCGGCACCGGCAGGAACCCGAACTGCTCCCGGTTGGACACGAACATCTGCACCCCTGGAACGGCACCGGGAATACCGGGATTGGGATCAGGAATATCGGGATTGGGATCGGGAATAACGGGATTGGGAATGGGATCGGGAACGGGATCGGGACAGGAGCGGCACCGGCAGGAACCCGAACTGCTCCCGGTTGGACACGAACATCTGCACCCCTGGAATGTCGGGAATGTCGGGATCGGGAATATCGGGATTGGGATCGGGAATGTCAGGATCGGGAATGGGATCGGGAATGGGATCAGGACGGGAGCGGCACCGGCAGGAACCCGAACGGCTCCCGGTTGGACACGAACATCTGCACCCCTGGAACGTTGGGAATGTCGGGATCGGGAATGTCGGGATCGGGATTGGGAATAATGGGATTGGGATCGGGAATGTCGGGATTGGGAATGTCGGGATCGGGAACGTCGGGATCGGAATTGGGAATAACGGCATTGGGATTGGGAATGGGATCGAGGATAACGGGATCGGGATCAGGAATGGGATTGGGGATGTTGGGATCGGGGTCAGGATGGGGGAGTCGCTCCAATGTTGGGATCACCCAAAGTTGGTCTCAAATCCCAACTCAACCCAACTCAACCCAACCAAACCCAACCCAACCCAACCCAACCCAACTCAACCCAACTCAACCCAACCCAACCAACCCAACCCAACCCAACTCAACTCAACCCAACCAACCCAACCCAACCCAACCAAACCCAACCAACCCAACCAACCCAACCCAACCCAACCCAACTCAACCCAACCAAACCAAACCCAACCAAACCCAACTCAACCCAACCCAACCCAACTCAACCCAACCAACCCAACCAACCCAACCCAACCCAACTCAACCAAACTCAACACATCCAAACCCAACCCAACCAACCCAACCCAACCAAACTCAACCCAACTCAACCCAACTCAACCCAACTCAACCCAACCCAACCCAACCAAACCCAACCCAACCAACCCAACCCCACCCAAGCCATCCAAACCCAACCCAACCCAACCCAACTCAACCCAACTAACTCAACCCAACCCAACCCAACCCAACCCAACTCAACCCATCCAACCAAACTCAACCCAACTCAACTCAACCAAACCAAACCCAACCCAACACAATCCAACCAAACCCAACTCAACCCAACTCAACCAACCCAACCCAACCCAACCCAACCCAACCAACCCAACCCAACCCAACCCAACCCAACTCAACCAAACCAAACCCAACCCAACCCAACTCAACCCAACCAACCCAACCCAACCCAACCCAACCAAACCAAACCCAACCCAACTCAACCAAACCAAACCCAACTCAACCAAACTCAACACATCCAAACCCAACCCAACCCAACCCAACCCAACCCAACCCAACTCAACTCAAACCAACCCAACCCAACCCAACCCAACCCAACCCAACCCAACTCAACTCAACCCAACCAACCCAACCCAACCAACCCAACTCAACCCAACCCAACCCAACTCAACCCAACTCAACTCAACCTAATCCATCCCCACCCAATTAAACCCAACCCAACCCAACCAAACCCAACCCAACCCAACCCAACCCAACTCAACCCAACCCATCCCAACATAATCCCAAACCCAATCCCAACCCAACTCAACCAAACCAACCCAACCCAACCCAACCCAACCCCACCCAAGCCATCCAAACCCAACTCAACTCAACCCAAAACAACTCAAACAAACCCAACTCAACTCAACCCAACCCAACTCAACCCAACCCAACCAAACCAAACCCAACCCAACCCAACCCAACCCAACTCAACCAAACCAAACCCAACCCAACCCAACCCAACCCAACCCAACCCAACCCAACCCAACCCAACCCAACCCAGCCCAGCCAACGACGCTGACCGGCGTGCCGGCAGGCGGCGGCGAAGACGAGGATGTCGTCGAAGGGGCCGCCGTAGCCGGGCGGGGGCGGGTGGAAGGCCAATCGCCGCGAGCGCTCCCGGCGCAGGTCCAGCAGGAACGTGGAGTGAACCATCGGCACCGCGAAGCAGCCGCGGCGCTCCCGGCGCCGGATCGGCAAATAGGCGGCCGTGCGGCGGTAATAGCCCTGAACGGAGTGACCAATGGGAGTGACCAATGGGAATGGGGAGTGACCACTGGGAGTGACCAATGGGGACGGGGAGTGACCGATGGGAGTGACCGATGGGAGTGACCAATGGGAGTGACCGATGGGAGAGACCAATGGGAGTGACCGATGGGAGTGACCAATGGGAGTGACCGATGGGAGTGACCGATGGGAGTGACCGATGGGAGAGACCAATGGGAGTGACCGATGGGAGTGACCGATGGGAGTGACCGATGGGAATGACCAATGGGAGTGACCAATGGGAATGGGGAGTGACCAATGGGAGTGACCGATGGGAGTGACCGATGGGAGTGACCAATGGGAATGGGGAGTGACCGATGGGAATGGGGAGTGACCACTGGGGATGAGGAGTGACCGCTGGGGTGACTACTGGGGATGGGGAGTGACCACTGGGAATGGGGGAATGGCCACTGGGAATGACCACTGAGAGTGACCACTGGGAATGGTGAGTGACCACTGGGAATGGGGGAATGGCCACTGGGAGTGACCACTGGGAGTGACCAATGGGAGTGACCGCTGGGAGTGACCACTGGGAATTAGGACTGGGAATGACCACTGGGGATGGGAAGTGACCACTGGGAGTGGGGGAGTGGCCACTGGGAATGGCGAGTGACCACTGGGAATGACCACTGGGAATGGCGAGTGACCACTGGGAATGACCACTGGGAATGGCGAGTGACCACTGGGAATAGGGAAATGGCCACTGGGAATGACCAGTGGGAATGACCACTGAGAGTGACCACTGGGAATAAGGACTGGGAATGACCACTGGGGATGGGGAGTGACCACCGGGAGTGACCACAGGGGATGAGGAGTGACCAATGGGAGTGACCACTGGGAGAGACCGCTGGGGACGGGGGAATGGCCACGCCCTCACCTGTCCCCAGCCCCGCCCTCACCTGTCCTGTCCCCGCCCTCACCTGTCCCCGCCCCGCCCTCACCTGTCCTGTCCCCGCCCTCACCTGTCCCCGCCCTCACCTGTCCCTGTCCCCGCCCTCACCTGTCCCCGCCCTCACCTGTCCCCGCCCTCACCTGTCCCAGCCCCGCCCTCACCTGTCCCCGCCCTCACCTGTCCCTGTCCCCGCCCTCACCTGTCCCGGCCCCGCCCTCACCTGCGCGGTGACGCCGCACCAGAAGTTGGAGTACGCGGCGCGCGAGTCCAACATCGGCGCCACCACCGTGCGGTTCTCGGCCATCAGCAGCGCCAGCGTGTCGGGGTTCAGCAGCACATTGTCCGCGTCCAGGAACTGCGGGGGGGGACACACCTGGGCACACCTGGGGGCACCTGGGCACACCTGGGATATACCTGGGCACAGCTCTGATACACCTGGGCACAGCTGGGCACACCTGGGCACAGCTGGGCACAGCTGGGCACACACCTGGGCACACCTGGGGGCACCTGGGCACACCTGGGCACAGCTGGGCACACACCTGGGATACACCTGGGCACACCTGGGATACACCTGGGCGCACCTGGGCACACCTGGGCACACCTGGGATATACCTGGGCACAGCTGGGCACACACCTGGGCACACCTGGGCACACCTGGGGGCACCTGGGCACACCTGGACACACCTGGGCACACACCTGGGGGCACCTGGGGCATACCTGGACACACCTGGGACATCTCAGGGACCCCTCCCCAAATTGGGTGACCCCCCCCAAATCACACAGGGTCACACCTGGGCTTGGCTGTCCTCAGTTTCCCTCACCTGAAGCTCCGTTTGTCCCCTCTGGGGTGACTTTTGTCCCCCACCCCGGGGCTCAGGGACCTTTGGGGACCCCTCCCCGAATTGGGGGACCCCTCCCCGAATTGGGGGACCCCTCCCCAAATTCGGGACCCCCCAAAATCCATCACACCCACACCTATCCTTGAGTTTCCTCAGTTTCCCTCACCCCAGGGCTGTGTTTGTCCCCACTGGGGTGACTTTTTCCCCCCACCCCGGGGCTCGGGGACCCTTGGGGACACTTTGGGGACCCCTCCCCGAATTGGGGGACCCCTCCTCAAATTGGGGGACCCCTCCCCAAATTCGGGACCCCCCAAAATCCAACACAGACACACCCTGCCCTGAGTTTCCTGAGTTTCCCTCACCCAGGGCTGTGTTTGTCCCCTCTGGGGTGAGTTTTTCACCCCACCCCGGGGCTCGGGGACCCTTGGGGACACCTTGGGGACCCCTCCCCGAATTGGGGGACCCCTCCCCAAATTGGGGACCCCCTTACCAGCAGGTAATCGGCCCACATGGCCCGGGCAGCCTCCAGGGCCTCCTGGCGCAGCCGCATCAGGTGCTCGTAGCGAGAGGGGCTCCAGTGCTTGGGACCCTCCTCATCGGGGAACGACCTGGGGGGCACCGGGGGGGCACCTCAGACACCCCAAAATCCCGGGGGGAGCCCCCCAAAATCCCGGGGAGAGCCCCCCGAAATTTGGGGAGCCGCAGGGACCCCCAAAAACCTCAGAAAGTCCCGAAATTTGGGTCTCTCCTCATTGGGGAATCACCTGGGGGGCACCGGGGGGGCACCTGAGACACCCCAAAATTCTGGGGAGACCCCCCAAATTCTGGGGAGACACCCCAAAATTCAGGGGAGAGCCCCCCAAAATCCTGGGGAGCCCCCCGAAATTTGGGGAGCCACAGGGACCCCCAAAAACTTGGGGGAAGTCCTGAAATTTCACACCCGACTCATTGGGGAATCACCTGGGGGGCACCTGAGACACCCCAAAATTCTGGGGAGATCCCCCCAAATTTCGGGGAGACCCCACCCGAATTCTGGGGAGACCCCCCCCAAATTCTGGGGAGAGCCCCCCAAAATTTGGGGAGCCACAGGGACCCCCAAAAATTGGGACAGTCCCAAAATTTGGGGAGTCCTTCCTCCAAATTTGGGTCTCTCCTCATTGGGGAACAACCTGGGGGGTACCTGAGACACCCCAAATTCTGGGGAGATCCCCCCAAATTTCGGGGAGACACCCCAAAATTCTAGGGAGAGCCCCCCAAAATCCTGGGGAGCCCCCCGAAATTTGGGGAGCCGCAGGGACCCCCAAAAACCTCAGAAAGTCCCAAAATTTGGGGAGTCCTTCCTCCAAATTTGGGTCCCTCCTTGTCTGGGAGGCACCCCAAAAAAACCCCAAAAACCCCCAAAATCCCTCCCTGAACACCCCCAGACCCCCCCAAAATGTGTCTGAGACCCCCAAAATGTGTCAGAGCCCCCCAAAATGTGTCTGAGCCCCCCAAAATGCCTCAGAGACCCCCAAAAACCCTCCCAGACCCACGTGGGATCCTCCTGCTGCCTCTCCTCCCCAAAATGACAAAATCAACCTAAAAAAAACCCAAAAAACCCCAAAAAATCCCCAAAAATCCCCCAAAAAACCCCCAAAATCCCTCCCTGGACCCCCCAAAATGTCTCAGACCCCCCCAAACCCCACCTGGGCAGCTCCTGGTGCCTCCCATTTCTGTAATGACCAAACCCCAAAAAACACCCCAAAAAAACCCCAAAAAAACCCCAAAAAACCCCCAAAAACGCCCCCAAAATCCCTCCCCGGACCCCCCAAAATGTCTCAGACCCCCCCAAACCCCCCAAACCCCACCTGGGCAGCTCCTGGTGCCTCCCATTTCTGTAATGACCAAACCCCAAAAAACACCCCAAAAACACCCCAAAAAAACCCCAAAAAAACCCCCAAAAACGCCCCCAAACCCCCCAAAATCCCTCCCCGGACCCCCCAAATTCCTCAGATCCCCCCAAACCCCCCAAACCCCACCTGGGCAGCTCCTGGTGCCTCCAGCTCACGCGGTGGTAGCGGCTCCGCACGCGGCTCAGCCACTCGGACAGAACCGCCGAGGTGTTGTCCACGCTGTGGTCAGCGGCCAGCCTGGGGTCACACAGGGGTCATGGGGTCAGTCAGGGGTCACGGGGGTCAGTCAGGGTCACAGGGTTCACAAAGGTCACAGAGGTCACACAGGGTCACACTCACACCCAGAGGTGTCCACGCTGTGGTCAGCGGCCAGCCTGGGGTGACACAGGGGTCACACAGGGGTCAGTCAGGGGTCACAGGGGTCAGTCAGGGTCACAGGGTCAGTCAGGGTCACACAGGGTCATAAAATTCATAGGGGTCACACCAGGGTCACAAGGTCACTCAGGCTCACAGAGGGGTCACAGGGGTCACACAGGGTCACAGGGTCACTCAGGGGTCATTCAGGGTCACACAGGGGTCACTCAGAGTTACTCAGGGTCACTCAGGGGTCACTCAGGGGTCACTCAGAGTTACTCAGGGTCACTCAGGGGTCAGTGAGGGTCACTCAGGGGTCACTCGGGTCACTCAGAGTTACTCAGGGTCACTCAGGGGTCATTCCGGGTCACACAGGGATCACAGAGGGGTCACACAGGGCCCCAGGGGTCATTCAGGGGTCACTCAGGGGTCATTCCGGGTCACACAGGGCCACACAGGGATCACAGAGGGGTCACACAGGGCCCCAGGGGTCATTCAGGGGTCACTCAGGGGTCAGTGAGGGTCACTCAGGGTCACACAGGGTCACAGGGGCCACAATGTCCCCAATGTCCCCATTAATGTCCCCAATGTCCCCAACACCCCCAATGTCCCCAATCCCCCCAATGTCCCCACTGTCCCCACTGTCCCCTCAATGTCCCCATGTCCCCACACCCACCAGAGCGCCATCCTGTCCGGGGGGTGCCTCAGCCTCTCCAGCCCCCCCAGCACCAGCGGCAGCGCGTGGGCCGCGTTCCGCGCCAGCAGCGCCACGGCCACGCTCGGCGGCCGCAGCGGCGACTCGGGGTTCCAGCGCTCCTCGGGGAAATACGCGGCGGCGCCCCCGGGCCCCAAACCGGGCCCCAAAGCGGAGCGGGAGCCGCGCTCGGGCCCCGCCAACAGCGGCAGCAGCAGCGGCAGCAGCGGCGGCCATGGCCGCGCCGCCATCTTGGGCCGCCCTCAGGGCGGGCCACGCCCTTCTTCTTCGCCCCCCTCACGTTGGCCACGCCCACGCGCGCGGTGATTGGACGAGTTGTGCGTGGCGGGAAACGCCCAGGCGCGGTGATTGGACGAGTTCTGCGCGGCGGGAAACGCCCAGGCGCGGTGATTGGCCGAGCACTGCGTGGCGGGAAACGCCCATACGCGCGGTGATTGGCTGAGCCTTGCGGCGGGCCACGCCCATTATTGCCATATATGGGGTGGTGGTGAAGCCACGCCCACCTCGTTGTAATAAAAAAGGAGATTTTTATTTTCCCGTTCCTGATGCCAAATAGACCCAAAATTTGCTTTTTTCTGCCCATTTTTACCCTCCCAGTCCCTTCCAGTTCATCCCAGTCCCTCCCAGTCCAAATTCCGATTTTTTCCATTAGTAGAAATGGAAAATTTCCCCATTCCTGCTCCCAAACAGACCCAAAATTTGCTTTTTTTGAGCCCAATTTTACCCTCCCAGTCCCTCCCAGTTTATCCCAGTTCAAATTCCCAATTTTTCCATGGACAAAACCCCAAAATTTTCCCATTTCTGCTGCCAAACAGACCCAAAATTTGCTTTTTTTCAGCCTATTTTTATTCATTTTTATCCCTCCCAGTTCATCCCAGTCCCTCCCAGTTCAAATTCCCAATTTTTCCATGGACAAAACCCCAAAATTCTCCCATTTCTGCTCCCAAACAGACCCAAAATTTGCTTTTTTCAGCCCATCCGATTTTCCATGGATAAAAAAAGGAAAATTTCCAATTCCTGCTGCAAAACAGACCCAAAATTTGCTTTTTTCAGCCCATTTTTACCCCCCAGTCCCTCCCAGTCCATCCCAGTTCCATCCCCCAAATCCAAGGAATTCTCACCCCAATTCCTCCTCATCCAAAGCTCCTTTTATTCCCCAAAAAATCAAAATAAAAACCCCCAAAACACCAAAAATCTGATTTTTTGGGCTCATTTTTCCTCTCCCAGTTCCCACTGGGATTCCCAGCCCCCAATTCCAGAATTTTGGGATTTTTCTGATTTTTTTTTCCCTTTTTCCCCAGAATTTCCAGGATTTCCCGACGATTTCCAGCTCAGCCAAAGCAGCCCCAGATCCCAAAAAAATCCAGCGAAAATCCCAAAAAAAAAAAAAAGAACCAAAAAATAATTTTTAAAAAATCAAAAAATTCCAAAGAAATCCAATAAAATAAAGGTCCAAAATTCCCATTGGAATTTTTAATATTTTTCCATGGAAAATTCTCCATTTCTCTGTCAATTTTCCCTGGAATGTTCCTCATTTTTTCCTGGAATTTCTCAATTTCAGGGACATTTTTCCTGGAATTTCTCTATTTTAAGGACATTTTTCTTATTTTTCCCCAGAATTCCTCAATTTCAAGGACATTTTCCATTAATTTCTCCATTTTAAGGACATTTTTCCATAGAATTTTTCCATTTCAAGGACATTTTCCATTAATTTCTCAATTTTAGGGACATTTTCCCATGGAATTTTACCACTTTAAATACATTTTCCCAATTTTTTTCCATGGAACTTCTCCATTTTAAAGGTATTATTCTCATTTTTCCATGGAATTTCTCAATTTCAACGACATTTTTTGATGGAATTTCTCCATTCCAAAGACACTTTTCCATGGAATTTCTCCATTCCAAGGACATTTTTTGATGGAATTTCTCCATTTTAGGGACATTTTTCCATGGAATTTCTCCATTTCAAGGACATTTTTTCCATGGATTTTCCTTAATTTCATGGACATTTTTCCATGGAATTTCTCCATTTTAAGGACATTTTTCTATGGAATTTCTCCATTTTAGTGCCATTTTTCCATGGAATTCCTCCATTTTAAAGACATTTTTTCCATGGATTTTCCTTAATTTCATGGACATTTTTCCATGGAATTTCTCCATTTCAAGGACATTTTTCTATGGATTTTCCTCAATTTAAGGGACATTTTTCCATGGAATTTCTCCATTTTAGTGCCATTTTTCCACGGAATTCCTCCATTTTAAAGACATTTTTCCACGGAATTCCCCCATTTCCAGGCGATGTTCCCATTTTTCCATGGAATTCCCATTTTTAGGGACATTTTTCCAGGGGGATCCGCAGTTCCTTGGCCGCCTCCTGGTCCAGGAGCCACCAGAGCCGCCCCGAGCGCGGCCGGAGTCGAGCGGCCGGGAGCGACTCCGACTCCTCCCGCTGCTCCTCCGGCGGCTCCAAAATGCGCTGGGGAGAGAGGAAATCCGAGTGAACCCCAAAATCCTGGGGAGGACCCCAAAAACGGGGAGTTTAGCCCCAAAAATGGGGAGTTTAGCCCCAAAAATGGAGAGTTTAGCCCCAAAAACGGAGAGTTTAGCCCCAAAAATGGGGAGTTTAGCCCCAAAAATGGAGAGATTAGCCCCAAAAATGGAGAGATTAGCCCCAAAAACCCAGAGAGAGCCCCAAAAATGGGGAGTTTAGCCCCAAAAACGGGGAGTTTAGGCCTAAAATTGGGGAGTTTAGCCCCAAAAATGGAGAGATTAGCCCCAAAAATGGAGAGTTTAGCCCCAAAAACGGGGAGTTTAGTCCCAAAAATGGGGAGTTTAGCCCCAAAAATGGAGAGTTTAACCCTAAAAATGGAGAGTTTAGCCCCAAAAATGGAGAGATTAGCCCCAAAAATGGGGAGTTTAGCCTCAAAAAAGGGGAATTTAGGCCCAAAAATGGGGAGTTTAGGCCCAAAAATGGGGAGTTTAGCCCCAAAAATGGGGAGTTTAGGCCCAAAAATGGGGAGTTTAGCCCCAAAAATGGAGAGATTAGCCCCAAAAATGGGGAGTTTAGCCCCAAAAACGGGGAGTTTAGTCCCAAAATCCCAGAGTTTAACCTGAAAATTCCACACTAAAACCCAAAAATGGGGAGTTTAGCCCCAAAAATGGGGAGTTGAACCCCAAAAATGGGGAGTTTAGTGCCAAAAATGGGGAGTTTAACCCAAATATCCCAGAGTGAACCCCAAAAGCCCAGAGTTTAACCCCAAAATTCTACACTGAAACCCAAAAATGGGGAGTTTAGACCCAAAAATGGGGAGTTGAACCCCAAAAATGGGGAGTTTATCCCCAAAAACGGAGAGTTTAGGCCCAAAAATGGGGAGTTGAACCCCAAAAATGGGGAGTTTATCCCCAAAACTGGGGAGTTTAGCCCCAAAAATGGGGAGTTTAGCGCCAAAAATGGGGAGTTTTGCCTCAAAACTGGGGAGTTTAGCCAAAAAAATTGGAAGTTTAGCCCTAAAAATGGGGAGTTTAGGCCCAAAAATGGGGAGTTTAGCCCCAAAAATGGGGAGTTTAACCCCAAAAATGGGGAGTTTAGACCCAAAAATGGAGAGTTTAGCCCCAAAATCCTGGATTTAAACCCCAAAATCCCAAAATGAAACCCAAAAATTTGGGATTTAACCAAAAATTGGGAATTTTGCCCCAAACCTTGAGCACGGGGGCCTTGGAGGTGCCGGTGGCCACCACCAGCAGCGCCTGGGCCTAGTTGAGAAATGAGATTGAACCCCAAAATCCAAGATTTTAACCCCAAAAACCGGGATTTAACCCCAAAAAAACAGGATTTAACCCCAAAAAAATCTGGGAATTAACCCCAAAAATCCCAAATTTAACCAAAAATTGGGAATTTTGCCCCAAACCTTGATCACAGGGGCCTTGGAGGCGCCGGTGGCCACCACCAGCAGGGCCTGGGCCTAGTTGAGAAATGGGATTGAACCCCAAAATCCCAGAATTTAACCCCAAAAATTCGGCATTTAACCCCAAAAAATCTTGGAATTAACCCCAAAAATTCCGGATTTAACCAAAAATTGGGAATTTTGCCCCAAACCTTGATCACAGGGGCCTTGGAGGCACCGGTGGCCACCACGAGCAGGGCCCGGGCCTAGTTGAGAAATGGGAATTAACACCCCAAAAACGGGATTTAACCCCCAAAAAAACAGGATTTAAGCCCAAAAATTTGGGATTTAACCAAAAATTGGGGATTTTGCCCCAAACCTTGATCACAGGGGCTTTGGAGGCGCCGGTGGCCACCACCAGCAGGGCCTTGGCCGCGTTGAGCAGCGGCAGCGTCATCGTCACCCGCTGGGGCGGCGGCTTGGGAGAGTCCTCCAGGAAGGAAATCAGGGAATTCTGCTCCTGGAAATGGGGCAAAAAACCGGGAAATCGGGAAAAATCCAGAGGGAAATCATGGGGGAAAATAATGGGAAAAATGGGGGAAATAATGGGGGAAAAATGGGGAAAATAGAACAAAAAATGGGGAAATAATAGGGAAAATAATGGGGGGAAAATGGGGAAAAATGGGGAAAATAATGGAGAAATAATGGGAAAAAAGGGAAAAATAAGAGGAAAAATAAGAGGAAAAATAAGAGGAAAAATAAGAGGAAAAAATAATGGGAAATTGGAGAAAAACCAAAAAAATAATGGGAAAAATACCATTAAAAATGGGAAAAATAAAACTAGGAAAATAGTGGGAAAATAATAGGAAAAAAGGGGAAATTAATAGGAAAAATCTGGGAAATAATGGGAAAATAATTGGAAAAATGAGAAAATAATGGGAAAATAATGGGAAAATGGGGAAAATAATGGGAAAATGGGGAAAATAATGGGAAAATGGGGAAAATAATGGGAAAATGAAGAAAACAATGGGAAAATAATGGGAAATATGGGGAAATTAATAGAAAAAATCCGGAAAATAATGGGAAAATAATGGGAAAATGAGGAAAATAATGGGGAAAATGGGGAAAATAATGAAAAAATTTGGAAAATAATGGGAAAATAATTGGAAAAATTAGGAAAATAATGGGAAAAATAAGGGAAAAAGCAGGAGAAAAGCGGGGAAAACAACGGGGAAAATTGCCCCACTGGTGAGAATTCCCAAATTCCCGAAATTCCCGAATTCCCGGAGGTACCTGGAGCAGGGCGTGGCCCGGGAACAGGGAGCAGGTGTGGCCGTCCGGCCCCACCCCCAGCAGCAGCAGGTCAAAGCGGGGCGTGGCCTCGCCCGGGAACGCCTGGCACCAGTACGGACCAGTAAGGACCAGTTCCGACCAGTTCGGATCGATACTGATCAATACTGATCACTATGGACCAGTACAGACCAGTATGGATCGATACTGATCACTATGGACCAGTTCGGATCAATACTGATCGCTATGGACCAGTACAGACCAGTTCGGATCGATACTGATCACTATGGACCAGTTTGGATCAATACTGATCGCTATGGACCAGTACAGACCAGTTCGGATCAATACTGATCAATACTGATCGCTATGGACCAGTTTGGACCAGTTCGGATCAATACTGATCGCTATGGACCAGTACGGACCAGTTCGGATCGATACTGATCGCTATGGACCAGTTCGGACCAGTTCGGATCAATACTGATCGCTATGGACCAGTACAGACCAGTATGGATCAATACTGATCACTATGGACCAGTTCGGACCAGTTCGGATCAATACTGATCAATACTGATCGCTATGGACCAGTTTGGACCAGTTTGGACCAGTTTGGATCAATACTGATCGTTATGGACCAGTACAGACCAGTTTGGACCAGTTTGGACCAGTCTGAACCGGTTCAGCCATTGGCTGATCCCAGTTCCCCCAATGCCTTTGAACCCTCCCAGTGCTCCCAGTATAAACCAGTTCCCTCCCAGTATAAACCAGTTCCATCCCAGTATAAACCAGTTCCCTCCCAGTTCCCTCCCAGTTCCATTCCCAGTATAAACCAGTTCCCTCCCAGTCCCTCCTAGTCCATCCCAGTATAAACCAGTTCCCTCCCAGTATAAATCAGTTCCATCCCAGTATAAACCAGTTCATCCCAGTATAAACCAGTCCCCATTCCCAGTATAAACCAGTCCCTCCCAGTATAAACCAGTTCCCTCCCAGTCCCTCCCAGTCCCTCCCAGTTCCCCCAGTCCCATTCCCAGTGCTCCCAGTCCATCCCAGTATAAACCAGTTCCCTCCCAGTTCCCTCCCAGTCCCTCCCAGTCCATCCCAGTATAAACCAGTCCCTCCCAGTATAAACCAGTTCCCTCCCAGTCCCTCCCAGTCCCTCCCAGTCCCTCCCAGTGCCCATTCCCAGTCCCTCCCAGTCCCTCCCAGTATAAACCAGTTCCCTCCCAGTTCCCTCCCAGTCCATCCCAGTTCCATCCCAGTCCCCCCCAGTCCCTCCCAGTATTCCCAGTCACCCCAGTGCTCATTCCCAGTGCTCCCAGTCCCTCCCAGTCCCATTCCCAGTTCCCCCAGTCCCCTCCCAGTCCCTCCCAGTATAAACCAGTCCCTCCCAGTCCCTCCCAGTGTCCCATCCCAGTGCTCCCAGTCCCTCCCAGTCCATCCCAGTTCCCTCCCAGTACTCCCAGTCACCCCAGTGCTCATTCCCAGTGCTCCCAGTCCCTCCCAGTCCCATTCCCAGTTTCCCCAGTCCCATTCCCAGTTCCCTCCCAGTTCCCTCCCAGTCCGTCCCAGTCCCTCCCAGTACAAACCAGTCCCTCCCAGTACAAACCAGTACAAACCAGTACCCGTCTCAGCTGTCCCTCGTAGTCCCGCGCCGTCTCCTCGGGGCCCAGTCCGGGGGTGACCCACAGCACGTGGGGGGAGGGGCGGGGCAGCTGGGACAGCAGCTGGGACTGGGAGGGGTTAACTGGTCATACTGGGAGCACTGGGATGGACTGGGACACACTGGGAGGGGAACTGGTCATACTGGGATGGACTGGGAGGGGGACTGGTCATACTGGGAGCACTGGGAGGGGGGACTGGTCATACTGGGAGCACTGGGAGGGGTCACTGGTCATACTGGGAGCACTGGGAGGGGGAACTGGTCATACTGGGAGCACTGGGAGGGGGAACTGGTCATACTGGGAGCACTGGGATGGACTGGGAGGGGGAACTGGTCATACTGGGAGCACTGGGACGGACTGGGAGGGGGTAACTGGTCATACTGGGAGCACTGGGATGGACTGGGAGTCATACTGGGAGCACTGGGACGGACTGGGAGGGGCTGGGCTATACTGGGGGGAACTGGGAGGAACTGGGAGGGACTGGGAGGGATTGGGCCATACTGGAAGGGACTGGGAGGGACTGGGCCATACTGGGGGGAACTGGGAGGAACTGGGCCAAACTGGGCCAAACTGGGAGAAACTGGGCCGAACTGGGGGGAACTGGGAGGGACTGGGAGGGACTGGGAGGAACTGGGAGGGACTGGGAGGAGCTGGGCCATACTGGGGGAAACTGGGAGGGACTGGGAGGGACTGGGAGGAGCTGGGTCAAACTGGGCCAAACTGGGAGAAACTGGGATGGACTGGGAGGGAACTGGGAGGGAACTGGGCCAAACTGGGCCAAACTGGGAGGAGCCGCGCCCGCCCCGCCCCGCCCACCCGGTAGACCACGCCCCCTCACCCGTTAGGCCCCGCCCACCCGGTAGGCCTCTCTCACCCGGTAGGCCCCGCCCCCTCACCCGGTAGGCCCCGCCCCTCTCCCCCGGCAGACCCCGCCCCCTCCCCGGTAAACCCCGCCCCCTCACCCGGTAAACCCCGCCCCTCCCCCGGTAAACCCCGCCCCTCACCCGGTAAGCCCCGCCCCCTCACCCGGTAAACCCCGCCCCTCACCCGGTAGGCGCCGCCGGTGCTGTCGGGGTGCTCGGGCGGCACCAGGCGCTCGTCGCAGAACGCCAGCAGCCACCGGGAGGGCTCCGCGCCCGGGGCCGCCCGCAGCGCCGCCGGCAGCTCCCGCGCCAGCAGCGCCACCAGCGAGCCCCCGGACAGCCCCAGCGTGAAGCGGCCGCCGCTCGCCACCGCCTCGGCCGCCGCGTCCGCCACCGAGCGCGCCAGGGCCGCGCCGAGCTCGGCCGGGGACGGGAACACCGACACGGCCGCCATGATGGCGGCGGCGGGGGGAGGAAGGAGAAGGGGGAAGTGACGTCAGCGGCGCATTGCGTTGCTAAGCAACCGCGGGGTTTTACCGGAAGCTGAGTGAGAGCGCGTCTCGTTGCTAAGCAACGGCGGGGTTTTACCGGAAGCTAAATCAGAGCGCGTTACGTTGCTAAGCAACCGTGAGGTTCTTACCGGAAGTTGAGTCAGATGAGTCGCGTTGCTAAGCAACCGTGGGATTATTACCGGAAGTGAGTCAGAGAGCGTCACGTTGCTAAGCAACCTTTTTTTAACCGGAAGTTGAGTCGAGCGCGTCTCGTTGCTAAGCAACCATGGGATTATTACCGGAAGTGAGTCAGAGCGCGTCACGTTGCTAAGCAACCCTCCCCCACCCCTCCGCCCCTCCCCCCAAATCCCAAAAAATCCCAAATAATCCCAAATCCCCAAAAATCCCAAATCCGCGACCGGAGGCGACCCCGGGGGGGCTCCGCCTTTTTTTATTTTTTTTTGGGGTTTCTGTCCCATTTTTGGGGTTTTTATCCCATTTTTTGGGGGTTTCATCCCATTTTTGGGGTTTCCATCCCATTTTTTTGGTGTCTTCATCCCAATTTTTGGTATAAACCCCTATTTTGGGGGATTAAATCCCAATTTTTGGTATAAACCCCCACTTTTAGGATTAAATCCCAATTTTTGAGCACAAACCCCCATTTTTCAAGATTAAATCCCAATTTTTGAGGACAAACCCAATTTTTTGGGATTAAATCCCCATTTTGGTATAAACCCCCATTTTTTCAGAATAAATCCCAATTTTTGAGCACAAACCAAATTTTTTTGGGATTAAATCCCAATTTTTGAGCACAAACCAAAATTTTTTGGGATTAAATCCCAATTTTTTCATATAAACCCCAATTTTTGGGATTAAATCCCAATATTTGAGCACAAACCCTAATTTTTTTAATTAAATCCCAATTTTTTGGGACAAACCAAATTTTTTAGGATTAAATCCCAATTTTTGAGCACAAACCCCCATTTTTTGGGATTAAATTCCAATTTTTGAGCACAAACCCCCATTTTTTGGGAATAAATCCAAATTTTTTTTTATAAAACCCCCTCCCCCAGCAGCTCCCGCCCCTCCCCCTCTCCCGCCGTTAATTAACGCCTTAATTAATCCCTTAATGAATCCGCTGCTCCAAATCCGCGCTCGCTCGGCGGGGCCGCTCCGGCCCCTTTTATCTGCGATTTTTAGGGATAAAATTCCCATTTTTCCTCATCCTTTTTCCTCCACCGCAGCCCTTCTGTTTTTAGGGATAAATCCCCAATTTTTTAGGGATAAACCCCCAATTTTTTAGGGATAAATCCCCATTTTTTTAGGGATAAACCCCCATTTTTTTTTAGAAATCAGCCCCCATTTTTTTCAGGGATAAACCTCCTTTTTTTAGGGATAAACGCCCATTTTTTAGGGATAAATCCTAATTTTTTCCTATCATATTTATTCCCATTATTCCATTATTCCCGCTATCATTCCCGCTATTCCCACCACTTTTATTCCCATTATTCTCGCTATTATTTTTATTATTTTATTCCCATTATTCCCGCTATCAATCCCACTATTCCCACCACTTTTATTCCCATTATTCCCATTATTCCCATTATTCCCGCTATTATTTTTATCATTCCTATCATTTTATTCCCATTATTCCCGCTATAATTCCTGCTATTCCCTCTATAATCCCCGCTTTTCCCCCTCTATAATTCCCGCTTTTTCCCCTCTATAATTCCCGCTATTCCCTCTATAATTCCCGCTTTTTCCCCTCTATAATTCCCGATTTTCCCCGCTACAATTCCCGCTTTTTCTCCTCTGTAATTCCCGCTTTTTCCCCACTATAATTCCCGCTATTTCCACCCCCTTTTTCCCCATTATCCCCGCTATAATTCCCGATTTATCCCCTCTATAATTCCCGCTTTTTCCCCGCTATAACCCCCACTATTCCCACCACTTTTCCCCCACTATTCCCTCCCTTTTCCCCACTATAATCCCCTCGATTCCCACCCCTTTTCCCCCGCTATTCCCACCCCTTTCCCGGCTATAATTCCCGCTATAATCCCCACCATTCCCACCCCTTTCCCCTGCCATTCCCACCCTTTTTCCCCGCTATAATTCCCGCTATTCCCAGCCCTTTTCCCCCCGCTATTCCCACACCTTTTCCCCCCGCTATTCTCACCCTTTCCCCCCGCTGTTCCCACCCCTTTTCCGCGCTATAATTCCCGCTATTCCCACCCCTTTTCCCCACTATAATCCCCGCTATTCCCACCCCTTTCCCCTGCCATTCCCACCCCTTTTCCGCGCTATAATTCCCGCTATTCCCACCCCTTTTCCCCACTATAATCCCCGCTATTCCCACCCCTTTCCCCTGCCATTCCCACCCCTTTTCCGCGCTATAATTCCCGCTATTCCCACCCCTTTTCCCCACTATAATCCCCGCTATTCCCACCCTTTTTCCGAGCTATAATCCCCGCTATTCCCACCCTTTCCCCCCGCTATTCCCACCCCTTTTTCCCTGCTATAACCCCCGCTATTCCCACACCTTTCCCCTGCCATTCCCACCCCTTTTCCCCACTATAACCCCCGGTATTCCCACCTTTTTTTCCCGCTATAACCCCGCTATAATTCCCGATATTCCCACCCCTTTTTCCCCACTATCTGCACTATAACCCCCGCTATTCCCACACCTTTTCCCCACTATAATCCCCACTATTCCTACCGCTTTTCCTCGCTATTCCCACCACTTTCCCCCACCCTTTCCCCCTCTTTTCCCCCTCTCTTCCCCCTCTTTCCCCCACTACCATCCCCACCCTTTTCCACTCTTTTTTCCCCACTATAATCCCCCCTATTCCCACCCCTTTTCCCCGCTATAATCCCCACTATTCCCACCCTTTTTTCCCGATATAATTCCGCTATAATCCCCGCTATTCCCAGCCCTTTCCCCCCGCTATTCCCACCCTTTTCCCCCCTATAACCCCCCCTATCCCCCTGTTCCCCCCCGGCCATGGCGTGGGCGCTGTTCTCGGGCCGGGCGCTGCTGGCGCGGCGCTCGGAGCTGCGGCTGGACACGGAGCGGGAGCTGCGGGCGGCGCTGGAGAACCGGCTGCTGCTGCTGCTGTTCGCCGCCCGCCGCTGCCCCCGGTGCCGCGGGTTCGAGCCCCGCCTGCGCCGCTTCTGGAGCCGCCTCACCGAGCCCCGACACACCGAGCGGCCCGAGCAGCTCGGGCTGGTCTACGTGGGCAGCGACGGCAGCGAGAGGGAGCACCGGGAGTACCTGCGGGACATGCCCCGCGCCTGGCTGGCGCTGCCCTACGGGGATGAGTTCGGCAGGTGAGCACACCTGGGGACAGGTGGGGACACCTTTGGTAGGTGAGGGACAGGAGCAGGAGCACCGGGAGTACCTGCGGGACATGCCCCGCACCTGGCTGGCGCTGCCCTACGGGGATCAGTTCGGCAGGTGAGCGCACCTGGGGACAGGTGAGCGCACCTGGGGACAGGTGAGCGCAGGTGGGGACAGGTGAGCACAGGTGGGACAGGAGCAGGAGCACCGCCAGTACCTGCGGGACATGCCCCGCGCCTGGCTGGCGCTGCCCTACGGGGATGAGTTCGGCAGGTGAGCGCACCTGGGGACAGGTGAGCACACCTGGGGACACCTTTGGTAGGTGTGGGACAGGTGAGGGGACAGGTGGGACAGGAGCAGGAGCACCGGGAGTACCTGTGGGACATGCCCCGCGCCTGGCTGGCGCTGCCCTACGGGGATCAGTTCGGCAGGTGAGCGCACCTGGGGACAGGTGGGACAGGTGGGGACAGGTGGGACAGCTGGGGACAGGTGGGACAGGAGCAGGAGCACCGGGAGTACCTGCGGGACATGCCCCGCAACTGGCTGGCGCTGCCCTATGGGGATCAGTTCGGCAGGTGAGCGCACCTGGGGACAGGTGAGCACACCTGGGGACAGGTGGGACACCTACAACAGGTGAGGGACATGTGGGGACACCTTTGGCAGGTGAGGGACAGGTGGAACAGGTGAGGAACACCTTTGGTAGGTGAGGGACAAGTGGGGAAAGCTTTGGTAGGTGAGGGACAGGTAGGAACACCTTTGGTAGCTGACGGAGAGGTGGGACAGGTAGGGATGGGTGGGGACACCTGTGGTAGGTGAGGGACAGGTGGGGACACCTACAGCAGGTGAGGGACAGGTGGGGACACCTGTGGTAGGGGAGGGACAGGTGTGGTAGGTGAGGACAGGTAGGAACACCTTTGGTGTTCCCCCAATTCCCATTTCCCCAATCCCAATATCCCCAATCCCCATTTCCCCCATCCCCAACCTCCCCATTTTCCCAATCCCCATTCCCCCAATCCCATTTCCCCCATCCCAATTCCCCCATTCCCCCATCCCAATTCCCCCAATCCCCATTCCCCCATCCCAATATCCCCAATTCCCAATTCCCCCAATCCCATTCCCCCAATTCCCATTTCCCCAATCCCATTTTCCCCATTCCCCATTCCCCCATTCCCAACCTCCCCAATTTCCCATTCCCCATCCCAAACTCCCCCAATCCCCATTCCCCCATTCCCAACCTCCCCCAATTTCCCATTCTCCATTCCCAACCTCCCCAATCCCATTTCCCCCACCCCAATTCCCCCATTCCCCCATCCCAAACTCCCCCAATTCCCATCCCCCATCCCAACCTCCCCATTTCCCCCATTCCCCCATCCCAATATCCCCAATTCCCATTTCCCCAATCCCATTCCCCCATCCCAATATCCCCAATTCCCATTTTTGCAATTTCCAATTTCCCCAATTCCCCCAATCCCCATTCCCCCATCCCAATTCCCCCAATCCCAATATCCCCAATTCCCATTTCCCCAATTCCCATTTCCCCCATCCCAATTCCCCCAATCCCAATTTCCCCAATCCCCATTCCCCAATCCCCATTTCGCCCAATTCCATATTCCCCAATCCCCATTTCCCCCATTCCCCCATCCCAAACTCCCCCAATTTCCCATTTCCTCCATCCCAAATTCCCCCAATTTCCCCATTTCCCCATCCCAATTCCCCAATTTCCCATTTCCTCCATCCCAAACTCCCCCAATTTCCCCATTCCCCCATCCCAATTTCCCCATCCCAATTTCCCCAATTCCCATTTCCCCATTCCCAACCTCCCCAATCCCATTTCCCCCACCCCAATTCCCCCATTCCCCAATCCCAATATCCCCAATCCCCATTTCCCATTCCCAACCTCCCCATTTTCCCGATTTCCCCCATTTTCCCCGATTTCCCCCATTTTCCCAATTTCCCCCCATTTTTCCCCAATTTCCCCCGTTTTTCCCGTCCGCAGGGAGCTGGAGCGCCGTTTCGGGGTGTCGGCGCTGCCGGCCGTGGTGGTGCTGGCGCCCAGCGGGGCCGTGCTGGTGCGGGACGCGGTGCCGGAGATTCGGGATTTGGGACCCTCCTGCTTCCACAACTGGCGCCAGGCGGCCGAGCTGCTGGACCGAAACTTCCAGGAGCGCCAGGAGATCCCGGGATCGGCGCCGCGCGGCATCACCGGGATCCTGCGGCGCCGAAAGTACCGACCCGAGAGCCGAGAGGAGCAGGAGGAGGAGGAGGAGGAGGAGGAAGGGCAGCGGGGATAGGGGATGGATCCAAAATCCCGGAAAAGTGACGGAACATTGGGGTGGATCCAGCTGGGAATGGTCGCTCCGGTTCCGGCATCTCCATGTGAAGAACTCAACCAAAATCCCATCGGTTTTCCCAAAAATAAAGGAGGAGGAGGAGGAGGAGGAGGAGGAGGAGGAGGAGGAGGAGGAGGAGGAAGAGCAGCGGGGGTAGGGGTTGGATCCAAAATCCCAGAAAAGTGACAGAACCTTGGGGTGGATCCAGCTGGGAATGGTCGCTCCGGTTCCGGCATCTCCATGTGAAGAACTCAACCAAAATCCCATCGGTTTTCCCAAAAAATGAGGATGGAGGAGAAGGAGGAGGAAGAGGAGAAGGTGGAAAGGGAAGAGGAAGAGCAGCGGGAGTTGGGGTTGGATCCCAAATCCCAGAAAAGTGATGGAACCTTGGGGTGGATCCAGCTGGGAATGGTCACTAAGGTTTTGGTTCTTCCATTGGAGGAACTCACCCAAAAATCCCATCGGTTTTCCCAAAAATAAAGGACAAGGAGGAGGAGGAGGAGGAGGAGGAGGAGGAGGAGGAAGGGCAGCGGGGGTAGGGGATGGATCCAAAATCCCAGAAAAGTGATGGAACATTGGGGTGGATCCAGCTGGGAATGGTCGCTCCAGTTCCGGCATCTCCATTTGAAGAACTCACCCAAAATCCCATAAATTTTCCCAAAAAATGAGGATGGAGGAGAAGGAGGAGGAAGAGGAGAAGGGGGAAAGGGAAGAGGAAGGGCAGTGGCGGGTAGGGGACGGATCAAAAATCACGGAAAAGTGACGGAACCTTGGGGTGGATCCAGCTGGGAATGGTCGCTCCGGTTCCGGTTCTTCCGTTGGAGGAACTCAACCAAAATCCCATCGATTTTCCAAAAAAATGAGGGAGGAGGAGGAGGAGGAGGAGGAGGAGGAGGAGGAAGGGCAGCAGGGGTAGGGGTTGGATCCAAAATCCAGGAAAAGTGATGGAACCTTGGGGTGGATCCAGCTGGGAATGGTCGCTCCGGTTCCGGCATCTCCATGTGAAGAACTCAACCAAAAATCCATCAGTTTTCCCAAAAATAAAGGACGAGGATGAGGAGGAGGAGGAGGAGGAGGAGGAGGAGGAGGAGGAGGAGGAGGAGGAGGAAGGGCAGCGGGGGTAGGGGTTGGATCCCAAATCCCAGAAAAGTGATGGAACATTGGGGTGGATCCAGCTGGGAATGGTCGCTCCGGTTCCGGTTCTTCCGTTGGAGGAACTCACCCAAAATCCCATCGGTTTTCCCAAAAATAAAGGACGAGGAGGAGGAGGAGGAGGAGGAGGAGGAGGAGGAGGAGGAGGAGGAGGAGGTGGAAAGGGAAGAGGAAGAGCAGAGGCAGTAGAGGTTGGATCCCAAATCCCGGAAAAGTGATGGAACATTGGGGTGGATCCAGCTGGGAATGGTCGCTCCGGTTCCGGCATCTCCATGTGAAGAACTCAACCAAAATCCCATCGGTTTTCCCAAAAATAAAGGAAGAGGAAGAGGAAGAGGAAGAGGAAGAGGAAGAGGAAGAGGAAGAGGAAGAGGAAGAGGAAGAGGAAGAGGAAGAGGAAGAGGCCCTGGTGTGGATCCAACTGGGAATGAACCGGTCCCAGTCTGGGAATTAAACTGGTCCCAGTTTGGGAATGAACCGATCCCAGTTTGGAAATTAAACTGGTCCCAGTTTGGGAGTTAAACTGGTCCCAGTTTGGGAATGAATCAATCCCAGTTTGGAAATTTAACTGGTCCCAGTTTGGAAATTAAACCGGTCCCAGTTTGGGAATGAATCAATCCCAGTTTGGGATCTGAACCAGTCCCAGTTTGGGAATGAATCAATCCCAGTTTGGGATTGAACCAATCCCAGTTTGGAAATTAAACTGGTCCCAGTTTGGGAATGAACCGATCCCAGTTTGGGAATGAATCAATCCCAGTTTGGAAATTAAACTTATCCCAGTTTGGGAATGAATCAATCCCAGTTTGGGAATTAAACCGGTCCCAGTTTGGAAATTTAACTGGTCCCAATTTGGGAATTAAACCGGTCCCAGTTTGGGAACTGAACTGGTCCCAGTTTGGGATTGAGCCAATCCAAGTTTGGGAACTGAACCACTCCCAGTTTGGGAATTAAACTGGTCCCAGTTTGGGAATTAAACCGGTCCCAGTTTGGGAATGAATTTATCCCAGTTTGGGAATGAACTAATCCCAGTTTGGGAGTTAAACTGGTCCCAGTTTGGGATTGAACCAATCCCAGTTTGGGAATGAACTGGTCCCAGTTTGGGAATGAATCAATCCCAGTCTGGGAATGAACCGGTCCCAGTTTGGAAATTAAACTGGTCCCAGTTTGGGAGTTAAACTGGTCCCAGTTCCGGATCCCGCTCCCGGAATTTTCCGCGATCGGGATTTTGGGTTCCCGGGATCGAATTTCAGGCCCCGCCCGGGGGCGGCTCCCGGCGGCTCCTCGGAGGAATTTTCCCCTTCCCGGATTTCTCCGCCAGCTCCAACTTTTAACCCAAAAAAAAACAAAAAAAAAGAAAATTTTGGGGGATTTTTTCCCGCCGGGAAGCGCCGCTGGAAATGGGAATTTCCCCTCTGGAGCGCCGCGTGCTGATCCCAGGTGAGAATTCCCGGAATTTTATCCCAAAATTCCCCTCGGAGCCTTAAAAATGGGGGAGGGGGAATTCCCCGGAGGGGGAAAAAAAAGAGAAAAAAAAGTGAGTTTTTTTGGGGTTTTTATGGAGTTTTCCTGGGTTTTGGGGTTTTTTTTTGGGAGGAGAATTCCAGCCGAATTCCAGGAGTTTTGCCCCAAATCTGTGCGGGCCTTGGAAGGAGTAGGGGAGGCCCTTTCCGGGTTTTTTTTTTCCAGGAAAAAATGGGAATTTTAATGGATTTTGAAGGGATTTTGGGACGGGAGGAGGTCCCGAGGGAGGAGGGGGAGGGGAAATCCCAAAGGGGAGGGAAAATCCTGGAAAAGAGGGAAATTTCCTCAAGGAAAAACCCCAAATCCAGGGGGAAAAAACGAAAATGCAGGAAAAAAAAAAAAAAAAAACAACAAATCCAGGGAAAAAAAAAATCCAAGGGGAAAAAAATCCCCAAATCCATGGAAGAAAAGCCAAATCTTGGGGGAAAAACACCAAATCCAAGGGGAAACCCTCAAAATCCAAGGAAAAAACCCCAAATTCAGGGAAAAAAAACCTTTAAATCCAGGGAAAAACCCCCAAAATCCAGGAAAAAACACTTAAATTCAAGGAAGAAAACCCCCAAAATCCAGGGAAAAAACCCCAAAATCCCGGAAAAAACCCCCACAAAATCCCAGGAAAAACCCCTAAATTCAAGGAAAACATCTCAAAATACAAAGAAAACCCCCAAATTTAAGGAAAAAAATCCCAAATCTAAGGAGAAAAAACCCAAAATCCCAGGAAAAACCCCAAATCCCAGGAAAAGACCCCAAAATCCCAGGAAAAAGAAATAAACCCAAAAATCCGAAGAAGAAAAACCCAAAATCCCAGGAAAACCCCAAAATCCCGGGGAAAAAAACCCCCAAAAATCCAAAGAAAAACCCCAAAAAATCCAGGGAAAAACCCCCAAAAATCCAAAGAAAACCCCCCAAAAATCCAGGAAAAAAAACCCCAAAAATCCAAAGAAAAGCTCCAAAAAATCCAGGGAAAAACCCCCAAAATCCCGGGAAAATCCCCAAATCCTCCCCAAATTCCCGCCCCCATCCCGGAATTTTTTGCAGAACCGCTGGAAAAGGCTCAAAAAAACTCAAAAAAAACTTGGAAAAACGGGAAAAGAAGCAGAAAATTCCATTTTTTTTCCCTCTTTCCCAGAATTTTGGGAACAAAGGAATTCCTGCGGCTCCCGGTGGTTTTTATGGGAAGAATTCCAGGCGGGAATTTTGGGGATTTGGGCTGGTTTTAATCCCCTTTTTTGGTTTTTTTTGGTTTTTTTTTCCCTCTTGGAATTGTTTGGATTCCCGCGGGAATTCCAAGGTCGGGCTGGGAATGTTGGGAAAAGCTGCGGGGGGAGGGAAATTTGGGATTTTCCCGGTTTTTTTTTTCAGGATTTTGGAGCTTTTCCAAAGGTTTTTTTTTGTGGGGGAAATTTGGGATGGAATTTCCAAGGATTTTACGAGGGGGGGAAAAAAAGGGATTTTTATGGGAATTTAATGGGATTTTTAGGGATTTAGATGAAATTTTAAGGGATTTTATGGGGGTTTTGGGATTTTTTTTTGGGATGATTTTTAGGGATTTTTGGGGGATTTTTTTGGGTTTTAAGGAATTTTATGGATTTTTTTTTTTTATAGGACTTTTTGTAGGATTGGGATGGGATTAAAGACCCCTTTTCCCCAAAAAAAATCAGGAATTTTGGGATTTCAGTGCTCCCGGCACATCCCAAAAGAAATTCCAGGAAATTCGGGATCAAAGATGAAAGGAGGGACAGCAGGAATGGGAAAAATCAAGATTTAAATGGGATTTTTAAGGAATTCCCAGTTTGAAAATTCCCCAAATCTGCCCCAAATCTGGGAATTCCTCCCAAATTTTGGGATCAACAATTCCCAGCCGGATCCAGATCCAAACATCCCAAAAAAAAAAGGGAAAAACCACCCGGAGCAGCCTCATTTTCTCATTTTTTCCCCTTTTTTCCTTAAAAAAATTCCTAAAAATCCCATTTTTTCCTGATTTTTGTGGGGATTTTCAGGGATTTTCCCCTCCCAGCCCTGGGAATGTCGGGATCCAAAGTCCATCCCAAGGAACAATGGGAATTCCTCGGGAATTCCTCGGGAATTCCTCAACTCCAGGGATTTGTTTGCCCAAGGAGGAGAAACAGCCCCGGAAACTCCGGAATAAAAAATTCCAGGAAGGGAAAAAACCTCAGGATGGGAGGACCCAAAAATTCCCAAATTTGGGATTCAGGGGAGCACAGGTGAGCCAGAATTTGGGATTTTTTTCCCAATTTTTTGGGGTTTTGTCTGATTTTTGAAGTTTTCCCCCCAATTTTGGGGCTTTGACCCCAAATTTTGGCTCCCCCCCCCCCAATTTTTAGGCTTTTTTCCTACTTTTGGAATTTTTCCCCAATTTTGGGGGTTCCATCCCAGTTTTGGGGATTTTTCCCAATTTTGGGGGATTTTTAACCAATTTTTGGGGTTTTTTCCTAGTTCTGAGTTGTTTTCCCATTTTTGGGTATTTTTTTTTCAAGTTTAGGGGGTTTCTCCCCAATTTTGTGTTTTTTCCCATTTCCCCCCGCTTTTCCCCCCATTTCCCCCATTTTTCCCCAAAATCCCCATTTCCCCCCATTTTCCCTAATTACCCCATTTTTTCCTCAATATCCATATTTCCCCCCCATTTCCCCCCCATTTTTCCCCAAAATCCCCATTTCCCCCCCCATATTTTTTCCCAAAATCCCCATTTTTCCCCCCGATATTTTCTCCCCAAAATCCCCATTTTCCCCCGATATTTCCCCAAAATCCCCATTTTTTCCCCAAAATCCCCATTTCCCCCCAATATTTTTCCCCAAATCCCCATTTTTTCCCCATTTCCCCCATTTTTCCCCCCATTTCCCCCCGATATTTCCCCAAAATCCCCATTTTTTCCCCAAAATCCCCATTTCCCCCCAATATTTTTCCCCAAAATCCCCATTTTTCCCCAAAATCCCCATTCCCCCCCATATTTTCCCCATTTCCCCATTTTCCCCGATATTTCCCCAAAATCCCCATTTCCCCCCAACATTTCCCCCATTATCCCCCCCATTTCCCCCCAATATTTTTCCCAAAATCCCCATTTTTCCCCATTTCCCCCATTCCCCCCCCACATTTTTTCCCAAAATCCCCATTTCTCCCCCCAATTTCCCCCAATACTTTTTCCCAAAACCCCCAATTTCCCCCCATATTTTTTCCCAAAATCCCCATTTCCCCCTGATATTTTCTCCCCAAAATCCCCATTTCCCCCCATATTTTTCCCAAAATCCCCATTTTCCCCCCCATTCCCCCCCCATTTTTTCCCCATTCCCCCATTTTTACCCAAAATCCCCATTTCCCCCATATTTTTTCCCAAAGTCCCCATTCCCCCACCATATTTTTTCCCAAAATCCCCATTGTTTCCCCATTTCCACCATTTCCCCCCAATATTTTTCCCAAAATCCCCATTTTCCCCCCGATATTTCCCCAAAATCCCCATTTTTCCCCAAAATCCCCATTTCCCCCCAAAATCCCATTCCCCCCCTCCCCTCAGGCCCCCCGCCATGCGGCACTGCTTCTACAACGAGTCCGTCGGCTTCTTCTACAACAACAGCCGCAAGGAGCTGAGCGCGACATGGCGGCCCCGGGACGCGCTGCTGCTGGCGCTGGGCCTGGCGCTCGGCGCCGCGGTGCTGCTGGCCAACCTGCTGGTCATCGCCGCCGTGGCCACCAACCGCCGCTTCCACCACCCCATCTATTATCTCCTGGCCAACCTGGCGGCCGCGGACGTCTTCGCCGGCGTGGCCTACATGTTCTTGATGTTCCACACCGGGCCTAGAACCGCCCAGTTGTCGCTCAAGACTTGGTTCGTCCGGCAGAGCTTGTTGGACACCAGTTTGACGGCTTCGGTGGTCAACCTGTTGGCCATCGCGGTGGAGCGGCACCGCACGGTGCTGAGCGTGCAGCTGCACAGCGAGATGTCCGCCCAGCGCGTGGTGGGCTTGATCTTCTCCATCTGGGCGGCGGCGCTGCTGCTGGGCTTGATCCCGTCCTACGGGTGGCACTGCCTGTGCTCCTTGGAGAGCTGCTCCAGGATGGCGCCGCTCTACAGCCGCAGCTACTTGACCTTCTGGGCCATCTCCAACCTGCTGGTGTTCCTGGTCATGGTGATGGTCTACGGGCACATCTTCGTCTACGTCAGGAGGAGGATGGCGCGCATGGCGCGGCACACGGGCGCGCACCCGCGGCACCGCGACACCGTGCTGGCGCTGGTCAAGACCGTCACCATCGTCCTGGGTGGGTGTTAATTAGGGGTAATTGGGTTGGTTATTGTTGTCTTTGGTGGGTGGTTAATTAGGGGTTAATTGGGTTGGTCATTGTCGTCTTCGGTGGGTGGTTAATTAGGGGTAATTGGGTTGGTCACCATCATCCTTGGTGGGTTGGTCATCCTCCTTGGTGGGTGATTAATTAGCGGTAATTAAGGGTTAATTGGGTTGGTCATTGTCGTCCTTGGTGGGTGGTTAATTAGGGGTAATTAAGGGTTAATTGGGTTGGTCATCATCATCCTTGGTGGGTTGGTCATCTCATCCTCAGAGGGTGGTTAATTAGGGGTTAATTGGGTTGGTCATTGTCATCTTCGGTGGTCCTTGGTGGGTGGTTAATTAGGGGTAATTAGGGGTTAATTTGGTTGGTCATCATCATCCTTGGTGGGTGATTAATTAGCGGTAATTAGGGGTTAGTTGGGTTGCTCATCGTCATCCTCAGAGGGTGGTTAATTAGGGGTTAATTGGGTTGGTCCTCGTCATCCTTGATGGGTTGGTCATCATCATCTCCAGTGGGTGGTTAATTAGGGGTAATTAGGGGTTAATTGGGTTGGTCATCATCATCCTTGGTGGGTGATTAATTAGCGGTAATTAGGGGTTAGTTGGGTTGCTCATCGTCATCCTCAGAGGGTGGTTAATTAGGGGTTAATTGGGTTGGTGATCATCATATTTGGTGGGTTGGTCATCATCATCTCCAGTGGGTGGTTAATTAGCGGTTAATTAGCGGTCAATTGGGGGTGACACTGTGCTGAATTTTATCCCGGAATTCTTCAGGCCACAAAGAGCTGAAATCCCATCCAGGAAGTGACCAAAAACCACCAAAAATTCCCATTTTTTCTCTTTTTTCCCCATTTTTCCAGGTACATTTCGGCTCTAGTGACCCTTTTTCCCTCAAAGATCAGAATCCACGGGGATTTGGGGATTCCATGGAACAATTTTATCCTGGAATTCTTCAGGCCACAAAGAACTGAAATCCCATCCAGGAAGTGACCAAAAACCGCCAAAAATTCCCATTTTTTCTCCTTTTTCCCCCTTTTTTCCAGTGGCCTTTGGGCTCTCCTGGATCTTTTTCCCTCAAAGATTGGAATCCACAGGGATTCCATGGAACGATTTTATCCTGGAATTCTTCAGGCCACAAAGAACTGAAATCCCATCCAGGAAGTGACCAAAAACCACCAAAAATTCCCATTTTTTGTCATTTTTTCCCACTTTTTTCCAGTGGCCTTTGGGCTCTCCTGGATCTTTTTCCCATCTTTTTTCCCTCATCTCATTCTTCTGCCAAGATTCCCCACAGGGATTCCATGGAACGATTTTATCCTGGAATTCTTCAGGCCACAAAGAACTGAAATCCCATCCAGGAAGTGACCAAAAACCACCAAAAATTCCCATTTTTTTCCTTTTTTCTCCCGTTTTTCCAGGTGCCTTTGGGCTCTCCTGGATCTTTTTCCCTCAAAGATCGGAATCCACAGGGATTTGGGGATTCCATGGAACGATTTTATTGTGGAATTCTTTGGGTCGGAAAGATCTGAAATCCCATCCAGGAAGTGACCGGAAAACACCAAAAATTCCCATTTTTTCTCATTTTTTCCCCATTTTTCCAGGTGCATCTGGGCTCTAGTGAATCTTTTTCCCTCAAAGATCAGAATCCACGGGGATTTGGGGATTCCATGGAACGATTTTATCCTGGAATTCTTTGGACCACAAAGAACTGAAATCCCATCCAGGAAGTGACCAAAAACCACCAAAAATTCCCATTTTTTCTCTTTTTTCCCCATTTTTCCAGGTACATTTCGGCTCTAGTGACCCTTTTTCCCTCAAAGATCAGAATCCACGGGGATTTGGGGATTCCATGGAACAATTTTATCCTGGAATTCTTCAGGCCACAAAGAACTGAAATCCCATCCAGGAAGTGACCAAAAACCGCCAAAAATTCCCATTTTTTCTCCTTTTTCCCCCTTTTTTCCAGTGGCCTTTGGGCTCTCCTGGATCTTTTTCCCTCAAAGATTGGAATCCACAGGGATTCCATGGAACGATTTTATCCTGGAATTCTTCAGGCCACAAAGAACTGAAATCCCATCCAGGAAGTGACCAAAAAACACCAAAAATTCCCATTTTTTGTCATTTTTTCCCACTTTTTTCCAGTGGCCTTTGGGCTCTCCTGGATCTTTTTCCCATCTTTTTTCCCTCATCTCATTCTTCTGCCAAGATTCCCCACAGGGATTCCATGGAACGATTTTATCCTGGAATTCTTCAGGCCACAAAGAACTGAAATCCCATCCAGGAAGTGACCAAAAAACACCAAAAATTCCCATTTTTTTTCCTTTTTTCCCATTTTTTCCAGTGGCCTTTGGGCTCTCCTGGATCTTTTTCCCTCAAAGATCAGAATCCACGGGGATTTGGGGATTCCATGGAACGATTTTATCCTGGAATTCTTCAGGCCACAAAGAACTGAAATCCCAGCCAGGAAATGACCAAAAACCACCAAAAATTCCCCTTTTTTTCCTTTTTTCTCCCACTTTTCCAGGTGCCTTTGGGCTCTCCTGGATCTTTTTCCCATCTTTTTTCCCTCATCTCATTCTTCTGCCAAGATTCCCCACAGGGATTCCATGGAACGATTTTATCCTGGAATTCTTCAGGCCACAAAGAACTGAAATCCCAGCCAGGAAGTGACCAAAAACCACCAAAAATTCCCATTTTTTCTCATTTTTTTCCCATTTTTCCAGGTGCATTTTGTCTCTAGTGACCCTTTTTCCCTCAAAGATCGGAATCCACGGGGATTTGGGGATTCCATGGAACGATTTTATCGTGGAATTCTTTGGGTCGGAAAGAACTGAAATCCCATCCAGGAAGTGACCAAAAACCACCAAAAATTCCCAATTTTTTCCTTTTTTTTCCCATTTTTCCAGGTGCATTTCGGCTCTAGTGAATCTTTTTCCCTCAAAGATCAGAATCCACGGGGATTTGGGGATTCCATGGAACCATTTTATTGTGGAATTCTTTGGGTCGCAAAGAACTGAAATCCCATCCAGGAAGTGACCCAAAATCACCAAAAATTCCCATTTTTTCTCATTTTTTCCCATTTTTCCAGGTGCATTTGGGCTCTCCTGGATCTTTTCCCCTCAAAGATCAGAATCCACGGGGATTTGGGGATTCCATGGAACGATTTTATCCTGGAATTCTTCAGGCCCCAAAGCACTGAAATCCCATCCAGGAAGTGACCAAAAAACACCAAAAATTCCCATTTTTTTCCTTTTTTCTCCCGTTTTTCCAGGTGCCTTTGGGCTCTCCTGGATCTTTTTCCCTCAAAGATCGGAATCCACAGGGATTTGGGGATTCCATGGAACGATTTTATCCTGGAATTCTTCAGGCCACAAAGAACTGAAATCCCAGCCAGGAAGTGACCAAAAACACCAAAAATTTCCATTTTTTCTCCTTTTTTCTCCCGTTTTTCCAGGTGCCTTTGGGCTCTCCTGGATCTTTTTCCCATCTTTTTTCCCTCATCTCATTCTTCTGCCAAGATTCCCCACAGGGATTCCATGGAACGATTTTATCCTGGAATTCTTCAGGCCACAAAGAACTGAAATCCCAGCCAGGAAGTGACCAAAAACACCAAAAATTCCCATTTTTTCTCATTTTTTTCCCATTTTTCCAGGTGCATCTGGGCTCTAGTGAATCTTTTTCCCTCAAAGGTTGGAATCCACGGGGATTTGGGGATTCCATGGAACGATTTTATCCTGGAATTCTTCAGGCCACAAAGAACTGAAATCCCATCCAGGAAGAGACCAAAAAACACCAAAAATTCCCATTTTTTTCCTTTTTTCCCCTTTTTTCCAGTGGCCTTTGGGCTCTCCTGGATCTTTTTCCCTCAAAGATCGGAATCCACAGGGATTCCATGGAACGATTTTATCCTGGAATTCTTCAGGCCACAAAGAACTGAAATCCCATCCAGGAAGTGACCAAAAACCACCAAAAATTCCCATTTTTTCTCCTTTTTTCCCCTTTTTTCCAGTGGCCTTTGGGCTCTCCTGGATCTTTTTCCCGCAAAGATCAGAATCCACGGGGATTTGGGGATTCCATGGAACGATTTTATCCTGGAATTCTTCAGGCCACAAAGAACTGAAATCCCAGCCAGGAAGTGACCAAAAACCACCAAAAATTCCCATTTTTTTTCCTTTTTTCCCATTTTCCAGGTGCATTTCGGCTCTAGTGAATCTGTTTCCCATCTTTTTTCCCTCATCTCATTCTTCTGCCAAGATTCCCCACAGGGATTCCATGGAACGATTTTATCCTGGAATTCTTCAGGCCACAAAGAACCGAAATCCCATCCAGGAAGTGACCAAAAACCACCAAAAATTCCCATTTTTTCTCATTTTTTTCCCCATTTTTCCAGGTGCCTTTGGGCTCTCCTGGATCTTTTTCCCTCAAAGATCAGAATCCACGGGGATTTGGGGATTCCATGGAACGATTTTATCCTGGAATTCTTCAGGCCACAAAGAACTGAAATCCCAGCCAGGAAGTGACCAAAAAACACCAAAAATTCCCATTTTTTTCCTTTTTTCTCCCGTTTTTCCAGGTGCCTTTGGGCTCTCCTGCATCTTTTTCCCTCAAAGATCAGAATCCACGGGGATTTGGGGATTCCATGGAACGATTTTATCCTGGAATTCTTCAGGCCACAAAGAACTGAAACCCCAGCCAGGAAGTGACCAAAAACCACCAAAAATTCCCATTTTTTCTCATTTTTTCCCCATTTTTCCAGGTGCATCTGGGCTCTAGTGAATCTTTTTCCCTCAAAGATCGGAATCCACGGGGATTTGGGGATCCCATGGAACGATTTTATCCTGGAATTCTTTGGACCACAAAGCACTGAAATCCCATCCAGGAAGTGACCAAAAAACACCAAAAATTCCCATTTTTTCTCATTTTTTCCCCATTTTTCCAGGTGCATTTCGGCTCTAGTGACCCTTTTTCCCTCAAAGATCGGAATCCACAGGGATTTGGGGATTCCATGGAACGATTTTATCCTGGAATTCTTTGGACCACAAAGAACTGAAATCCCATCCAGGAAGTGACCAAAAAACACCAAAAATTCCCATTTTTTCCCTTTTTTTTCCCACTTTTCCAGGTGCCTTTGGGCTCTCCTGGATCTTTTCCCCATCTTTTTTCCCTCATCTCATTCTTCTGCCAAGATTCCCCACAGGGATCCCATGGAACGATTTTATCCTGGAATTCTTTGGGTCGGAAAGAACTGAAATCCCATCCAGGAAGTGACCAAAAAACACCAAAAATTCCCATTTTTTCTCATTTTTTCCCCATTTTTCCAGGTGCATTTCGGCTCTAGTGACCCTTTTTCCCATCTTTTTTCCTTCATCTCATTCTTCTGCCAAGATTCCCCACAGGGATTCCATGGAACGATTTTATCCTGGAATTCTTCAGGCCACAAAGAACTGAAATCCCAGCCAGGAAGTGACCAAAAAACACCAAAAATTCCCATTTTTTCTCCTTTTTTTCCCATTTTTCCAGGTGCATTTCGGCTCTAATGAATCTTTTTCCCTCAAAGATCAGAATCCACAGGGATTTGGGGATTCCATGGAACGATTTTATCCTGGAATTCTTCAGGCCACAAGGAACTGAAATCCCAGCCAGGAAGTGACCAAAAACACCAAAAATTCCCATTTTTTCTCATTTTTTTCCCATTTTTCCAGGTGCATCTGGGCTCTAGTGAATCTTTTTCCCTCAAAGATCAGAATCCACAGGGATTTGGGGATTCCATGGAACGATTTTATCCTGGAATTCTTCAGGCCACAAAGAACTGAAATCCCATCCAGGAAGTGACCAAAAAACACCAAAAATTCCCATTTTTTTCCTTTTTTCACCTTTTTTCCAGTGGCCTTTGGGCTCTCCTGGATCTTTTTCCCTCAAAGATCAGAATCCACGGGGATTTGGGGATTCCATGGAACGATTTTATCCTGGAATTCTTTGGGTCGGAAAGAACTGAAATCCCATCCAGGAAGTGACCAAAAAACACCAAAAATTCCCATTTTTTTCCTTTTTTCTCCCGTTTTTCCAGGTGCCTTTGGGCTCTCCTGGATCTTTTCCCCATCTTTTTTCCCTCATCTCATTCTTCTGCCAAGATTCCCCACAGGGATTCCATGGAACGATTTTATCCTGGAATTCTTTGGGTCAGAAAGAACTGAAATCCCATCCAGGAAGTGACCAAAAACCACCAAAAATTCCCATTTTTTGTCATTTTTCTCCCGTTTTTCCAGGTGCCTTTGGGCTCTCCTGGATCTTTTTCCCTCAAAGATTGGAATCCACGGGGATTTGGGGATTCCATGGAACGATTTTATCCTGGAATTCTTTGGACCACAAAGAACTGAAATCCCATCCAGGAAGTGACCAAAAACACCAAAAATTCCCATTTTTTCTCATTTTTTCCCACTTTTCCAGGTGCCTTTGGGCTCTCCTGGATCTTTTTCCCTCAAAGATTGGAATCCACAGGGATTCCATGGAACGATTTTATCCTGGAATTCTTCAGGCCACAAAGAACTGAAATCCCAGCCAGGAAGTGACCAAAAAACACCAAAAATTCCCATTTTTTCCCATTTTTCCCGTTTTTCCAGGTGCCTTCGTGGTGTGCTGGACCCCGGGCCAGGTGGTTCTGCTGCTGGACGGGCTGGGCTGCCAGAGCTGCGACGTTCTGGCCGTGGAGAAGTACGTGCTGCTGCTGGCCGAAATTAACTCCCTCATTAACGCCATCGTTTACTCGTGGCGCGATAACGAGATGAGGAACACCTTCCGACGGATCCTGTGCTTCCCGTGCCTCCGGAATTCCAAATACGCCGCTCCGGAGCGAGGGCTGAGCTCCCACAACGGCCACTTCACCGTCGATTCTTCCATTTAGGGGTTTTTTGGGGTTTTTTTTGGGATTTTTGGGGTTTTTTTGGGATTTTTGGGGTTTTTTTGGGTGCGGCCCAAAGGGCTGTGGGGCTCCGAGGTGGGAATTTTTCTTGGGAAAGTCGTGGTGGAGGAGGGATTGTGGGGTTGAGGAGGGGTTTGGATTCCTGGTGGGCTCCAAAATCCAAATTTCCATGGAAAATTCCTGGTGGGATCAAGGATTGAGAAGAATTTTGGAGCCCAGGGAGGCTCCAGCATCCAAATTTCCATGGAAAACTCAGGATCGAGGTGGTTTTGAGGGATTTGGGAGAACCTTGGATTCCTGGTGGGCTCCAAAATCCAAATTTCCATGGAAAACTCCTGGTGGGATCAAGGATAGAGAAGAATTTTGGATTCCTGGGGGACTCCAAAATCCAAATTTCCTTGGAAAACTCCTGGTGGGATCAAGGATAAATTGATTTTTTGGGATTTGGGAGACTCCAGAGTCCTGGTGGGCTCCAAAATCCAAATTTCCTTGGAAAACTCCTGGTGGGATCAAGGATTGAGAAGAATTTTGGATTCCAGGGAGGCTCCAGCATCAAAATTTCCATGGAAAACTCCTGGTGGCATCAAGGATGAAGCGATTTTTTTGGGATTTGGGAGAGTCCCAAAGTCCTGGTGGGCTCCAAAATCCAAATTTCCTTGGAAAACTCCTGGTGGGAACAAGGATGAAGTGATTTTTTTGGGATTTGGGAGAATCCCAGAGTCCTGGTGGGCTCCAAAATCCAAATTTCCTTGGAAAACTCCTGGTGGGATCAAGGATTGAGAAGAATTTTGGATTCCTGGGGGACTCCAGCGTCAAAATTTCCTTGGAAAACTCCTGGTGGGATCAAGGATTGAGAAGAATTTTGGAGCCCAGGGAGGCTCCAGCATCAAAATTTCCATGGAAAACTCAGGATCGAGGTGGTTTTGTGGGATTTGGGAGAACCTTGGATTCCTGGTGGGCTCCAAAATCCAAATTTCCTTGGAAAACTCCTGGTGGGATCAAGGATTGAGAAGAATTTTGGATTCCTGGGGGACTCCAAAATCCAAATTTCCTTGGGAAACTCCTGGAGGGATCAAGGATAAAGTGATTTTTTGGGATTTGGGAGAATCCCAGAGTCCTGGTGGGCTCCAAAATCCAAATTTCCATGGAAAACTCCTGGTGGGATCAAGGATTGAGAAGAATTTTGGGGTCTGGGAGGCTTCAGCGTCCAAATTTCCATGGAAAACTCAGGATCGAGGTGGTTTTGTGGGATTTGGGAGAACCTCGGATTCCTGGTGGGCTCCAAAATCCAAATTTCCTTGGAAAACTCCTGGTGGGATCAAGGATTGAGAAGAATTTTGGATTCCTGGGGGGCTCCAAAATCCAAATTTCCTTGGAAAACTCCTGGTGGGTCAAGGATAAATTGATTTTTTGGGATTTGGGAGAGTCCCAGAGTCCTGGTGGGCTCCAAAATCCAAATTTCCTTGGAAAACTCCTGGTGGGATCAAGGATTGAGAAGAATTTTGGGGTCTGGGAGGCTCCAGCATCCAAATTTCCATGGAAAACTCAGGATCGAGGTGGTTTTGTGGGATTTGGGAGAACCTCGGATTCCTGGTGGGCTCCAAAATCCAAATTTCCTTGGAAAACTCCTGGTGGATCAAGGATTGAGAAGAATTTTGGATTCCAGGGGGGCTCCACGTTGGATTTTTCCCTGGAAACCTCCAGGTTTTGTGGGAAACCCTCGGAGCAGAATTCCCATTAAAGACTGGATTTAACCCGGAGTCGTTTTTCCTTGGAAAAGGCTCAGGAATCCTGGGGGGGTTTGGGAATTTGGGAATTCCGAGGGCAGAACTTGGGAATTCCGAGGGCAGAACTTGGGAATTCCGAGGGCAGAACTTGGGAATTCCGAGGGCAGAACTTGGGAATTCCGAGGGCAGATTTTTCCCTGGAAAAGCTCAGAAATCCCCCGGAATTTGGGGATTCTGAGGGCAGGGATTGGGAATTGTGAGTGCAGAATTTTCCCTGAAAATTCCACAAATCCCAGGATTCGGGAATGCTGAGAAAAAGACAAAATTTCCCTTTTTTTTTTTTTTTTTCCCTATTTTTTCCTCGATCCTGGAAAACTTCCACGACAATTCTGGGAATTGCCAGGGATACTGGAGTGGAACCAGGTGGTTTTTCCCACCTTGGCTGCAGAATTCCATGGATTAAATTGGATTTTTCCGGATTCTCTGGGATTTTTCCAGGCAAAACTTCCTCCAAAATTAGAATTGCTCCTGAATGGGAATTTTTAAACTTCAATTCCTGCATTTTCCCTGATATTCCTTTATTTTTACATTTATCCTTTCATTGATTCCTTTATTTTTTCTTTTAATTCCTTCATTTTCCCCATTTATTCCTTTAATTTTCCTTTAATTCCTTCGTTTTTCCCTCTGTTTTTATCCCAAAAATGGGATCAAAGCTCTGCTTTGTTAGGATCCAACCCCGGAAGCCTCAAAATGGCCCAAAACGGGGCTGTGAGCAGCACAAAATCCAAATTTTTGGGTGGAAAAAGGGGAAAATCAGGAATAATCTGGACCCGGGGGTGTGGCCTATGGGAAATGGGCGTGGCCTAACGTTGGGTGGGCGTGGCTAACGTTGCCATGGAAACAACAGACGTGATAAGGGGCGTGGCCACAAGTAGGCGTGGTCAGAGAGAGGGCGTGGCTACGCTGAAGGCGGGAATCTCGTCCCACCGTGGGGGCGTGGCCACGCGCAACGGCGGGAAGGGCGTCCCCTCAGGAGGGGGCGTGGCCTCCCGTGGGCGCGGCGGGAAGGGGGCGTGGCCAAGCCTGGGCGTGACCACAACGGCGGCATCGCGGGGGGGTCGGGGGGGGGGTGGCGCTGTGGCCGCCAGCTCGGCGAGGGTCCTGTGGCGGCTCTGTCGCGATTTGTCGCGATTTGTCGCGCCGGCCCCGCGGCTCCAGGCCCGCCCATGGAGGCCGCGCCGCGGCTGATGCCCGGGGTGGCCTTGGTGGGGTCTCTTCCGCCAGCACCTCCCCCCGCTGCTGGCGGGGACCCGCCACCCTCAGGGCCACCCTCAGGGCCACCCTCAGGGCCACCCTCAGGGCCACCCTCAGGGCCAGCAGCGCGGCCAGCGCAGCACGACACCGGCGATGTCCTGCAGCAGATCATGGCCATCACCGACCAGAGCTTGGATGAGGCCCAGGCCAGGTACGGCGAGGGGACACCGTCAACGGGCACCGGGGACACCGGCACGGCCGTGACTCAGCGCGGGGACACCGAGGGGACGCTGAGGGGACACTGAGGGGACACCGCGGGGACACTGAGGGAGAGGTTTGGGGGCGAAACTTCCCCGCTATTCCCGGTTTTCCCGCTCCCCTCAGACCCCGCATCCCCGGCTGAGCCTCCCGCTTCTTCCCTAAAGCTCCTTCCCGCTTTGGGGGCAATTCTTGGGGATTTTGTCCATTTTGTCCCATTCCCTCGGGGTTCTGCCTCATTGCCAGAGTCCTTTTACCCCATTCCAAGGCTTTTGCCCCATTCCCAGGCTTTCTGTCCTATTCCCAGCGGATTTCCCCCTTTCCCACACGTTTTTGCCCCATTCCAGGTGGTTTTACCCATTCCTGGTGTTTTCCTCCCATTTCCAGTGGTTTTACCCCATTCCTGGTGTTTTCTCCCCATTTCCAGTGGGTTTTGCCCCATTCCAGGTGGTTTTACCCCATTCCTGGTGTTTTCCCCCCATTTCCAGTGGTTTTACCCCATTCCTGGTGTTTTCTCCCCATTTCCAGTGGGTTTTGCCCCATTCCAAGTGGTTTTACCCCATTCCTGGTGTTTTCCCCCCATTTCCAGTGAGTTTTCCCAATTCCTGGTCTTTTCTCCCCATTTCCAGTGGGTTTTGCCCCATTCCAAGTGGTTTTACCCCATTCCTGGTGTTTCCCCCCATTTCCAGTGAGTTTTGCCCCATTCCGGGTGTTTTCTCCCCATTTCCAGTGAGTTTTTGCCCCATTCCTGGTCTTTTTACCCAATTCCTGGTGTTTTCTCCCCATTTCCAGTGGGTTTTCCCCATTCCTGGTGTTTTCTCCCCATTTCCAGTGAGTTTTGCCCCATTCCTGGTCTTTTTACCCCATTCCCTGGGGGTTTTGTCCTATTTCCAGGGATTTTCCCCATTCCCTCTGGGATTTCCCCCATTCCTGGGAATTTTACCCCATTCCTTTGGGATTTTGTCCCATTTCCAGGGACTTTACCCCATTCCCTGTGGGATTTTCCCAATTCCCGGGGTTTTTACCCCATTCCCAGCAGTTTTTGGGGTCAGGCAGGACAATCCCAGGCAGAACTGCTGGAAATGGGGAAAACCCGTTGTGAATGTGGGGAAAAAAAACCCAGAAATGGGACAAAAATCACTTGGAATGGGGAAAACCTCACTGGGAATGAGGGAAAACCCTCCGGAATTGGGGAAAAAACTCCAGGATTGAGGGAAAAACTTAAGAATTATGGGGAAAATCCCACTGAAAAATGGGGAAAATCCCACTGGGAATGGGGCAAAACCTCCAGGAGTGGGGGAAATCCCACTGGGAATTGGAAAAACCCCACTGGGAATGGGGCAAAGAACCCCAGGAATGGGAAAAGTGGAGCTTTGGGGCTGGAATTTTGGCCAGGATGGGGTGAGACCCCCAGTTTGGGGTGATTTGGAATAAATCCTTCATCCACACCAGGAATTCCTGAATTTTAGGGAAAACCAGAGCTGGGAATGAGCAGAATTCCAGGATTTTGGTGGGTTCTGCATTGCTTAATTAACTGGGGGTAATTAACACTGCATTAGTTGCTGCTCCGGGAGGGAAATGCCTCAAATCCTACAAAAATTGGCCTTTTTTTGGGGCGTTTTCCCCTCATTCCCGCGGTTTTGAGGGAGCTGGGAGTGGTCCTAATTCAGGGAGCTGATAAAAGTCTCCGTTTTCCCTTATCTCGCCCCAAAATTTGGCCCTTTCTGGTTGTGGCAGCCCCAAATTCCAGCTGTTTCCGTGGATTATTTGGAATTTCGGGAGGAGTTTTCCCTCCAAACCCTCAAAATTTGGGGTTAAAGTAATTTTTTGGGTTGTTTGTTGGGATGGAATTGTCCATTTTTCTTGCGAAATTCCCTTTTTTTGCCCTTCCCTGGCGTTGTTTTGGGCATTCCCCACCTGCAGCTCCATTAGGGATTTCTTAAATGTGGAATTCATGGAATACTGAGGAGAATTTTGGGATATTCAGGATAATTTTGAATTTGTCAGGAGTTTTAATTCCCATAAAGTGAGGAATGGGCTTTTTTTAACCCAAATCCTTTCAATATTAACCCAAACCCACCAATCTGCTTCCAAATTTTCCAGCACTTTTCATGGAAAATCCACTTTTATTTCCCCTTGTCTGTGAAGTTTTTGGATTTGAGATGTTTCCAGCCATTCATTAAGGATTAATTATTAATTTTCTATTAAAAATGCAAATTTTAGGGATTTCCCAAGCCCTTGAAAAGTCCCAAAATTAGAAATTTTCACATCCAAGCTCCCAATTTAGGGCAGGAAGCGGACCCGGCAGGGAGGAGCTGGGCGGGACTTCATGAATGAATAATTAATGAGTATTAATTATTAATTACTTAATTAGCCAGCGCTGCCTTCGGGGACCTAAATCGAAGGTTTTAGTCCCAAAATGGGGGGGTTTTGGTGGGATTTTCCCCTCACATTCCTGTTTTTTTTGAGGACAATGGGATCGGAGCCGCCTTTGTTCTCCCGCCGCGCCTCCCGTTTTTTTTTTTTTTTTTTTTTTTTTTTTTTCCCCGCTGTTTTTTTGGGTTTTTTTTAGGGCAAAATCCCGACTTTTTGGGCAAAACCCGCGAGGTTCTGAGGGAAAAATTCCAAGGATTTGAGGGGAAATCCCAGGATTTGGGGCGGGGCTGATGGGGAGCCCGGATTGGGGAGGTTCGCAGGGCGGGAAAATCGGGATTTGGTGGGAAAAATGAGAGTAAAGTGGAATTTTTATGGGTTTTCTGAGGGGAAAAAGAGCTCAAAAGCAGCAAAAAAAGAGAGGATTTTGAGGGAGTTTCCACAGAGGATTATTCCCGGTGGAATTTGGGCCCAAACCTTGGAAAACTGGGGAATTTTGGGAATATATATTTAAAAATCCATGGGATTCAGCTATAAATAGATTTTTCTGAGGTAAAAAAGGGCTCAAAAGAAGTAAAAAAAAAAAAAAGAGATTTTGAGGTGGATTTTTCATCCGGTGGATTTCCCCCTTTTTTAATGTGGAATTTAGCTCAAAATTCCGGAAAATTAGGAATTTTGCTTCTAGAAAAATGAGATGAAATTAAAAAAAAAAACCAAAATTCCCATTTTCCCTCAGATTTTCCCATTTTTCCCAGGATTTTCTACACTCACCTGCTCTTCCCATGACATCACCCTAATTTGGTGGTTTTTTAATGGATTTTGGGGCTGATTTTTCCATGTTTTTTGCAGGAAGCACGCCCTGAACTGCCACAGGATGAAGCCGGCCCTGTTCAGCGTCCTCTGTGAAATCAAAGAAAAAACAGGTCTGGATTTCTCCTTTTTGTTCCCATTTTCCCCCTCAAATCTCACTTTTTCTCCTCAATTTTTCCTAATTTTTTCTCTATTTTTCCTAATTTTCCAATTTTTCTTCAAATTTTTTTCCACTTTTCCTCACTTTTCCTCATTTTTCCCCATTTCCCCGTTTTTCCTATTTTTTTCCAAATTTTCCCATCTTTCCTCATTTTTCCTCTGCTTTCCCTCATATTTCC